TTCAGAGATATGCAGAGATTTTATAATGACTCTATGAAAGATGAATTCTGATTGATTGGATTTCTATAATAGACAATGGAAAGAAAAGTAAAAAATGAAGATGTTACACATAGATGATGCAGCTGATGAATTCATTGATGATAAATGTAATGAATATCTTCAAAAACAGACAGAATCAGCTGTCTTCAGAAGCTCTAGTCTTTCTGAGAAACAAGCTCTAATGAAAAAGTCAACAGATCAATCAGATAAAGAGTGCTTATGTGAAAAGTTTCACTGCTTGTCACAATGCTGATATTTAAACAAAGAAAGACAGTCAAGTGAATTTACTTCTAATTCTGAAGTGAAAAAGTGTGTTAATAAGAAGCTAGTGGAAGGAGATAATAGAAAAAGAATAGAAATAGCTATTAAATAAGTAAAGATGTTCAGATCTAAATTTAAAAGATCTAAGAAAGAAGCTAAATCTTCTTCAGCATTTCATGTGGTGTCAACTGATCAATCAGATATTGAGAAAACTGAATTTATAACAGCAGTTGTACAACTAGAAGCAGCTGCATTTAACAGCTTCACTTATAGTCTCAGAAACAGCTTTCTATTGAATAGTGTGGCTACAAATCATATTGTTAACCACTGAGATAGAATGACTAATGTGGAGTCTTGCCAAATTCAGCTTTATGCTGATAAGCAGCAGCTTGAAGTCTCTGAAATTAATGATGCTTGATGTTACAGCACATTATTAAATAACAAAAAGCACAAGATCTTATTGACTAGAGTCTTCTATGTGTCTGAATATCATATAAGTCTAATCTCAGTTAGAAAGACAAAAATAAAGAACATGTATTGAAATACTGTAGATACAGAGCTATAATGTTGAGATGGCACAAGATGATACTTAATGACATGTGTTGAAGATGTTGAAAATCAATTTATTATTGAACATAACACTAGAACAGATTCAGCCACATTCTTGGCACTGGAAAATTCAAATCAGCTGATGTCAGCATCAAAACTGTCTAGCTTCAATGCATGCAAAGCAGCAAAATTAAGCACATTAAAAACAAGCTCAATGCTGTGAATCTTGAAGACTTCATCTTTTGTATGGCATAAATGTCTGAGGCATATTTATTATGAAGCTTTACAGAAGCTAGACAAAGTCACTTCTGGAATCTTCTTTACTACTGAAATCACTAACAAATTTGATAAGATCAGAGACTGTGAAACATGCAAGCTTGCAGACAGCTTCAGAATTATATCTAGATGTCAAGCAGAGTGTCATATGAAACTGTTCTTTCATCTACATTTTGATCTAATTGATGAAATAAAAGAAGTCTATGGAGATCAATGCCATATTATACACTGTGTTGACAATGCTTTATGTTTTCATATGATACAGCCAGCACTTTTAAAAAGTGAAATTGACAATGTTATGCTAGATCAGATTGCACATGTTGAAAAACATTATGATGTAAATGTGTGCACTATATGAATCAACAAAGCTGCTCTTCTGGATAAATTAAAGATTCAGCTTCAGAAAAAGAGAATAACACTAGAGATCTTGACTTCATACATCTCTGAGCAAAACAGCATGGCAGAATGTGCTGGGAGGGTGCTAACATAGAGAGCACATGCACTACAAATTGAATTGCACTTATCAGTCAATCTCTGGCCAGAGCTGTTCAAAACAGCCACTTATTTGACCAATTACATGTCTATGAAAGCATTAAATTGGAAATCACCTGTTCAAATGCTAAACAAGCATCTAGAGAAGCATGATTACAAGTCAAATTTGATGCATTTATGCTTATATGACTGCAGAGCATACATTTAAAATCTCCATGTGATGATCTTCAAGAAGCTGAAACCATGTGCACATATAGACTATTTAGTAGACTACAATTTGTCTAATATTTTTCATGTTTGGGTGCCACATTTGAACAAGATTTTTACAAGCAGAGACATATGCTTTGATGAGACTCTAAAATATGACTCTAATGAATCACATATTGATAAAGAACTTAGAAGTGCTGTTGGACAGATTATCAAAGTTATATTGATTTCTGATTTTAAATATATGAAATCAACAATACTGAAAGATACAGAAAACATCTCTAAGTCAATAATTGATATGAATTATGAATCACAGAAGAATAATGAAAGTTCTTTCAGAGAGATTGTTAAATAGACTTCTCTGAATCACACTAAACAAGTGCTGAAGCAGTCACATGATGAGCAGTCAAATTATGAGCAAGCTCACTATACAACATCAGAGCAGTTAAATTATGAGAGAGCTTTACAGCTCTCAATGTCACTGAAGATGTCAGCTATTACACAGACTAGACTTTTTTGAGCTCTGACATCTTTTCAGACATCTTCATAAACATCTGCTGTCATACAGACTCAGCTCTATGAAGCTCAACACAAAGAAACTTCAACATCTGACTTAAATAAGTCAATTACAGTTGATAATACTTCAGACAAAATGTCAGAAGACTTTGAAGACTCTTCATCTTATGCTGCTCAGATAATATTCAATCTTTCAATTAGACTCAATACTGACTCTTCTACACAGACACTAAATGCTTCTGCTGTGATGTCTTTCACTACAGCTGCTGCTGAACAACAATTACAATTTGAGCTTGATCAATTATGTACACTGAAACAGCAACAAACTTCAGCTGAAAGATGCAGAGCTCTCAAAACAGCATATGATTCTGCATGATTAAAGATATCAGCAGATCTAAATAAAGTAAACATAGTTATGAAAAAATGTTCTAGAAGATCAGCAGTGCTAATAATAATTAAATTCAACTATCTGTTCTACAATAAATTTCATGTGATGTTTGCTAATGCAATAAATATGAAGAACAATGAAGCAGCAGTCAATAAGAGTTCAAGCTCACTCTTTATGAAGAAGTTACATAGAGATATTCTTCTGCCACTGCTGAAGAACTGAAATCAACTAAGAAACCACACACACAAAAGCAGCTTTATAGAAGTCACTAGAGCTGAAATGAAAAATCTTAAAAAGCATGAAATCTATCAAATTGTCAAAGAGTCTACTGACAAAGTGATTACATCAGTTAAGTGAGTCTTCACATATAAATTTGACATGAATGGCTTTCTAGAACATTACAAGACTAGAATTGTTGTATAAGATGATTTGCAGAGTGAACTGAATTATAATAACTGTGCAGAAACATTAGCAGCTTAAATCATGAGACTATTAATAAGTATAGCAGCTTATTTTGATCTAGAAATGAAGCAATGAAACATGATAGACACTTTTCTGAACAGTAAGCTTAATTTTGAGATTTTTTGTGCTCTTTCTGAAGACTTTAAAGAGCTGTCAAAGTGTATGCAGTTACACAAAGCTCTATACAGACTTTGAGAAGCTTCAAAGCTTTGACTAGAACATTTCTCTAGCTTACTAATAAAGCACAGACTTCATCTGCACTCTGAAGAGACTTGCTTATTTGCTACAAAATGCAATAAGCTCATGCTCTTCTTCTATGTTGACAACATAGTAGTATTGTACAGACTCAAAGATGTGGCTCTGTATGATCTTCTTCACAATAAGCTAACAGTGAAGATTGAAATATGTGATCTAGAAGATATTTTGTGATTTCTAGGCATACAGATTCTATAAGACTCCATGATGAAAAAGATTTAACTGAGTCAGAATTCTTACATAACAAAGCTCATAAAATGCTTTTGGTTGGATGATGAATTAACAAAAGTTCAAATGCTGCTAACTGAAAATCTACTAGTTCTGAATGATCTACAGACTAGTTCAAAAGAAGTTAGCCACTACCAACAGAAAATGGGATCTATACTATATGTGGCCATAATGACTCAGTCTGATATTGTCATCATCATTAGTAAGCTTTGTCAGTTTCTTACTAATCTGTTGACTCATCATCTTGCAGAAGCAGATAGGGTCATAATCTATCTACAAGACACATGATATTATGTCATAGAATATAATGATGAAATTAATGGACAGAAAAAGATCTTTACATACATAAGTGATACTACATTTAATGATCATCTTCTGTTCAGATACAGCACTGAAGAATTTATATTTGTGCTGTTTAATGATTCAATTGATTGAAAGTCCATTAAGTAAAAGATTATAATAACATCAACAACTGAAGCTGAATTACATGCTCTAGTATGTGCAGTCACTGAGCTTATATGATGATGATGCTTCTTTAATCAATTAACATTTGATTCAGATCATCTATTCATGCTTAAATGTGACAATCTTCAAACCATTGGCATAGTTATAAATGAAAAGTAAGCATTTACTACAAAGCTTTATCATGTGGATATTAAGCAACACTGACTCCATCAAGAGACACTAGCAGACTGTGTGCATGTCATATGAATTCTAATGAATCAAATATTGACTGATGAACTTACTAAGACTCTTCTGCTGCAAAAGCATGTGAATTTCATATACATGCTCAGTCTATGTGATATTGAAACAAAGATTTAAACATGTGCAGATGCTCAATTAGAAAAATAGAGCCAGCTCTAGTGAACTAGAGCTGGGGAAATGTGTCAGTCAGAGATCTGTCTAGACTAGATTAGACATGAAGATTAGAGAATTCTCTTCATTTTTCTGTATGGCACAGATTTGGAACACTAGGTTTCAAATCACATGTCTTTTTGTCATGTATGCATGATCAGAGCTGACGCTCTGATTGGCTCTTTTTGCCCCACTTGGGCTAGCCACTCGCTTATATAAACCAGCCTAGATCCCTCTTCAATATGAGATCAGATGAATTAGGCATTTCTCTCCAGCTCGTAGCTCGTAGCGTCACATAAGTCGCTTGCTGCGCCTGGTTCTAATAATTTTGTACTAGGCTATTTGTTCAAGACTATCCCGGGCAAGGGGTATTGCCCTGTGCTTCGCCCTGCGTCATTTGCCTTCATTCCTCCAGCTTTGGATCCTTCACCGTTGCCCGCAAACATGGCTCATAAGTCTCTGCAAGTATACTATGGCTGCCAAAAAATACTGGCTTGGCCGAGGCGTGCTCTCTCTTTCATCAAATATTGTAGTCCAGTGTGGGTTTGGTATTTCAAATGGCCGGGCTTCAATGCAGGATTATGCATATCAGCATGTTGACCCTGCAGTTGTGCGCATACCAAAGGTATATCGATTTTTTGAGGATTGGACAACCAGCCGCACAATCCCTGATGGATATCTGTTTATGGAAAATATGCCGGGGAAAACCATTTGTGATCTTGATGAAGATTCAGATAACGCCGTCAGCCGTGCTCTGACAAAACGGATATCTGAGATTGCACTTCATCTTTTGTCAATCAAGGCACCTGATGGAACACCTCCTGGCCCAGTAGATGGCTCGCCACCTAATGGATACTTGTGGGGAGATGATGGTTCTGACACTGCCTTTGCATCTGCTGCTGAATGGAACTTGTGGCTCAACAAAAGATTAAAGGTCCTCAATCTATCCATTGATATTATTCCATGCTACCCTCTCGTCCTATGCCATGGCGATCTTGTTCGAAGAAATATCATTGTTCTAGATGATCGGGAGAATAAGAACAAGGACTACGAACAGAGGCAATTGGCCCTGGTAGACTGGGGTCATTCCGCGCTCTTACCAAGAGTGTGCGAACTTGTTGCTATGTTTTGTTATAATGATCATGGAGGGTACCAGTATACAAATGAGTTGCTGAAAATCACGAAGGAGGCTATCGGACTTACAGAAGCGGAGCAGGAATGCTATAAATTGCTCATCAGCGCTCGGGCAATGACCTTGAGATATAAAAATTTGCACGTTTGGTTTTCACTTTTGAAGTCCAGAGGAGAAGTATGCTATATTCAAGCTAACCCGATTTCTCCAGTGACTAAAATGTCCTGAAGTTACTGCTGGTGGAGACCAATCTTGTAAGCAAAAACTGTACCCCAAAGCAATTGAAGTGTCCATAGGGGTAACATCGCCACGGTTACTAACGTCTGAGCGAGGATGTCTAGGCATTACTGTAAGGACATTGTCAAGGGTATCTTTCCAGCCGCCTGGTTCTCTCCATAGTTAGTTAATAAGCAGCACTCTGGATGCATTAGAAAAACAATGCACTTTGTGTGGAAGCCGTGAATGAACAATATTTCAACATTACTCTTGTAAAACAATCAAATCCTTCCACGTTGGCTGAACATGCTGAGATGGCTTAATGAATTCCGAATCTATCGCACGGACTACTTCGTAGACGTTTCCTAGACCGTTGTCCGCCTGTGTCCGATCCCCAGTTTTGCGTAATGGGCTGCGGCACTGTTCACTGGGGCTGGGGGCGGAATTAGACCTCTCTTGAGTTAGGGCCGGGCTTAATGTGCCTGTGCCTGTGAGCGGAGCAGCGGCTATTCACAATCCCGGCGCTGACTAAGCAGCGGGTGTTGGTCGAGAGGGGAACAACAAGGCTGCGCCAGCCATGGGTGGAGAATACCCCCTATTATTAGCCTGGTGGCTCTCCTGTAATGAAAGGCTAGCTGTTTCACGCCTGGCGCTTTTCGGCGATGATCGGCAGGACTGGAGCCGTCAGATCATAGATGTGCGAGTGAGATGGCAGCACAGGGCCCTGGCTCTGGCGGGCGAGAGTTTTGCGGCGTGCCGTGCTGCTCAAATAATAATAAATAATAACTGGCGTCGCCCTCTGGACGCGAGCCTGGCGGGCAGCGCCCGACACCGCGTAGTTACCGTTCTGCCGTGCACCAGCCAACCACAGGCCGCGACGCCTCGTTTCGATACCGTACTGCCAGGGCCACATGCTGGCGAGCTCACCGCCTTCCCGAAACGTTAAGCTCGACCACATCCCAAACCGCCCGACAAGCCACCGCCAGGCTCGCAGGGATTCTTCTTTTCTCAGCGCTAGACGCAGCCTGAGCCTCTCTTTTCCCTCTCGCTCACTCACTCGATCTCTAGCTCTCCTCGTTTGCAGCCCTGTGGATTTTTTTTTCTGCCCTAGCCCTTTTCCATTTCGTGGTCCTCTTTCCCGCAACGTCCTTCACTCCGCGTCCCGCGCCTGAACGGCACTGCTGCTTGCTCTCAGCCCCTTAACCAAGGCTGCCTTTGACTAGTCTAGCTCCTTTCACTTCGCCAGTCGTGATCTCGCAACCACACCTACATCCCCATCGTCGTTGATCGATCCGAGGCCTGTTCTCCCGCGGTTGCGACTTCACACCATGGCCTACCAAGCCGGCGGCAATTCGCCTGGGGGCTACGGCGACCATCGCATGCAAGACCTCCAGAATAACGGGAGTGTAGGTTTTTTTTTTATCTCTTCTTTGGCTTGTGAACCTGCTATCCCTGTTTCCCTGCTGTTTCAGAATAATATTGAATTGAACTGACGAATTTTCCTCGGTTTTGTTCGTCGCTATTTAGCAATACCACCTGCCGCAAGAAGATGACGCCTCGCGTTCGTTGCTCCATCAGAACCAAGGTCCCTTCAGCGGCCCTTTTGACGACCCTCAACACCGCAATACCTCGCCGGCTCGACCCGCGTCGAGATACAGTTTGACTGAGTCCTACGCCACGGATCCACAAGCCATGAATCAATACAACGACCCCATGTACGGCCAGCAAATGGACAATCCGGCCGCGGGCTTTGGTGTGCCCGGCCGTGTTCCATCGCCCTACAGCCGCAGCGAAACCTCTTCGACGGAAGCCTGGCGTCAGAGACAGGCACCCCAGGGAAATCTGCGTCGATATGCCACCAGAAAGGTAAAGCTTGTCCAGGGTTCCGTGCTGAGCGTGGATTACCCCGTCCCAAGTGCTATCCAGAATGCTGTTCAAGCTAAATACCGTAACGACCTGGAAGGAGGCAGCGAAGAGTTCACCCACATGAGATGTGAGTTTATTGAAGCTGCAGCCTGTCGATAGGGAGAGCAACTTTATTCACGAGTGTAAAATAGATACCGCCGCAACCTGCGATCCGAACGACTTTACCCTCCACAACGGTTACAATCTGCGCCCCGCCATGTATAACCGCCACACCGAACTATTAATCGCCATTACATACTACAACGAAGATAAGATGCTGACAGCTCGCACACTCCACGGTGTCATGCAAAATATTCGCGATATTGTAAATCTCAAGAAATCGGAATTTTGGAATAAAGGTGGCCCTGCCTGGCAAAAGATCGTTGTTGCTTTGATCTTCGACGGTATTGATCCCTGTGACAAGGACGTTTTGGACGTCTTAGCGACTATTGGTGTGTATCAGGACGGTGTAATGAAACGTGACGTCGACGGCAAGGAAACAGTTTCTCATATTGTGAGCACCCTTTCCGCCACCTTGTCTAGCTTAGCTGACCTTTATTAGTTTGAATATACCACCCAATTGTCTGTCACTGCAAACCAACAACTGATCCGTCCACACGATGACGGCCCATCTACCCTTCCACCTGTTCAAATGATGTTTTGTCTAAAGCAAAAGAACAGCAAAAAAATCAATTCCCACAGATGGCTTTTTAACGCATTCGGTAGAATTCTGAACCCTGAAGTTTGCATATTATTGGACGCTGGCACGAAACCCGGACCCAAGTCACTTCTTGCACTTTGGGAAGCTTTCTATAACGACAAAGATTTGGGCGGCTCCTGTGGTGAAATCCATGCCATGTTGGGCAAAGGTTGGAAAAAGTTGATTAATCCGTTGGTCGCATCCCAAAATTTTGAGTATAAGATCAGTAATATTCTGGATAAGCCATTGGAAAGCTCTTTCGGATATGTCAGTGTGTTGCCTGGCGCTTTCTCAGCATATCGCTTCCGCGCCATCATGGGCCGTCCTCTTGAGCAGTATTTCCATGGCGATCACACCCTCTCTAAGCAACTTGGCCCAAAGGGTATCGAAGGCATGAACATTTTCAAGAAAAACATGTTTTTGGCTGAAGATCGTATTCTCTGTTTTGAATTGGTTGCCAAAGCCGGCTCCAAATGGCATCTGACCTATGTCAAAGCTTCGAAAGGAGAAACCGATGTACCTGAGGGTGCTCCTGAATTTATCTCCCAGCGTCGACGCTGGCTTAACGGCTCCTTCGCTGCAAGCATTTACGCCCTCATGCATTTCGGCAGGATGTACAAGAGCGGGCATAATATTCTCCGCATGTTTTTCTTCCACATTCAAATGCTTTACAATACATTTACCGTTTTTTTGACCTGGTTTGCCCTTGGTATGTTTTTTTTTCCCCGCTCTAATTCAGTCAATAGATTGTGCTAATAATTGGTAGCTTCGTACTGGCTTACAACTTCCGTTATCATGGACCTTGTCGGGAACCCTACCAAGGAAAGTGAAAGAGCCTTTCCGTTTGGAAACAAAGTCACACCTATCCTCAATACTATCTTGAAATACATGTATCTCGGTTTCCTCCTACTTCAATTCATTCTCGCTCTCGGTAACAGACCAAAAGGGTACGTTAGAGCGTGCAACACCCAGTTCATTTTCAAAACTAACAGGCTTCAGATCTAAACACTCCTATATAACGTCTTTCATTGTCTTCGGTACTGTTCAGCTCTACATCGTCATTCTGTCTATGTACTTGGTTGTCCGAGCCTTCTCTGGGGGCGTGGAATTCGATGTCAATAATGGCGTTGACGGATTCTTGCGGTCATTTTTTGGCTCCAGCGGTGCCGGTATCATCATCATCGCCCTCGCTGCTACATTCGGACTTTACTTCGTTGCGTCCTTCATGTACATGGACCCGTGGCATATGTTTACCTCATTCCCCGCTTACCTACTCATCATGTCTTCGTATATTAACATTCTTATGGTCTACGCATTCAGCAACTGGCACGATGTTTCATGGGGTACCAAAGGTTCAGACAAAGCAGATGCTTTGCCATCAGCACAAACAAAAAAGGAAGAAGGCGGCAAAGCTGCAGTTATTGAAGAAATTGACAAACCCCAAGCTGATATCGATAGCCAATTTGAAGCTACAGTGAAAAGAGCCTTGACTCCATATGTTGAGCCAAAAAGTGATGAAAAGAAGTCCCTGGAGGACTCGTACAAGAGTTTCCGGACTCGGTTGGTCGCATCGTGGTTATTTTCTAACGCCCTGCTCGCGGTAGCTATCACCAGTGACAACGTGAACAAGTTTGGTTTTACGGTAGGGTTCCCCATTCGTTTAACCGCTTTTATTAGGCCGGATGCTAACCTTTCATAGTCTCAAGCAACTACCCGAACTGCTCGTTTCTTCCAAGCGTTACTCTGGGCTACGGCTGCACTTTCTTTGATCCGTTTTATCGGAGCCTGTTGGTTTCTGGGTAAATCTGGTATCATGTGCTGTTTTGCCAGGAGATAATCGAACGGTTTCATTTTTAGAGACGTCTTATGACCCATGTATGTTCGTTCATCGCGCAACTCGTCCAGGTTTAAACCGTCTTCTGGACATGACATTGTTTTTCCTCCCAAAATATGGCATACTTCCAAGGGTCTCTTATGTGTCCTTTCTACCAACCTATTTGTATTCTACTAGATGACGATCAAGTTTTCCTGGATGTTTTCTTCTACCGGCTTGTCTGCAATTTTCCCGGTCTTGATAATGTTGGTAATTTGATTCGATTTTCTTTTTTAGTGGCAGTTTTTGTACTTTGCGCTTGGCAATGTTGCTTATACCTTGGGCTACAATTTATCTCACCCGCATCTATTTATTTCTCTCCATTTCCTTGATTTGTAAATACCCAATTATCGGTACATTTTCGCCCATAGTCGGGGTCACGTGCCGTAACCTGGTTCGACGCTGCCATTACCATCTCAATTAGTAGGGTTAGAAGGGTGATGATATTTTTGATAATTCTAGCTCTTCGGCTATTGTGCGCATACATCCGGGCTTTTTCGGTTTTTGATAGTCTATTGCTTGTAGTGTGGCAGGCCCGGCGCGGGTCTATGTACATGTCCTCAAAACCTCCCCCACAGTCAATGCCTAGCGGATCCACGATCACAAACAGTCCGCTAGCCCACCGACATCTCTTGCCTGAGCTCCCACACCCACCGAAGGGCATTTATCCTTGATAGGGTCAGCGTTTTATGTAGCTGTTGCTATCAGTGGCCTGCAGAGCTCCTACCGCCGCACCCTCATCGCCACCCTCTAGGGTTTCCCCACTCCGGTGATCGAAGCCTACCTATTATTCCTCAAGTTGTATATTTCAGCGTGCAAGTTAGAGTGCCTCTAGAACGGCGGCCTCCTTGCTCACTATAAGTGGTGTTTAGCCAAGATGCTGAAGATATGGTCTATGGTCCGTCCGTGACCCAACCCACCCAGGAGATTTGAGTAGCCATCTGATCTTTCGTCACCTAGAAACAAAAACAGCAACAGGCCGAAAATGCAGAAGGTGGTGCCGGACCAAGGAAGAAAAAAGTTACCGCCGCTCAGCTGCGAGTACAACGAGGTATGCTTCTCCCTAAACCCCTCCCTCCGTAACCGCGCAGCTAACATGGCCACTTCCGATAGATCTTGCAGAGCTATCCCTCGGGTCAACGATGAAAATGGCATTCCCAAACCCTGACGATATTCTCCATTTTGTTCTGACAGTTGAGCCAGACGAAGGGATGTATAAAGCAGGCACCTTCACCTTTAATTTCACAATCAACCAAAATTTCCCACATGATCCACCCAAGGTGAAGTGCAATCAGAAAATATACCACCCAAATATTGATTTAGAAGGGAACGTGTGTTTAAATATTCTACGTGAGGATTGGAAGCCGGTACTGAATCTGAATGCAGTGATTGTGGGGCTGCAGGCATGTCATTGTCTATTTATCATGGCGAACTGAGTATATACTAATGTGCTGTCCCCGATAGTTTCTCTTCCTAGAGCCGAACGCATCTGATCCCCTAAATAAAGAAGCCGCCGACGATTTACGACTTAACAGAGACCAATTCAAGCGGAATGTTCGTAGCTCTATGGCGGGAGGGTCGGTCCGTGGTACCAACTACGATCGCGTACTGAAATAGATTTACAGATAAGCATCGGAGTTTTATGGATAAGCAATAGGTTCATGAATATAGCGTCTCGTATCTACAAACTCCAGGCATTCCAAATATAATAAAGCATTGACCATTCGACGCCTCCATGTTTTTGGCGTTCCAGAATTTGCTCAAATATTCAGTGAGGATAATTCAAGTTAAGAAATAATTCCGAAAATGTTTTAATCCGTATTGCTTCGTACGTCCGTTACTGACAGCTAAGTCGGCTTTTTGGAAACAAAAGGCACGGTTCGCAAAAACCGAGATGATTCGTGACGGACCATAGCGCAAGAAGGCGACGATGAACGGCTTACTCAGGAGACTGTAGTAGCGTGAGGCTGGATATCACTTTAAGGTTTTCCTGAGCCTACTATAGGCTTGCTTTTTGACTGTCCGTGTTTCTACGTATGATGAATATGCACGACATTATTGAATCGAAGTACAAGATCCCTCCGTGGGATATGAGGATCAATCTTTTGGGTTAAAAAATCGGTTATATACATGACCCATCCATGGTCCACGTTGCGACACCGACACCATAGTGTAAATAGTTGATTATCGGTGCATTCCAGTCATCCATGTTCAAGTGCCTCAGCTTCCAGTCGCCACATGGATCGTGATCAAGGGGGCACTGTATGAACAACAAGCGGTCTCAATATGAAAGTTGATTAGAGTGCGGCTTCTTTGGCACGCTCGGCTTCTAATGTCGCATATAGGTGGTCACGAGCCCGGACACGAGGAAGGTGGTAGCCTACGATATCGTTTTCTGTTAGAAAGAAAAGAAGTATTGTGGTAAAGTATCGTTTTTGCCACGTACCGTACCACCAGAGATAGCCAAATGTTGTGCCGAGACCTAAGGCCATGAGTCAATAACAGCGTTTCTATATTCTGCAGTGTAGCCCGAGTCTCCCAGTGTGTACCGACATCCAAAAACGGTATGCAAACAATGCGACAAGAGGATAGGCGGATAAACCTACCAAATGCGGTGCTAATGTTAAGAACAAGTCCCTTGCGGAGCATCTACAGAAGAGATATCAGCGACTGCCACGATTACCAGAAAATAATGGAGACCAGGTCGCGACGTTGAACTAGATACTTACGCCGGTAATTGGTTGGATAGCCATTTCGGCGGGCAGAGAGGAGTTTCGAGCAATGGATCGGCCGTGAGATCCAAGCAGTCTGGCGGTGAATCCGTCTGTATCGCGTGCGTGAGAGAAGTTGTGCTGTTGTGATCGCAGCCGTCGTTGGTTTTGCTCGTTTCGGCCACAAGGGACATCACGTGCTCGTCAGGCCACCCGGGCGCTGAGTCAGCACCAGCGGCGCCCACCAGAGCCACGACGAGCCAGCAGCGCGAACGCAGCGGGAGAGCGCAGGCGGGATCGAATGGTTTATTCCATGTCGTCTAGCTAAGGAGCTTATCAGAAAGCAGCAGCTCACCCTTTATCTCGCTTGTCGGTCCCGCACCACCGCGACCTGAAATCCTTGGAACTACTCTGTACGGACCAGCTTCTAATCTGTGGCTACTACTATTCCAACATCCATACGCTTTAAGTGGCCTTACTGCGGACATCGAGATAGGCCCTGACACCATGCCGCCCCTGAAACGCCCGTCCCCAGAGTACAAAGACCTCCCAGCCATTCCTACAAAGAAGCAGAAACTGGAATACCGCCGTGTTCACCGTCTACACTCACCCTTGGAAGTGCCCTCTCTCGGTTCGCCTGCCATTTTAGACGATGCCTCCGTAGACCGGATGCTCAACATGGCAATCAGCGTTTCGCTTCGCGAAGCTGGCTTTGACCTTGCAGAGTCTCTTGCGCTGGACAGTCTAAGAGACGGGGTGGAAGAATGTATGGCATTTCCCGTTGGCTCACACGGCATTGATGATACAATGGGTGCTAAATATTCTTAGACATGCTTCACTTCCTGGCGTACATTCGCGTATCGATGGCTTCCTGTCGTAGAACGCAGCCGATTCCGCAGGATTTTGAACATGCGCTAGCACAGCACTCGGTGTCACTGGATTCTCTATATTCGCACGTTAAGCGACAGCGAAAGCCCAAACAACCCCCGACCCTCCTACCCACGCCCCCGCCTGAAACTATCCCACCAATAAAGAACTACACATTCATGGGACCTGAACTGGATTCCACGTCGGATGTACATAGCTATTCCTATATCCCGAAACACTTTCCCAAATTTCCCGGTAGGCATACGTACTGTGAAACACCGGTATATCCGGCCCGCGAAACAGACCCGAAGAAAATTCGAGAACGGGCAACAGAGGAGGGGCGGCTGGGCGAAGAGGCACTGAAAAAATTAGCACCTCCCGTACAGGATTCCCATCCGGGTGCTGAAGGGAGGTCCGAGAAGAAATTATGGGGGATGCAGAAAGAAAGCATGGATTCAATGTTCGACAAGGCCCTTGCAGAAGTTCTGAGAGACCAGGTGGAACAGAAAGAGCGGAGAAAGAAGGGAAAGCAGAAGTCGATCGATACGGGCGACAGTATGATCGACTTTGGAGTCCAAGAGCCAGTTCAAGAGACAACAACGCCGGTCAAACTGGGCAATATTGAATTGCCAAAATTTGAGATGGGACCCGTTGTGAATTGTGAACAGGTATTTTACCGACAGCGAGTACCGGGAACACGGGAAATGGAGCGGTAGAATGGGTTATTGCGTAACCCTGTGATTGTCGTAGTTTTAGCATGGTGTCCAGGTGTTTAGCCATTTGCAGCGTTTCGCGGCGGGTGACATGTCCAAAGCAATGCGTATAAATTAGCCCGTCAGGCACGATCCGTAGCTTCAAATGTCATTGTCGTGGCGTCTCTGTACCTAGGGCCCTCCAACGTTGTAGTCTCTGCATTCACCCCATTTGCACACCTGTTTCGAAGCGTGAGCCGGAAGAAACTACCTCCAGACCAGAGACTCACCGTCTAAACAGCCTCACAACAGTCTCGCATCTGACGATTCCCGGATCGGGCACGCCTTTACTTGGGGGGTTGCAAGAGAACTGCGTCATGGCGTACAGCGGGCAGGAGGAAAGGTCGGTAGGCGGGCCCTTGCGGGCTTTGGGTTTGAAGCCATGGGTTGTCGAGTGGACGTGAACGGGCAAAGAGGCGGCAGGGAACGGAGTGACTGGCGGCGCCATTGAGGGGAGCTGCAGAGCTGAAGGAAGTGTAGTTAACTTCGTGGTTATGTATTCTCGTCGAAGCATCGGAGCCGTGCCGCCGAGAAGAGATTGTTGGCATTTGGAGGTTTCCAGGACACGCCCACGACTGAGGCCCGCCCACCACTAACTAGCAATCGGACGACGCGAGAATGCAGTGTTTGCAAGCCGCCGAGCTGGATGTGACGGCAGCATGGCCGCTGAACATACCGGAGCAACGCTACTGGCACAAGTAAAGGAGGAGAGTCTGCTCGATGTCTGTCCGCTCCCTGCGCCCTCGGAAGGGAAGACCAGCTAATTGAATATCCACGATGGCATAGATCCTGCAGGCACTCCGTGAATCGCATCTGCTGTCCCCAAAGCTGCCACTTGTCGGTATCCCCCGTCTCGACACAGCGCTCGCAGCGCTCCGGTCGAACGAGCACAATCCACGCCAGCCGGTGCTCGAGATCACCAGCCCCGCCTCGGGTGATGGAAAGACTGCGCTGCTATACTATGCTACCGCACAGGCAGTCTTGCCAGCATGGCTCGAGAACGATGTTATTGTGGGCGGGCACGACGCAGCAGTGATATGGCTGGATACGGATGCGCGATTCGACGCCCACCGGCTCAGGTGTGTGATGGCCAACATTGTTCGCCAGAGAGCCTTGCAGGAAAGTGATAATTATACCGAGGCTGTTAATGAATCCCTACGACATGTGCATGTATTCCAGCCCTTGTCATCGCCGGCTCTGCTGGCTACTCTGGAATCGATCCCGGAGTATCTATTCAGCACCCAGCATTACTCGCGGTATCGGCCATTGCATGCAATAGTGATTGATAGTGCAAGTGCCTTCTACTGGCAGGACTGGCGGAAGGCGGAGGTCTCCCGGATTCCTGGCGCTGTGGACGAAGAAGGGCACGCCCTGGGAGCAACGTCAAGCCGCCGGTCAACGAATATGCCGGCAGATATAGTCTCTGTTTTACGTGATCTACAGAACAAATTTTCTTGTTTGATTCTCTATTCCACAGCCGGACTCTATCCTTGCGGCTCCTCCCTATCCCCATTGACCTCGTTCAGGCCATATCTGCCATACCCATGGATCACACTACCTGCTCTACGGGTCGTAGTACGGCGCGAGCCAGTACGGCCATTTGTGGATGGGATGACTGTTGACGAAGCGCGAGCCGATGGATTAGTGAGGCAGGCGGTTGTCCAGCGGGGGGTGTTTTCCGGCTGGATTGATCCGTCCAGCCTGCCTACATATATGCAAGGAGCAGCTGCCACACAGCCGTTTAGCTTCAAAATTTCAAATGAGGGTATTTTCTTTGACGGGATGACTATTCTACCGCAGGTGTAATATCACACCAGTCTATTCTATTTTGTACTGTATCTCTGGATGCATATATTTGCACCCTTCAATGAAGCCCTCATTTAATTCCCAAACAGCTTCGTGATAGCTTCAATGCTGGTATTTCCCCCACTGAAAACCACTCCCATATCCCATCCATCTACTCCGCCCTCCTTCTCAGCCAGCTCCCTGAACTCCTCATTGAAAAGAACAACAGCCAATCCTACGGCAGCACTTGGTTCGATGACAATTTTCATCCTCTCAAGCACCAGCCTCATAGCATCTTTGATCTGGTCTTCTGTGACGGAATAGACCGCGCGGACCTTGTCAGGGTTGGAGATGACTGACCATGGAACATCGCCTACCGGGGTGCGCAGGCCATCGGCGATGGTGAGCGTGGACACGGCTGTGATGCGAGTGCCCGACGCGAGCGAACGCCGGCAGTCGTCAGCACCTTCAAAAGAGGGCTCAGCACCAAAGACAAGGGTCTTCTTCATTGACGAGGAGTCCTCAGAAGCGAACCAGGTCGCGAGGCCGGAATTCAATCCTCCACCACCCAGAGGCGTTATGACGGCGTCCAACTGGCCCATCCTATTTGAATGCACACTGAGATCAGGATTGTCGCGCACCATGTCTCTGACCTGCCGCTCCAGCTCCAGACCCACGGTCCCTTGTCCCAGTACAATGTCGGGATGATCGTAGGGGGGAACGAGAATGGCATTTGTGTCAGCCACGACCTGGCGGACAACCTCTTCGCGCTCCGAACTCGTAGAGCCGCTGAAGATCACCTTTGCGCCGTAGGCCTTTGTGCCGGCGATCTTCGCAGGGGTGGAAATGCGCGGCATGACAATGTAGGCGGGGATGTTTAGGGAATGAGCAGCGAGTGCGAGGGCCTGCGCATGGTTTCCTATGCAATGTCAGCATCCACAGTAGGCCGGGGATACAGAGATGTATGCAGAGCGTGTAGTTATATCTAGATACCAGAACTGTGCGTGACAACTCCTCTGGCGCGCACGGCGTCGATGCCCAGCGATTCGCACAGGCGCAGCACGGCGTGGAATGCGCCGCGGGCCTTGAAGGCACCGATTTTCTGGAAGTTCTCGCATTTGAAAAAGAGGTTTATCTTGGGGCGGGCGGGCGGGCGGCCTTCGAAAGGCGAGCCGGCGAGCGACTCGGCGGACTGCGGGGTGGAGGCGATGTTGTTGAGCGTGCGGCTGGTGAGGACGGGGGTAGTGTGCACGCGCGGCTGGATCAGGGCGTAGGCGGCCTCGATGCTGGCGCGCGAGAGGGGGCGGCTGTCGGCCATGATGGGGATATGCAGGATACTGGAGGGCCGCAGCCGACGGAGTACGTACAGGATAGAGATGTGGGTGAAGGTCAGTGAGGCCACTAACTACATAACTACGCAAGGATCATGGATGAGAGGCTACAAGATTGCGATGTCGGCACATAATCCCCCGAATACGATAGGGCAGACTAGGGTGAAGCTGAGGAACACACGACTTTTCATTATTGGTATCAAACAAATTCATTATTGGTACAGGTTTCATTTCTGGTTTTCGGGGCGGAGTGAGCTGCAACGTGTTAGTAGGAGTACGGTTAGCAGGGAGAGAGAGAGCATACCGGACGGCCTTGCCAGCGCGCCAGATCTCGAGGTCTCGGATCTCCTGCATCTCCTTCTCGTATTTCTGGCGGTAGTCGGGCTGCGAGTTGTACTCGAGGGAGCGCTTGGTCTCGCTGCCATCCTTGACGCTGTCGTAGAGGTCGTTGAAGAGCGGCTTGAGGGTGTCCTTGAAACGTGCGCTCCAGTCGATGGCGCCGCGGCGGGCAGTGGTGGAGCAGGCGGCGTACATCCAGTCCATGCCGTTGGCGCCGATGAGCGGGTACAGACTCTGGGTAGCCTCCTCGACGGTCTCGTTGAAGGCCTCGCTGGGGGAGTGGCCGCGCTCACGCAGGACCTCGTACTGGGCGAGGAACATGCCGTGGATGCCACCCATAAGACAGCCGCGCTCACCATAGAGATCCGAGTAGACTTCCTTCTGGAAGGTGGTTTCGTAGAGGTAGCCGGAGCCGACGGCGACACCGAGCGCGACGGCCTTTTCTTTGGCCTTGCCGGAGACGTCCTGGAAGACGGCGACGGAGGAGTTGATGCCGCGGCCTTCCTTGAAGAGGGAGCGCACGGTGCGGCCGGAGCCCTTGGGGGCGACGAGGATGACATCGATATCCGTGGGGACGTCGACCTTGGTGAGATCCTTGAAGACAGGGGAGAAGCCGTGGGAGAAGTAGAGGGTCTTGTCCTTGGTGAGGAGCGGCTTGATGGCGGGCCAGGTCTCGCTCTGGGCGGCGTCGCTGAGCAGGTTCATGACGATGGAGCCACGCTTGATGGCGTCGGGCACGTCAAAGAGGTTCTTGCCAGGCACCCAGCCATCCTGGATGGCCTCTTTCCAGGAGGCGCCGTCTTTTCGCACGCCAACGATGACATTGAGGCCGTTGTCGCGCAGGTTGAGGCCCTGGCCGTGGCCCTGCGAGCCGTAGCCGATGAGTGCGAGGGTGTCATTTTTGAAGTAGTCCTGGGGGTGGGTTAGTGCAAGCAATTGACGAGCGTACCGAGGCTCTAGCCTACCAGAAGCTTCTCGCGCGGCCAGTCTGCCCGCTCGTAGACGGTCTCCTTGGTGCCGGCGAAGTCGATGGTCTTGAGCGAGCGGGTGGTGACCGGGGTGAGGGTGACCGGGGCGACGGGGGTGCGCGAGAGAGCCGGCCGAGGAACGACGGGGCGTGCGAGACGCAGGGCGCACAGGGCGCGGGCAGCAGGACGGGCCATTGATTGTGGTGAGTTGTGAACAAAGAACGGGACAACGACGAGGAGAAGAGAGAGAAATAGAGGAAGAGAAAGCAGAGATGCCGAAGATAAAGAAAAACGAAGGATGGAGAAGCGAGCTGCGAACTAGGCGAGCTCCAACTTCCCCGTGGATGACTCACCGACATCGGCGTTGGGGAATAGCTTTGGGGTTGGGGATCTGTTGGGGAAGATTTGGATTACGTAATCACTATTGGGGAAATAACCACAGTACATTGGGGTTTGGCAGCTACTCCGTACACGAAGGTACTCTTCTGTACACACAGTCCCTCCAGCGCTCCCTGGTTACACCAATACCACGTCAAGCCCGCCTGGCTCCTACTTCAAGCTCTCCATGCACGAACCGCCGCGTCTAATTTGGCTTTCGCGTCATTTCTTGCTGCCATGTAGTCTCCCTGGCAGCTATCTAGTCCCTGCCGACTGAGCGATCGTGAAACCGTCTGATCATGGAGTCAGCCACTTCATATACCCATGATACTGGAATTCCATAAGCTTACTTCAAAAGAACCCTGGACGCCTTGGAGGTTCGTTCTTGTAACCTCAATGCCCTGATACTTACTTGCCCCTTTTGACTTTACCTCTACGCCGAGTCGGCGCATTTTTTCTCCATTGTCGGCCATCAGGCGGAACTCCTAATTCGAACATGGTTAGCTAGGGTGTTGAAAAGCGGAAAAGCTTTTTAAGACACGGTTCTTCTCACCCGTGGCATGTGGTTACACATTTGGGCATTATCAGCTGGTGTCGAGTCTTTCGGGTTTGCGGCATCAAGAATTTGAGCAAATTTTTTCCAGCTATTATCTAGCCCTTTGAGTGATTCATTCATTTCCTATATTCTTATTAACCCAGTACTCAAGGTGCAATGCGTCCACACTCACAGTCAAAGGTAATGGGGTGCTGGAACCCAAGACCTGATCCGTAGTTCTACCCCATTGTTTCATATATTTTGCAACTTCATTTTCAAATACTTTCCAGGCAGCAAGCCAGTGTGTTGAATATTGAGCAGCCACGGAAGAGGCCAAAAAAAGGGTGAGGACAGTGGTGAAACGCATACTGATAGAAGTCACAGTGCAAAGCTTAGACACTTATAGAAACTAGGATTGAATGGCTGATAATATCTGCTGTGATCAATTCAGCCCGGCTGATTTCTCTGTCTATATATACCCGCTGGAATTCTACACCAAGCCTCGGACGACTCTCGCAACCGCGAGAGAAGCCTACCAATACTGGCGTGGTTTTGGTGTTTTGATACCTGCTCAACGGAGGGCTTCCCAAGCCCATAGTGATCCTTTAGCCAAGGCAGTCGGAGATTCCGCCAGCTTTACAATTGCTCTGCTCAGCCGGTGGACGAGCAGCCAACGCGTGGCAGGCTCACCAGCTTGTATGTGAATTCTAGCGCTAGCCACCGAGTACCTCATTGCCCAAGGAACCGGTCTTGTGTTGTTTACTGGCTTACAAGTTTCATCAAGAAATATTGCATATGGAATGGCTGTGGTGTATCTTTGTCCAGAGAGCCTAAGCGGGGTATCAACCCGCCTTTTCTGAAAATAAACCCCTAGCATCTGCCTTGCGGGCAACTATTTTCATGAAACACGTAAACCCCGACATCTAAGAAAAGCATTCACAAACACGCAGCAGCTAGGTAGTTTCTACGGCAATGCTCCTTACCACCAAGTTTCTCGCTTGACCAGGAATCAGTTCCCGTGCATGGAGTACGTAGTATGCCCTGGGCAAGAGAATACCGTCATTGGCAATACTAAATGATTGCTTGGCAGCGTCAACGCCTCATTTTTACAGGCCACACCGGCAGATAGCTACCAAATATCCTCGTATCAATGCCATGAGTGAAGTACGTACCGAGCACAATGATACAGTTTTCGGAGTATTGTCGGTAATTCGACTTACCTCCCAACTTCTCCTTCTGCTCCTCACCTGCCGTGTAAGCTTTTATGTCTGTTCTTTGACATGACGAGCGCAGTGACATCAGCGGCAGGGGTATGCCGGAGGCCAAAGCGTAAGGACAAGACAAGGCATTCTCCCAGGAGCATACCATCCAGCCGGGAGGGCGATGAACTTTGGGTCTTAAGGTCATGACAAGGTAGAAGAAAGGAAGCATGCAGTGTGGGTCTAGTGAGCGGCAAAAGGTGATCTTTTATAGTAGTTGGTTGGATGACGACGAGCTTCCGGAAACATGTACTCCGCAGGCAGTGCGGAGTACGGAATACTGCATTCCACTAACTGGGCCTGCTGAGAGTTCACTGAAATCCTTTGATAAGACCGTTGACCACTCGATACAGCCTAGAACGTTCTCCTAGACCCGGCAGGAGAAAACTACGAGGTCTAGGTTCCTTAGTCCCTTTCACATGTCATAAGGAACAGCCACGGGATGAAAGAGGCCATTTTAGCACTCTTGAAAAGACAAAACATCTTCAAGCTGAGAAAGTAGTTCAAAAAGTATACTGGAGCTGGATCTGAGCACCGTGAAAACAGACAAACTATCGAGTGTAGCGAGATTGCGTGTTCTCTTCCCTGTCAAAATCAAGATTGTAAACCAGTTATATATAACTTGGGATTAAATTATTTTAGGCTCGTCGTCTGCTTGGACTGCTCCTGGTACTATCATTCTCAAAGCACACTAAGACCTCTTGAAGAATGCATGTCGAAGAAATCTCGGCAAGATATCATGAAGATCTCCAGTCAGCAGTTCTGTTTAAAGGCAAACAAAATGGAAGACTACAAAGACTGAAATCAGTAGCTTTATACAGAATCATGACAACCTGACCAGAAAAGAAAGATTGAGCACCTGGTGCGGGCTTCAATGGCGATACGGCCATTTTTGGAATATCTGTGGATATTATACACGAGTTAACGTGAAAACAGTGGATTTGAGGCTGAATTAAAATCTGTGTAGGGTTACATTCTCTGCATTATCATAAGAAAACGAATCGTCAACGCATCTTGAATCCAGAAATGGCCGATTGTCTTTAAAATTACGGAGTAGCGAGGCTTAGGTCAGCAGCGATTGGTCCGGTCAGGCGGGCGGCTAACTAGGCCCGAAGCGGCGATGAGTCAGCAGCGACGCAAAACTGGGATTCTGGGGAAACATGTTTGGCCAACCAACCAACCACGACGGCCGGCGACCAGGACGACCATCTATACGCACACACACACACACACACACACCTCGAGAGACACGCACGATGCTGCCGCCCGGGCTGCTGGCGGCGGCGCCGGCGGTGGCGACACGGGCGGCGCTCGTGGTGCTGGACCTGCAGGCGGACTTTGTCGAGGCGGACAGCGCGGTGGTCGGGCGGTGCGTGGCGCTGGCGGCGCGGCTGCGGCGGGCGGCGGTGCAGGTGGTGTGGGTGCGCACGGCGTTCGGGAGCCCGCGCGCGGCCTGCGACCCGGCGGCGGGCGCGCTGCTCGTGGAGGAGAGCGAGAGCGAGAGTTCAAGTGAGAATGAGGACACCAAAGACGAGAGAGACAGGAACAATGACGCGGTGCTGGCGGCCCCGTGCACGCTGGCGGGCGAGTTTGTGCCAGCAGTGCAAGCGGCGATTGCGGCGGGCGACACGGTGCACGTCAAGACACACTACTCGGCGCTGCAGACGCCGGCGCTGCTGCGGGCGTGCCGGGCGCAGCTGGTGACGACGCTGTACCTGGCAGGCGCGCTGTCGCACGTGTCGGTGCACGCAACGGCGGTGGACGCAGCGCGGCACGGCTTCGCGGTGGTGCTGGTGGCCGACTGCCTGGCGTTTGCGTCGCCCGCACGGCACCGTGCCGCCCTGGCGCGCATGCACGGGCTGCTGGGCATTGCGGGCGTGCCGGCAGCGGAGATCATGCGGGAGGAGGAGGAGAATAATAATAATGATGACGACCAGGATCAGACGGCCGACGGGGAGGCCCTGGCGCAGGCGCTGGCCGGGCTAGGGCTCGACGACGCCCGCGCGGCTACCGCGGGTACCGCGGCTACCGCGACTACGACGACGTACGGCGCGGGCGACTCGCGGCTGGTCACGGGGCTGGCGCTGGACCCGGCGGCGTTCGCGACGCTGCGGCAAGACACGGCGTGGCAGCCCATGCGGCACCGCGCGGGTCCCGTGCCGCGGCTGGTGGCGGTGCAGGCCGTGCCGGACGCGGCTACGGGCGGCCTGCCGCTGTACCGCCACCCGGCCGACGCGCTGCCGCCGGTGCAGCAGCCCTTCTCGCCCGCCGTGGCCGCCATCGCGCGTGTGGTCGAGGGCGTGCTGGGCCACCCGGTCAACCACGCGCTGCTGCAGCGCTACCGCTCGCCCGCCGACGCCATCGCCGACCACGCCGACAAGACGCTGGACATCGCGCCCGGGTCCAGCGTCGCCAACGTCAGCCTGGGGGCCGAGCGCGTGCTGGTGCTGCGGCCAAAGCCCGTGCCTGCCGCCGGCCGGGAGCACGCCCGCCGGCCGCCCGCCCAGCGCGTGCCGCTGCCGCACAACTCCGTGTTCGTGCTGGGCCCGGCCACCAACCGCGCCTGGCAGCACGCCGTGCGCCCCGACCGCCGCCCGCCGCACGTCAAGACCCCCGCCGAGCGCGCGTGCGGCGGCGAGCGCGTCTCGCTGACCTTCCGCCGCATCGCCACCTTCACCCACCCGACCACCCACGCCATCTGGGGCCAGGGCGCGACCGCCAAGTCGCCCGCCGACGCCCAGCCCGCCGTGCACGGCCCCAGCGACGCTGCCGACCGCCTGGTGCGCGCGTTCGGCCGCGAGAACCGCCACGCCGGCTTCGACTGGGCCGCTGAGTACGGCGCCGGCTTCGACGTCGTCAACCTGGGCGGCGAGCAGACCGAAGCCAGTGACCAGGGTTAGGGCTAGCGCCAGGGCTAGGGCTAGGGCTAGGGCTTAGGGCCCCGGCCGCCCAAACAGAACATAGCCCTAGCCCTCTCTTGCGCCCGAATAGGGTTGGCCCCGCCTGTAGTTCACCCCAGCCACTAGCGCTATGCCTGGCGCGTTGCTTAGTCCGCAAGCAAGGCCTTCAGGCCAGTCTGCTTGTCTGTATTATTATTGTCCATGTACTCCGTATCCATGTGTCTATGTACGTACATTCCTATTCTACATCATTAGGGTCTAGGGGTTAGGCCACTCCCAGAAAACAAGCTGTGTCGTGCTAGTAGTTGTGCCCGCCCGTCATCGTCCTGTTGCGCGTCTCATCCCCGCCGCCCACGCATCGTCGAACACCGTCTTGCGGCGCGCGACGTCGCTTGCGGCCAGGTTGAGACTGCGCACGACCTCCAGCGCGCCCGTGCCCAGCGCCACGCTCTTGCCGACGATGATGCACTCCGACACGCCCTCCACACGGTCCGCACGCCCCGCCCCGCCCGCCGCGAACAGATGGTCAGCCGTCTTCTCGAAGCTGGCCAGCTGCAGCACCGAGTCGCGCATCTTGGCCAGCCCAAACCGCGTGATGCCCAGCACGTCGCCCTTGGCCGTCATCACGTCCGCCAGCAGCTGCATGTGCCGCGGGTCAATGCCCATCTCCGCCATCACCGCCGTCATCTCGCGCGCAATCGTCGTGCGCGCCGCCTCGATCCCCAGCACCGCCCGCGTCTCCATCACGTCGTTGGTGCGCGTGCGCGCCCCGTCCACCCCGTCCGTCGTCATGCACGCCCGCAGGCCCTGCCCTTCCACCAGCAGCGTGTGCAGCCCACTGTTTGCGTCCGCGTGCAGCACCGCGCGCCGGCAGCCCGCGTGGCCCAGCACCGCGATCGTCGGCAGCACGCGCTTCAGGTGCTTCAGCCGGAAGTACGGGTCTGTGCCCGTCAGCTTCTGCTCCGACTTGCTCAGCACCGCCGCCGCGGCCGCCGCCGACCCGCCCGCCGCCTGGTCCACGAACACGTGAACGTGCGCCCGAAACGCCCGGATGCGCAGGTCGCGCGCGCGGAACAGCCGGTGCCGCCGGATGGCCGCCACCACGTCCGCCATCGTCAGCTCCAGCCGCAGCGCGTGGATCGTTGCGAAGTCGATCTTGACGTTGAGGAACGCCGCGTCGCCCGTCCAGTCCTCCTCGATGTAGCGCGCCACGTCGCCCAGGCACGTGCGCTCGATGCGGCCCTTGACGATCTGCGCCGCCCGCACGTCGCGCGCCTCCACCAGCGCACACGTCACTATCGGCGTGCTGATCGCCCGCGACGCGTTGATGATCTCCTTGATGCGCGGCACGCCCTGCGTGATGCCCATGCCCGCCACGCCCGCGAAGTGGAACGTCTTGAGCGTCATCTGCGTGCCCGGCTCGCCGATCGACTGCGCGCCCACCGCGCCCACCGCGTGGCCCGGCTCGACGCGCGCCCGCCGGTACTTGTGCAGACACGCCCGCACAAACGCCGTGAGCGTGCGCGCCGGCAGCCGCGCCGTGTGCGCGCGCGCCATCGCGTCTGCGTCTGCGGCTGCGCTTGCACTGGCGCCACCCGCCTCCAGCCGCGCCGCCTTGCCGCGCACAAACGCCGCAATCGCCGCCAGGAACGCCCGCTCGCTCTCGCGCTGGTCAACGCCGCCGGCCGTCGCATCATCGTACGCCAGCGGCCGCCCCAGCAGGTCGACGCGTGCCAGCTGCGCCCGTTCTGGCGCCAGCAGCTGCTCGCACAGCGCCTCGATCTCCGCCGCCCCCAGCCCGCGTTCCGCCGCGTCGTACAGCGTGGTCTCTGCCGCCGTGAACGTGCGCTCGAAGTGCACCGGCGTCGCCACGCCCTCCATCGCCACCGGCTCTAACTGGTCGTCGCCGTACTGGAACTGCACCACGTCCGCCGTCGAGCTGCGCACCGTGCCGTCGTACCGCGTCGACAGGTCCTCCAGCGACTTCATCAGCCGCCGCGACATGTAGCCCGTCTCTGCCGTCTTCACCGCCGTGTCGATCAGCCCCTCGCGCCCCGACATTGCGTGGAAGAAGAACTCCGTCGGCGACAGCCCCGAGAAGAAGCTGTTCTGCACAAACCCCTTCGCCAGCGGGTGCTGCGACCGCCGTGCAAAATGCGGCAGCGTGCGGTCCTGGAACCCGTACGACACCCGCCGCTCCTCGATCGTCTGCTGGCCCACCAGCGCCACCATCTGCGACACGTTGATGCTCGATCCCTTCGACCCCGACGTCGCCATCACCAGCGGCGCGTTGTGCTTGCTCAGCTCCGCGATACAGAACTCGCCTGCTTGCTGCCGCACCTTGTTCAGCAGCCCCGTGATGCTGTTCTCCGTGTTCTGCCGCTCGTCGCCTCCGCTGGCGTTGACGAAGTTGTCCGCTTTCAGCTTCTCGATCAGCGCCGCCGACTCCGCGAACGCCCCGTCCACCAGCCGCTGCTTCAGCTGCACCAGGTTGTTGACCGGGTACACGTCCGTGATGCCCACCGAGAATCCCAGGTTCGTCAGCCATCGCGCCGACAGCCGCGACAGCCGGTTCATCACCTCCGCCGCCGCCGCCGGCCCGAAGTCGCGCTGCACCACGAAGATGATGTTGTCTTTCTTGCCCGACCCGATCGTCGACTTGTCCGCCACCCCGCACATGATCTCCGAGTTGCGGATGCACAGCCACCCGTCATTCGCGTCCAGGTCCGGCGCCTGGCCTTGGATGTACTTGTACGCCCGGCACGCCGCGTCCAGGTTCACCAGCACGGGGCTGTCGCGGTTGGGCCGCATCAGCACGTTGAACACCTGCTTCCCCGTCCACAGCATTTGCGGCTTCAGCACCGTCGGCGGCGGCAGGTCGAACCGTGTCTCCGAGTGCAGCATGTACAGACAGATCTGCGTAAACGTCTTGCGGTCGAAGAAGTTGTCCTTGCTGCTCAGCAGGAACGCCGCCGTGATGAAATCCTGGATCGCCGCGATGATCGGCTCGCCGTTCTTCGGCGTCGCCAGGTTGTTCTTCACCCCCATCAGCTCCATCGCTTCGGCGCGCGCTTCCTCCGTCTGGGGCACGTGGAGGTTCATCTCGTCGCCATCGAAATCCGCGTTGTACGGATTGCACACGCACTCGTTCAGCCGGAACGTCCGGTGCGGTCGGACTTTGACAAAATGGGAGAGAATACTGAGTTTGTGTAGAGACGGCTGGCGGTTGAACAGTACGATATCGCCGTCTTCCAGATGTCTTTCGACTACATCCCCTTCTTCCAGTTGGTCCGCCATGAGTCTGAGATTGCCGTATTTCAGGAACACCTTCAACGACGTGCCTCTTTTCGAGATATAATTTGCTCCCGGCCACGTCTTGGTGCCGTTGCGTACCCGTCCGCGTAGTTTTTCTTTGTTGTATTTGGTCACCCTCTCCGGGTATGTCATGTTCATAGCGACGAGCTGCGGCACCGCGACTTCGTCAATTCTTAGATTTGGGTCGGGTGAAATCACCGTTCGCCCCGAGAAATCAACTCGCTTTCCGGACAAATTTCCTCGGAATCTTCCCTGCTTTCCTTTTAGCCGCTGGCAGACGCCACGGATGGCTTTTCCAAAGTCAGCCTTTTGCAGTCCGGGCACGTCGCTGTTGATATAGACTGCGATCTGCAATTGCATGTAGTCCCAGCATTCCATAATAGTTTGAATCGGAGCGCCCTTGTTCATCGCGTTCTTGAGATTAATATTACTATGCACAATGTCACCCAGCTTAGCCGTAAGGTCATCTTCCGTGCTAGCTCCTTCTTGACCAACTGACGGTCGAATCGAGACAGGTGGGGCGGGTATGAACTGCCACAGAAAATTCTCCGGCCGCACTTCTTTCGGGTTCAGGCCGAGGAGCTCGCAGTCTTCGTTGGAGATACGGCGGAAGAGTTTCAGCACTCGCAGGGGGTTGAGGTCATCGTGGGCCTTTTTGAAATTCTTCTCAATATCTGGAATGGACTTCTTGGCTTCATCGAAGGACTGGTCGAAAATGACTTTGCTCGGGGGTGGGACTTTTTTAGTGGACGCAGAAGCGTTGAAGGCTCGGAATCTCTCGTGCGTAATCTTCAAGGCACTGGTGCCGGTTTTCTTGACTACGCCATTGACTGCGTTGCAGGTGTAGCAGACGCGGGTTTTGCGGCACCGCTCGTTTATGCGCTTGTTGATCTGGACGCGTCGGAGGTTATCGATAGCCGGGCGGCGCATTTCTTTGAGAAAGCTTCGTCTCTCCGGTTCTGGCAGTAGGATTCGAGAGCAGTCCTACAAGAAGCTTGCGGTCAGTATGGAGCTAGACAGCGATGTACGATAGCCAAACCTTGCATATCTCCTGCAGTATCCCGATCACACGCTTGAAATAGCCTACGTGAAAAGCTGGTAGGACCAACTTGACGTAGCCAAAATGGCCATTGCATTCCTGCAGTGAGCTGCCGCAGGTCTCGCACGTTCCGGACTTGCTCGAGATGCCCATGCGGCTGTCGAGCGGGCCATGGCGGGCGACGATGCGGTCGTTGTCGAGATCAAACAATTTGCGGTCGGACACCTCAACATGTGCCTGGCTGATGATATCCTGGCTCGACCTGCTCGAGGGGTCAGTAACACGGTCCCAACTGGCGGCTGCTTTTTGCCCTTGGTTCAGATCTGGAGCTTACAGGACGCCGAAAGTTATTTCTTTGATGACTTTGGGCACCCGGTCAATGACCTGGGCCTTTCCAGGGTCCACTGATACAGGATCGGCCACCTGCATTCTGGAAAATAGCCGTGGATGTGAACCACTGCATTCGACGTCGCTGTCGCTCGATGACCGCACAGCTTATCGCAAATAAAAAAGATCACGTGGTGGGGGCTTCGATGGATGACTAACAGACTGCTCAGAGAGGCTCGGCACGTGATTGAACCTTATTCTGCAGTTCGCGCAAACCCTGCGAGGCTGAAAGTAGTTTCATATACGAGTGGCTATTGTCGCGCTGATGGCATACACAATGGAAAGGTCAGGATCAAATTGCACAGCAATAGTAGATATAAACAAATTAATAGGTATCATAACAGTATCTGAAACTCCACTCAACGCCTATCCATATTCCTTACCATTCCTCATTCAGCCAATCTAAAACGTGTCAGTTGATAACTAATACTTATCAAATTCCGTTTAGCTAAATCGACACACGTACCTATAGCTTACCATCGTATCAACCCTATGGCTATTAGTGCTGAAGCTTCTCAGCTGTACTTTCTCTCCGTTTTTTATTTCTTTGGCGTCACTGTCTCCCCATTCTAGGGGGACTTCGGAATCCGCATCGGCGTAGACAAGCACGTTGAACGTGCAATTTCCATCTAGCATGGGAAGGAAGGTTACAGATGCTGTGATCTGGCGGAAAATTGCCTGTATCTCTTCTTGTATCTGTTTCTCGGTCTTTTCGATTGTTGCTGCGGCACCCACGTCACTGTGGACATCAGTAGAAGAACATACTTTCGGAGGGAAACACAGGCTTACTTTGGCGAGGAGTTCTCATTCCCGGTGACTTTTTGAGAAGGTTTCGTTCGAGAAGATTTGAAAATTTCAACCTGCTCACGATCAGCAATTGAGCACGACTTGTGTCTAGCTCGGAGAACAATACATCAAATTGCCATCTCTCAACATGTTCCCCGGTTTCTTTGTCGGTGATCACAATGACAAGCTTCGATATCTTCCCGCCCAGCATCCATTTGTTTAATTGCGACATGATTTTCTTGATATACGCCTTAACTTGGTCGTCGGCCGATACTGGGTAGCGTGTTAACAGCGGCCAAGTCAGATGAAAAGAGGTTTTGGCATACCAAGCATGTTAAGGCCATACTTCTTAACTCTTTATAATAGCTTAGCATTATTGACACAAATTTCCGGATGTTTCTTACGCTGTAAAATCATCTGCGGGGTAAACTCCCCGTTGAAACCTTTCACTTGTCAGTAATCATTCCTATTAAAAGTAGAAAGCACGTTTCGTACAAGATAGAATGAATAGAGTATTCAAACTACCCGGAATTAGCTAGGTTTCAAAAACCGGAATTCTATATTATACTCACAAATTCCGCAACAAGCTTCGCAGACCCTAATCACACGCCGTTAGTTAACACAGAAGAAGAGAAGGGCAAGCGTAGATTCCACCTTTTAGCGACAGTCGGTGCACCTTGCTTTTCTCCTTTTCTGCGGCCATCATTTTTTCTGTCGATGATGCCTCTCTGAGTGGTTTACTGACCTCGTTTACCTGTTTGTTTATTCTTGTTGACGTTAGCGTCGCTCCGGGGATAATCGGCGATAAAAGCCAACTAACTAGCTATCACGTGTCGCCGGGAAATCTTCAAAACGTCAAAAAAATTAAGACAGCGACGACATGTCATCTTTCCAAGCTTCAATGCTGCTTACCCGATGCAAGCATGTCGGCAGTCGGTCAGATGGCTGACCACGGCATTGAGGAGACCTTCCTCTCGATATCCTCCCTTGCTTGTCGAATACTGTCCCAAGCATTTTCGCGTCTTTAGCAACTGTGTTAGTCGAGCCGCAGCCGCCGCGACCAAACCGCCCTCAGATCTCGAACTGCGCATATCAGCTATACCGATTGACCGATATCGCAACTTCTGTATAGTTGCTCACGTTGATCATGGCAAAAGCACACTTTCGGATCGCCTCCTGGAATTAACAGGAACCATTGAGCCAGGCGCAAACAAACAGGTGCTCGACAAGTTAGACGTGGAGCGGGAACGTGGTATTACTGTAAAGGCGCAGACCTGCACTATGCTCTATAACCACCAGGGTCGTGACTATTTGCTCCACCTAGTCGATACGCCAGGCCATGTCGATTTTCGTGCTGAAGTGTCTCGAAGCTATGCGAGTTGCGGAGGGGCTTTGTTGCTTGTAGACGCCAGTCAAGGTGTCCAAGCCCAAACCGTGGCGAATTTTTATCTTGCATTCGCGCAGGGACTGGAGCTGGTGCCGGTCATCAATAAGGTAGACCTTCCGTCCGCCGACCCGGAGCGCGCGTTGGACCAAATGAAAACAACCTTTGAATTGGACACGGACAAAGCTGTTCTTGTTTCAGCAAAGACGGGCTTGAATGTGCACAAACTCTTACCTACAATAGTTGAGCAAATTCCAGCGTGAGTTCTACCAACTAAGACGGGTGACGGTCTAATGTTTGTATTAACACGGTATTCTAGCCCTACCGGCGATTTATCAAAGCCTTTGCGAGTTCTTCTTGTTGATTCATGGTATGATACGTACAAAGGAGTCATTCTTCTTGTTCGTGTCTTCGATGGTGAAATACGACCAGGTGATCAACTGGTGTCTTTCGCTACAGGAAAGAAATATATCGTAGGCGATGTTGGCATCATGTACCCCAATCAAACTTCCCAAACAGTGATACGAGCTGGCCAGGTTGGCTACGTATATTTTAACCCTGGCATGAAGCAAAGCAAGGAGGCTAAAATTGGCGATACATTCACAAAGGCGGGCTGTGAGAAACTTGTCGAAGCTCTTCCCGGCTTTGAAGAACCGAAGGCGATGGTTTTTGTTGCCGCATACCCAGTGAATGCTGATGACTTTTCTCATTTAGAAGAAAGCATTAATCAGCTGTTGTTGAATGACCGCAGCATTACAGTAAAAAAGGAGTCATCCGAAGCCTTGGGTGCGGGCTTTCGGCTCGGTTTTTTGGGAACCTTGCATTGCTCGGTTTTCCAGGATCGCCTCCAGCAGGAGCATGGGGCTAACATCATCATCACGCCTCCTAATGTTCCTTGTAAGATACTATGGAAGAGCGGAGAAGAAGCCACCATCACTAATCCGGCAGAATTTCCTGATGATGACTCCGCACGAATGAAAGTAGAAGAATTTCAAGAACCCTACGTCCTTACGACGTTGACCTTCCCACACGAGTATCTCGGCAAAGTTATTGAGCTTTGCGAAGGCAACCGCGGAGAGCAAATTAGCCTTGAATTCTTTACAGCGACACAAGTCATCCTCAAATATGAGCTACCGCTCGCACAGCTTGTGGACGACTTCTTCGGTAAACTCAAAGGGCTGACAAAGGGCTATGCAAGTTTGGACTATGAGGAATCTGGCTGGCGAAAGAGCAACATCGTCAAGCTGAAGCTAATGGTCAACAAAGTTCCGGTAGATGCAGTATCGCGTGTTGTTCATACCAGCCAAGTTTCCAGGCTAGGCCGGCAATGGGTTGGCAAGTTCAAAGAGCATGTCGACCGGCAAATGTTCGAAGTTGTCATCCAGGCAGCGGTGGGAAACAAAATCGTGGCAAGAGAGAGCATCAAACCATACCGCAAGGACGTTCTAGCGAAACTTCATGCCAGTGATGTTACGCGTCGCCGCAAACTTTTGGAGAAGCAGAAGGAAGGGAGGAAGAAACTTCAGGCAGTGGGAAATGTGGTCATCGAACACAAGGCGTTCCAGGCCTTTCTGTCCAAATAATGAGTTGGAACGTACACTCCAAAATGCCTTGCTGCGATATATCAGGTGTATTCAATATCACTGGGCCTACACCTAATATGACCTAGACCCTAGCAGCTATTCCGCTGTTTTTTCTTCTGTATCAACACCCTGGAGCATAATGGATGTACACATTTATATATACAATCTTGACAGACGTTTTCTAAAATGGTTCGCTTTCTCTTTCCAGGCACTGGGTGGCCAGTTAAAACGCACTATGTTGATCACACGAAGGAGTGAGTCATACCTTTATAAGTCTCACCCCAATATTAAAATTAGCTAATTATGCAACTCTGTACCAGCGGCGATATACCAACTATTTCAACCACCCAAAATCTATCCTGCCTTCGGTTTATTAAATTTTTCTCTCGTGGCACAAGAACTGTTCATTCGCCGACACCATCATTGTTTGTTGTCATACTCTACATTATTTCAATTGCGTTATGATGTTATCCAGGGAAGAAAGAATGATGCGTCACCGCACCGGTGGACAAAAAGTGGGTTAGTTCGCACATCCACATCTCTTCCCTGCTTACGGAGTACTTCGGATTGCTGATACTATTGATAGATTTCTGGAAGCTGCCGGAGACCTCACCCAAAATCATGCTGGCGGAAGAGGCGATGGCCTGGCTCGACCAACTGCAGGAGGAGGACCTCCGTCGGCAGAGCATAGACCTGGAAAATTTCGCGGTGACGATGCGACAAAAACTCAAGAAATTGATGAGATAGCTGCTAGAATGCAATCTGGGAAGTCTCAAGACAAGACAGACACAAGGCACAGAAACCCCCTCTAAAAGTACGGCCCTCTTATTTTCTCCGTTAGTTTTTCAGCTGATATTTTGGGGGTAGTCTGTATCGCCATTGTGACGGAAACCGACTCTCAAGGCATTGATAGACCTCAAAATTTAGGTGTCTAGCTGCTGAGTGTCCGTGAAAATGCACAGCTTTTCTTCCATCGGTCAGCAAAGCGTTGACTCAGTCATGGCGTCAAGCTCCTGTCCGTGGATACGGTCCAGGATGTGAGCAATTTTGGCATTATACTCCGCATTACGGAGTAGTTACGCGGAACCTTGCCTATCCTTCTAGCCCGTTCAAGAGATTCACCCGCCCGTAGGAGTTAATAATTTGAAAGACCCATTGTTGGGGATTAACAAGATGGTATGAGCAGTTTGGTCAACTGTGACATCAGTCTTACGGCATTGAGAAAGCCTGTACATTTAGACATAAAACAGTTGAAAGCCAACTTCTTCAGGAAAATGAGCTTTTATGTTCTGAGTAACTGTTATGCCAAATGAAGTGCAAAGACCCATCCTCCCGCTCCATAAAGTTTCAAATGTAGATGGGTTATTGATCTCATCATTGATAAGTCTTGGAGGAAGCCTGTTTAGAAGCCCTGGATTTTGTATGGGTTCTTTTCAGATAAGTTCCGGGTTGTCAGGTGTGCCATGGGGATGGTTTTTTTTCCCCGCCATTTACGCCAACATTGCAAGGTTTGTGTAGTGAGCACCACTGTAGATGGTGTTATATGCATTCACAAAATACTCTTGACAGTCTGCCATATTTTTTGGGGGTAGATGAAGAGAGTTGGAGGGGATAAGGATATTCTGAACGTCTTCACTTTGCAAGGGATGGAGGCCTCCACGACCCCTTATATATACAAAAATCGATGCACTTTGGTATCAAGGAGAACCCTTAAGCACCTGGGTTGGTTGTGAATATAAGTAAAAGATTCAGCGCTTAAGAGTTCTTACATCTCAGCAAGGCGTTGATGCAAATTTAGTTAACTATCAAGTGGATCTCTCCCTTCGTAACTACGGAGTATTCCGAGTCATTTGGCTAAACACAATCATTGTGGTCGTCCATTCTTAGCTGGCGGACCCTGGGTTCTTCTTTCGATTCCGACGGGGTACTGCATTCTGTGGGAAAAGACAACAGAACCGACAGCCTACACCTAATAAGATGTTCACCTTTTTGGCTGCATGGTGAAGTCGGTTGACACATTCCACAATATACCCAGAAGATTCTGAAAAGCACATGGAAGAAAATGACAGGCAACTGGAGGAGGCCCTGGCTAAAGCAAAAGCTGAGGAATCTTAAAACAAGACACCAGGCACGGAAAAACCCTCGAAAGGTACAGTCCTCTCCCTTATTTTTTTCTTTGGTTTCTCGCTGATGTTTCAGGGTACTCTCCATAGTTTCGACTCTTCGCAAAGAAATCCGAGCCGGATAGCCCCCAAAAATAAGACATCGAACCGGTGCCAGAAAGAATGCTGAGTTTTTCCATGGCAGGTAACTATTCCTGCAAGTCTATAAGGTCTCTCGTGTGCCGGTTGACCAAAGGATGGCCACCTACCAGTTTCACTAAGCTCCATATTGCCTGTTAAACATCATGCCCACGCCTCATAGGGCTGGAGACATGGGCGCCTATGAGTGCTACGGGTGATATTTATGGGGGCGAGGGGTTCATTTAATCATATCACTCCTCCGTAGTCACATAACAAAGGCTGGGTTTTACTTCGTAGGATTGTGGCAGCAACTAGCAAGAGCAGAACAGCAAGCGAAGGGAGCGACATGGAGATACAAATAAAGCTAGGCGGGTCTGGTTGTAGAGTACATACATTAACAGATACTTAGAAAACATGCTTTACGGGGTAGGCTTTGCCGATATGTGCAACCAAGGGAGAATCATAGAACGCCAACATGAAGCCGGTTGCTGCAGAAGGATATGTATGCTCGAGTCACATCGCAAAGAAAAAAAAAAAAAAAAAAAAGGAAATAGCAACCAGATATAGGTAAAATACAAAGTCGAAGAGACTCCCGGGATTGCCGCCCCCCGAGAAGTGGCCGCGCTCCTACCCAGCCGATTATTAGACGCCAAATATGCAGGAAACGAGGGGTATAGAATCACATGGAATTCGGGGGGGGAAACGAGCATTCAATGAAACAACAGTAGAGAATAGTGTGATGCCGTACTACTGCCCTTTTACAATAGCTAAGGTGTTATATTGTCATTCAAGAATGAGGCATTATTGCTTAGTGACGGCGGGAGAACTTTCGAGAACGTCTTCCATGCCTTTTGGACCCGACTGGTTCGCCGTTTGCCTTGAAACGTTTACCCTGCCCGGTGTTGGTTTCAGCATCTGGCCTAATACCACTCTCGCGATATCGCTTGCGTTCTGGGTTCTCATACGGAGTCGAACATTGCTGGCTTGTCGCTGATTGTTGGTTTGATATTTGTTGTGGTTGGTGCTGCTGCTGCTGTTGTCCCTGCTGGCTACTAGCGGGTGTGGATAGCTGAGCAAGAACTGCAGCGAGATCAGGTCCCTGGGAAGGTTGCGCCTGAGAGAACACAGAGGGCTGCATTTGTTGCTGAAGATTCATCACGTTGAGTAGCTTTTGCCAATCAAGCCCCTGAGCCGAGGGAGCTGGCATCGATGGAGGTAGTTGGCCAGTTTGTCTCGTGGGAGGTTGATTGGGATCGCGAAACTTATCGAAAATCTTTTCAAGATCAGACATGTTGGATTGTGGTTGTGGCTGGTGTTGCTGTTGTGGCACCTGGTTGCCTTGCAAGACCTTGAGTAAAGTGGAAATATCCATTTGCGCGGCAGTTTGGGGATGCGTTAAACCTGGTGCTGCCGTGGGTGCCTGTCGTCCTGGCTGTGTTGTAACGGGTGATGTCTTCATGGTGATACCAGCCATCGCGGCGAAGTACTTTGCAGATCGGGCCTACAGAAAATAATTGGTGAGTACTAGGGCGAGAATGAATACACTAGAATATATACCTTAACTTGGTCGTTGGGCTGCCCAAAGTCGTCCTCGGGCTCGTAAGTCTCTTCTTCTTTATCTAAGCCTGGAGGCTCTTTTGGGGAGCATGGAATATCATCCGGAGAGGTGTAGAATACACTTAAGGTGCTAGCTTCTCTCTGGTCTTGTTGTTCCTTCGTCGCGCTAGCCGGTGCACTTCGGCCACCAGTTTTGAAGAAATTCCTTTCGCGGCAATCGGGTTCAAGCATGGCAAAATCGATTTCTTGGATAGGGTTAGATCTGACAGCTAGATGGCGAGTGAGGGTTGACATACCAAATGGGCAGTTGTAAGGTAACATATCATCTTCGTCATCGTCGTCTAAATCGTCTAGGCCCCGATGCATTTTAAGAGTTCTGCCTTCACCAGCCAAATCACTCACATCACGTCGGGCGCTATCATCGCGGCCAATATCTTCTTCTGGGTCGTGCGTGAATAAGCGAATTTCGACAAGGCTGTCATCTGGTTTCCAGGACACCCTCAGTTTCCGGCGTTCCTCCTTTTTTAATCTTTTCTTTCTTTCTTCCTCTGTTTCTGGGGGCCGCTCTTCGACCGGTTTCGTCGAAACGACCGGTTTAGGCTTGCTGAGGTCGGCTAAAGTTTCCGAGAAAGAGAACATTGGCCGAGGCGGTGCCCGTGGGGTTTCTTGTTCCACCCTAGATACCATCAGTATGATGCTATGGATGACAAATTTGAAAGCACAGCATACTTAGATTTTTCTTTGGCTGCCGCGGCAGCGGCAGCACGTGCCGCATTTGAAGTCCCGGGCTTTTTTGAGGCAGACATTAGGCTAGAAAATAAACTGGGGGTCGGTTTAGGGGTAACAATATTCGCCTTGGGTTTTGTGGTGGGGGCAAGAGGCACAGCTCTACTGTCATTAGCAGGACCAACACTTCGTTGCGAAACGCCGAGATTAGCTGGTAGGGACGTCTGAGAATTTTTAACGTTCGGGGGAGAAACCACGCGCTTCGGTGTTTGGGCGCTTTTCTCCTCAAGCTCTCGTGGCCTTTTCTTGCTGTTTTGTGGAAGAGCATTGCGGATTAGAACATATGGATTATCAGACGTTTCAACAGCTTCTTTTTTAATCACCAATTGAGGTGTGGTTTCCTTTGACGATGGTTTTGACGATTCAGTTTTAGTTTTCGCTGCAAGAGCTGCATTGTCGAGTACAATTTGGGCAAGTTTCTTGATGGTGTCGCCCCCTTTTTTGACAAAGCGGGTCAGAATTTTGTCGTTCTTCGTCTTTTCGAGAGTAGCTTGGTCCATGGTGGTAAATTTGCTCATTAGCTAGATAGGTTATGGGTAAGCGAAGCTTATTATTCCTTATGTGTGAGTTTTTAAATACCTTTAGTATATTTACGGTTAGAGGACCATCACTATCTGCAGCAGTGTGTCTATCTAAAAGAAATGAATAAAAAGCGGACACGGTAATAGGGTGTTCACCGAATCTAGACATTCAACAATTAGCATTAAAATCTCGCCTACCGTTGGATTGGCGGTAAAGAACATAAAGACCGCAAAAACAACAGCTGGGCATCCGAAAAAAAGAGTCGGGCATATCATCATGCGGCTTGTACTCCAGTCTTGTGGTCAAACTTCTTGACCCACGAGTATACTTCTCAGTAATTCCCCAATACCATGGAGCTTTCAGCTCATTCAAGGAAATCCCCAAAGGCATTTTCATGATATATAAACGCCTCTCTCCATTCCGTATTAAACGATGTGGGAGTAGGTAGGGAATATAGGGAAGCCACTAGCCAGCTGTAGAAAAAGGAATACTAATTGTTTCTACATACCTTTGAATATACGCAGGGTGCCCATGACTGAGGGCTATATTAATTATTATGTCCAAATATCGCCGCTGCATGATTACTTCCCGCTTGATTGCTGGTATTTTATCTTCCTGGCCCTGATTTTCTGCCGCTTTGAGGGCTTCGCTCCGAGACTTCCAAACATCCCGTACGCCCTTAACTAAATCTGAGAATAATACCATCGCATTCCTAACTGCTGGGGCAGAAGGATGCCGATTTCTTGGGAACCAAACAATTTTCATAGCATCATATTTAATGTTACCATCTGGATCCGTGGGCCTCGATGGTGGAAGCGGAGATGCCTCTGGGGGCTCATCCAACTCCGACCCAGAGCTGTCGCTACTATCTGATAGAGGCTGGCCCTGTTTTCTGGGTGTCCGAGCGGGATCATTTTTCGCCAAGGGCTTTGTTCTCACAGGAGACTCCTTCTTCAGACGTGGCTGGAGAGGTCTTTCAACTTTGGAAATCGCCGGAGCTACAAAATGAAGGTTAGAACGGTGGGCAGTCTTTCGCAGAATGGTGCAATGCTTGCCATTTTTGACCTGTTTGATTTGTGTGAGATTTTGACTTGGGGCTGGGAGAAGAGCCGGTTTTGAATATTCCGCCTTAATTTGGAAATTCCTATTCCCAACATTAGAAGTGTGCAGATAAAATTCGGGGTTACCGAAGCGTAACTGACCGAACCGCGCTGGGCCTCTCAAGGTCTGCAGGATTTACAACGAAGATGTTTCGTTGTGTCTGTTCCGGTGGTATTAGCGAGTGCCGCGATGCCGTAAGGAATTGAGGATCAATCGTATTGTGATAGTTCGCATGGGTAGGGTGAGGTGTATATTCGTTAGGATATGGACCTGGCCGTGGCTGAATAGATGTTAGTCCACATTTTGAAGAGGAAGGGCTATAAAATGAGGATCTCACTTGAATGTTTTGTTGAATGGCAGTATTTGAGTAGGTGGGTTGCTGATTTTCCGATGATCCACCAGGCCTAAGTGCCGTTCTCTGTAAATCCACTGATGCTTGCGGGGCATAGCTGGCAGGCGGCAGGGGACTATAGTAGGAGTTGTCGAACGGGTACGCCGGGTAAGCGGGGGTGTGCTGCGAGGAATCATAGGTAACAATGGGTGGTTGTTGCTGCCGAGGCTGTGGAGCGGCCTGCTGCTGTGGTTGGTGCTGAGACGATGGCTGCTGCTGGGACTGCTGTTGCTGTTGAAACGCAATCTGGTACTGATTTGGGAGGTCAAAGACTTGGTGTGGCTCGGGGAGAACGGTGTGCTGTAGTGGAGATTGGTGCCATGTTTGTTGGGGGTGAGTATACAGGTCTGAAGACTGAGCCTGGGGGGTCTGGAAGACAGGGTGGTCCCACCCAATGCCAAAGGGCTCTTCGTGCGATGGTGCGGACGGATAGAGCGAGGAAATACCGTTCCAGTACTCGTTAGAAAAGGATGCCGGGGCGGGATCGGTGGAGGGCGGGGGGTTGGGGTCTGCCGCAGCGTCCATGCTGCCTGAGGAGCGTCACCAGCGCTGCAGACCGCTTTGGGTTGGATGTAGTCACGTGAGAAATGCAGCGGGAAAACAATGGGCCGGGGGTGTAAGCTATCAGGACTAGCCAGATGCAGTCTAGCGGCTAAGCTTTAGCTCGGCAGTGCAAAAACGTTGTTCCCCCTGCCCGTCGCGCCGCTCTGACTGGCTGTGAAAGCCGGCTGGGTGTGGGCTTAGTGGTGGGCGGGCGACACCCTAGCAATTCGGACCAAGCAATCTGCCTCTCTGAACCCGACGTGCAGAACAATCACACGAATAAAACTGCAGGATGTGACGACTTAGAGTAGCAGAGAGAGACACCCTGAATTTTGGTCAGAGGCACATTAATCCCTTTGATAAGACCTGGTAAGGTCGGCGTTTCACAATGATGGTCGATTGTGGCTGGCGGCACACAGCCCAAACAAACCCGGTTTTCCCCCTTAAAAACCCGCCCAGAATGTGTGGGCCTGGCTGCTGACGTCGACCTCGCCCTGATGTTGCTGGTCGTGCTTAATGAGAGAGGCTTGAGCTTCAGATTTCAGATAGTACCTTTCCTCAGGAGCAGTAATACAAGGTTCTCTCTTAGAAAAAAAGGTCTTCTCAGGAGCTGTTGGTCAACCCGTTAATGCAGCTGCCGGAGATCATAGACCTGCGTACAATCCAAATAATGAAGCCCAGCTTCCCCGTTCTCCTTGAGTTGTTGAGGCGCCCCAACTTAACTGAGCTCAGATTATTATCCGCCAGACGTTTCTACCCACTTTCTAGGCCTGATCCAGCGTGCGCTTCTCGAGAGGGCGACGGTGTCCTACAGGGCGTGAAGGAGGTAAACGCAGGCTCAAATTGACACCATAGCCAACGTTGTTTTACACTGAGTTTGAGGCAACAGAAGAAGCAACTCGACAAAACAATAACAATGCAATAGCAGATGGAAGTGCTTTGATGGCTTGGATGGAGTTGAGAGAAAGAAAGAATGAGGAGAGAGCGAGAGAGGAATGAGGTCGAAATTTGGTTTTGCCGGTTTCAGGCGTCATTTGTCAGCCGATGACTAACACGCGTTATCGGGCCGATAAAAATCCCAGATTCACGTGTTTGGCAACAGTACGGAGTACGGAGTACTATGTCTGCATCCAAGCTGTATTGTTGGTCTCTCCATGTCACAATCCTCATGGCCGATTGAGATAAGGGTCATTCAAACTCTCTATTAGGACTAACGGTATTTTTTGATATAAACGGTTCAGCTAGAAGGCGCTCTAGAAACTCGAATGGTTTCCCGCTTCTCTCTACGGTGATGCGTCGTTGATTTCTGAACTCCTAACCACCATGGCTGCCAGCCCATTTTCCTTGCGACAGCGACAAATCGGTCAGTCTTTGAAGTTCTTGTTCATATTTAGCCTGACCCAAATATAGGCACAATTGAGAGAATCTTAAACTTGAATCATGACCCTGTCCGAACAACCGAATTTGGCAATGAACTTGCTTCCTCCAATGGCCTCATAACACACTCAGCCCCTCTCCTGAATGAAGATGGCGATCCAGTGTGGAAAGTCCTGGTGTTTGATGATTTGGGCAGAGATGTTATCAGCAGTGTACTACGGGTAAATGACCTCCGAAGCTGGGGTGTTACTATTCATCTGTTTGTCAGCCTGCATGCACGTCATAGCTCAAAGCGCACGTATTGACTCCAAGTAGTAACATCAAGTCACGCCGATATCCCATCCCTGATGTTCCTGTGCTATATCTTGTTGAGCCAACCGCTGAGAATCTACAAGCTGTCACCTCAGATCTCTCAAAGGGCCTATATGCCCCCGCATACGTCAACTTTCTTTCCTCGGTTCCCCGCCCATTCTTAGAGGATTTTGCCTCTCAGATTGCCTCAACAGGCACTTCAGAAAAGATAGCCCAAGTTTACGATCAATATTTGAATTTTATAGTGGCAGAGCCAGAGCTTTTTAGCCTAGGCATGAGTAAAGATACATACTGGAAAATCAATAGCGCACAAACGAAAGACGAAGAGCTTGACATACTAGTGGATAAAATCGTAAGCGGCCTTTTTAGTGTCAGCGTTACCATGGGTTAGTTCACCCTGTCGCATGACGAACACATTGATTACTTACTAGATCCCAGGGGCCATCCCGATCATTCGATGCCCAAAAGGTGGGGCGGCTGAGCTTATTGCTACAAAGCTTGATCGGAAACTTCGAGATCATATCTTAAATTCAAAGGACAATCTTTTCACTGCCGGGAATCAGAGGGGCCTTGGGGTACCAACGGCCAGACCGGTACTTATAATAGCTGACCGAAATGTCGATTTGGTTCCGATGCTGTCACATTCTTGGACCTATCAATCTCTTGTTCATGACGTGTTAACGATGCATCTCAACCGTATCACCTTGGAAACACCCATTGATGAATCCAGCCCCGATAAAGGAACCGTCAAACGCTCATACGATCTCGCCGCAAACGATTTTTTCTGGGTTCGCAATGCAGGAGTACCATTTCCACAAGTCGCTGAGGATATTGATACTGAGCTCACTCGATACAAAGAAGATGCAACTGATATCACCAAGAAGACGGGTGCGTCCTCCATCGAGGATCTGCAAAACGACACAGCATCCTCGGCTCAGCATCTAAAAGCGGCCATAACGTTGTTACCCGAACTCCGCGAACGCAAGGCTGTTTTGGATATGCATATGAATATAGCCACTTCCCTTCTCAAGGGCATCAAGGATCGTCAACTGGATAATTTTTTCCAGTTGGAGGAGAATATAAGTAAACAGAGCAAGCAGCAGATTCTAGAAATCCTCGCCGACCCGAATCGTGGAAATAACCCAACAGATAAGCTTCGACTCTTCCTAATATGGTTCCTCAGCATAGAGTCGGACCTCTCGAGAGCCGAACTTGGTCGATTTGAAGAGGCATTAATGCAGGCCGGATGCAAGGACATCAGCTCCCTTGCGTACGTTAAACGTGTGCGCGAAATAACTCGGATGACAATGATGACTACCTCTACTACTACCCCCCAACAACCCTCCTCTGATCTCTTTAAGGGGTTTTCGTCTCTCTCGAACCGTCTTACAGACCGTATCGCATCCGGCGCCCTTGGCGCAAATTTCGACTCTCTGATTTCTGGCGTGAAGAACTTTCTTCCTGTAAATAAGGATCTTACGCTCACCAAAATTACCGAGTCTATCATGGATCCATCATCGGCATCCAGTTCCGCCATAGCCAAAACCGAAAACTATCTCTATTTTGACCCTCGTAGTGCAAATGCGCGGGGCGCTATACCTCCTTCTGCAGCCTCGTCGCGAAATGCTGCGCAAGCTGGGGTGTCGAGCTCCCTCGGGTCTTTAGCACCAGGATCAACCGCGACTTTTGGCCAGCGTCGGCAAGGGTTTAATGAGGCAATTGTTTTTACCGTCGGAGGGGGAAGCATGGAAGAGTATGGGAACCTCCAGGACTGGGTGCGTCGGACTGGCGGTGCGGAGACGTCCGGCGGCGGGGCCGGTGGTGGCAGCGGTGGTACGAGTACCGCTACAAACGGCACTCTGCGAAGAAGGGTTGTCTATGGCAGCACAGAACTCCTGAATGCGGGTGACTTCTTAAGGGAGGCTTTGGAACCGCTAGGAAAAGAGAGCTAATTAGTCAACTACAAGTGGCCTTGCTGGCTTGCACGGCAGTAAACTGTGCATCTCTACCGACACAATATAAGTATCAGACCAACATACTCCGTAGTAATTTGCTATTCAGAGATTTGACACGCAGTACTCCATAGCCCTTCGCCCATCTGGTAACAAAAAGAGGAAACTCCATAGCCCATTCTTTGGCCTAGATCCCAACACCAGACATGCACATTCATTAATCGTCTGGACTAACTATGCATGTACTCTGAAGATTGCTCTTCGATCTACCTTCATAACCCCAAAAGCTCTAGAAAAAATAGGTCACGGCCCCTCCCGCAGACCCGATGACCAAGTAAACGACAACCGTAGCTTTGCCTCTAAACAACTTCATGGACCAAAACCGTCGGTGTGATTTGGTAGCGTAGAAATGCCGCGCGTTAAAACAAAAGATAGGGTCCGTTGCGCTATAAAGGGAATGGATGTTAGGTCGGTCTTATAAGAAGTCTAGATTCTTTATAGCTACAAAAACGTAAACGTACCTTCATCTTCCACCGGTCACTCCAATCCCACCTTTTCCACCAGAACCACCGTGGCCGCCGCCATGGCGTTTATCGTCCGTCTTTGTTCCCAACCCCGGAGCTGCATTTGGATCGAAGCGTGCATTAAGGGTAGATAGCCGACCCTCTGCGCCTGATTGTGATGAAGGTTCCGCTGGCCCCGGGCGACAACGAGGGCAGGGGTAGAGATTAAATCCATATCCCTGACAAGCTGTACAGGCGTTACCTCTCACCCTAAATCTCTTAGTCGATGTTTGAACATGGGGGCGCAGGGAAGAGTCTACCTCGGTGGATTACCAGCGCAGACCCGACATGTCATAACCGCCTTACCATTTGCACAAGAATGGGGAGTGGAATTAGTCGTTTGGGGCATTTTTGCAGTCGATACTAGAGATAGGGGGGGGATATAGTTTATAGTTGCCGAAAATACAACAAATGGTTATTTGTTAAGTGTATATATATGTATATTATATACACGAAACAGGGGGGCAGGAGGCAATATATAAACTCCTAGAAATAGAGCACATAGCTTTTGAATAGTTTCGTATTGACCAAGAGTGATCGTCAGCATGCACCTTTACTCCGAAGAGGGGGAAAATGCCAATTTCCTTTTGATTTTTATGGCTCGGGCCAAAGAATTCCAGGTTATTCCCGAGCTAAGGATGTTAAAAGCGACATTAAATGGAAGCACCGTAATGGTATAAAGCCACAAGCCTGGAAAATGAAAAAAGCTTTTCGGATCTCTTCTAAGGTAAAGACGAAACAATGCCACGTTTTCAGCTTATGCAATAGGCTATTTGAGGCCCACAGAAAGAGGGCGGTCAGCAGATAATCTGAATGCTCAAGACAAGACGGCTGAAATGGAACAAGGGTAGCAATGATTTGTTCAAAAGGCAGGATATCTCAGGATCAACTATGTTTCTCGTTTGCAATGGTAACACGAGGAAGCCATCGGTGCCCTCTTGAAGCGATAGAATAGATTGGCACGTGGCCATATGCAATGACGAGCGATGATGAATTAATTTTCCTTTATTTAATCGGACAGAGATATAACAAAACGTGAAATGGACGGGCCACCAAAAAGCATGGCAAAGCGGAGACAGCCGAGAGCCTGTACTATTCGTAAAAAATGAAAGCTATCAGAGCTATCCGTGCTCTGATAAACGCAAGCCATTTGACTCCCGATCCCAGATGTGCGGAACATAGAGTGGATAAAGTGTCATTAGTCAGTGATACGAGGATAATCAGTTCTCACCGCCAGATTCATGTATGTATATCATGCAAAAGGTCGGTTCCTTGTGCAACCCGAAATTGAAGACAATATGGTGCCGTGGTAAGGTTCGTCTTGTAGTTGTATTATGATAAAGGCGGTCATGGGCAGGATGACTTTCGGTTTACGGCACAGGCAATTGCCACCAAAGCAAAGAAATATGGCAGAGTCGCAAATTGTGGCAGATTTTCGGTGGCAATCGACATAACGGGATAATCGATGGGAGTGCGTCGGCCTGCAGGGCTCCCAATTAAGTTCAAGCAGCATTTGCGGGAGTCGGAGTGCACGGGAAGCCCTGAAATACACCCAATAAGTGGTCTGCAGTCAGTGGCGATAGTCTTACCTTCAATAAGGCCGAAATTATGTTTAATCGATATAATAACCAGTCGTAGCCGCCAGAAAATGGGGTCCTCATGTGACAGAATCAAAACAGAACACGAGAGCGACTTTTGTAGGCATTATTGGCTGAATTTATTTTGAGTCGGAAACGCCTGGAAACTAAGTTGTAGTCAATACCCAGTCAAGGTGGTCTTTGGACATCGGGTTGGCTATCCGGCACTGTGATTAAGTTGAACTATGTGCCGCAACCTAGCCGTGAACGTGGCAGATGTAAACAACTCAGGTTCAAACGCCTCTCACAACAGGATGCGACTGCAAACTTCATGCCTAGACGGCTTTGGGGGGGGGTGAGCAGTGGTTAGGGTAAATGGAATTATTCTGGGCGGACAGAGCAAATCACCTAGAGAGATTGCCCTCAAGCAGCGTGCATATACGGCCGGAGTGCTAATTGGCGAGCACGAGGTGTTGATTGACATGAATAACCGTGGAGGCCCAATTGCCGGTAGCTCAACGGAACCAGGTACCGAAGACCGACGGGTGGGCGTCAAAGGCCGCGTCCAAACCGGCCCCGGTGTGTTTCCAAGCATATCTCAAGGGACTCCAGTCATTGGGGACCACGTTCTCGTCACAGGACGCCTGCACAAAGGGCGACGTGCCGGATGCAAGGTGACGGCGGCGCAATCCCAGCAGTTGGGCGTGGCTGCAGACGCCCAGCGACAAGGGGCCCGCATCCCGACCATCACCATGCTGGGGAACAGATTGAAGCTGATCGGGGGCCACCAGACCGCAGGACCATCTGAGATGCCCACGATATGCGGGGAGATTGGCCAGGAGGCGGCAGGGCGGAGAATGGTAAGATGGCATCGAAGAGGCGACGAGGACGTCAGATGCGCTGCTATTGGAAATGCCGCGATTACCCGTGTCGTCAGGTGACCCACGACGCAATACGCGATCGTTACACGGTTCGTTACAGAGACTAGGGAGGTCCGGGGCGTCGGCGGCCGTACGGGCCCTCTGGGGCTTGCGGGCGCTGGAAGACGCCTAGCCCCGCCCCTAGCGCAGCCCCGAGACGCTATCTCGCCCCCAAACCAGAGGCGTCACGAACACCTCCCACCCTCACGCAGATCTCCGCATTTGACCTGCAGCGCCCTGTACTCCGTACGCGGTGCCGTACACACGCCGCCGGTGCTGCGAATGCGACTGCATTGGTCTGTGTACGGCACTTTCCGGCTTGTTAATTTGGTGTCCCATTCAATATTTCACTTTCTCTTTGGAAATGAGGGCTTGGTGCGTTGACCCTCTGGTGGTATATTCTCGTCGACTGTTCTAATAGGCCGTCCGCTTTGACTTGGAGTGGTAGTTTGAGGAGGAGCCGGCTGAAAAAACCAATCAAAATTGACAAGGAAATTTTCGCAGATTAATGTCACTCCTGGAAGGCCACAGATTCGATGATAGGACAAGCGGCTAGCCTCAAAGATAAAAACTGTTGACTGTGTTTGCTTGATGCTTTCAAGCCTCAATGATGCACCTTTGACTTTTGGCATACTGGCTAACCAGACACCTAAGTCCTCCAGTTCGGCCTTAGTAAAGATCTTGCCCACATGAATGCTGAATGTGGCAAGCATTCCAGACTCACTTGGGTTTGGATTATTTATGATGCCAGCTCTATTTGGCAGCAGAGGCAAAACAACAGAACCCACACCAAGTCTTGTTGCATGGCCAGACTTCTTCAATGAAGATTGGTTTTGAAGGGTGTCAATCACATCTGCCATCTCCACAGATGTGGCTTCTGCTTGTGCCGCAGAGTGAATTTCAATGAACATCTTGGATGTGAAAGAATTTCTGGGACCTGCACCAAACACAGCAGGGTCATTATTGTTACTAGCAGCCAAAACCTCAACAATACGGGGCTCCTCTGTCACAGTGCGTGTCGTCAAGAAGCTATAACAGCAGTCAAAAATAAAGACGACATCAATCCCAGTCACATCAGGATCTCCTGTGTTGATAATGCTCCCCATGATTTGTTCAGCAGCAATCTTTTGACCAGACCTACTGGAGAGCACAAGTTCATCCAGATTATTTGGGCCCCCATGCCCAGAATAATGCACTAGCAGGATTGACTGACCTGATGCAGTTGCCCCAGCCTTAAATAAGTCAATTATTTTTGCCATCACCTCAAGTCCAGGCGTTGCCATATCTTTAGGGATTACAAAGACATCTGGGTTGGGAAAACCCATTAAGTGAGTCATATCGCAAAAACTTTTCTTGTCTTGGTCCGCACCCGTATTATCATCCTCCCAACGAAAATGGAATGCATAGAAATTTGCATATTGGGTTTTTCGGCGGTCTATTGCCGCCCGCAAAGTGGCTCTAAACTCTGCCACTGAAATTGCCGCCATGCTCAATGATGTTTGATGCTTTGATTTGATAATAGGGACTGATGTTGTCAAAGAAATAATAATAGAGGCTGAGGTTGTCAACAAAATCAAAACAATTTTGTGGGTTGGAAAGAATAAAAAGAAGAAGAAGAAGAAGAGGGCAAAAGGACTATGTTTATATTACCTTATCTATGACTCACAGCTGTACTCTTTGCAGGCGATCGCCCAGCTCAGGAGTTGCCTGTTTTCGCCGGGATGGGACAGAGTTAAGGCTGTACCAAACAATTTGAACAAAGCATATTTAGGGGAGCACTTATGGCCTAAAAGGTCTCAACAAGGCATTTTGCTGACTGGTAGCAAACACTTTCTTTCTCACAGGCCAAGATCGGCTAATGGCAGATGGGAGATAAGATTTGTAAAGAGTAGCTAGGCCTGCAAAATGAAAGGCAAATGCATAGAATTAACAGTTACTGTATCATACTAAAATCTTATCGACATGTAAGACTAAGAGGCTCCTATTTCCATTGCCACCCATAGAGATTACGCCGAGAAATGAAAAAATGATAGTAAAACAGGGAGGGACATCACGCATCTCAATAAGTAACATATGAGATAATTTTGTGCAGTACTTGCTTTGGCTTGAGCTTCACCTCAGTTGAAAAAGTCCGGGGGGAGGGATGCAAGACCTATGATTACTCCTACACCACCAACGATCGCTCCAGCAGCGGCAGTTATCGCATAACGAGCCAAATTCTGTACTCCGGATTCTGGCCGATGCCCTATTTCGCTGATTCTTGCACGTTTCCTAGTATGCCTGGATGAGGGGATTGAGGGGATGTCCGATTCATTGGTAGCCTCGAGCTGTGTTTCGAGGTGTAGAGAACTTGGTAGGTTGTCTTTCGGCTGTGCATTAGGCATCTCTTCACTGCTCAAGTATGAATCTACACCCTGCAGAGCTTCACTTTCCATTTCACCAAGTTTTCGCTTCGATGGATTATTTATCGGATCAAGAATAGGCCTAAACCCACTTTCCAAACTGTGCATTGCCTGGGAGTCGGGTTGTACTGCAACGCTGCACGGATTCGGACAAAGAGGCAATTTAGCTGCTTCCATATGTATGGGGTCTCCCGCTCGCTGATCGTAGGGCGAATGTGTGGGCTCAGAAAAAGGCCCATCTTTGTACCGATTGGAAGGTTCCTCATTCAGTAAGAATGGTAAGTAGCCAGGGAGTCCTGGACCCTTTGTTGATCCTCTAAAAGCAGCTCTAGTAGACTCAGATAAACGTGCTGGATATGAGGCAATATGGAGATATGAAGTAGTGTTGGACGTAGGTTTAGGAGTATCTTGTCGTTCGGGAGTATGATAAACCAACTTCTCACAGGAATCCAAAGTTTCCGCAATTGGTGGCGCTAGTGTACTATGGTTGGAGATGGGAGCTTGCTGATCATTACACTTCATTGATTCCGGGGTAGTCGGCGCAACGTCTTCTGCCTTGGCGAGAAAAGCAGAGAATGGAGAGATGTTGGAAATACTGCCGTCGGTCGTAAAATTTGACTCCGAGAATGCAGGCGTTATGCCGCCCTCTGAGTCTTCACAGGTAGAAAAAGTAGACTCTGTACCTGGGCCATATAATTCATCCGAAATAAAATCACTGGCTTCTTCAATTTCAACAATAGTCTCGGTGGCATCCCCCCTATCATCGCTTTTTCCGGCTGCAACTTCCAATTTTGGGTTCCGAAAGACGTCTGGAGTGTTATCTTTTAGAACCGAACATATATCTGAGTTTGCAGAATCATAGGTGTGTTCCAGGAAAAGGGGGCGTTCTGCGGGTATAGTAGTGGGTTCATCAACAAGGGAAACGTCGGATCTGGCAGAAATGACCCTTGGTAATTCTACTTGTTCTAGTTCAAGACCCCCCACGTTTTCTGGAGTTGGGATACCATCCTCATCCGGGTCGTAGTCACTATCAGGTGCAACAAATGTGTTGGAAGACTGGATTCGTCGAGTAGGGCGCACACCTTCAATCGTATTAATCCTGCCCCAGTTTATTGGTCAGCCAGCGCAAATTTTAGGGTAAATAGACAATGAAAACGAACATTGCATCATCAATTTTCTTCCAAGAAAGGCTGACGTGAACTTTAAGGGGCGCATATATATCTAGGAGTAGAGTCAGCAAGCAATATACACGAGAGTTTATCAGAAAATTCACGGCAGTTAGTATACCGTTGCCTCGGGTGACATCAGCCCCGAATGTTATGTGATCTCCATCCATAAGTAAGGCTCTTCTCTCACAGGAGAGTTTGACGCCGTTCAGCCATGTCCCATGCATCGAGTTTGTATCCATTATGTAGACATCCTAGAAAGGTGATACAAGGCAAGTAATCAGTGAGTTGGTTCCCTTCAACGGTAGCTAGAGAGAGATAGGAGATGCTACTACCTTATTTTGGATAGCGATGGCAAATTCGGCATGGTTGCGGGACAGGACTGGATTGTCAAACCACAGGTTGTCGGGAGCTGCAATGAGGTTTTTGCTTTCAACCCTAGACGAGCGGCCGAGAATAACCCGATAAGTATGCGCATCCAAGGTGATCGATCGATCGATCGGGGGCCTGCCATCCTCCGCCAAGGCCCAGATGGTCAAAGTCACTAGATTCGATAATAGCCAGCTATCAGCACAACCGATAGATAGATATCAAGAAAGGGGCGGGTGAACGAACATTGGTGGTTCTCCATAGCCTGCAAGGAGAATCAGTCATGAGAGAGGTTAGCAGCATGAGAGCCACTGATGACAGCGAGAGACTCACCGACGAATGTAGGGCTATACGCAAGAGTCGGCACCAGTGTTCAGGTAAAAAGTAGAGAGAAGGGGGGTCGAAATGATGAGCCAGTAGAGGTCCAGTTGGGCTCGAGGACTGAGGTCAGCAAGGAGGGCACCACGTGTCCAGCCTGGTTTCAAGGGGCACAGTCACTCATGCACGTATCAAGAGCAGAAAGTAAGCTCAGGAAGACTAGGTGTGGCCTAGAGAGAAGTGAAGTGCAGAGGGAGATGGCGTTGACCTGATGTTGAGATGGAGTGGGCAGCGGGGCAAGATCAGGTAGTTAGTTAGTTAGTTACACCTTGCTGTTAGCCTGTTCGAGCAACGCTGCCTAATCACGGAACACAACTCTCCCAAAGGTTTCTACGGCCTGCCGGGAAAATTCCACTAGCGGCTTCTTTGCCCCCCATGGTATTCTTGTAGGCCGACTTTTTGGCGCCGGGTTAGTTACATATGTTGGCCGGCGCTGGCCCAACCAGGTGCCACTGGCTGCAACCGCGGGAGCGTGAGCCTGGGCCCGACGGTAGTTAGTTGTTAGTTGCAAGTAGGCTACGTTTCGCGTAGTTAACCGCTCTCTCGACCAGCGTTGGCCGGCTCGCGGCCTTGCACAGTACTGTTTCTGCGTCATCAGCCGCGCTCATAGTCAGTTAGAATGACATCAGCCGGCCAGTTTTAGTCTGGGCCCTGCATCCCCGCACTCTAACCAAATTCGGAAATGTGCCGGTTAGGGAGGCCCAGTCTGCTGACTAGGTAGGCAGCTACCGGAACCTCCTTACGTGGGCGGCTGCGTCTTCACTGCCCTTTGGAGGCCACCATGCCAAACAATATTGATTCAGCACTCAGCTCCCTCGCCATGGAATTTCCCGTACCTAGCTAGCTATGTGGCTATCTATCAGACGACTAAGCAACTCGACTAAAAAGGTGACCACCTTAAAGATCACTCAGCATTAGTCATTGTCTGTCTGTTCTAACACTATCTGAACAGTGCACAGCGCATAAGGTGTAGATAAATACAGTTAAATACCTTCAGGGCGCCTACGCACAATACGGCATCGTTGTCAAATCCACCATGCCCATATTACTTGGAGTGTGTACTATCATCACAGTGCAGTGACAAGCAAATATAGCGATGAAAACTTGAATCTTCACTCTATCCAGCGATCCATGATGTATCCTGTGGTGATTGCATAGACCGCCTTATGCAGCAACTCGAATGCTTGCTCATTGACTGGCCAGTGCCTACCAGCCATCCATTAGCCCTCCGCCAAATCGAAGAAAGGGAACCGACACTCACCAAGGCCACGCGCCAACGCCACTCCATACCTCCAATACCTGATCAACCATCAGCCTGACGCCCATGAACATGAACTCCGCAATCGGCCCCCGCATTCCATTGAAGCTCATTATCGCACGCACTACGCCGGCCACTGCACCTTGCGCAGTGTTCATAACGAAGGTGAGCGATCGTATTTCGCTATCTGGCCGTGGAGTAAGCTTTAAGAGAGTCTCCAGCGCACGGCCAGGTACGAGAGATGCTGGACGGCTAGTGAAATAGCTTTCAACCTTTTCACCGACGGTCACGCTGCGATGGTAGAAGTCAGCCTCGTCACCGCTGCTGGGCGGATAAGAGACAGTCCTGGGGCAAACTATACGTACGCAGCGACGCCCAACAGGCCTGCTCCAATACCGTACATACACAACCCCATGCAAGTGACATTGGGCTTCGGGCCGCGCGGGTTGGTGGATCGACGAGAGACGGACATGTTTGCGGCAAATGTTGAATCAGGCTGGATATTGGGGGTATTCTTGCGTTACAACGGAATGGCCGTCAAAATAGGACGGAAAATCGCGTACTTCGCCATTGCTAGTTGAGTCAATGGGTATTGCATTTGTAGACGCCGGCGTAGTCTTACTTATCGTGGCGACGGCCATATTCATGACGTCATCTCATAATCATAATAAAAGAACATCTGGACCAGCGAAAACCTGGTTCTCGCAGATGGGGTTGGTTCTGGTCCAGAGTTCCACGGAAGGCAGAGGCAATGACAGTTATAGTCTATCCAAGCATCTGAAATGCAGCGCTAAATAGCACCGGCGCAAGCTGCTTACTGATAGATCTACGATAGTAATTATAAGGGGATAATGTAAAAGATAAATAGAATGAAAATAAAGCTGTTTTATGTGCTCGATACTCTAAAAACGCCACTAACGCCTGGGCCATCGAAGTTTTATGCACGGGGCGGATTATTGATCTGCCGACGTTACCGGGCGGTCGGAAAAAGGTAGTTCCCTGGGCGCGGCTGATCGACAAAAGCTTGTCCCAACTGCTAGTACGGAGTAAACAAGTTAACTACCTTCCCTGATATGAAAATGGAAGAAAGAAACCGGCGATATTCCCTTACGCCCGCCCTGGCGCTCCCGGTGCGGTCGTACTGTCGGTTTCACGGACTGGGCCGTTGGTTTCGCCTACTGCTCGACTCCATTTTATTCTCTCGCGCAGCATTTGCACCAGGATGTGCAGTGGGAATAGGACAGCTTCCCACTCTCCAGGACATACCGGGGCCTTAAGCAGCAGCCACACTGTCTGGAGCAGCACCCGTGGAGCATTTTGCAATCCTCCACCCTTGACCGCTCCGAGACAAACTTGACGGGGTCTCGTTCGAGAAGTCTGGCTTCTCGGCGGGCAGACACTTCGTAATCTCGCGTCCTGGGTCCCTCTAGCCTGTCGGACCGCTCGTGGTATTGCTTTCGCGCCAGCTCCCTGATCTGTTTCTTTCCGTCTGATAGCCATGTCTGCCATGTTTGTAAGGTAGCCGCTTTAGTTTCAACAAGACGTTCTGTTTCTCCTGCCTGTACCATTTCCGATTTAGCGCAGCTCATTTTCTGTATCCATTTGTCGCGCTCAAGCGCTTGGGATTCCATAAATTTTACCCATTCAGCCTGGGCTCTGAGACTTTCCTTCAATTCAAAGAGTTCTTTCACCTTTCGAATTTTGTGTGCAATCCAGTTGAGACGCAATCCATCGAATATCGACTCACAACACCCAATCCCTCCTAAAACCAAAATCGCAATAAACAGGCTGCGTGCAGTGCCGCATACTGTCTCCAGCCAGGGTTTGCCAAGAATAATACCAATCACCATTATCCCTGCGGAAACAGCAACAATATCGAGGATAGCAAATACCAGTATGGCAAAAATCACCTCAGTCTGACGACCGAATGAAGTATCCAGCCTAGTCATTTTGGAGGTCTGTACAGAGTAGGTATCAACGATTGGGACCGACACGAAAGGATGAAAAAACCATGAGCAATGTGACCAGTGGAAGCGAGGCAAAAGGGTTCTTATGTAGAAATTTCCTACCTGTTAGAATGATGGCATCATTGCGAAGTCAAATTCCCGTTTGATCGTCATCGATGAAGCTTTGGGCAGACTGAGGTTAGGCAACCTTCCGCCAAACCCCAAAATGTTGGATCGGAAACGGACGTCAACGGATCTTGAGTGTTTTTTTTCGTTCCGCCCTATTTCAGAAGTATCAAAGGAGAGAGGAGAATAAAATTTCATGTATTCAACGGACAGGGAGATAGTAGATGAGACACGAACCAAATCAAAACACATCTTGGACATACATACAAACGAGATAAGCGAGCCATAACTGGTAGAAACTATCAAGAATCTGCGCCAAAGAAAACCACATACGTCATGGAACAGTCCATGATGCTGCTAAAGAGCGCCATTATCAGAGAAGAAAACGATCATTGTATGCCCAGCGTTACTTTAGAGTACACTGTATAGCACTCCTCCTCCGTTCTAAATTGTGCCCCTTATAACCCCATTGGTCTTGATAGCGGTTGAAATTTTAGAAAACCCCGCCAAGACCAGGTGCCCCTCCCATCTGTGCCAACCGTGCCGCGAGCTTGGGGTACCGGTCTTGCACGTCGAGCTGGGCACGAGTCGCTTCGGCATACGAGATGGCGTTGATGACTTCTGCTTCTGTGCGCGCGAGTTCAGCCGCTCGCTCAAAATACTTGAGTGCCTGCGAGACCTTTCCCTGTTGCAAGAGCAGTTGGGCGAGAGTGGCCACCGCAATATCGCACTCGGGATCGACTATCTTGAGTATTAGCAAAAAATTTGATGTGAACTTTGGTTTCACACAAAATTGGGGCGGAGTACGTACTGATGAGAGCTTTCTGGCAAAGGTTCTCAGCCTCTTGGAAGTCATGTTTCCATTGGAACAGCGCAAGAGCTTTATTAATCAAAGGCAGCACATTGATTCCCCACGGTTTGTTGCTCTTCTCGAGCTCAACAGCTCTGTCGAATTTTTCAATAGCCTCAGAAAACTTCTGTTGGTCAAGAAGTAGCTCCCCGTAGTAGTTGTATACATCAGCAACATTTTCGAAATTTTTCAGCGTTCGTCGGAGCGTAGCCATTGCAGACGCAACGGAGCCCATTTTGTACTGTGCCACACCGAGTTGAATATGGGAATAGATGAAGTCTCGATCCAGATCTATCGATTTCTGATAGTCCTTAGCAGCTTCAGCTAGTTCTCCAAGGATAAAATGCAGCTGGGCCCGGTGATAGTAGATGTCAGGATCGTCCTTGTTCTGCGCAAGGGCAAGGTCGAAGTCATCCGCTGCAGCTTCCTGGTTGCCCATTTCGAGATGTAAACTGGCTCGTTTGATATAGCTTTGTACAAAAAGAGGATCTAGCTCAATGCTTTTATTCAAGTCTTTCAGAGCTGCGTTTGCATCACCGGCGAGGTAAGTAAAGGTGGCACGCATGTTTAACGCAAGCGGCTCGAGGCTGGCCAGCTCGCCTAACTCCAAGGCCTTCTCAAAAGCGCGGGCAGCCTCTTCATAGCCATCACTGGTATGCTTGGCGATGCCCTGGAAACCCTTTCGGAGTTGGCCCATGCCGCTCTCCTCATCCAGCTCTGTGTCTTCGCTCAAGCCTTCTGGATTTGATTTCGGTCGGAAGCTCTGAAGATAATTAGAAACAAAGGTGGCACTCGGAAGTTTTTTGCCCTTCTTTTCCATAATGAAACTGGCTTTCTGAGCAGCCAGCTTTTTGAGCAATCGTTCCACTGCCTGCTTGCTGGTCTCGTTGGCGAAACCATCTATAATACAGCTAGCAGTGTAATCCAAAAGCGCATCGCTATATTTTTCGAGCTTTTCGTAGGCGTTTGCTCTTCGGTTCATGGCTTTGACATACTCATCATCCATTGCAATTGCTGCCGTGGTGTCTTCCACCACTTTGTCCCATTCGCTAAGGGCATTGTAGCAAGCGGCACGGTTGGAGTAAAATACGGGGTCTGGTTTGCATAATATTGCCTTGCCGTATAATTCAATTGCCTTGTTGTAGTCCTTCGAGCCAAAAGCTTTGTTACCGGCGGCCTTCAATCTGCTCGCGTAAAGAGCCCGAGTCTGGAAACCATTAATCAGCCCATAGTGCAGCGATAGTTTTCACTATATAATTACCTCTGCGTCTAATGCTTCAACGGACGTCTCGTCCACTTCCGGGAGCTCTTCCGGCTCTTCTGACTGTTTTGATTCTGCATCCGGTTAATTTCACGACGAATCAAGGGGTTCACAGTACGGCAACATACGTGGTTCCAGGGCCTTTGCGGCTTCTGCCTTTTTCTCCTCTTCGGCCTTTTTCTTCTCTCGTCGACGTTCCTTCTTGCTCTTTCTCTTTTCGCCGTGTCCCGCAGCTGATACTCGCCCTGTGTCGGATAAATAATATACAACACCTGCACTGGTTACGACAACGGCTACTCCAGCAATTGTATAGACAACAGCTTTATGCTCCGATGCCCATTTTGAGACGCGGTCCCAGAGTGACGACGAGGAAGGCGAAGGAATGGGTGCAGCGACAACGGCGGCTTGGGCCGCGGGAATAGGAACAACAACAGGTTGCGAAGGGACACTAGATGACATTATAGCGATATAATAAAACTTTTATACAGAAAACCGAACGGTGATGGCCCAATTGGCGGGAAAGGGTGATTCTCGCAAGGTGATGGAGATGTTGATGCGAGTCGGACGTAATCAAACAGGGAACAGGAATCCAAGATTACAAGACATGTACGGAGTACTTATTGAAACAACAGCCACGAAAATACAATGAAGGTCTGAAGAGAGTCGAGAAAAACTGCGCTGGCACTTGTCTGCAGAACTTGGACTTTGCTTGTATTGTACATAACTAACTGGAAGCTTGTAGCTGTTATGGAAGAAAATTCAAAGGCGGGATTATGTAAGCTTGTGCATGGTTCAGCGCGCAGAACAATCCAGCTGCCGCATCTTATAATACTTTGAGAGCAGAAAGACCTACGGCTCAATTACTGGAGCTATTTTTACTTTTTTTCTAATAGGATAGTCGACTATGAGGAATGCGGTAGTATACCCCAACCAATCCTTGAGGCCACACCATTTTTGACTCATGGTCTCAATGGCGGGCAACAGCGCTTCTCCTAACTTCCAGATCATCACCACCCTTCGCTACGACCCTGTTCTTACAGTACAGGGTTCGGGCTACTATCTTCTGCCTTACCACTATGACCGCCTGCTATCCGCGGCAACTGACTTCCAGTGGACCCGAGCTATAACCGCTCTTCAAGAACGAGGCCGGGAAGGCTTGCTAGATATACTTAATGGAGAAATCCTATCCCAATTACAACCATGGCGCATCCGGGTGCTGGTAAACCAGCAAGGGAACATAACATCCGAGTTTGCGCCACTTGAAGCTCGGGCGTCAGATATTCTTCTGCCCACTCTGAGTAACGACTCACATCCATTCAACCAAGGCCATCCACCTCCAGCATGGGTGCTACGGCTTGATTCCAAATTCACGCCACCAACGCGATTCACAAGACACAAGACCACCAAGCGTGAAGCATACAATGCCTCGCGGGAAAGGGCAGGAATAAATTTCCCACAGCAAACGGTCGAAGTGCTGATCTATAGCCCCACGGGCGAAGTGATGGAGGGCAGCATCACGACGCCGTATTTTAAGCGCAGCCGAAGACAGACAGGCCCCAGAGAAGTCGAATCCGGGCTGGAAGATGTATGGGTAACGCCACCGCTGAGCAGCGGTGGCAACGACGGAACGACGAGACGATACGCCCTGGCACAAGGCCTGTGCGTTGAAGAGGTTGTTGGAATCGACGACTTGGTGAACGGCGAGGACGTCTGGCTGAGCAACAGCGTGCGAGGATTCGTCAGGGCAGTCTTGCAACTGGCGTGATGCCGTCGCCTGATTGGCAGGCTGGGCGGCGTGGCTCCTTTCCTGAACGGGCAATGTTTATATAATCATTCGCATTAGTCATTTTGAAGCTTATTACTCATCCTGGAAATCCCCGCTTTTATTGCCAAAAGAGGGCTAGCGTAGCAGTAAAGTCCCGGCGCTGATTGGCCAGTGCGCAGGCCGGAGACAGTTGAAGAAAAAGCATTCGAAAACCTCAAAGAACGGAAGACGGACGAGCGACAGCACGCCGTCTCCCACCACCTCTCAATTGCACCGCCCACCCTTCACGCTACCTCTCTATTACACGACCAGCTGCTTTGTGGGAGAATGCTGATGTCCTGACACCATGAAGTTCTTCGAGAACACCTTCAACTACGACTACAGCTTCCCCGCCGTTTCCCTTGCCTTCTTTCTTCGCTATCCCAACCCCTATTCTCGCCATGTGCTCACCTCCGATGTCATTGAGCGTTATGTTGATCCCAACACCCAGCGCCTGCATACTACTCGTCTGCATCTCAAGCGGTCGAAAATCCCTTCCGCAATGCTGAAATTGCTGCCGAAAGGCATCGGCGGCGCCGACAACTCGGGCCAGAGCATTATCCTCGAGTCCAGCGTCGTGGATGTCAAGGAAGGTTGGATGGAAACCGAGTCGCGCAATATGGAGTGGACTGGAATCCTAAGTGTGGTGGAGAAGCAATTGTATCGACGCTGCCTTCGGTCCGACGATTTGAGCTCAACTTCACTTCCTTTTTCCTCAGCACTTAGTGTCGACGACAAACGGGAAGAATGGACGACTGTCAAGACGACTGTGACGTTTAAATCTCGCCTTGGCCAATCAATGCTTGCTCGATCGAATAGGTCCGATGCAGCAATCGATTCCGATGACGAGCCAAAAAGAAGCTTTCTGGCTGCTTGGTCTACAGCAGGCCTTCAGCGGACAATCGAGTTGATTGGAGTTAAACGAACGAGGGATGCTGTTTTGAAGAGTAAACAGGGAATGAATATGGTTTTGGAGCGATTACGGCACGGCGGGATCATTGCCGTGCTTGATGGGATGCGACATGACCATGAAAAAGCTACTCTCGGCCCTCAGAATGATACCCCTTGGCAACGTGTCTGGCTTCGTGGCGTTGCTAAAGAACAACACTCCCACCGGCATACCGACTTAGAAGACGATAGCTGATCTGTCGGCCCGCATTCCGGTGTTTAATGTTTTTGCCATGTAGCGAGGCGTTTTGGGTCATTTGAGGTTTCGGTAATACACACTCTCCCATTTTATCGGTCAATAACTACAGCAGCTTTTTTCTCCTTTCATTATATCTTATGTTTCATTTTATTTCTTACACGTGTCTTCACTTCCCTCTTATATGATGGCGCAAGCAAAAAGAATATTGCTGCAACTGTAGATACTTGACCGATTTCATACTTTGCGACATACTGTACGATTTCACTAACTTATGTATGTAACTACATATCTATATGTGTACATAACTACTACTATACATACAAAGACTCAAAATTTTTTAGCCCAACCCGAATTTTTATATCTACTGTAAGCTATCGCATTATCTAAAAGAAATATCTTTCACTCATCATGTTTCTGTATCCATTTAATTTCTGGTGATTAATTCCTCCGTCTGTATTTTGTTGAACTTACTGGACATCTATTGGTGGATAGCTCACGACTCTACACTCTGTACTGTGTATATTGAACGTGCCAAGGCAAGAGATCGTCTCACTGGTTGGTTAGACTAGTTAGTAGTGACCTCTTCTCCCTGGGTATCTTACCACTTCACAAGCCTCGAAAAGTCGAGAAGGATTCTCCACACACCTTTGTTACAGACGCCAACCTTTGCGGCCTGGGTTTCCAACCAGCGACACCGTACTACCAACCACTATTCGAACAGCACTGACACCCACACGGTGAAACCCCGCTACAGCGTCTTCGGTTGGCCATGGCCGCCGCCTTTGACGACGAAGACCTCTCAGTATCCCTACCCACATTCGAAAGAGCTGGTCAAGATGTCCGGGTTTCTCATAGCCATCCACCCATACCGCCACTTTCTAGGCCTTACGTCGTTCCCTCAGAACAATCCCCCGCGACAGCCCGTGACATGCAGCGGCTCGAGCAGTACAAGACAAAGAAACTACTGGGCGAAGGTTCATTTGGAAAGGTGAAATTGGCTATACATCAGGCCAGTGGGCGTGAGGTTGCGCTGAAGATAATCTCACGACGGAAATTGTTATCGAGAGATATGGTTGGCCGGGTTGAGCGCGAAATCCAATACTTGCAACTTTTAAGGCACCCGCACATCATTAAGTTGTACGCAATGCTACTACCCAGGGACAATTTAATTCAGTAATAAATACTGACCAGTCATAATCTTATTCATTACAGATACACCGTTATCGCGACAAAAACAGACATCGTCATGGTTTTGGAATATGCGGAGCGGGAACTATTTGACTATCTCGTTAGCCGCGGCAAATGTAACGACGACGAAGCCCGTATATTCTTCCAACAAATAATCTGTGCCGTGGAATATTGCCATCGTCATAAGATCGTACATCGAGATTTGAAACCCGAGAATCTCTTGATTGATAGTGATAAAAATGTTAAGATCGCTGATTTCGGCTTGAGCAATATCATGACAGATGGCAATTTCCTACGGACTAGCTGTGGCAGTCCAAACTATGCTGCACCAGAAGTTATTTCTGGAAAACTATACGCGGGACCAGAAGTCGATGTATGGAGCTGTGGTGTCATTTTATATGTGCTCTTGGTGGGTAAATTGCCTTTCGATGATGACTATATACCCAGTCTCTTTAGAAAAATCTCTGCCGGTAACTTTTACATGCCATCCTATATATCCACTGGCGCAGCCAACTTAATTCGGCGGATGTTACAAGTTCATCCCGTCCATCGAATAACTATCTCTGAAATTCGGCGAGACTCCTGGTTTAAGAAGAACTTGCCAAACTACCTTCAACACCCCGTGGAAGAGTTCGTCGCTACAGGGGCAGATCCGAATAAGGCTATTGATCTTCGCTCTATTGCACCAGGAAAATCTCCAGCTGCAAGAGAGCGAATTCGTGAAAATGCCATTATAAAACTTGAGAGAACAATGTGTTACGGAAAAGAGGACATTCAAGATGCCTTACGAAGACCCGAACCTAGTGCGATTAAAGATGCCTTCTTTATTATTGTCGAAAATGAGATGATGCAAACGAACTGTGAGTCTGCTTTTCCTTGCTTACTTCTTTAACGATAGACACACTATGTGATACTAACTGGCGGCGAAGCCCCACTGGAGGTTGATAGTAATTCATCATCTCTCAGACCACAGGACACTCAAGAGGCCTCTCCACGTAGCCTTGCGACGGGCGCCAAATCCGGAAGTTCTACTCTTCACGATTCACCCATGCCCCCCTTGGCTATAACTACTCCATCGGCCCGCTCCCCAGCTCGCGCTAGCTATGTGCGGATTCTACCAACTAGTCTTCCCTATGTTCATGAACAAATCATGGAGCAACGAACAAAGGAGAGGCCCGCACGGGCAGGTCGTGAATTGCAAGGCGATGCACCTGTTCCTGCCCCCTGCATCGAAACTGCTGAATATTCTGCTCCTTCTGGAGAACTATCGCTAGAAGAACAGGCCGCAACTGCCAGGGCATTGAAACCGCACTCCAGAAGCGTTGTTGACCTAGAAAAAATTCAATTTGATCCTCCGCTGAAACATACACCAACTCCTACCCAGCCCAAACGATCTCGGAAGTGGCAATTCGGAATTCGATCGCGTAACCTACCGTACGAAGCCATGCTCTGTCTGTATAAGGCAATCAAGGCTGAAGGGGGTGTTTGGGAGATCCAACCGGCTGAATCGGGTATATTTCCTTAGATCGAATTTGATATATTTCAGGTATTCTAACTATCAGTACAGATTCCCATGATATCGATCGGGCTCTAGAAGTTACTTCAGAAATTCCTGGCCCACTTCAGCGCAAATACCGCGATGTGCCCTCCGAGTATTATATTCCAAGAGATCTTTGGTTTATTCGTGCTCGACTTTTGAAGCAAGGTGTGCTAGCCCCTGGCTCAGCTAGCAGCACACATAGCAGCCGCAGTGACCTGGAAGAGTTTCGAAGACGAGTTAGTCTCAAAGGTGGTGTGTTACAGGCGGACGACAAGGCTAGCCCGGCGAACGCCGGCATATCTACTACTTCCTCTATATCCTCTTATTCGGCTACTTTAAACCACGGTGTTTGGGTTTTTGTCGATATCCAGCTTTATCAGCTCGAGCAAGACAACTATATGGTCGACTTTAAATGTGATGGTTATCAGAACGTTGTGCGCATCGAAGGCGAGGGGAATTCAACAGAATGGAGTCCGATTAGCAAACGGTTTCGGAATAAGGATAAAGAAATTACAAGCCCATATCCTTTCCTCGATGTTGCGTCTGATCTTGTTGCACAATTAGCTGCCGCTACCTAGCCGATTACCGACCTACCCTTTGCCCACCTGACGGCGCGCCCGACCAGTGGTACGATATTCTCCTCAACAATCTCCTTTAACATAACTTAATGAGGATCTACTCGATGACATCATTGTGACTTATGATGACCAAAAGTAATGGCTTAAGGATCAGTCGTCGAAGCATGCGCAGCAAATCGTGTTTGCCAGTGAACCCGTTTGTGCCCTCATGAGCGTCGCGAAATTTCATGCGGTATCCGTTCACACTGAATTACAAAGATTTTATTAGCTTGTTGAGTAATTCCCAAGCTTCCATGACTCTAGATATTTGTCAAAGTTAATTAGAAAATCTATTGGACTTTCCGCGGTCCAGTTATCTTCAAGGTTGTTACTCGAAGGCTAGAGCTTCCCATACAGTATAATGGGTCACCCTTGCAGGCGGGCTTCGACATCATCCTCGTCGAAAATGGCTGAACTTGGTGTGCATTATCTAAAAACAAAAGCATGAAGTGGATGAAGTAAGTGTGTTGCTGCTGAAGAGTATTTTAAATACTATATTCTCATCAAGACATGCGATACGACGACGAAGTAGCCCCGCGTCAATTGCATAAGCTCTTAAGCAACGTTCGCCCGCTGGAGGCAAACTGATCGGAGCTAAGATCAGCAGCCGCTCGGTGACAAGCTTTTTGTTCTTGTTTTTTGCAGGTGAGAGTATCTTGTACGTATATTGTGGCGTTGTGGCCGCTGGCTCTTTCATTGGCTTCCGGGGCGCGTTGGTAACGGCTCCATGAACCTGGACAGCCAAGAAAGGAGCTCTTCATGGCGCAATTCATTCCATCGGGCCAGATTAGCGAGAATGACGTATTGGTTTCCATTGGTACGGCCGACCTGGAAGTATTTGTGTCCTCCCTGATTTTTCTACACACAGCAGTTATATAGGAATTGACTTCTCCTACTTGCCAACTTGGTCTTTGTTCTACCCCTGGGGAAAGCTATTGATTAAAGAAACAATTGAAGATCACCGTGTTCGAAATTATCAATATTGAGGACATCCAGACTCAAAATTGCCAACATGATTCCTTTGAAGCCAGTGAACCTGTTCCTCAGGGCACTTCAGGTATGTAATGGAAGGCCTTTAGCTTATAGAGCCCAACTGATATTTATATATTACAATAGGTCGCCTTTGCAACCATTGTAATGGGTCTGATTGGCGATATGCTCAATGATTACCGGGGCCACAGTCAATCGACCGTGAACTATGTCATGTTCGCGGTTGCCTTCGCGCTATTGACGCTATTTTACCTCATAGCAGCTAATGCTAGTGAAAAATTGGCCATCCATCCGGTTATTCTGTTTATTGTTGACGTGTTAAATCTTCTGTTCCTCTTCTGTGCTGCGGTGGCCTTGCCATCAAAATTGCATGCCCCGAATTGCAGTAATGATGTATGTTTCATACCAACCGCCGCCTTTCACCACCTCTTTGAGCTGATCGTTCTTTACTTCTAGCTTGCTCTGCAACATAATACCATAACCAACAAATCAGGATCCCCACGTAAAACATGCCGCGAAGCTAAGGCTGCCACAGCGTTCCTTTGGTTTTTGCTGTTTACCTTTCTTGTAACCACCATTATCTCCGCAATCAATATGACTGGAGGGTGGATGGGAATGAGTGGCCGTGCGCGTCGTCGCTCATCAAAGGTTGCACCGCAGCCAATGTCCCAGGTTTGATTTTCTCCAAAGAAGAAACTGGTGGTGAGATTATTATTGTTGACGATAGAGAAGGTAAGCGATTAATTTGACCACTGATACCCTAAGGGACCATAACTGATCAGATGTCCAGGGTTTCAATAACGAAAAGGCATGATTTACGAGGTATATCTGACTTGTGTCGAAGGGATGTGATGCTCTGACAACATATTTGTTAACTCGTAATGCTACGGCAGGATTTGGTCGGAGCATCTTCCCATACTAATCACATATGCCCCAAGTACACCGCGGAGAGGGTATTGTATATGTATGTACAGTTCATATGTCCATTAATATGCGTTTATGTCTTGCTACTGCATTCCTTTTCTTGGCTTAGTCTGCTGCACAGCTCATTCATTCCAACTAATTCTTGGCCCGTTATATCTGTTCAATATGCTAATATCTAATGGACCGAATCACTGATCTTCGTTGTTTGAATGTTGCGGCTCAAAAGTGGGGCAGGGAATGCCAAGGCTGCTTAACCAGTTAGCGTACTCCGTAGCCAGTGAACGGTGCCATCACGGGGATGGACGACGTCATAAGAGAGTCTAGCCTAGGCTTAGGTAAGGTTGGCGCTGGATTCGGATAATTGCTGATCCGTCCACTACATGTGAGGCCTTGATCTTATCAGATAAAATCGTCCCATCCCCCTACCAGCTTTTATTTAGTCTATGAAATGCTTTAGAGCCCCGTATCCATCCACCTTGTATTGCCACAGTGTCAAAAACAGAGCATCTGCTGTCCTGAAAGCACTAGCGATTAGAGCTTCACGGATAGCTGACCTTGAAAACTCATCAAGTAAAGCCCGCCTTATTAGCCTGATTATAGTAAAGGTAAGCTTTGAAATAAGGCTATGTAAGGTAGAAAATTCTTCTTCCTTCTCAAAGGCATTAAGACATAAAATAAGTGCCGAAAACCAATCGCTCGCTTTATTTGGGATTATATGTAGTCTTTTCTATAGAGGAAGGAAGGAGGAGCTTCCGACAGTACCCAGTAGCAGTCTGACATTCTGTCTTTCCAGCCCTGCAATGATTCCGCCAGGCTATTATCTATCAAACGTCTGCTAATGTACGGGTGTGACTTGGCGACAAGATTTTACAAATTTGATATTGAAAAACAGAATAACCATTAAGTTTCTGCCGAGGGGATTTTTTTGTAGAAAGAGGGAAGATAGTCATCTGACAAGCTGAGGCATTAGAAGAAAGGTCAATTAGGTATCAGTGGGGTTGCCGTAGGATTCTCAGCACATTTCGGTGGAGGCTCCCACGGCTCAATGACCCGATGCGGTGCTTGACCAGGTTTCTTCTCGGCACGTACAAGAACCGGAATCACTGCACCAGTGACGAGTGGAAATTTTCGATGCCCAACAACTTCAAGAATGGCAGTAATTGCCCCGCCATGAGCAGTCATAGACAGAAAAGTATTTGGATCATGGGTGAAGACGTCATCCAATAGAGTGCGAAGGCGGTCTTTCGTGGCAGAGAGGGACTCCCGGAGCTTGGAGACCCAGAGTGGATCAGACTGGGCAAACCCGGGCTCAATAGAGTATGATGGGTAGCTGTTGCTAATGTACTCCCGGGAACTGCGTCGATCACAGGTGTGAATGCCGATAGTTTCGCGGAGAAGCTGGCAGTACTCAGTGAGCTCTTGCGAGACACAATTCAATCGGGGATAGTTTTAGTATATGCTTGCCTACCTCTTTAACTGTAGGGATAAAAGGATTATTCTGTGGCAAACTAAGAGTGCTAAAGGTGATGTTGGCGGTCTGCAAACAGCGGTAGAGAGGGCTTGTATAGTAACTCTCAGGAACTGGAATTCCACCTTCAATCTGAGTTGCCCATGCTTGTCTGGCTATTTGGGCATCAAGGATGCCTTGATCTGTCAAGTGGGCGTCTGTCCAGGTGATGGATCCGTTTCCATCTAGCATCGACCAATAACACTACTTGTGTCAGTTCGCTAATTCAGATCATAGCGAAGCAACTACATACATCCCAGGCTGCAGTGCCATAGTAGCTTTCAGCTACATTGTGGTAGCCTTGACCATGCCTTCCAAGAAAAAGCAATGTATACTTTACGTTAGCAGGGGCGGTTTGATTGATGGCATGAAGTTTGTGCGTAAACCGGTCCCACTGGGATTTTTGGCGGTCAGGGTCAAATGACGCGTCTGTGTCGTAAGTTTTATTTATCAGACCAAATGCAGTAGATACCTGGGCGTATTAGCAACGGCTAGGGGCCAGACAACCCAGGCAGTCAACTGGATGTAGTGCATACATAATCAAATGTTGCAGGATCCGTAGAGGGGTCATCTTGTAAGAAATATCCTAGCACAGTAGAGTACTCCCAGTGATATAAGGCGGCGGAATCGTTCATCGCAAGCACCAGGACTGCGACGGCGATGGTCACAACTAAACCTGGGCTGGTGTTCATGGCAGTCAGCTCCGAGAGCAGCGCCAACCGTTAAGCGATGTCGCTGTATGCACACGACTTCTAAAGGAGAGGCCAGTGTGGCGTGGTTAATCAGTGACTTACATCACGACAGCACCCGTCAGGAGGGCAGGCTGGCTAGCTTCAAAGTGTGGTGGTGGTTGTTGGTGGTTGATGTTATGAATGAGGCTCAATCGTTGACCAGGAGAGGGTGGTTAGTCAGCAGGACCGCTTTTAGCGCGGGCAGGCTGAGCCCGGGGCTGAGTCATACCCCCGCAGCACTACGCCCAATACGGCCAAGTGCATGACATCAGCGATGACTCACCCCCCGCAGGTGCGCTGTGATTGGCCAATCCCGGCCCTGCCAGCGCGTCGGAGTCCCGAAGCGGCCTAGCGCGCTCCCCAAGTTGCTCGCCGCGATTGGCCTTAAACGGCCAGGCATCTCTCACTCTTCATCCGCTCTCCGTCTTCTCGTTTTAACCCTTTCCTGTCTCCTGTGCCCGATTGTTGCTGGAAGATTGGACTTTCAGCGTGCATAGCTAACGCCCCCTGCTCGGCTCTCCCCATCTACTGTGTCGATAGCAGGACCTATACGGAGTATATACAACTAAAAATATCCTCCATACCCAGCCACAACATTATATTCTTTTGTTTAGAAGTGGTGCGGTCATTGCAGAAAGGATTTCAACTTTGTACCTGCGAATGATCCATCCCAAGTAGTTTGGCAATTTCGGATTATTCGGACGGCTCCTTGCATCCACTGCCTCCTACCCCGATTACCTTGACTACAACTTTTTACAAGGTACGCATAAGGCAGACATCGGCCGCCCTAACAGAAGCTAATAGGATATAAAGAGTTCCCATCGCCTTTCAGGGTACGCCATGGAATCGACTCTTACTCTTGTACGAGGAATCAATGATCAGCCTGCTTTTGAAATCAGTTGCTCTGCTGTGTCCAATCCACCGGTTCACAGCGGCGACGTGATGGCTGAGCCCCTTCTGGGCGTGGAGCCGTGGATGCAAGAGATGCTGAACGATCATATCTTTTCCCCTTCGGAGCTTTGCTTGGACCACATCCACAACCCTTGCGCGGCTGCTGATTCCGGCCTTGCCTCGCCAGCCATAACAATGGACGAGTCATGGATCAACTCAAACACTTGGCAGGCCCATGGTGACTTTGAATTCGCTCAAGGGAAGGCCGTTGATCCTCTTATCTCAGACTTGCCTCCTAGCATTACCACTGATCTATCATTCCTCTCCGACAACACTTTGGGTAATATACCAGCTTTCGATGCGATTTTTGCTGAGAAAGAACCCGATTTTCTATCCACCACTCTTCCCTACTCCGATATTCAGGCCGATCATTCTAATTCCGCGTTCAATCATGTTGCGACAGCTTTTCGCGAATTGGCGCGTGCTCGAGCTGCCGCCGATTCCCGACCTGTGCCTCAGCAACAAAAACAAAGAGATGCCTCAATTGCTTTGTATCTCGAACGTCTACGAGATGCATGTAATGATGCCGTTGCCGTAATAAACTCGTCTTCGTCATCTAACCGTTCGGACAACGAATCTAGTTTCAGCTCTCCTAGCCTCGGCTCCCCCCACAACTCGTTCCATAACGACCAAATTTCAACACCGTGGGAACCAAATTCCGCTAGCCAAGGTGCTTCATCCACTCTGTTTGATCAATTTATAGTCAATGAAGCAAACTCGCAGCAATCTTCTCCTGGGACATTGGCTACTTCTTACCGGGCTTCTGTTTCCACTCCAGCTTCGGAGGCCTCATCGAGACAACAGACAGTAAGTCATACGCCAGTCACCGGCGGAGTAGAGCTGGTGATGGATCTGAATATGAATACTGCTACTACCTTGCCTCGACGCCACCGACCTCGGACCCAAGCACAACGCGAGCGATATCTGGCCGTACGCAACCGTGGGGCTTGCGAGAAGCACAAAAAACAACACAAAAGAGTAAGGCCTAAGAAGCATTAATACCCTGATTTGACGAAGCAGTTAGCTAATACGCCTGTAGTGTACCTGCGTGGACAAGGACATCTCTTTGGACAAACGCACCAAGCGGGCTACGTCGAACCGTCCTGGATATGAATCCAATCCCGTCCTTTTGGCTACTCGCTCTCCGGTTCCAATGACACTACCAACCGTCCGCGGACCGAACCGAAACGCAGAATGTGGCTCACAGGCCAAGACTCACCAATACACGACCCCAGAGACCGAGGGCCTACACTCGCGTTTCGTCAAGAATGCCGGCATCTGCACCCCCACGCACTCTCCCCAACAACATGCTAGCGTACAGGAGACACACAGGGATACGCTTCAAACACTAGATAGTACTAAGAAGCGCGGCTCCGCGCGCAACCTTGACCCCGGATCGGAAAGAACAAAGGGTTGTAGTTCCTTCCGTCGTCGCATTTCGGATCACCATGCTCAATCCGGAGATGCCACACCCTCCGCTCTACTATCCGCAAGCTCTCCTGAAACGACCAGTTCCGTTGGCCGGGTCGCCAATTTGAGAGTGGTTACACCCATGACAACCAACGCGAAGACATCAAGAGCATATCTTCGCGCCACCTCTATCATTCGCCGCCCAACTGAGGGCGAGAGGATTATGAAGACCGCTGCCTCTTGGCTAAGACATAAGCCTGCTGAGCGCGGATGCGCATCGAGACGGTTCATTCATGAACCGAGAACCCCAGGCCTTCGCTCACCAAATGGTGGCCATAATATTGGCAAAATTCGCCAATTGCCGATTCAACCGTCTTACCTCACCCTCGGTTGCCAAGACCTCGTTCAATCATCGCCTAACATTATAGGCGAATCACCCTCACACACCAAACTTCTTCATTTCTGCATCCACCACATCAGCAATATGGTACACCGCGCTACTTGGCTAATTTCATCGATTTACCGCACAACATTTTTCTGCCGTGCTGCTTGCAATCGTTTGGACCTGATTTGTTTACACAACAGCGGAACGCTGAATAAGTCCAGAGAACATTGTTGGTGGAACTTGTATAGGACGTGGCTACCGCTGTGGGGACTTGCTCTACTATGCGAATGGCTTTGGGTGCAATTAATGAACCCGAAGAGTTACTATCTATGAGTTCTGCAAACTCGAAAGACGGCAGATATTGGATTCTTTCCAGTTATACAGAATCCTAAACAGTATAGAGGTTCCATCCGATATTATTTCCTTTACCCGCATCCAGCGGCTCCGCGCGCTATATAACTACTTCACCTGTTATAACTCTTTTTTCCCCCAGCCTTTTTTCTCTTGTACATACATGGCCGTTTGGATACCAGCCAGAAGATATGGAATTTATCAGAAGACCTTAGCTTAGCTTTATACGTATATTACGCATGACTTTTGGGCAAAATATTATCTATGTCAACCTTCAATCTTAGATCATACACATACGGAGTACAAGCATGAATCTTTTGTAGTTTAGGTAGTATTTCTAATAGTGCAGTGTCACCGGACAAAAAGGCTAAATACTCTTAATCGCTTTGTGTCCTCAGACTCTACCGGGGAGTTTGATTGGGGGTTTATTTGCTTATTTCTCATGTACGAAGTACTCTGTGCAGTTCATTCATCGCTTCTTCCAAACCTATTTCACCCCGTATTTTTCGTCATCCAGGAGCGTCGCCCATCGCACATTCAATCTACGCAAAAAGAGGCACTGCAAGGGGTCATCGCCAAACGTAAGATGTCTTTTCAATTGTTATTGTTACTCCAGATGTCGAATTACAGAAAAAAAAAACCAAAAAGAGAACTCCCCGACAGGGAATCGAACCCTGGTCTCCCGCGCTTGTTAGTCAGCTGACTTGACAAGCGGAAATCATGACCACTAGACCATCGAGGACTTGTTATAAGGCATCCAACAAATCTCTATATATATTGGGCATTGAAGCGGCGGTACTTGTTGACTGCGTCAATCCTTGTTACATATCTAACCAATCAAGGTTACGGTTTCGATGCGAATACGCCGTGGTTCTTTTGTTGATCAAATGCAAAGTAGTGGATATTACAGGTTATTCAAGCATCTAGGAACACGGTCATTAAACGCGATGGTATTTGTTCTAAGGTTGGATATCAATTCTTTCCTAACTCTAAACCGAGAATGCCTCAGCCCATATCTTCAAATGCCCCTATAACCCTGTATTGCTAGTCGAGCCTAATGGCGACCCAAAACCAAACATAGTTGGTGTTTGAGTCGTATCGGAGTCTGCGTTTGAGAATAGCCCGGGACTTCGCAAGGGTTCTGAGCACCGCGAACTCGAAGGTGCACCAAATACCGGTCCGAATGTCGGAACGCCCAGCGGCCGAACTCTGGAGTGGGCTGGCGCAGTGACACTACTATTGATGGAGTTTGCAGATACCAGAGGCTGTTTTTGTGTGACGAGCCGCACAGGCTTCAAATTGTCCACTACGGGACTCTGCATTGGCGAAAAGATGGCAGACTCCTCGTAGAACTTTTCGGGCGATTCATTGAATGGGCTTAGTCCTTTGAAGTCGACCCATCGCCGAGCCAACGCCACGGCCAGATCTGCCGCAAATTCCGGGCAGTGATGTAAAAAAGTCGTGGCACTGGGGGTTGTATACCACTGGAAATCGATGTGCCACACCAGCCAGGCAACCATCAGTTTTCGCAGCGGAGATCTCTCCCTTGTGTTTTCGTAAATGTAGGCGATAACGTCGACCTGCGGCGGTTTATCTGGGTCTGTCTTCATCATGAAAAGCTCGTTGATGATATCGTGCTTCAAGCGCGGAACCTCCAACTTGTCGGCCAACGTATAAAGCTGCGCAAGTTGGAAATACCGTTCATCCACTTCTTCATCTGTCTTGAGCCCAGACAACTCGTAAATGCCAGAATACAACCATTGTAAGAATCTCTCAAATGTGTCTGGGTCGTCTTCCGGCAACGATATGGCATTTTCACCGGCCTCTTTAAAATCCCGCATCAAGGCACCGTTAAAAAAGGGTGACTTCTGGCATAGTAGATCTTTGTGGGTTTGGAATTGGGCTTCCGATTCTCCAACCGTGATGGTAATCACAGAGACGCCGCGAAACCTGCCATGTCTTAGCATGTAGAGGATAGAAGAAGAATCACAGCCATTTCCGGCCAGAAAAATGCAACCTTAAAGCAGCCATCTTGTGGTATTTCTACAACAGTAGAAAGATAATGTGCAGGTAAAGCAGGGGGTGTGTCCTAGGGACCAGACCTAGGAGGTAACAACAGGTGAGAAGAGTCTTTATGGTTGCAGTTGTATGGCTGTGAAGGGGACGACGGGGCAAAATGCCCGTAGTAAATCGCCGAGTTTCCAGAAAGGATTGTGTAGGCTCATCCAACGCCAGAGATTACTGGACCTAGTTATAGAGCAACGGCTGTTAATGTGAAGCTGAAGTTGGGCGGCGAGGTGCTTGGTGAACTGGCAGCCAACAAAGCGCTCGGATTAAGTATGTTCCGCGGCGTATCCCGAAATAACCACCAATGTCAACAAGCAAGGCAGATAATACGCAGACAAAGAAGGCAACAAAAAAGGTTCAAAAGCAGGTACATTGTATGTTATCATCCGTAAAAATCGTAATCATCAGAGCCCTGAGAAGAACAGTACATCCGCCGATAAACGCAAACAAATGTCAACAATAGAGTGTTGGATCAGGATTGATCGGCAATCAACTCGTATCCAGCTTCAGATGGCAAGATGCGAATCGTCATATAAATAATAACAGCGTTGAAGCCAGCCAGACACATGCTAACCACGCACATAATCCACGAGCTATCCAGCTTCCAGCCGGGATAGAACCGCTCATCATTGTCGAAGAGATACGACTTGCAACACAAGTAAGTCAGTAATCTTACTTGAGGGCGCACATCACACGGGTATGATGGACTCACCACCAGCGCCATCCCGCCACACTGCACCAAGGAAATAAACACCAGGAAGACGGTCAGCACCTTCCATCCCGTCTCCCGCATCTGCTTCCCGCCGGCCAGGATAACGATGTACGTGATTAGGGTGATGGCTTCGAGCACGATGGCAAAAGACATGAGGAAGGCCACAGAGCGCCACATGGAGCAGAAGTAGCCGGCATTCTTGCCGTGGCAGTCGTCGTACTGCGGAAAGGGCTCGCAGGTCTGGCTGAGGGACGAGCAGCGGCGAGAAAGCCCGTAGGTGTAGTGGAATCTCGTGCCGGAGGGCTGGAGCGAAGGGTTAGTGGGTAAGGTAGCTCGTCGCCGATAGCTATGGAGACGAAGAAGGGCAGTGACGCACCGTTTCGCTATAGTAACTGACCCATTTCGGGATGATGATGGACGACAACGTGAGTCCAGAAGCTGCCGATTTCCTCAATTAGCTTATCCAACATCCCAAGGCAAAGCGTACTCCTCATCGTCCTAGTTTTATAACCATGCGAACGGGGGAGTCGAAGGGGGAACCTACCAGCCAGAAACACCAGGAGCGTCGCGAAGTAGAGAATGGTCTTGGTGACAAACCCAGTGTAATTCCTCCGCCCGTCCCCGGGCACCAGATGGAAATCCAGGGCGGCGTCGAATGGTCTCAGCGCTGAGAGGGAGGCGTGTGTATTTGCCTCGTTCTCAGTCGAGGCGATAGATGCGTTGCTGGATGTCCGAAGGGATGAGTTACCAGCGGTGGAGGCTGCGCTGGATTGATTGACTGGCTTGTAGGTGATTTGGCGTAGTCAGTTAGCGAGGCAAAGGACGTCGTTGAGCAGCTGGGAGATGGCGCAGCGTTTACTCCGTAGTCTGGCAGGCTTGCCGTGGTTGATGGCGGATGGCGAGTAGCAGCGACGCTGAACTCGGCAGCCTGGGCTGGGTCCACGTGCGCCGTGTCTCGGGTACCTCCAGCGCCTACGCTTTCTGGGTCTACAGCCAGGTACCTGGTACCTACCTCGGAGAGGGCGCGCAGAACTGCTGTGTACGCAGTATCTCCAGTAGGTAGTTCACTGGTCAACTAACTAATAGCTATATCGCCAATCTCCATCATAACCTGCGGCGGAGAGAAACATGGCACGTCCAGCCCAAGCGCGCGCCGCGAACGAGCATCCCATGTCGGGTCCGCCGCTGCCGTCGGTGGCGCCGTAACGGACGCACTATAACCGCCTGGCCCATGGACCGCATCCAGAACATACACATAGTTACCCCAGCGCGAGAAGGGCGCATGCGCGTCTTCACACGAGCCCAGCCGGCAAACAGAACCCGCGTTGATGCCCGCAACCTCGCGCCGTCGCTTTGATCTGCAGCAACCGGCAGGGCTGGCTTCGTGCTGCCCAGGCTTGGCCCAGCAAGCGCTTCGTATCGGAATCCACTTGAGAACGAAAAGAAAAAAATAAAAGGCCCCAAGTTCATCGGTTGGATTGTTGGGATATCGGCAGGACGAGCAGAAGAAAAGAAGGAGTCTGCATTTAATTACGTACATAGGTTCCCATGGCATGTCTTCGCCTGATCAACGCCGGATGATAAAGCCCGTGAGCAAATGCATTATTCGTAAGGGACAGGAGGAGAAGAGAAGAAAAGCAAAACGGGGGAGAGACAATGATCGCCGTTCTTCATTATTGCACACTATTCTCTTCATCCCCTGCCTCGTATCGGGATGGAGACGCGAAAGCCGCAAAAAAGCAAAACGGTTCAAGAAATAAAAAAGCGCAAAACGCGGAATATGCAGGAGTTCGTACAGGGGGGGGATTGGTCGAATTGTAACCCGGTCAAAAAGGTCATTGCGTGGAGATGCTGGAACCAAATCAAGAAATACGTAATGACAACGCGCTTCAACGCCATAGATAGCAAGCCCACAAAAAGTTAGTGTATAATAAAGAGAATACATCTCGAGAAGTGAAATGGGAGTTCGGAGACAAGATCGGGGGGGGGGGGGGGGGGGGGGGGGGGGGGGGGGGGGGGGGGGGGGGGGGGGGGGGGGGGGGGGGGGGGGGGGGCGGGGGGGGGGGTAGGTCGGGCCGGTCTTATCGTCGAGCCAGCGACGATACAGAGAAGGGCGGCCAGCCAATACGCATCATTACGGCGTACAGGCGAGAGTGTGAGTCTGGCTGTCGACGGGCTGCGCGGGCGGGCTGAGGTCGCGCAGGCAAGTGGAGGCCGGCAACGGCTGGGCGGCGTATGACGCGGGCCGACCGCGCATCGGCAACGGCGGCGGCGACGGGGACGGCGACGGCAACGGCAACGGACGGGCTATAAAAGGGGGCAGGAGCGAACGGGGCGGCTCCTGCCTAGTTAGTGACCTAGTTCGCCTGCGATGGCGTCGCGCGCGCTGGTGCTGCATGGCGCCAGAGACCTGCGGCTCGTGAGCCCCCCCCCCCCCCCCCCCCCCCCCCCTGTGATGCCTGGCGCGCGCTGACTCAGCCAGGAAACACGCGCGGTGCCGCCGCCGCCCGCGGACCACGTGCAGGTGGCGGTGCGCGCCACTGGCCTGTGCGGCTCCGACCTGCACTACTTCCACGACGGGCGCAACGGCGACCGTGTCGTACGCGCACCGCTGGTGCTGGGCCATGAGTGCACCGGCCGCGTCGTCGCGCTGCACGCCGATGTTGCGCCCACCAGCCACCTGCGCGTGGGCGACCGCGTCGCGCTCGAGGTGGGCGTGGCCTGCCGCCGCTGCGCGCTGTGCCGCACCGCACGCCCCAACCTATGTCGCGCCATGCAGTTCCGCAGCTCAGCGGCCACGCTGCCGCACCGCGACGGCACGCTGATGGACACCACCAACCACCCGGCGCGGCTGTGCCACGCCCTGCCAGACAGCGTGTCCGACCTGGAGGCGGCGCTCATCGAGCCGCTGGCCGTGTGCATGCACGCCATCCGCCGCTCCACGCCGCCAGACCCGACCACCACCGCTACTGTCTACCGCGCGCTCGGCGAGGACCTACCCGCGCTGGTACTGGGCGCCGGCGCCGTGGGCCTGCTGCTGGCCGCCGCTCTGGCCGCCACGCAGCCCTTCACGCGCATCGTCGTGGCCGACATCGACCGCGCGCGCCTCGACATCGCCGCGCGCCTGCCCGTCCCCGCCGGCCGCATCACTACGCACCTCTTCCCCCCCAGCCCTGACGAGCCGCCTTCCGACGACCACGACGACGACGCTGCCGCCCAGGCCCGCGCCGCCGCGCTGCCCGCCGCCGGGCGCTTCACGCACCTGTACGAATGCACGGGCGCAGTGGCGTGCGTGCGCACGGCGATCCACGCAGCGGCGCCGGGCGCGCGCATCGCGCTGGTGGGCATGGGCGGGGCGGCAGTGGCGACGGCGGTGCCGCTGGCGGCCGCGGCGCTGCGCGAGGTGGACCTGGTGGGCGTGCTGCGGTACGACGACGCGGCGTACCCGGCGGCCATTGCGCTGATGGCGTCGGGCCGGCTGCGCGGCGTGGCCGAGTGCGTCGTCACGCACACCGTCGACCTGGCTGACGACGGCGGCTACAGGGGCTTTCGTCTGGCGGGTGCGCGTGTGGATGAGTCCGGTTGCCCGGTGGTGAAGGTCGTGGTGCTGAGTGGAGGACTAAATAATAGGTAGGGATCAAGCGGAGCCGCAGCAGGGATCACGCGGATGAGATATTGGGTGGATGGCTTTGGTGGGGGGTATAGAGAAAGAGAATTAAATACATGCATTATGGGATCCATATCGCCGCAACACGCCCTGGTATCGAGCTCTAACTACCTAGACATGCACAAAGCAATAACAGCGCAGATAACGACGGGCGGGCTAAGAACACGCTGACTCGAGAAATAACAGACAGAAAGAAAGACAAACAAATAAGCAGACAGACAGACAGATCTAGTAAACACGCCGAGACAGGAGATCAACAAGCAAAGGAAAGGAAAAAAAAAATAATAAAAATTGTTATCATTATTTCTTTTTTGTCAAAATGTCTTCAACCCCGACGCCGCGTGCACGGCGGTATAAAAACACAGGGCGTAAGGGAAGAGTGGGGTAGAATGTATATAGAGGGGTCCAAGCAAAAATTAAATCGTGCGACTGGTCGTGCAGAAGGAGAGAGGAGGCGGGCAGGGCGGGTGGGAGGGGTGTTGGCTGGGTTCCCCGCCCGTGAAGAGGAGGGAGGGAGGAGGAGAGAGGTGCTAGTGGTGGTGGTTGACTAGCGGTCGTGGCGTTAGTAAGAGAGGGAGGTTGCCCCGCATCCCGTCTGGCGATTTAACGTTGATAAGAGTTTTAAGTTCATGATATATCGATTTTTAAAGTTAACTTGCCGCTCGGAAACAGCCGCGCGGGCAACCACACTGGCTTTGCGTTTTAGAACAGCAGATTGCCGTTCTGGTCGACGGGCCAGATGGGACACGGCGTGCCGTTGGTGTAGGTTGGGTAGGCCTCGTGCACGTGCGACGACAGGTCGAGGATGTTGGCGCCCGGCATCGGGTTGCCCAGCACGAAGTCGCCCACGGCCTCGAGGTCCAGCCACGAGAAGTCGTTGGCCGGGCTGACCTGCGCCGCCGCGGCCTCGCATGACCCGTTGGTCGACGCCCGCAGCGCCACGTCCGCCGGGTGGCGCGGCGGCCCGCGCTCGGATACGCCGCCGGCCAGCAGCGTCGTGGGGGCTGCCGTGGTGGAGGAGGAGGAGGAGGTGGTGGTGTTGGCGGCGGCGGCGGCGGAGGAGGAGGGGGTGGTGGTGGTGATGATGGCCGCGGGGGCAGACGGCTTGAACCACAGACGTTCCAGCAGCAGGGCGTAGCGCGTGCCGGTCTTGTCGGGCCCGGCGCTGGCGCGGCACATGCGCGCCATGGTCTCGCGGATCATCTCGCGCAGCTCCGACTGCTCGTCGCGGCTGATCACGCCGAAGGAATGTGCCTGTTCAGAACAGCGGGCGAGTATCAGCGCTGATGTCCGGCGTGCGCAGGGGAGAGAGGGGGGGAACCAACCTTGTACAGAAACACGGCAGCATAGGTGCCGTAGCTGGACAGAAAACAGGCTCTCGTTAACAGATCCAAGACCAACGCACACACACACACAGAGAGAGAGAGAGAACCTACAGGTAGTAGCGCAGCGGCAGATAGCGCAGGTGGCGCTCGGGGTCGACGGAGGTGTTGAGGATGCGCAGGTACTCCTTGGCGGAGCGCACGGAGGCGTAGATGAAGCGCGAGTCCTGCATGGAGGCGACGTCGCTGAAGGTGGCGCGCAGGTACTCGCGCTGCATGCGGGCGGTGCACTTGGGCTTGGACGACAGCGTCTGCGAGATGGCGGCCTGGAAGGCGAAGGCGTTGGTGTACAGGCTGAGATACACGCACTGCATCTGCAGCGTGACCTTGAGCTCGGGCGCGCACGTCAGCTGGCTCCAGCGGTCGGACCAGCGGTCGATGGCGATGCGGAAGTCGTCGACGTACTTGACGTAGTCGCCCATCAGCATCATGTGGCTGCTGGACCGCATGCCCGAGTACAGCACGTCGTGCACGTTGCCGTACAGCTGCGTGAGGTCGAGCGTGGCCTGCAGGATCTTGGAGTGGTCCTCGTCGCCGGCGGTGCGCGGGCGCAGCGAGGGGAAGTCGTCGCTGACCAGCCCGGTCATGGGGCCGGGTCCGCGCGACCAAAAGGCACGGCCGATGCGCACGGAGATCAGACGGTCGGACACGTAGCAGCAGGCCCAGGCGAGGCGGCGGCGGTGCGTGGCGTGCAGGTCGGCGGCGCCGCCGCTGTCGCCGCGGAACGAGGTGCGCTCGAGGCCCAGGAAGTAGCCGGAGCGCAGGGCCATGCCGACGTGCATCCAGGCGGCGCGGTTCTCCTCGCCGCGGCCGATGGGCTTGATGCGCGGCTGCAGGCCGGGCGGCTCCCACTCGGCGATGAGCAGCAGGGCCTCGACGGCGCCCACGTCGCAGGGCGCGCCGGCGGCCACGTCGGCGATGAGCTCGTGCATGTACTGCGCGCAGCGGTCGTGCACCACCACCACGCCGTCGCGCGGCTGGTTCTTGGACGCGATGGTCAGGATGGCCGTCAGCAGGTGGCGCTCGTCGCGCGCGAAGACGCCCAGCTGCGCGCGAGCGAAGTACCGCCGCGGCACCAGCGGGAGGTGTGGGTGGAAGTGGTCGGCGTAGTGCAGCACCAGCGCCCACAGCTGGTCGACCGTCAGCGTGCCGTTCTGCACCAGCCGGTACGCCGCGATGCTGGGCGCGTCGAGCGCGGAGACAGAGGCCGCGGCGGCAGCGGCAGCGGCAGCAGCAGTAGCAGCAGCGGCACTGGCACCAGGACCAGGACCAGTCCCAGCACCAGCAGTAGTACCGACAACCACCCCAGCGGACGTACCCGCACCTACACCTGCACCCGGGCCCGCGGCCGGCGGGTGGTCGAGCAGCGTGCTGTGCGTGGAGCGGCGCGAGTCGGACGGGAACGGGCTGCCGGCCTTGTAGAAGCTGGCGTCGTCGTCGTGGGCGACGTTGGTCAGGCACTGCCACGCATCGGACGGGTTCTGCAGCACGCCGGGGCCGAACGGGCTGTCGGCGATGGGCGCGAGGCCCAGGTCGTCATCGTCGTCGTCCTCGTCGTCGTCGTCGCCGCCGCCGTGCCCGTCCTCATGGCCGTCGCGCGGCGGGAAGGCTGGCCGGCCGGGCGTGACGACGCCCACGACGCCAGCAGCGGAGACGGCAACGGCGTGGTGGTTGAGATGCAGCGACTTGGTGCGCGGGGCGGCGGGCAGCGCTGTGGTCGTCGTCGTTGTCGTCGTCGTCGTCGCAGGCACGGCGGGCGGGAGTGTGAGGGCGTCGGCGTCGACGGGCTTCTTGCGCACACGGCGGCCGCCGCGGTTAGAGGAGCCCAGCACGCAGTCGCGGCGGTCGCGCAGGCAGCGCTGGCACGGCGGGCTGCCGGGGTTGCCGCTGCTGTCGCTGGGGGAGTCGGTTAGCGGGCGACTCCATCGAGACCTCATCACCAGAAAGAGAGACAGAGACTCACAGATCGCAGCGCGACTTGCGCTGGCGGCAGTGCAGGCAGGCGCGCGAGACTCGCTTCATGGCGGGCGGCGGGCAAGTCGGGGCAAGCGGCGGCCGGGCGGGCGGTTTTAAGGCGGGCAGGGCAGCAGCAGCAGCAGCAGCAACAGCGCTCCGGCTCGCTAGTTAACGAGTTAGTTAGTTAAACTAACCAGCTAGTTAGTTAGTTAGTTAGTGAGCACCGGCGATCAGCGTTGGCGACGCAGCGCCGCCGCAGCAAACAGGCAGCACGGCGAGACGAGGGCAGCCGATGAGTGAACTAAGGTGGTTAATAACGTACGGCCGACGGGCGGCCTGACTAACGGCGTGTTTGCTGCTACTACTGGTGCTGCTGCTGCTGCTGATTCTGCTGTGGCCGCGGCGGCCGCCCGCAAACGAACGGCGCGTTTGTCACGCCTGGCGGCCCGGATGGCAACGCGCGAGGCAGTGAACCCGCTCACTACTGCCACCCGCCGGTACCCGCCCCAGCAGCAGCAACAGCAGCAGCAGCACTCTGTGTGTGTTTTACTAGCCAGCTGCCATGCGATCCTCCGCCCGCTCGCCAGCGCAGCGCACCAATCCTGCCAGATCATCGATCGCAATCCTGGCGCTGGGCTAGAAAGCCGATCGCCTGCCCCCCGGGCGTGCTGACGACGTCGTGTGTGCGCGCCGATGGAACGCCGGGCTCTCGGGCTCTGCTCAGCCTGCCTGCACTGCACTGCACTGCGCTGTGCTGCGCTGGTCACGTCGCGCTTAGTTAGTTCCGTTCGTTACCAGCCGGCAGTGCCTCCGTACCGCCCGCCCGCCGCCCGCCGCCCGCCGTACCGTAACCTTACGAGCCAGCCCCGCCGCCCGCGCGCCAAGCCTGGCCGTTGCTGCCGCCCCCAATTGCCGGCGTGGCCGCTTTGTCGTTCCGCATCGGGCAGCCTGCCGCCGCCGGCTACTCACTGCCCGCTCCTTTCCTCTCACTCCTCTCACTCCTCTCACTCCTCTCTCTCCTCTCCTCGCCCAACCCCCCTTCCCCCCCTTCCCCCCCCCCATGCCCCCCCCGCCCGCCCTCGCGCTCTTCTCGCTGCACGGCCAAACCGCCGTCGTCACCGGCGCCACGCGCGGCATCGGCTACGCCATGGCCCTGGCCCTTGCCGAGGCCGGCGCCGACCTCATCCTGGTGCAGGTACGCTCTCTCTCGCTCTCTCTCTCTCTCTCTCTCTCTCTCTCTCTCTCTCTCTCTCTGCCTCTCTCTCTCGCTCACCCCACCAGCGGGACGCCGCCAACACCGCCGCCCGCGACAGCATCGCCCGCGCCACCGGCCGCGACGTCACCATCCACGCCGCCGACCTGGCCGACCGCGTCGCCGTGCACAACCTCATACCCGCCCTCGCCGCCGCCGGCCGCCGCCTGCACATCCTGCTCAACTGCGCCGGCATCCAGCGCCGCCACCCCGCCCACGTCTTCCCGGACCATGACTGGGACGAGGTACGTCCGGCCCCATCGCTGCCTTGTTTTATTGATTTTTTTTTTTTTTTTTTTGCCTATGGAATGCCCAGTCCTCTTAATTTCACGCCCCCGGCGCTCCTGTAGGTCCTGCAGATCAACCTGACCTCCGTCTTCACCCTGTGCCGCGCCTTTGGCGCCTACCTGCTCGCCGCCGGGGACAACGACGGCAACACTAGCTGCAGCTCCGACCCACCGGTCCCGCTCCCGCTCCCGCGCCCGCCGCGGCGCCGCGGCGCCATCATCAACGTCGCGTCGCTGCTATCCTTCCAGGGCGGCGTGACGGTGCCGGCGTACGCGGCGGCCAAGGGCGGCGTGGCGCAGCTGACCAAGGCGCTGGCCAACGAGTGGGCGGCGCACGGCATCGCGGTCAACGCCATCGCGCCGGGCTACGTCGACACCGACATGAACGCCGCGCTGCTGCAGGACCCCGCGCGCCGCGCCGCCATCACCGCGCGCATCCCGCTGGGCCGCTGGGCCGCGCCCGACGACTTCAAGGGCGTCGTCGTGTTCCTGGCCAGCGAGGCCAGCGCCTATGTCTCGGGCGAGCTGGTCTGCGTCGACGGCGGCTGGATGGGGAGGTAGTCAACCAGCCAGCCTGAGCTGGAGGTGGGCTTATGTCTTTCGGGTCTTTCAGATCTTTCACCATGGGAACGCGGGATGGCTTCCTGGGGCTCAGTCGCGCAGGAATGGGTATAATATAACTAGGTATCATGAATGCATTCGTTTCGAACCGGCCTGGCCCATGCCTGCGGCTCGTCCATCGTACTAATGGCGATGCGGCCACATCAAACTGCAGATCGACCTCGCGGTCTCTCCTTTCATTATGCATTCGTCTGGGGGCGCCTGTCTGGCTCGAAGGAGGGTCCCATTGGGTATCTAGGATGGACGGACTCCGTAGAATCACACGTAAATGAACGCTCGTCTGCTGGAACGGCAGTCAGGATGCGACAGTCTGAAGCGATAGCCAGAGAACGCGTTTGGCAGGAGGCAGGAAGGGTGGTTAACTACTTCACTACTCTATAATCAGTTAACTAGCTAACTACTAACTTGGTACCTAACTTACCTAGTTAGTTCCTGAACTCCGACAGAAACAGTGGCGAGAAACAGCCGTGCAGCCCAGCCCAGCCCAGCGCCGCCCCCCAGCCCCGACACCGCAGCCAATCACCCGCGCCAGGCCTGCTCTCGCCGCCGGCCCCGTTGTTTCGAGTCCGCGCCTTTTTTAAGCCGGGCGATGTCTATTCCTGTTTCACGTTTCACCCCATATCAGTCTGGCGAGCAACCATGCCCGTCCTGGCCCTGCGACTGGCCCATGCCTTGCCTGCCTGCCCGCCCGTCTGACCCATGCATGCGGGCCCCGCTGGGCGACACGCTCGCTGCGCCCGTTTGTTTGTCTGTCTATTATCTGTCTCGCTGGCGCCGGCCCTTTTTTATCTTCAGCCCAGCCCGCCCGGCCCTGGGGGCGCGCCAAGTTCGGGTTCTGCAGACTTGGCTGTTCTGTTGGACGTTGCTGTTCGTTGTTGGGCCAGATACTTTTTTGGCACTGCTTGTCTTGGGTCTCTCCTTTTGCCTCTTTTTTTTTCTTTCGCTTCTTGCTGTCGCGCGTGGCTGCGCCGCTTGCGCCCGCCATAGGCTCGCTACTAGTGAGTTTGGTGGAGGAATCAGAACTCAGCTGCTTTCTTCTCTCTTTTTTTTCTCACCCTCTTCTTTCATCTCCTTTTGGTCTCTCGTTCTCCCCCTTCCTGTCTAGACGACGGAAGAATAGTGCATTCTGCTTTCCGAGCTGGTCTTCGTGAAAGCGTTGTGTTGTGTGGTGTTGCGCGCGTAGTCGGTATCAGCCCTCCCCCGCACCGGCGTCGATTTCAGCTCCAGGCAGTGAGACAAGCAAAGACACCTCCCGGGCGGAACTCGGGCCTCTCGCTGTCAATAGCCATTCATTCCCGATTCACCATTCTCGCCTAACTAGTCCTTCGTTTCTTCCTGCGTGCTGGTCACTGTGTCTCAGACCACGATGAGCTGGTGTTAGCTAGGTCAGCAAGCTACTTAGAGTGACAGCTCCCGCTCAATTCAAACTGACTGGAATCATAGAGCATTTTTGATTTTGATTTTGGTTTTGTTGCCGCTTGTGCTACATCGCCGCCGCCGCCGCTGCCCGTGGCTTCCAAAAGACATTGCGAGACACCTGTCCGTCAGCTCACGCGGCCCCCGAGAAAGGGGGCTGTCGGCGACCTGAATTTCGTCGCAACAAAACGGCCTCCTCCCTCGCGCCGCCCTCAAGTTACCCTAGACCCATGTTGACGCAAGGCTGGAACCGCAATGTTACCCAACGCCATTCGTTCGCAGACCCAAGCTTTGGCCGTGCAGCCTGCATTGTTATTTATTATTTGCGGGCCACCAGGGTACCCCCCTTTCGGCGAGTTTGATCGCGAAAAGATTTATTTCTTTTTACCCCAGAGCAAACAAACGTAGTGCGGCGACGTACGCGTCGACGTTTTTATACTCCTGGTAGTCGTTCTATTTAAATTCAGCTCTTTTTTTTTTTTTTTTTTTGCGTTGCTTGACTGTAAATGCGCCGCGCTAAAGCATAGCTGTCCCTGATCACTTAACTACCTCTTAGGTTGGCGAAATTTTTCGTATTGACAAGCCTAGGTACCTCCGATCGAAGCGCAAGGCCGTCGATTCCATTACGCACGCCACTCAACCCATGACTACACCGAGAGGATGGCCCGGTGTGCCGTTAGTACGAGTTGGACCGATCCCAGGGCGCTGATGCAACGATGGCGCTTCTATCCCCTCGTTTTATCCATCCATCGCCCAAATAATAATACGTTTTTTTTTTCTTTCGTTTCACTCATTGCCAGCCTCTTTATAACGAAGCGAGAGAATACCCCATTCTCATCCCGACTACTTGCTAACTTCTATCCATGGCACTAGCGAAGTTGCTGCTGAAGTGGCCCCCCCTTGGAAATCGCCGTCGAAAATTGGCGGATAAGCTGTCACCTCAATAGACGAGAAATTGTCGTTGAAGTCCCAAATCTTTTGCTGCGCGACTGAGGGAAACAATCCTGTTGCTGCACAGCATGCGACGATAGAAAAATTGGTCATCCGTGGACCGAGATTAAATCAAATATTATCATGCAAGTGCTGAAGAGTCCTGCCAATTGTCAACGAGACTGGACATTGGCATCCTTTACAAAACAGGGCTGCCCCTAGTCAATCGACTGAATATCATGCTGCATTGTACGGAGTACTCCATACATCTTATCAAAAATCAAAGGAATCTGCGATTCACCAGAATGTTTGCAGTATGCCAATGTATTGAAACGCGATAGAGAGTAAAGATTGTAGTCAGTTCTTAAACCAGCAATCGCTTGTTAATCAGACAGAGATATGCATAAAAAAAAAGCGAAAAAACATTTGCCCACACTCAGAGTCGAACTGAGGATCTCATCATTACTAGTGATGCGCTTTACCAACTAAGCCATATGGGCTACCTGTTGAAAGTTTCCCGCTGCCAAGTAGTTTGTTATGTTAACTTGTTCAACAAGAGCAGATAGTAATCGACCGCAAACCCTGTACAAGTTATAGAATTTCCCGCATCTACGTAGTATCCTAGCCCTCTGTGAGAATAGGACACCAATGTCCCCTTGTAACCGGCAAGTTTCGTGGCGGAAAAATGTCGGCGAATTAGCCAATGGGAGCACGCCCACCCAGAATGCTGAAAATCGATTGGCCCGGAGACCAAGTCGCTTTACCGGCGTCTACTCAGTACCACCATATCCTCCTTCTGTGCGGCCATGCTAGGCCTTCGGAGGAAATATCGTACGTTTCTAAAGAATATGTGGTTCTATATTCGCTTAATGCAATTTGAAGCCTACAGGCAACATGATTCTAGATCTGGTGGGCCCCGCCCTATATATTCTACCCCCTATATGTCGCCCTGTCATTGGCAAGTTATAACAAGAATGCCAACGCAGCAGCAGCTACTGTGGCAAGGCCGAAAACGAAAGATCCCGTTTGAATGACATGTTTATTTGTCAGATATTTCGCCGAGGACCAGACGAGAATCCGAGACCCGTTGACAACGTGAAATGCGAAAGGCCACGCAGCGAGAAACTTTAGTCCCGCCTTAGCAATCAGCGGCAGCGCGCCAAATGCAGTCGCCATGGCTGTTGTCGAGAGGTCCCAGCCGAGGTAAGGGGAAACAAGGTATGCCGTGCCGAACAGGTACAGCCCGCCAGAGAACACCATGCCCGTAAGACGCTCAAGAGCGGACGAGATGGCGCCAATCTGCCATCTGTAGATAGTAAGATGCGGCGCTACAGGCCGACTTAGGCGTTGAGCGGCAAGGGCTTTTTGGGCATCTAGAGGAGTAATGATTTGATAGTCCGCGGCCTTTGTAGATTGGAATCTGTGTATGTCAGGGCTACGGGGAACAAGACTCTGGGCATTAACAACGTACCGGACTTGATTGGCGATAGCAATCGCCAGCGGCATACGCCGGGAAATTGCCAGCCGGGAGAGAGCTAACGACGACGGTCTGCATACTGCGGTAGTTAGTAGATATAAACATTCGGCATATATATCTGGGCTTGGCTTGTGGAAGGTTAAGACGTACAAGACTGCAAAGCCATGGTGGGTGGATATGAGCAGAGAGCACTGACCGGAAGGCAATTTCCAGTACAGCAAGATTTCCGTGTTTTGAACCTCGAAATATACGAAACACTCCGTATTTTACGATGACGTGGTATCGGTGTATCATATCTAATTTTAAACATTACATAAGCCGAACCGCATCTAAAAAACTATGTTAAAGCGGCGGAATTTTCACCCCCTCTGAGCTAACCCAACGTCCACTCTATTCGCACGGCGGAAAGCCCAGCTTTCAAGTGTTTTTGACATAACAATTGGATTCCGCGCTTTCGGGAAAAGATTTTGAGAGATACCAGAGTACACGTCATCGTGCGTGCTGCTTCTACCTGAGCGCGAGATATTAGCAAAAAAGATGTCTGACCGGGGCGCCTTTCGCGGGGGGTTCTCTCGCTCCGGAGGCCGTGGCGGGGGACGCGGAGGTGGCCGCGGTGGCCAGAGAGCCGGCGGCGCAGGACATCAGCAGTCGCAGCAGCAAGGACAACAGCAAGAAAAGCCAAAGAAGGAAAACATCCTGGATCTAACTAAGTACATGGATAAAGAGGTGTACGTGAAATTCAGCGGCGGAAGGGAAGGTCTGTGCTTCGCCATCGCTTGAGTGTGTTGTTTTTATTCCTCAGGAAAATCTACCTGGAACTTTGGCTATTATTTTTAAGTGCAGCGTCGCACATTATGCTGTTGGAGCGTCCCTGGTCTAACATCATTTTGGCTACAGTTTCCGGTACCCTAAAGGGCTACGACCAGCTTATGAATCTTGTTCTGGATGATGTAAAAGAGACTATGCGAGGTAAGGCAGCCTTCTAGCTTTTTTAGAGCCGAGCTCATCATTATACATAGATGACGAAGGTAATGAGACGACACGTTCTCTGGGGCTCATTGTTGCACGCGGAACGCTTCTGGTTCTAATTTCCCCCGTTGATGGGAGTGAAGAAATTGCCAACCCTTTCCTCCCGCAAGAGGAAGAATGAAGAGGGCACGGAACGCCTTGAGAAGCCCTTGCCTATTATTTTGACGATTTGGGCGATGTATACCCAAAACTTTTTGTAGATCCCACACGCAATCAGACTCCAGCCGATTTGATTGTGCGCGTGTGCATGTCCGAACATCCGCATATAGTGCAATGGTACTTGCACTCGGGGGGCTCTGCCACCTTCGCGAGCAATGGGAGGAACAAATGGCTGCCGCCAGATGGCGCAATAGGATAGGGAACGACTGAAGTGCGGCAATGTAGATAAGAAGCTGGGTTCCGTATTTTCCATACATCTAAGTTGAATATTGTAGTGCACCTGTTATCCTAACAGCCACGGGCTAGTTGTTCCAAGTAGATTTGACTTCGTTAGGGGAAGCCGCTAACGCCCTGGTCAACGGGCGTGCTTCCTTGGAACCCCATTCGAGTTAAAAGGTGCTTTGGGGCTCTTCTTCAGGGTAAAGAAGCACCACTCCAGAGTATTCATCATAAAAATGACTTCATCCAACCGTTCCCCTTTCAAAAACCCTCAAGCCAGTACATATCAACTGCCGCCCTCCCAAGTTATAAATTCGTCGAATATCCGTAAATTCCACCAATCTCTCCCCTCATATTCCGTTTCGCCCCTCATCCTTCTTCCTGACATTGCCAAAGCTCTCGGAGTCAAAGCAGTCTTCATTAAGGATGAGAGTAGCAGGTTTGGGTTGCCTTCCTTCAAAATCTTAGGCGCTTCCTGGGGAACTTTCTGCGCTTTGACCGAGCATCTAAAATTGTCCCCAGAAAATACCAGTTTAGCCGAACTTGCGGAGGCGGCGAAAGCTAACAGTGTTAAACTATTTGCGGCAACGGATGGTAACCATGGACGGGCAGTAGGGAGGATGGCCAAACTTCTAGGAATTGCGGCAACCATCTACGTTCCTGGTTTATTGGATAGCTATACCCAAAATTTGATTGCTACTGAAGGATGTGAAGTTATCCCTATAAACGGTGACTATGATACCACTGTTCGCGCGGCAAGCGAGCAGGCGATGCTACTTCCAAATGGAATTTTGATTCAAGACACATCTTTTGAAGGATATGAAAAGATACCGGCGTGGATCGTGGAAGGATACTCCACGATGTTGGACGAGATCGATTCCCAGCTCCACGATATGTCTCTAAAGCCTACACTTCTCGTCACGCCTGTCGGTGTTGGCTCGCTCGCACAAGCCGTTGTTGCCCATTGCAAGTCTACTAAACCGCCAATTTCCGTCGTCACCGTGGAGCCAGACACTGCAGCCTGTCTCCATACCTCGTTAACGGCCGGGAAAATCATCCCGCTTCAAACAACCGGGACCATCATGAGCGGCCTCGATTGCGGAACCGTGTCTTTTACCGCCTGGCCTATGCTTCAAGCCGGAGTGGATATCAGTACAATGGTATCAGACCTCGAGGCCCATCGCGCCGTGGAACTTCTCGCAGCTCAGGGCGTCAACTTGGGTCCATGTGGTGCTGCTACGCTGGCCGCTATTGAGAGCATTTCTACTTCCAATCCGAGCATTCTCAGCTTAGATTCCGTGGTGGTATTACTAGGTACAGAAGGGACTCGACCATATATAGTCCCTGTGTCACCGGTATCCTGATATCAAAATCAGGGTGCCTTGTTCAACATCTCTGTATGGGTCAGATTAAGATGAATAAGACAAATGAAGAGTTTTCGATCAGATAATAGAACGTAGCATCGGCAGACAGCAAATTTTGCTATGCAGAAATAATATTCATATTCGCTTTAATATCTATGTGGTAAGGATAAGTGAGGATGGAATGACGTTCCAAATAGCAGACCAAAGTGCTCATGGGTCGATTGCATACGATTTATCAGATGCCATGCTCAATAACGATAAAATCTATTTATGTTATATTATCACTGTTACTCGCCGTCCGACGACTCATCGTCTATAGTTTCGACCAACAAATTGCTTCCATGTCCAACTCGTTGTTTCATTGATCCTCCTGTTTCAAGGTCGTATACAACACGGGGCATAGGGGACACCAAACGAAAACCGTACTTGTGTTCAAAGCCATGTGGCCTCTCCACCTGGATTTTCGAGGAGCCAGCTTCCTCGGATTCTGCCTTGAAAACTTCATAGCATTCTACAAAAGCGTACAAGTCTTCGAGGCTAGTGTTTCCCGAAAAGCGACGAATAACTCGCTCTCCAGAGACAAGGCGAATACTAATCCGTATTGCATCTGGGTCTGTCATGGCTGGCTCTGGAGAAATTGACTGAGCTCGCCACTTCTTCCATTGCTCAAGGTCCCTAGCAAATTTCTCGGTGGTGGCTTCTTTTTCCTTTCGTTCCTTTTCAAGTCGTGCTTGTTCTAGTTCTGCTTCTCGTCTCTGCCGAGCACGCTCGCGGTCAATGGCGAGCGAACGCTCATATGCGGAGTCTTGCTGTTCACGGATTGACCTGGAGGCTTGCTGCTCGGCTCTAGATGATCGAGCCCGGTCAAGTAAAGCTTTATTCTGGTCCATGGCGGACCTGGCCTTTTCTAGAAAAGCGGATGGGGAAGTTAACCCGGTCATTCGCGCAATGACCGACATCGCGGAGGATGAAACGTTTGGTGTATGGGATATTACAGCAGCAAAAGGGAACTTCGTGCAGCGAAGAGAATGGGCGACCTGGTACGCCTCTGAGTCTTGTACGTTCCCACCCCACAATAGGACATTATTCCTGGGGTCAGCTAGAAAGGCTTTAACCTGTTCGCTGAGAAGTGTATCCTTAACCCAGCTATTCGTGTAATCATGTTCTGGGGATAGAATAATCACGACAAGGAATTTTAAATCTCGGTGAGCCTTTTCCACAGCCATGTTGTAGCCGCTTTCCAGCCAGTGCAGCGTATTAGGGCCATATTCCTCCTCGAATTCGCGAATGAAGCGCACTGCTGTGTCCTTTGGGCCCAAAGATTTACGACCACTTGTGTTCCCTTTGGTATTTCGCAGAGTTGATGATGTAAACGCACTCAATATTCGGGGCAAGAACGGAAAAAGCGTTCCAAATATACGAAGAGAGCTCACTAGCATTCGAGAGAGAAGGTTGAAGGGGGAAAATAGAATGGCAAGGAGAAAAGGCGGCTGGAAGGTAGTTGGTTCGCTGGGTTGCGTGGATATTCTTGGAGCGGGTTCTAGGCCGCGAGCGGCAGAAGAGGGTTGAGGGGAGAGGTCATCAAGTTCATGGAGCAGATTTCGTGTGACTCGTTGGGGTGGCAATGCCTGAGCTTCGGCGAGCGGATCAGGACCCTCACCATCAAAAAACTTGGTGATTGCAATCTACCCGGCTGGTCAATAAACAGTTCAATATGCACCAATAAGTCGTCGCCCCTACCTGAGCATTCCATTCGGACCGACTGAGCAGTGGAATTGCTTCTGAAGGCTCCTGCCCAGTCACTGCAATATACGTCTGTAGGGTTTCTTGCTGTGCCGGGGAAAGGCCAGCGGTGCTGGTATCCTCATCCGACATTTTCGCGCTTATCACAACGGCAAGGCCATGCGTGGCGAGCGGGTTGGTATCTGATGACCTAAAAAGGAGCTAGTTATCATACAAATACAAAGGGATAGATAAATGGCAGTTCTATTACAGATGGCAAACAAAATACTGAGGATGAGCTTCCAGCTTGGGGACAGCAACATTCTTGATTATATAATCGGTAACTAGTTATCGACATCGGCACTAAAGGCTGTTTGCCATGTTTGTGCCGATCACCTTTTATGTTTGGCGCGAGAATTTCAACTTGTATGACGAAACCTATTTTGGAGTCTCGTGGTGTAATATCTGAGTTGTATTGCTAACTTCGAGATATATATTCTAACATTCTAGTTCATAAAATTTCGACTATTAAACGCTCATATCTGGTCCTTAGTGTCATCAAATGGAGTAAAAAAATGGACAGAAATACAAAATGGACGAAATTATCTACAACACTTCGATTTTTGGTCCTGTCTTCCCGATTGTCCAGCCGGCTTTGACAAGCTCGCCGGCGCCAACAACTTCAAAGCCAAAGAGTCCCGTAGGACATGGGAATTTGGGAAATCCGTTGTATTTCTGGATCCAGTTCGTTTTCCCATTGAGTAGCACTTCTAAACGACCCTTGTGTTGATCTCTGCTCGGACCTGGGTGAGGACGCAGACCAGGAGGATTGAGGACAGTAAAAATATCCAACTGGCGGGATCCAGTGATACAGTTTGCACAGATTTCGAAAAGGAACTTGCAAGTGCGGCCTTTGTACGATTGGTCGAGGTTAAAGGTTACGACTGCGCTGGATTGTTCTTGCGGTTTATTGTCTTTGACCACGAAGAATGGCCCAGGGGGATTTTTCACGAGATTTCGGCTATTGATGAAGAGTCTGTAAGTATTTACAGGGGAAATTTGCTTGGGTTGCTTCTCAGGCTTCTTCTCAGGCTTGTATTCCGGATAATGCTCAGGCTTCTTCTCAGGTTTGTATTCTGGATAATGTTCAGGCTTCTTCTCAGGTTTGTGCTCAGGCTTGTAGTCTGGCTTGTAGCCTGGTTTATGCTCGGGCTTGTGGTCAGGCTTATGCTCGGGCTTGTACTCTGGCTTATGCTCGGGCTTGTGGTCAGGCTTATGCTCGGGCTTGTACTCTGGCTTATGCTCGGGCTTGTAGTCAGGCTTATGCTCGGGCTTGTAGTCTGGCTTATGCTCGGGCTTGTAGTCAGGCTTATGCTCGGGCTTGTAGTCTGGCTTATGCTCGGGCTTGTGGTCAGGCTTATGCTCGGGCTTGTACTCTGGCTTATGCTCGGGTTTGTGCTCAGGCTTGTAGTCTGGCTTATGCTCGGGCTTGTACTCTGGCTTATGCTCGGGTTTGTGCTCAGGCTTGTAGTCTGGCTTATGCTCGGGTTTGTGGTCGGGTTTGTGGTCGGGTTTGTGGTCGGGTTTGTGGTCGGGTTTGTGGTCGGGTTTGTGGTCGGGTTTGTGGTCGGGTTTGTGGTCAGGCTGGTAGTCTGGCTTGTAGTCTGGCACTTTATGCTCAAGCTTGTGGTCGGGCGTCTGATCGGGCGTCTGATCGGGCTTCTTCTCAGGTTTGTGTTCGTGCTTCGGATCATATGGAGGGTTGTGGTCATATGGCTTCTGATGAGGCTTCTGTTCTAGCTTCGGATCATAGTGAGGGTTGTGTGGCTTCGTGTCATATTTAGGTCCATGGTCGTATATATCCTTATTATCTGGGGCTTTATAAGGCGCCGCGAAGGCGATAGAGGATAACACCAGAAGAAGCGTGGTGCACTTCATATTATTCAAGCAAAAAGAATAAAAAGTCAGATAGATAAATAGTTTCTCATTCAAGATAGACTTGTTATTGAAAACACTCTTCTTAGATGAATGCCATATCCGCAAGAAGCTGTCGGATATTTATACCCCGTAAATATGGGGTTTATATTCCGTCTAGGATCGCGCTGACACTTCCTCTCATGAAAGAGTGCTCTTTTTTTTTACCCGTGCGCTACCTTGTGTTGAAACAGACACCACAAAACACGGTCCAAATTTGCGCTGTGTGGGTATATGCTCATGTTGCGCAGCCATTCCCCTCCTACTGTGGTCCTCCCGTAGGAGCACAGGAATGCATGGCAGGCTTCAGGATGGAGGAGGCTCAGCTCAGGTCATAAAACTTAAATTCGGCAGCTCGTTTTTTATGGTAGTTAAAGGATTGCGCGCTAAGACCCAAAAGAAGGATTGATGACATTGCGTCGATTTCCAGATTGTAGCGCAGATGCTGGCCGATCAACGGGCCGCCTTGTAGTTAACTACTTGGCTCTAAGGGCTGGCGCTAGCTTGGTAAGACAATGATTCTATAAATATTGGAATGAATAGTTACTCCGTACAGTACTGTGTCCTTCTAATAGCGAGCGGCCAGTTTAGCTATTTGAATGGATGATGTCTCTTCCGCGAGAGTTACTCGGTATGGTCATACAGGCCTTTGCAAGCATTCGATCTATTTTTATTAAACTGGCTCATTGTTTGCACACGTACTCTGTACACGCAAGCCACCTCATTTTCCAGAGACCAGTTATACACAGAGAAGAAAATTATGTCATTCATATTCGTTACTAAGAGTTGCTTAATCCTCCTACGAGATGCAGTCGTCAAGGTCATTCATACAACGCCAGATCGTATAAGCTTAGATTGCCCTGGAAATCCATAACCCAAATACAGCAATAAAACATCTTTCAGACAATGGCGTTTGGTTCTGTCCCATAATAGACCGTTTCTTTCTGGTTGTCGCCCTTCGCATTCACAGTATCGCCAACCGACAAGCCAGTGGTTGATTCCAAATTTTTCTCCCGTGGCGACGGACAAGTAGGCAGCAAAATGTCATCATCACTGCAGGCTGTGGTTCTATATGACTCCACATCTAGAACTGGTTCTAGAGCAGTCGGTAACCCAACCTTATTTTCTTCTATTTTTGACGTCATGTCAGACCGGAAGGTTGACCCATTCACCGAGACGGTGATGGAGGCACTGCGGGGAAGTGTGCTAGAGGTTGACGCTGATGCAAAAACCGTCGTCGTGTGCATCGGAAGCGTATGGTACGCCGTCACTGTTACCACATTTTGAGGTTCTGCCGTTGTAGGCGTATGCGTAACCCAAGTGCTAGGCCCTCCAAAGCAGCCGTAGCTAAAGGCTAGAGTCAGGATAATCGCGGATATCAGGCTTACGGCAGGATCAAAAAGAGAGAATTGCTCGAATTGGAACCGAGGCTGAATACCTAAACCCTGAAACTTCTTGCTTGGGAAATCAATGGCAAATCGACGCACCCAGCCCACATATGACAATTTTGGTAACTGTCTCTGAGTCCCTTGAATTTTATGATGAGAAGGTTGGCGAGACGCCTCGGCGCTAGAAGAATTGGTACCACTCATTTTCTGGCTTCGTTTGTCGTCGACGGAGCGGAGCTCCGCCTCCAGGCGGAAAATGTCTTCCTCCGCCATCCTTCGCTCCAACTCCCGCCTGATATCGCTTGGCAACCACAGCCCGACTTCCACATCAACCTTTTCCATATCCCTCCAAGCAGCTGCCCAAGCTCCAGCTCTCATCAACCCATTCGCGGCATATATCCTAACTTCCCACTTTCGTTCTTCACTTTCTGAAGTGTTTATGATATGTCGGCCACAGTCATCGCATTTAGCTCCGTCTCCAGAATCTATGACAGTGCATCCTGATTCATCCTTGTGTTCCTTGGTGTAGCTATCTGTACCGTCTTCAACCCCTAGAAAGTGGCCGTATGCCAAACGTGGTCGGATTAATTCTAAACTTTCTAGCAGGCGTTCCTCCAGTAGGTCATAAACTTCCTGTGGATGAGAAATAAGTACTCCACGGTCCCGTAAAACACCTGAAGCAGATACTTTGTCCTCAAGCAATTTCCACCGCCTCCAGTAAATATCTGGGAGCACTTCCTGTAGTAGTTCCGAATTTGGGGTGCCCATTCGAGTTGGGAGCAATAGTGATGGCGATAGTAGGGTGCAATGCAGAAGGACAAGTGGGTAGTCCCTTTTCGTCTCTTCTTCAAGTACCATTTGAGGTAGTGATCGACAATACTTTTGCATTGATGAAGATGGCGATGCCGCCCCGGAGTGCATGGGCATGGAAATCTCTGATATACTAGGCGACTGTGCGCGAAAGCTTTCCCTTTGCTTGCGCGCTCTTAATGTCATGTGGGCTGGTGAGAAAGCATCCAATTCAGAGTCCTCGTCACCCATTTGCATCGCCCGAACGGAGCTGGGGTTTCTAAAGGGGCAGTCTCCGTCTCGTCCTCGTGTCACAAACGACAGCTGCCGATTTTTCTTATCAGGGTAATGGGACCTCTCCACAGTACTAGAGTGGTGGTCATCCTCTCCGCTAGGTATATTTGCTTGTGCATGAATCAAAACTGAGCCTGGAAGGGAGGAGATGGACGAGCGGTGCGATTTCGTTCCGGCATATCTGTTCTGATGAATATTTCGATTGGAAAAATGGCTGAAATCTCTCGTCGACGGGCTAATCGATCCGTCGTCACTTGCTGTGGTTCCATAGTAGTCTCGATCAAGGTCATGCAGATACACGTCCTGAACACCCTTTTTCGAAGACTCCATTTATCGCTCAACCGTAGGTAGATTTTCGAATATTTTTCTCCTCGGTCAGAACGCCTCAAGATGTCATAAAACCGTTAGCCTTTTAGGTTTGGAGGGCCGTTGCGAGCCGCGCCGAAGACATAAAGTTGCTCAAGAATAAATGAATTCAATATTTGGCCTCCGCGATATCCGGAGACATTCTTTGGAATACTGACCGATCGAGTCCACGGATACGATCAACATGTGAAAAGCAACTGGCTCCCGAAAATGGTCGCCGTGGGTCGAGTCCTCATTAAATGTTTGCGGTGGTGGTGCTCCCGGTTGCCAGGGACAACGCCGAGTCGTCATGGAGCCGCGCAAACCACTACGACCGAACCTGCAGGTGAGCCGTGTTTGAGATATGCTGAGCTATGTAGTTGCTATTCAAACAAAAGGCCACTGCATCGAGAATCGATCAAAGTATGGATTATGGCTCTGGCCTCTGGTCTTCTTTTCAGTGCCTGGGAGATTGTTTGGTGGCGACCCTGCCCCTGGGCGCTCTGTAGTAGTTAGTTGCGGGAATCTACTATAGTCATAAGGAGTTGCTTATTTGGTCAAGCTGGCCGATATGGCCAGTCTCCCAGCTGCACTTGAATGCTAAAATTGTTTGTCTGGATGCCATTATTGTTTTGGCTGCCGCTTGTGCAACCCACACTATGTAACGATGCGGGGGCCCCTTCCCCGCATCGAACTGCAACGTCTATAACTATTCGGCGACGGTTGTCGTGACATAGTGTTGAACAAGTTAGACGTACACGGTGTCCTACAAGATATAGTTGCAGCTAAGTTATAGCTATGGCTTTTGATGATAAATATGAAACCTTTAGGTTGGGAGACTGGACTCTGCAGAGCGGAGAGACAATCCCAAACGCCCACATCGCCTTCAAGGCGTTCGGAGATCCTAGCTTGCCAGCGGTTGTCTATCCAACTTGGTATTCTGGCTGTAAGCCGTTGCTTGTGCATCTATGCTCGCATTGTGACTTCCATGGGCTGAGATATTTAATGCATAGTGATATCCCACAACTTCTGGCTGATCGGAGACGACAAGGTGCTCAATCCTAACAAGTACTTCATCATCATTCCCGCCCTGTTTGGCAACGGCCAATCTTCTTCTCCTTCAAACACTGGTATACGGCCATTCCCACGTGTGTCATTCTACGACAATGTGAGAGCGCAATATGAGCTTGTCACACAGCATTTCAAGATCGGCCATCTCCGTGCGGTGGTGGGTTGGTCTATGGGGGCTGGGCAAGCTTTCCAGTGGGCATCGCAATACCCTGACTATATGGATTTGATCGTTCCATTTTGTGGCTCGGCGAAGACGTCCTTCCATAACCAGGTCTTTCTCGAGGGGATAAAAAGCGCCCTGCTTGCCGCAAAGGGATTTACATCCTCAGGCTCGGGGAAGATTGGCGTGGCACTTAATGGAGGTCCATATCGTGAGTGGACGCCTGAGGAGCGAGAAGTTGGATTGAAAGCGTTTGCGAGGGTGTACGCTGGCTGGTAAGGAATATTAAATATGACGCTGTCGTTAAAACTGACGTATTTGTGATGTAGGGGTTTCAGTCAAACATTCTATCGCCAGAGGCTGTATGAAACAGTTCTTGGATACAAAAATCTCGAGGAATTCTTGCAAAAATTCTGGGAAGGCCACTTTGCACCAAAAGGTATCAATCCCGATAGCCATATCTCTTCGTCTATACTCATTTTCCCCCACAGACCCTGATGACCTTCTTGTCATGCTCCAAACGTGGCAAAATGGGGATATATCGCAACAGAGTCCATACAACGGAAATTTTGAAGCTGCACTTAAGGGTATCAAAGCACGCGCTTTAGTCCTACCTGCGAAGACGGACTTATACTTTCCGTAAGTCCATATTTTGCTAAGCAACAAGGACCAATACTAAGCAAGAACCATAGCCCTGAAGACTCGGAGTATGAGGTTGCCAACATGCGTGCATCTGTTGGTGAGATGGATGTTTTCCCGTCGATTTGGGGTCGTAAGTAATCCTAGAGTGTTGAGAAGGTTTAAAGCATAGCTAATTTATTACCTGTAGATTGGGCTGGAGGGCCAGGAGATAGTAAGGAAGATGTGAAATGGCTCAACGATAAAATGGCTCTGTTTTTCAAAGAAGTCCCTGAAAGACAGATGGCAATTCCACCTCCCGTGAGTGGATTAGAGGAACTGAAAATTTAGTAACTATACTAGTTATTTTTCTGCACTTACACAAATTGAAATTTTCAAGGGGATCTGAGAGAATGTATATTCTAGTTATTAGCTAACCTAACCCTAACCCAATGTTCCCCTATGCTATGTAGGTGTTGCCACATTGGTGTCCAAAAGGTCCCTCCCATTCCCATCCCAAGGTGTTGATTGTTTATCTGTGACGAAAGATTTACTGCTGTATTAGTTCCTAGTGATGTAGAAGCAAGTTTCGCTACTGCATTCAATAGAAACGGTCGAGACTATCGGAGGCAGCACCGTAGGACAACAGCCGTGAGTCGTAAACTTTCTCTGCCTCTTGAAGTAACTTACCTAGCCCATCGAGTGGGTCGTTTGAAGGATATCTCTCGATAACGTGCAGGTCGTCTGGTGGAAACCTCGCCATTTTTGTAGCATGAGCATTTTGTACTTTTGGAGAAAACACGTCAACACGCGCCTTGGTTTTGCTATGCCCGGAATATGGGATCTGTGGGCGACCGTAACATCGTTACAGTATTTTCAAACAAGGCTGCATAGAGCAAATTATCAGACAAAAGTAAAAGAAGCTTCCAAAGATTTTATGCTCCAATCTCTTACTATAGTAGGCTCAGCCTAGAAATTGCCTGATTTTCTTTAGAACAAATGGCCGACCACGGAGCTTTTATAGTCAGAGTGATGTTTTGAGAATGATGATAAGTGATGTAAAAGCAATGTGGTGGATACTATTTCCAAAGTGACAAAATGACAAATTGATGGTTTCAGATCAGATTAGGTCCTTAGGACTTCTGGGTGATGGTGGCCAATGGTGATGGTACAAAGGGGATGACTTTGGAAAACAGGAAGAAAAACTTTAGAACACATGACTCCACTAGTTAGTCAGTTAGTTAGCTCCATATCTTTCAGGGCTGATAATGAGGTAGCCTTCTCTTTCCTCCTGGAAGCTGTTCTGCTTCATCAGCCTTTTTTCGCCATTGACTGCATATTCAAGTTTTGTATCCTGGTGTTTTGGAGGGGGTTTTCATGTCTTTTTTGTAATTCTGTCCTGTTGTTATTCCATTCCTAAAATTGCCCCCTCCCCATCAACGCTACTTCTGTATTTGCTGTCGATTCAAACATTCCATTTTTCCTATTCACATATTGAAGGTTCTTGAAAATCACCTTAGTACTTATTTCCTTCAGAAACACCCTTTGTGATGGCTGCACCTCCAACAAAGCAGTGGGGAGTCACCCCCCCAATTTCAACAGTTCTACCAACCCAATCGGAGCTTACGGAGAACGACAATCTGATCGCGGAGCTCAAGCAACAAAACAATTTCGAGGCGCCAGCTGAAACGGAAAGAAGGTACTCCGATTCCTACTATTTTTGTCGTTATCGAGCTGAACATGACTTACGCAGAAAGCAATCCCTACATCTTATCCAACGCGTCACAATCGAGTTCGTCAGGGTTGTTGGTCGCAAAAAAGGGTTATCACAAGCCGCAATTGATGTTGCTGGAGGGAAAATATTTACATTTGGCAGTTATAGGCTCGGTGTATACGGACCAGGTTGGGTTGAGCGCTTTTAATACTGGAATGAATTTATGACTGACTCAACCAACCAACGGACCAGGTTCTGATATTGACACATTAGTTGTCGGCCCAAAACATGTGGCGATAGAAGATTTTTTTGCAGATTTCCCCCCGATTCTAGAGCAAATGGCACCCAAAGGTTCGATAGAAAAGCTAACACCTGTCCCGGACGCCTTCGTCCCAATTATCAAGTTAGAGCTTTCCGGCATTAGCATCGATCTCATATTCGCACGCCTCGTGGTGCACTCAGTTCCTTTGGGCCTTGACTTGAAAAATAAAGAGTTGCTCCGCGGCCTGGATGAGCGAGAAATACGCTGTGTTAATGGTACTCGTGTAACAGACGAAATTCTTGAACTCGTTCCTCAACAGAAGACCTTTCGCCTTGCTTTGAGAGCTATTAAACTTTGGGCGCAAAGTAAGTCCTCCCTCCCTAGATATGAATGTCCCTGACTTTTAACAGGCAGGGCAATATACTCTAATGTTGTTGGTTTCCCAGGTGGCGTTGCATGGGCCATGTTGGTTGCACGTGTATGTCAATTGTATCCCCAGGCCACCGGCTCAGTTGTTGTCGGGAAATTTTTTCGTATCATGAATCAATGGGGTTGGCCACAACCTGTGTTATTGAAACCAATCGAAGACGGACCGCTCCACATGAAAATCTGGAACCCGAAGGTGAATTCCTGATATTCATTACCCAAGACCCTTCCGCACCTCTAAATTTTAAGTCTAGATCTACCACGGAGATAGATTCCATCTCATGCCAATCATCACTCCCGCCTACCCGTCGATGTGCGCGACACATAACATCTCATTATCTACCAAAGCGGTTATCCTCCGCGAACTCAAGCGTGGTGGTGATATTGTTGATAAGATCTTCTTAGGTCAGCACCGGTGGAATGATTTGTTCGGCAAGCATACTTTCTTTTCAAAAGACTATAAATATTACCTTAGCATAACCGCATCGAGTTCGACAAAAGAAGCAGAGTCTGTCTGGTCAGGCCTAGTGGAATCAAAGCTTCGACACCTAGTCCTTGCTCTGGACAGAAAATCGTCATTTGAGATCGCGCATCCATTTCCAAAGGGGTTCGAAAGAGTACATAACTGTAAGGATGAAAAGGAAGCTGAAATCGTGAAGAGTGGCTCGACTCAGTTCCAAGTAAAAGGCATCAAAACAGCAACGACTGATGAGACTAACGACCCTGTACATGTGGCTGCTACCGAAAATGAAAGAGGTGCAATTCACATGCCAGAAACTGGAGCAGTCAGTAGTAGCACTATCTACACTACTACATACTACATTGGGCTTGAGCTAAAGCCGCTAGCACCAGGTATGCCATTTTCATCCTTCAACGTGATAAGCTGACTCTATCAGGTGCTTCTCGATCGCTGGATATTTCCTCGGAGACACAAATGTTCAAAAACATGTGCACTTCTTGGGCACAGTATCAACCCGGCATCAATGACTTAACAATCACTCATGTTCGTAGGTATGTTCAACTTCCGTTACCCATCCCGGTTTTTCTGGCCGATTCTAACCGGCCACCAAAGTTATGATTTGCCTGAAGATGTTTTCCGCCCGGAGGAGATTCGGCCGGTTCGCCCAAAGAAAAAGGGAACAAAGAAACCCGAGGCTACACAGAAACGAAAGATCGACGCCGTAGACGTAAGTTCCCGCCCCAGAAGGGTTTCTAACTTACTATGCAGCCAGGAAAAGCTCCGCTATGCAATTTTCCAGCATTAATGAAGGATGCAAAGCGCCCTTTACTGATCCAAAATGTTCTGTGTAGACCCAAGCATCGCCCGAAAACGCAACTAAGCGCCAGGTATCTGGAGAAGGAATCGCCGCAACTGCAACTGCTTGAGAACAAGGGTAACGGCTGTTTCGCATGTATTTGCTCTTTGTCTCAGATATGGCCCTTTTTGGTCGCTGTTGACAATTGAATGGAAACCTATGCTGGTAGCTTTCCAACGAGTTTTGGTAACTTGAATCTAACCTGTCTTAGTAAATGGCTGTCCGTGGAGAAATATCAATCCGTACGTTCTCTGTTCATGCCCCCGAAAGAGAAGCGCCCGCCTTCAATACTCTCAGGTTTTGTCGCAAGTCGCGGCTTCGGTTGACTGATTTACCTATTTTCGAGTGGGAAACAAGGCTTCCAGGAGTTGGGCGTTATTTCAGAATTGCCAGAAAAGGTCAGCTGCTATCATGTCTGCAACCCGTGTTTCTTTCCTATGAAAAGAACCATATGTGTACATATGGGATTGGATCTGTAGCAGCCAGCATTACATAGTTGCTAGCCCATCGTTAGACCACTTTAATAAAAGGAATTCTATATCAGAGCCTACGGGCTCTGCTGAGAAACTTTTCCAGGGTGCCTACTCTTCCTTCTCTTATGAACGTGGCGGTTTCTCTGCCGGCGCCCTACATATGCAGACCTATCCCTGATCCTCCCGACCAGGACAGGGACCGTTCTGTTGCATGTGTCGTACGGGGAAGTTGGGGAGTTCGCTTAAGTTCGCGCTAGCCCTAAAAGTACTGTTGAACCACATGACCTGGGTGGGACGAGTCAAAAATGACGGCAAAAAAAAAGGGTCGAGCGACACGTCACTTCCGCATCCTTACTGCCTCCCCTGTGCTTTGTTATGTGCTTCCCTCGTCCCATAGGTATTTTTATGGGGGGCTAAACCTCGCTACTTCTCTCATACGGAGCCCTAACTACTTTCTTTGAAAGACCATCTACAGTCGCAAACGGGAACCAGACTCGTGAGCCATCAAAGACGGTGCATTGGCGTTTTAAGATCCCTGTCCCACGGCAATTAGTTTAGGAGTGCTGTTGATACTAATATGCCCTCTGACGCTGTGCCATAGCACTGAAAGTGTGTGGTGCTAAACCAGACCAGCCCTTTCGTATAATAATAGCGTGTCTCAGCTAAGTCTCTATAACAATAACTAATCGCAGCAATTAAGAAAACGTGGAGGCCTAGATCTTGCATCCGGTGGAGTGTATTCCTACCAACAACTCTAAGCCTGAAAGCCTGAGCCCAGGAGCAGCACCCTTGTCCCAGACTCCTGCACCTTTTCCTTCTCATCGGTCCTCACAGCCGGGAAATCTATACAGACGGGTGTTCAGGAGCTATGGCTTTTTTTTTTTTTTTTGTTTTTTTTTTTTTTTTGACACACCATCCGAAACATTTATTTTCCACTAAGTTACTCTACACTATGACGGGGCCGTTTCCCCCCTTCAACGACCATTGACCCTTTTAATCTCTTATATATCCTGAACCCTCGTATGACCCACGGAGCATGTTTTGATTCTAGACTTCTTCCTTCACTCCGCTCTGAATTCTATTCCTAAATTCCGTCGCCAAATGGAGCCGGAGGCTTGGAGCTGAGTCTGTTTGTGCCTATCGCAACCGGATATTAATTTTGTTTGGAGCTCTGAACGCCGCACCACTTACCCAATAATAATGATTTGTCGTAAAAGAAGTGAATGAATGGATAAAGGTCTCTTATGCGTAACTTGCCTTTATTATAGGTTAACTACGGAGTACTTCGTATATTTCTCATAAATATATGCTCTTGTCCAAGCAATTGATTGTTATTTTACTCTTAGAGTACTAATCGGATACTGGCAGCGCCGACTTCACATATTCTTTTTGTAGTCATCTCGTCTATTACGTTGAAATTGTCCTTTGGCGTGGTGGTAGATGGTTGGTGTCTTTTAGCTTGGATGTTGTCCTTGGTCTTGGCATTCCTCTGTACGGAGTAGCCTCAACTGCACCTCAACCAAATACTTAGAAATTGAATTCCAATTGGATTCATAACCTTATGGTGAAAAGGCTGTGGACTCGGAGACAGTCGTCGCCCCGCTCCAGCTCTCTACTATTCGCTCTCCAATACTTTTCCAACCCCAACATTTCTGAATTTCGACGTTGACATAGGCCAAGCTCTCCTGTTTTGTGAAGTCAGTTTCGCGAACCAAAGAAACATTCAGGGCAGACTTTACAGTAATAAAGAGAGATGATGATTTCCCCATTTTGGCACATAAAGATATAGTGTTTGGTCTGCTTTACTGCTAATCACATAACATCAGTAACTGCTTACTCGTGTTATCACCTCTTGACTGACTCCCATCTCACAAGTGTAGAACTTCTCATAACAGATCAAAGGAAAAGATGCGCAGAGCTGCTATTAGGTATATTCCAACCATTTACTTCTTGTATTGCTCAAATTGAAGCCGGCAGTTACGACCCATTAGTCTCAAGCGGCAGTCGTTCAGGAATGAACTTGCAGGGGTTCCGGTGGACTGGCACCGATATTCCAGATGAAAGATAAGGGAAGAATCTGGTGGCTACTAGCAAAATAAGATGCTGCGGTATCTTCTGATCTGCAACTGGCGCAAGCTCATTATAACGGAGCCTCAAGTCGAAACCACCCTTCGCTATACACGATTCTGTAATGAAACTCCCTGACATGGACACTTGCGCAAACTTGAACTACCAGACGGGTTTTGCTTTACCAACCAGAAATTCTTCAGTTTGATCAGAAATGTTGGGCAGCACAGACCGCGGAGCTGCTTTTAACAGTGATTCAATCTGTGTGCATTTGGACCTGGTCAAACTCCTTCAAACAGAGTTAAAAAAAGTCAAACGTCAAGGATCAGCTTTGCATTACATACCCCCTTCCCAGCACCGGAGATCTGCAGAGCTCTCCTCTCCAGCCATGAATTATGATTGGACGGATTGTTGCACGCAGATCTGCTTGGTTTTTGCATTAAAAGCTTTTGTGAAGCATTTTGCGGGCTTATGGTTGACCATTCTGAATAATATCTTGTCGGGCTTCCGCCTACATTATCGGGAAACACAGAAATTGGGCTACTTATTCCAGTGCTGCAGTTTTCAGGGAAAATACAGTTTACCAGAGGACAAAGATGTTCTCATTAGAAAATTTGCTGCGGGAATTGAAACCTAGAGAATTGAAGGGGCTTTGAATTCAGACAAGGTTCAGAGCCGGATTGCTGAGCTGGACCAAATATACCAAGGAATGAAACGTATTGTTGGGGTTGATCGCCTAGGTTATACCAAGGGACTCCTTTAACAATGGCGTGGTTTAGACTGCCTCTTGCGCGGGCAACACGAACTAGTGGGAAAGATTATGCTGAGTACATACAGTTAAACTTGCTGTCCCAAGCAGAGACAATAATATCAAGAATTGGAAACAGAGAAATCAGCTGGAAATTTGGTAAGCAATTAAATTAGCTCGGCAACTTGAAGTGCTTGAATCTAACAATTCTTAACTGACAGGAAAACTGGATTAAGTCTACATCCATTCTGTGCCGCTAACGACTAGACCGCCACTTTTTATAGCCTCTGACATTCGCCTTCTCCTCCACACGGAATGACAGGAACCTTGTATTCCCGCAGAGAACTCGGTACTCAGATTGCCAAGGCGAATAGAATGGCGTCCTCTGGCTTTCTGAATTTGCCGGCACGTTCACCTATTTTTTCTGGGGCCGCATCCAATCCAGGTCACTGAATTCACATGAGATTGCAGGCTGCTCCGTACTCCGTATTCCGCTACAAATATGGACATGGACTACGGAGTAGAGGGACGAGGAACTCAAGGGGCGTATGGAGTTCATCCGTAGCCATACCAGGAAGGTGGCCATACTCTCCCCCGCAGTGGCAATCCTACGAATAATTGGCATTCCAACAGCACCAATTGATGCAAAAGCTTTGTTTGAGCGCTTTCACTTTCTGGAAACGGTCCCAGCACACCGGCGATGGTAGGGATACCTCTACACTCAAAATTCTTACCATCCGAGTACTTCAACAGAAATTATATGCGTGTGACTGGACAAAACATGTCTCGAAACACGCTGCTGATCAGCCGTTTTTTTGTTTTTGATTTCTTTTTTTTTCTTTTTTTTTTCTTTTTTTTTTTTTGCAATTTCGGATGAGTGGAACTTTGGTTGCAGCGTTCTTCTAGTAGCGGTCTTCGGGGTCTCCGTGCTTTTTTAGCGGCCATCCGCTAAGCCCTTCCGATCAATGTCCTCCTCAGGTCGACAAGACGCACCGGAGATAGAGAGGCAATTTCGCGGCGCCATTGGCCGAGAGGCGCTTCTTTTCGGGCCTGTGCTCAGGATCGACGGTTTCACGCATCATTCTGGCCCTGTGGCGTGCGCAAGGGCGTCGGATTCCGCGCCGGTAGTGCAAATCCACTCGAACCTTACTGCTCGACGGTCTACATCACTGGGCTGACTGACTGCCCGATCATGTTTACATTATCATTGCTCGTCAGCTGATTATTGTTATTTATTAACTAAAAGGTCTTGGGTGTTTCTGCGGAAATGACATGACCAAGTTTGACTGCTGGTTGTTTGTGGGGATGGTACTGCATCCCCACAAACTCAATATTGGGTTCAAGACTAACCCCGGATATGGAGCGCTGTATAGGAGAGATTCCTTCCGGCATTTTCACATGGTGTCTGCCACGGCACTGAAAAGGCACGGTTTGGGAACGGTCTGGAAATGTAACAAGGGAATACCTCGCTGATTTCCCAGCCTGGACAGGGTTGCTTCTCTTAAGTGCCCCGCTAAAAGCTTGCTCGCCTCCCGCGCCTTCTTAGGATGCGGAATAAAAATTTGATGGCAGCCAAGCAGACATGTGAGAAAATTCTATGTAGCTACCTACGCTCTGTGAAGACGCGCAAGATCGACGATGAGAGCCAACGTATATAAACATACCCTGCGGCCGTGCCCATTAGGCCAGCGCGACTTGTGCCTGCAAGATCTTCCTCTGGCCGCTGTTGGCTGATATCGTTGAATATGAAGAACTGGGCCCCATTTGTTGGTGCTCTGGCCGCTCTTGTGCCAGCTGCCTATGCTGCTCCTGCTCCTGCTCCCGCTGCCGCTCCAGCTCCGGCTGCCCTAGAGGAACGGGGACCTGATCCAACAGTGCAAATTCCCCAGCCTCAAGCCACCGTCGTCGGCTCCTCGATACTGTCTGTGGATACCTTCAATGGTATTCCCTTCGCCCAGCCTCCCGTCGGCCAGCTTCGCCTGAAGCCTCCACAGCCATTGCAAAAGTCTCCCGGCACAATCATTGCAAAGGGTCTTGCCAAAGCCTGCCCTCAATTCTATTTCAGCGTTGGCGAGGGTCAGTTTCCCACCAACGTTTTGGGTGAAATTCTCAACACTCCCCTATTCCAAAAGGTGTCGAATGCTGGTGAAGATTGCTTGAACCTCAATGTCCAGAGACCTGCAGGAACCAAAGCTGGTGACAAGCTCCCTGTTCTTTTCTGGATCTTTGGCGGCGGGTTTGAACTAGGAACAACCCAAATGTACGATGCGACGAGTCTAGTGAGGGAATCTGTCAATCAAGGCAAACCAACTATCGTTGTTGCAGTCAATTATCGTGTTGGTGGCTTTGGGTTTTTAGCGGGAGCTGAGGTCCTTGCTGATGGCGCTGCCAATCTGGGTTTGCTAGACCAGAGATTAGGCTTGCAGTGGGTGGCAGATAATATCGCTGCCTTCGGTGGAGATCCCGAGAAGGTAACGATCTGGGGTGAATCTGCAGGTGCGATCTCTGTTATGGACCAAATGACCTTGTACAACGGCGATCACACATATAAGGGAAAACCCCTTTTCCGCGCCGGTATCATGAATTCCGGAGGTCTCGTCCCCGCCGACCCAGTCGACTGCCCCAAGGCACAAGCAGTCTATAATGCTGTGGTCAAGGAGGCAGGCTGTTCCGGCACCAACAATACTCTTGAATGCCTCCGGAATACAGACTACCAGACCTTTTTGAACGCCGCAAACTCTGTCCCCGGAATCCTTAGCTACAATTCTGTCGCCCTCTCCTACCTTCCACGACCTGACGGCAAGGTTCTCACTAAATCCCCCGACCTCCTTGTCCTCGAGGGCAAGTATGCAAAAATTCCAGTCATCACAGGAAACCAGGAAGACGAAGGCACTCTGTTTGCTCTCTTCCAATCCAAAATTAGAACGACCTCTCAACTTGTAGACTACCTCGATGAGTTGTTTTTCCACTCTGCCGGAAAACCACTTCTTGAGAAATTTGTCAGCATCTATAGTGACATTTCTACTTACGGTTCCCCGTTCCGTACCGGCATCTTCAACAATTGGTACCCACAGTTCAAGACCATTGGCGCCATCCTCGGTGATGCGGCCTTTATCCTAACCCGACGTGCATTCCTTACTATCTCGACTGCAATTAGCCCCAACGTTCCTGCCTGGTCATATCTTGCGACATACGGCTATGGCACTCCCATCATGGGCACATTCCATGGTAGTGATATCCTGCGTGTCTACCATGGTCTTCCTCCAGGTCCTGCCGCCACCACTATTCGTGGGTACTACTTCACCTTTATTCACACTCTCAATCCTAATGAGAAGGGTTCGGGACGTGCAGAATGGCCACAGTGGACATCTACCAACCGCGAGATGATGGAGTTCAAGCGGTTTTCTAATGGGTTAATAAAGGATAATTTCCGCGAGGATGCCTATACCTTCCTACTGTCCAATGTTCAGAAGTTCTATATCTAGATGATAATGTTAGACACGAATGCTGTAATTATTATTTTTTAATGAAACGAATCTCATGCTGATTTCAAGCTCAAAGTGGTGGCGATGGACGTCTGGTAAAACTCAGTTCTTCCCCGCAGACTGCCCGGCTTGGCCTGGTTGGGATGAGAAGCCATGAAACCCCACGGGGTATCCCGTAAGCTGATGCTTGTTCATATTCTGGGAATGACGATCTCCCCCGGTTGCATTTTTAGGGTTTCTGTCATGCAGAATGGAAACGTTTGTGGATGTGGAGCCACTGTAGGTTCACTGTTCGTGATAAGACATGAATATTTGGCATTGCATGTACGGAGTATAGAGGCTACACCACTGCCCTGCATGAATATTTCAAGACGTCCAATAGCAATTCTGTCAGGAAAAGCAACAAGACCATTTTCCTGGGCATTCTGGGAAATGCAGGCCCCCCAAAAGTCGTTTGTCAAGGTGGGCGTGGTTGACACAGGCTTCGATAACAGATAAAGCCACACGCCAAGCCCCTTTAGTTACCTCGGCTGCTGACCAGAGCGAGATTCACAAGATCACACAGCACTCAATGCATTCCCGACTAACCAACTCCCTACCGCCCGCTCTGTTACATCTCAAGGTCTAGGGTTTTGCTTGACTCCTTCAACTTCGGGCACTCGATTCTGCACGCCTCGTATTGCACCCCCGCACCAAAATGGGAGTCACATTGTTCGAACCCCCTCCTCGAGACCCTTCGAAATCGCCTATCGAGAGCATTTTAGACCTTACCCCGGTCACTGATATTGGCCCGGTAAGTCTCAAGTGAAATTTTGTAGCTCTACGGCTTATCCTGACAAAATTTGAGGAAATCTCTGCCATGCACCCGGGATGCTGATGCTCGATAACCCAAACTTAGGATGTATTCACCAACACACGACCTCTCTGGCACCCTCCCGGGGCACGAGGCATATACGGGGGCTCAGCCATAGCACAATGTCTTGCAGCAGCCCAGTTGACTGTGCCTCCGGACTTCCTGCCCCATAGCATGCATTGTTATTTTGTGTTGTCCGGCGACTCGTCTCTACCTATCTTATACCACGTGGAACGTGTCCGGGACGGGAAAAGCTTTGCTACACGAACAGTACAAGCTCGACAACAGGGCCGGCCAATCTTCACCACAACCCTTAGTTTCGATCGTGAGGGAAGCGGCGGCGTAAAAAAAGTCGAGCATTCAACTGTTATGCGCAGCGGGTTCAAGTTCCCGGACCCAACTGACGAAAGGCCTGGAAGAGGGCCATTTGAATCGAGACGGATCGATATTCCTAATTGTATGTGTAGCTGTTTCTTTACGTTGCACCTCGTTATATCTACTCCAGAGCACTAACTGGCAGCTTGGAAAATAGCGTCAGCCCCTCCCGAAGAGAAAGCTGTGCTGCAATGGGTTCGAGCGCGAGGAAATATTTCTGAAGAAGGCGGCCTCCCCGCTCACCTATCTGCATTGGCATACATGTCTGACAGTTACTTCATCGGTACCGTAGCGCGGGTACAGGGTATCCCGCGGTTCTCATCACCAGCAGCCCTGAAAAGCGCACTATCTGCACTAAAGAACCCTTCAGATCTCGATGAGCAGAGTATTATAAAGTACCTCAAGGACATGGCTGATCAGGAAGCCCTCGAACTCAAATCCGGGACTGCAAGTGCTTCTCCTGTATCTCTTCCCAAACGAGAACTTGGTATGATGGTCAGTTTAGATCACACCATCTATTTCCATAATCGTCGTGGATTTAAAGCCGACGACTGGATCTTTACGGAGATGAATAGCCCCTGGGCTGGAGAGGGTAGAGGTTGTGTTATGCAGCGGATGTGGGCTCGTGATGGTTCATTGATTGCAACCTGCGTACAGGAAGTAAGTTCTAGCCAAAATGTCATATTTTCCGCTGATAGACAATTGACCTTCTCATGTAGGGTGTCATACGCCTAAAGCAGGATAAACCTACACAGAATAGCAAATTATGAGTCCCAGGTGCTTGAGACACTTACTTCGCACGGACTACATGCTATAGAATTGAATTTCATCAAGCAGGGTTGTGGGCGGCAAATATTCTTTGTTTTATTGAAACTTCCTATTTATCATATATATCTTCCCATATACTTTATTTGCACAAATGTACATATATAGACGGGTTCTTGGGTTGGGCTGCCCGTAACGCAAATTCTACTTACAAATTTTTCTTGATATCGCAGGTATGAAGCTGTAACAATACGTGTTTTATAACCAATATTACGTAACTGCCCACCATCACGCCTTGGCATCTTCGCTCCTGTTTGCATCGCTCAGAATCTGACGTCTGTCCATTATACGGGAATACCAAAACGAACGAGAAGTGACGGTCTTATATGATGTCAAAAGTGGATAACGTACTCTACATAGGCTATTGAAATGGAATGTTTAATGCAGCGTCCCCTAAGCTGGCATTCTGACCTAGCTCTTGTGCCCTTCCTCTCGTCGCTTGCAATGGCCAAGCACGATATGACCCCAGTGGTCTCTTCCTTTATACCTTGCCATGTCCTCTGGCCAACTATTGATCTCCTTGACCATATTTTGCAACTCGTCAAGCGGGAGGTCGGGCAAATATGTCAGAGACGTCTTGACGCCAAAGAGAATGCCACCTGATTTTGAGAGCCGGCGGAATGTTTGTCTCTCCTTTCGAACAATGATGTGCTCCGGTCGCGGCTCTACATCTTTATGCACAATCCCTTCAGGCTGAAAAAGTATTTGCGACAACGACTGCTCTGGGTAGCTCACTTGGATAAAGTAACTTGCCCTTTCCATTGGGCTTTCGAGGGTCAGACGTGTCATGAATCTAGATTTGAAGTTAACCTTTTGATGCTTGGTATAGTAGACTGATCTTTATTTTACTCGGTTTAGGGGTTCTCACTTGTTGACTGCATATCCTATCTCCTTTTCCCATTGCGGCACGGGGCCATGCATCTGAGCAATAGTGTCTCCTACTCGCTCATTTGCAGACCAGCCGATTTGAAAGCAACTAGCAGTTGCAGCCCTGTTTCTTGTTAGCATCGCAGTACTATATCGCCTTGATTGACTCACATATAATGCCCCCCCTCTTCATTCTTGAGAATGATGGTTAAGTCGTCCATGCCTAGTCTCGCAGCAATCTCAAGCGGTGTTATACTGCTGTTCCATTCTTCAAGACAATATTCTTCCCCAGTGACCTTATTCTTTATCCTAGACTCCGTGCCGGACGAGGATATTTCAAACATTGTCGGATGTCTTCTGCACAAAAATCCGCATACTTCTTCCAAGGCTTCCTGGCAAGCATTTCTAGCCTCCGGCAAGCATTGGACCTTTTTTTCTTTTTCAGTTTCGAAAAGACCGTTACGAATAGCTTGTAACGCCATATCATCCTTATCAATCGTTAACCAGTTTTCTTGATCCATTTTCTTCAAGCCCATTCTGATTCGGTACTTTTCGAACCCCTTGATTCGCATGTTTGATACAGTTGGGTCACCCACGGTACGCTGCCGATTATTGAAAACCCTGAGATGCTTTGTTCTCTGCCATATTAGTTTAACGACGAGAACGGCAAAGAAGACACCTATGTTCACCCATAAGGCAGGCTTTGTTAAGTTATCGACTTGCATATCTGAAAAAGCAAATGCTGACGGAATGTCAAGAATTGTAGTATCGAAATTCTCAAATATACTTCATATATCTTTTGTGAAGTGGCGTGTGAATATATGTATGCATTGTACATACGCACATACTGTACACGCATGCAGCTGTCACTTCTTGTCGTGGCCGCAATGAACTAGTATCCATATTCTAGGATGCGTCCCTATATAATTTGCAAATTCCGAATCCTTGGGACTTAAATTATCAGTCTCCACCGGCCGTTGGACGTTTCCGCTTTTTGCGGTGCCAGATAAACATGTTTTGGGTGGTTGCATATTCATCTTTGTTGGAAATCCCCCCCATCGGCTTAATGAAGTATCAATACTTGCGCAGAAGCCGCATATTCCGGCCCATATCTCTACACTAAGCATAGCCCCGTTATTTCTGCGCGACGTCCGTGCGCAAAAATGGAGATCTGGCTATCTTTGAATGGCATAATAATAATTAATACCTATGAAGCCTAATATGTGTGTTTATAGGTGCCAGAATATATCTGGTTCTAAAAAACTATTATTATTTACTTATCATCGACGCTGTTCGTTCAAGTCATAAACGTGCCACAGTGGCTCACTTTATCTAGCTAAAGCCTAGAATAGCGAATCGGGTAGCTGATGTTTAGCCCAAAAAGCAAAATTATCAGGCTTGAATTTCGACGCCACTTAAGTCTCACGGTTCAGTGCTTTCGTGATACGTCCTATTCTCTCAAGGTCTAAGGGTTCGAACTATCTATTCCTGAAGGGGCTTCAAATTATTTCCGACAGGCTCCTAGAATCGCTTTTACCGCCAAAAACCCTTTCTCTGTTGGTTTATCTGGCCTTAATAACGCTGCTTTCTTTTTTTGTTTTAACGAAAATCGCGGCACCATGCGTGTTTGACCCGATATCACTCCACAAAGGGCCGTCGCCCCAACGAATGGGCCGTTTTGCTCGGACACACCTCTTCTGCATATCATTATTGTGGCGTCGAAAGGCCGCAATGCACTCAAACCGCAAGCTCCACTTCTTGAGCTGGAGCACGCAGGGAAGCTTTAACTAGTTGTTAAACCAAGATGAGATTCAAAGTACTGAACTACTCTAGCTAGCCGCGCTGACCGCGCGAGATGTTTATGCCAATTTTTTGGGATTCATTCGATACTTTATTTCGGGTTTACAAATCTCTCTATTCTCTTACTCTTCCCGAACGCACTGACAGCCTTTTTTTTTTTTTTTGGAGAGACTTAGAACCCTTCCTATTTCTCAAGAATGTTCGCGAATGAGGAGAATTTGTATTTTCGCGACGGGGGCCCTGACAATATAGAAATCTAGACCCTTCCTAGCGCTTGAAGCTGTGGCCGACAAGGCGGCTAGAGCGAAAGACAAAAATATCGAAAGCTCTCAATCGCATGCGGAAGCTGCGGCGGGAGCTAGACTAGGCGAATTAATTCTCTCCCGCTTAGTTGGAACTTGTTGTCATCGCCACAAGCTGCAGGGGGGTTGGCTCGCATGGGGATCTAGCCTCCTCAGACGTATCGCGTACAGCGGGTTTCCAAGTACCTTAACGATGTTTTTGTCTCGTTCGGGGAAGATGCTCGCCAAACTTGCGCTAGCAGACGGACTAACTTTTATAGATAACCAGGGTTTATAGCAATGGCTGATGCAGCGAGTCACAAAAAAGTCCGAACCGCGCAATAGCCGGGCTGGTCGAAGATGATCGTTGGCCACCAGGGGTGTGCTGGTTCCAATGCCGGAATGAATGGCCTATGGTGATAAGACAATGATTTCAAAAATGCCTGCTTTAGGAGTGCTTTGTGCGCAATTTTCTGGTCAAGGATATGATGGGTTTAAATAGAGAAGTTTGCCCATTGTCGTATGCATGTACGTTTCCACGCATTACTTTCATACATGTTTCTCTAGTGGAGTCTGATACTTACTCGCCGGTAGGTTTAGGTCGCGGTTGTAGTCCATGGCTCACTTTCACTTCCCTTGGGTGGTCGGCTCATTTTGCCGGAGGTAACTATCGCCCCAGATCTTTAGCATTTATATTTATAGATTTACCATTATTCAAGGCTAATGCATCCCAAACCTGGTATTGATTGCTATATGAACCCCACCTGGGTTGGATTGTGGAGTCAGTACTCCTTTCTAGGTACGCACAAAATATGACTTTAGACGTTGCAATGAGATATTTGTGACAGCCTTCAACCCCTTCAGTTTACGCCAAGTTCGCCAACAACCACAAGCTTATAGCAAAGGTGTTCGTTGTCAAGGTGGATACATTTGACGCACATCCCTGATGTGCATCTAGCTAGTCAATGTTGCCTTTGACTCCACAGACCAGTACGTACATACATAACTAACTATAGCGTGGTTGAAAAATTAAAGTACGACCTTTCGTACTCTATTCTCTTGCAACTCACTCTCTGCAGAGTACTTGACGTGGTTCGCAGACCAGCCTGGTGACATTAAATACATATTGCACGCTAAAAAAAAAGTCCCGGGTATCTTCAAACAAACAAATAAACAATAACATACAGCTTTGGCCCTCAGTGCGGATTTTATCTTAATCTAGAATAGCGACTCTTTCTCCTGTGAAACGGACTATAATCTACGGCGATTCTATATGGTGCTGAATGGTTTCCTGGAGACTGGGGCCGTGTATATATGACTTATTGATGCAGCCCAGACGTCTTGATCGGGAAAATTTCCCACCCATACCTGGCCCGATTCATAGACAGAAACACAGGTTCCAGCCCTACCAAGCTATTTACAGCAGGAGAACAAGTACGTGTTGTTCTACGTGGACATTATAGAGTTGCTGAAATGATGCCAATAACTTTGTACTGCCACCACGTGCAAGGAGCAAACAGTTTTGTTTCACATAACTACGTGACAAAATATCACACCTATCTGATGAATTTCTGAATCATAACTTTCACGAAAACCCCTGAAGTGGTCCTAAGATATATCGAATAAGATTATAGGGTAAGGAGAATCATCATTTACAAACCACAAGAATAATTTCAGCTTAACGGGCAAATGGATTGACCCTCAGGTTTATTTGTTCCTGAAAAGTCGCCTGCTAATCTACTACCGTATGAAACTGTCTCGATGGGACAACCATAACGATCCAGTTCAAATTAGAATAATTTATCTACTTTCAAGCAAGACTAGGAATAGCCAGGCAGAGTTTCAAAAGACAAGAAGAAACCTATGCTATAATAGACTCCAATTGACTTGGTGCATGCAGAACAAGAGGCTACCATGGGGCAATACACTGTATAGTTATATGGCCGGTTATGGCACGGCATTACCAGAGCGTCCAGGAAGGGTTGTGTGAGCATAGATACGTTGAAAGTACAAATGAAACTGGAAAAATTGCACCAAAAGCTGAACGGAAGGCAGTCCTAGTTTCAATGATGGCAAATATTGAATATGGTTGGATGAAGCAGGAAACCTGGAGTTCACACAGGTGGCTAGTCAATAAGACGTCAAGATGATAGAATATAAAAGACGGGGACGGATCCGCATTTTAGGGCGAGGGCGGTTTTTAGGCGAGAGGGCAATTGCATGGAGAGTCTAGTAGCCATGAGCCATAATGCTGGAATGGAATATGTCTATCCAAATTCTCTCTATTAAAAAGATTTGAAGAGGAAAAGGCACAAGGTGCGAACCGTGTTAACAACAGCCGTTGAAAATGTATTATTGATATTATTATGCAAATTAGATTCATCACAAGAGGCTGTTAACCAATTTAATATATTCTGCAGCACCAAGGGAGGAGCCCACTGTCTCATTTGAATGCATCCTCACAGTCACCCGTGAGCACAATTTTCAGTTCTTTTCATTAGCCAAGGCTTGGTCTGCTGCCAAAAAATATGTCTAAAGTGACATGAGGGCCATGGCCGCAAGGATGTAAAGGGTTGCCTTGCAAGAGTTTTCTGTCTCCAGTGGGTACTGTTGCTCAGCCGGCCTTCGCGTCCGCGTCTTCAACACCCGGATTAGAAATGTCGCCAGCTGTTTCGGAATGGAAAATGATTTATCCGTTATTGAACCAAAGCCGGTCATCAGTAATCAATCGCGCAATCCTCGTATCGCGCTGCAGCCGACAAAGCCGCCGTATCCGTGTTTGAAGCGTCGATCGGTCGGGTGAGTTGAATCTAGGCGTGGATCGCTTTGAACGGATCAGGCGGATTTGCTGCCCGTCCAACTTGGCTGTCAGCGTGTCGGCTCGGCGCTCAACAACCCAGCTATCAAGCTGCTCCCAGTGCAGCCAGCGGAGTAATTCGCAATACGGAGTACGGAGTAGTTAACTAGCCCCTTGGATGCCTGGCCGTGTTGATCGTGTCACTCCCTGTCCAGCGCATGCAGATACTGTTCGAGATCGAGGTCGGTTTTAGCTTGCGCGTCGTTGGTACATCGTTCTGTACGGAGAAGTCGTCAGGCAAGATATAATACGTCCATCTCATCCCTCTGAGCGCAGCAATGCCTGCGGCGAATTGACCAAGACCAAGCTCAGGTATAAGAGATCTTCGATTTGGGTCGTTTCTGCGGTGCAACGTCGTATCGTAATACCCGCCATGGACCTGATATTTCCCATCCCCAGCGCTGTCTAGACAGGAAAATGTCCCATAACAAACAGCAGGGAACTTGGAAGATATTTATTAACTATTAGTTATGTAAGATTCCAATGCTGACTCGGTAGGGCCGCCTATGGTGGTTGCACAGCTGAAGCGGGATTAATAGCCACTCACCTTGTGAGGTTTAATGCAGCTGAACATGCTCCATATGTGCGCCATTCTGACCATGATAAACTTCAAGACGGGCTTTAACACCCATGCACAGTCCGAAGAACTCTATGGTCTCGACTCGACAGCGACTTATTAAAGCTCTTTCCTCTATGGATGAAGAAATCCTCCATAGAAAGCGAGTCGGCCTGTGCCCTTGAACCTCCCTGGCGTCCAACATGGCGAAAGGCTTGATTTCCTCCCTTGCGGATCTTGACAGACAAGATGCTGTACCATTTGCTCTAGTCATCGGAGCTGTGTTGCTAGTGGTTTCTTTAGTGGCTCACGCTCGTGATCCTCTCAGATCAATCCCAGGGCCATTTTGGGCAAAATGGACTCCTTTATGGATGATATACCATGTGCGAAAAAGGAATATTCACCGGCACATGATCAAAATGCATGAGAAGTATGGGCCATTAATTCGAGTCGGACCAAATGAAGTGAGCACGTCAAACCCCGAGGCTCTCAGAGTAATATATGGTTAGTTATTTGAACCGAGAGAATAGACCACCACGCTAATTTGTTGGGATAGGCGCTGGTACTGGGTTTCGAAAAAGTGACTGGTACAGCGTGTGGCAAGGCATCCGCAAGTGGGATCTTTTTGGTGAGCGAAATGAAGATATCCACCGAGGACAACGGAGATTGGTCAGCAACATATATTCTTTATCCAATATGAAAAAGCTTGAGCCATATGTCAACAACACTGTGAAATTATTCCTTTCCAACGTGTTCAAGGCGGATAAAAGATCAATAAATTTGAGCCTATGGATCCAATTATTTGCTTTTGGTAAGAATATCATCTTATTTTACAATCTTAAGGTCTTAACATAGCCTCTATGTAGATGTTATCGGAGAAGTGACTTTCTCTAAACCCTTCGGTTTCCTAAAGTCTGGTACAGATAATGGCACTTTTCAGCAGATAGACAATACCTTAGCGTGTGCTGCCTGGGTTGGGTATATGCCTTGGCTCTACTGGCTCAACTTCCGCCTCTCTCCATATATCGGCAGCCATCTTGCCGTCACCTCGCGGCAGACACACTTGCTAACTTTTACAGCAAAGTCGATTACGGAACGCAAAGCACAAGGCAGTGACCATGAAGACATCCTAGAACAACTTTTCGAAGTTCAAAAGGAAAAACCGGAATTTGATCAGATATCCATAACGTCGATGTGTGCTAGCAATATATTTGCTGGAAGTGATTCAACTGCCCTTTCCATATCATCTATCATCTATTACGTGGTTAAAACTCCCGGATGTAAAGAAAAACTGATGGCAGAAATTGAAGCGACCGCCTTAGCCCACAATATCCAGCCTGGTGAGGTATTTTCTCTAGAAACAGCCAATACCATGCCATATCTACAGGCGTGTATGTGGGAAGGCCTTCGGTGCCATCCTGGAGTAGGGATGAATCTTGGGCGAGTCGTGCCTTCAAAAGGCATTGAGTACGAGGGACGATTCTATCCTGGTGGGGTATGTTCACAGACCTGTCGCCTTACAAGAAGAAATGTGCTACTAACAGAGGCTGCAGACTGTTCTGAGTGCGAGCGCTTGGGTGCTTCATCGAGATAAAGAGACCTTTGGTGAAGATGCAGATCATTTCCGGCCAGAAAGGTGGGATGCTGAGCCAGAGCGTGTTGCTCAGATGAGTATGGCCCCACAGTTGTGATTCCAAAGCATATTGTTTTAACATCGAATCCTGTAGGACGCTCTTTCTTCGCATTCGGTGCGGGATCCCGCTTTTGCATAGGAAGAAGTAAGCTGTTTAACCTGCAAGTTTTATATCAAAATTCTGCTGTCTAATCCAGCGAAATATAGATGTTGCATGGCTAGAAATGTCAAAGGTGGGAGTGTGTGCTTTCTTTCAAGCTCCTAAGGCTAATTGTGTGCCAGCTCATCCCTACGTTTTTCCGTGAGTTTGATATCAAACTTGTTGACCCAAACCAGAAGCTTGAGGAATCTGCTGTGTAAGATGGTATTCATACAAGTTTAGTAATATGTATCGTTAACGTTTTCCAGGTCGTTTGTAAAAATCTTGAACCTTGACGTCACATTGACACCCAGAAACGCTGCTACAAACGGTCATGTTTAGCTTCTGGGCTAGGATGTAATCGAATTTTTGGACGTGGTTTTTCAATTAAAACTGGAAGCCAGAATGTACGCAAGATTCCCTCAGTCTCCCGCAAAAACACTTTTAACACGGATGATTAGATTCCTGCCGATAGGCACTGAGGCAACATTTGCCGCCCGTGCAGATTAATGGGTTTTTCTTTCGTACTCGACTTAAAATCCCTATGTGTTGATGTGTATTTCAATGCATTGAAAGGAAATTTGTTCAGGGTGGGGAGTATTATGAGGCTGAAGATGAGACTGGGCAGTGAATTGATAAGATAAGATAAGATCTGATTAACTATCGCGGATCATCCGTATATCCGAATGGCATAACAATGATCGACATCCTATTTTAGGATCTTCACGCAACCGCAGACATAACTGGCCGTTGAAATACAAATCGCAAGCCTAGATTCTTCTCGATTTCGGTAGATTATCTCAATCGCTTCAGGGCCCTCCTCATCAACCCTTGTTTGTAGCTCTTTTGGTAAAGTCGAAGAAACAAAATTAAGCTTAATGCACGTGATGCTGTTAGATTTTTTTCGGAAAGAGACGTTACGACGCCATTCAAAATCATCTTTGGCCTGTATCTTTTCGGCTCCACGAAGCTGTGCTTTAAAATCACATTTTATTTTAAGTGAAGGTTTCATCATTTGCTACGTGACCTGTTCTAGTTCTTTGCACGGAGCAAACGAGACTATGGAACTTGTCACCTTATGAAGAATGACGTGCTACAGGACGAATTAAATGCCTACATGTATTCTCGATAGTTAACGAAATTGTCGGCTAGTGCCGTCTACGCAATTAACTTTTTTTGGCGGTATAAAAGTAAGATCAAGTCGGCAATCTGAAGCTGTGTCGTGTCAATTCTATCGAACAGTATCAAACATCTGGATCTGCATTTCGAAAAACGTGGGGCGAGGGTTGAGGAATATTGTTGAAAAAGTATTTGGCACTAACAGATCCACTAATTGACCGCCATAATACCCTCAAGATAGACGTAAGATATGCCTAGAGTCTGCATCGCTTTTCACCACTGCTGAGCTGAGATTGGCTCAAGATGTCGGCTCCGATGAATTACCGAGGAACCCTGCGTGCCGTTATTATAGACCATTACGACTCATATACAAATAATATCCTTCAACTGCTCCAAAAAACTTCCTTGGGGGCGAGCGATGTGCCATATCCCGAATGGAATGTGGCTGTGATTCGATTCGATCAATTTTCATGGTTTGTTGCACCTATTCGAGTTTCAGCGACTTATGATTGCACAAGGTTGCGTTGACACCATTGACAGGGAGACATTTAAAACGTCCATTCTGCCCTCGGTCGATGCAGTGATACTGTCTCCCGGTCCCGGGACTCCCAACAGAGAATCTGATTTTGGATTTAACTCCAAGCTAATTAAAGAATCCAAAGTTCCTGTCTTGGGTATATGCCTGGGACACCAAGGTATTGGGACTGCGTTTGGTGCCAGAATTATCCATACTCCTAATATTAAGCATGGGCAAATATGCCAAATTAGACATACCGCTACTGGTATTTTTAAAGGCTTACCACAAGGGTTTGATGGTGTCAGATATAACAGCTTAGTACTAGACTCCAATGGTTTCTGGCCACATCTCCCCGGCTTGCATTTTTTTCGTTGCTAACCATTTTGCGATGTGAAGACCTACCTAGCGAGATAGAACTTACAGCGTGGACGTTTGATCCTGAGGATCCCGTGAAAAGAGTATGCATGGGAGTTCAGCACCGCAGTCGTCCAATATTTGGCACCCAATGGCACCCTGAGAGTGTGTGTTCGACACACGGTCAGCAAATAATCGATAATTTTCGAACTATCACCCTAGAATATTGGGCTAGAAGCAGCCCATGGAATAGTTGGGCTTCTCGCTCTCTTGTCGAGAATGCATCTCTGCCCGATTTTATTCTCAACAATAGTGCAATTGTGAGAGAGGCACAAGAAGCTCCCTTTGGCGAATTCATACCCCCCCGCCGGGCTTCAACGGTTACTGTACACCCTTATTACATCAAATCTGCGACACTTGGACAAGGACCCACAGCCCAAGCATTGTTCGATGCTGCGGTCCGCAATTCCTCAGTCGATGGTGAAGCATGGCTCGATAGTGCAAGGGTGAGTTAAACATATGTCTTTACACCACAGCGGAAAAGCTAAACAGGCGAACTAGGTGCGAGATGTGCACTCAAGAAATTCTTACCTGGCAGCGGCTTCATTTACGATGAGTTATAAAGTTCAATCCAAGACCCTATCGGTGTACCAGAAGGGAATATGTACTCAATCTAAGCAGCTTCCGACGTCCTACTGGGCATGGCTTGATTACTTTCATTCTTTTATAATTCAAGATAATATCCAGGCTCTCGATTCGCAATCACTCAGCCAAACAGCGGAAATTGGACAACCGCTCTTTCAGGTAGGCATGATTGGCTACTTTGGGTTTGAACTGAAGCGCGAAGCGCTGTCAGGCTATGTTTATCATTCTCATAGTCAGAACGAAAATTCTGAAGCTCCGCCAGATAGCCAGCATATGTTTTCTGATACTGTTTTCCGGTTAGACAATTATACTGGAGAATGGAAGATATTCAGTCTGATTCGCCGGTCCCAGGAGGATCCAATTGGCCGATTCATCAATGCCAGATCTCCTGTGGGCCTCACAGAGCCTGAGTTTGACTCTCTCTTTGCACATCTCCAGAAAACCTTTCTTTCCTCCTCATCGAACCCCACTAGTACACCAATACCGTTGCCCGGTTTTGTTGCTTTAGATGATGAATCCTCCTACAGCCAGAAGATCCGCGCCGCACAAGATGCAATCCGAGAAGGCGAGGCCTATGAACTAACACTCACGACAAAATTCAAAGCGTTACATTCAGATGTTGATCCCTATTTCTTGTATCTCTCTCTTCGACAGAGAAACCCTGCTCCATATTCGGCATATATTAATTTTCCAGCGAGTGATACAACTATACTGTCGTCCTCGCCAGAGCGATTCATCTCCATTGATGCGGATGGCGTGGCGGAAATGAAGCCAATAAAAGGAACTTTAGCCGTGAGCCCTGATAAAGAGGAAGATGAACGTAGGAAACATCAACTCGCCACTGATGTAAAGGAGCTCGCAGAAAATCTGATGGTAAAATATATGCTGTTAACACTTTTTTTGGGGTTATATGCTGACGGCGTGACCGTATAGATTGTTGATCTCATCCGCGCAGATCTTCACAATATATCTCCTTCAAAATCCATTGTTGTCCCGAAATTACTCCACGTCGAAAGCTATGAAACAGTACACCAGGTACCTACTTCGACAGCTCTGAATATCTAGCATAACTCAGTACCTAACATAATATCTAGCTAGTAACGACAATACAGTCTCAAATCGCCCCCAACGTTGGAGGCGTTAAAGTACTCGAACGATGTTTCCCCCCTGGATCCATGACAGGCGCTCCAAAACTCCGAGCAGTCCAAATACTCGACGGCCTCGAACAGAACAGGGAGCGCGGCATCTATTCGGGTAGCTTGGGCTATCTGTGTGCTAGTGGCACTGTTGATCAGTCAGTTATTATTCGAACTATTGTGAAATATGGAAAGCAACTCGAACTAGGTGCAGGGGGGGCAATTACCTGGCTAAGTGAAGCGGACAAGGAGTGGGACGAGGTGATGGTGAAAGCGAATGCGGTGGCTAAAGCATTGCCCTGCGGAGCCACGTAGGGAAATGTTTTTCTAATGTATGCACATACGTCGTGCCTTTAGAATCTAAAACACTTGTCACCATATCATGTACTTACGTTTGCATGTACATACATAGAGGGCTGTTGTGTTTCACAGAAAAGCACTTGTCTTACGGTTTCTTCCCGCCGAGCCGCCTGTGGGTCTATCCGTGAAAGTTTCGGAATGCCGAACATTGGCAACCTTATTCCTGAAATCTTTGTGACATCGCCATGAAAAAGAACAGAAAGAGAAACGCTTTCTTGAATAGGAGCAGTATTGAGTATGTAGAATTGAAGTAGTATTGAGTATGTATGCTGTCCAAGAATCTTCGACCAAGTTGCGTTTTGCTTAACAACGACTGTCCGGCAGTTTCAAGACTCTGGTGGGCTATGTACATTGGGCCCCAAACCTTTCCCAAACCTTCCCCAAACTAAAGAGTAACGACTGGCAAGCAATAATCTCTCCATTTAGCGCTCGTTTTGCTCAAACCGGCCATCCACGGTAACGAAACTTGACCGTCTCCGTTTCAGAATGCTCAACACTTGATCTCAACGGAAGCGTAGAGAACAGAGTGGCAATCACTATCTGGCAATCTGAAGTTAGATCCACGGCAGTTGTTGCCGCTCCACGTGCGAACTTCGCAGCCGCTGGGATGCCTGTTAGCAATATGCCACGGTAGGGTATTCTGTAAAACAAAGAAAAATGCTTACTTGAGAACCGGCGCTTTGATGGAGCGTTTGTTCGTGACGGGAATGCATCGGTAGGAGCCGGAACCCACAAGCATCACGGAGTCAACAGCGCCACCGCAGGTATCAGAGCTGAACATCTCCACCCTCGCTTCATCGCCGAAATCCTGGTCAGCATTGTTTGGGGGCGGGGCAGCAGCAGCGAAGGCTGGGAGAGCGCTGAGAAGGCCGAGGAGGATAAAACGCATTTTGAAGAAGTTGCTGAAGTGTAGCTTCGACAGAGGCTTTTTTGAAAGGTTGTATTGGTGGTCAGGAGTCAGGCGATTGATAGTGAGTTGCTGTGAGAAAAAGTACGTTTGGGACGGAGGATATGAGGGTATTTATACCTCGCTGGCTCATCTGAAGGGTATATGAACCGGCAATTCTATCCGTCTTCTCCTCGGGCATCGGTTCAAAGGATATCATGGAAATGCGACAATTGAAAACCCGCCTGAGAACCAACGTCAATTTTTCCTTGATGCAGTCCAGCTGTCATGGATGTATTTGCATTTGAGCCTCTGAATGCCCGAGAAATGTGCGATCGGAAAAAAATTCTCATTCCTATCTTAGGCAATGCAAACAAATGTAGCATGGTATAGCTTCTCACAGAGGCCTTTAACTGTTGGATACGGCTGAAACTGGACTACCCAAGATATTCCAAGAGCAGTTTGAATGTAACCCTTGTGGTCATATAAGGGAACCCAACACTATTCCTATTGAATACTGAGTATGAACTGACAGCGCTGGTAGGGACAACGTGTTGCAGAATCTCATTTCCTAAAGACCACAAGAAGCCTCAAAGGAGACCTGAGGAGACATTAGAAGAAGTTGAAAGGAAAGGAAATGCAACGCGGGGTCATCCCTGAAGCTGTATAAGCTGCCGTGATTGCTGAGTCTTATAGAGCAAATTGTCCCCAGTTCCATTTGTCAGCCAGAAAATGAGTGTGCTTGGCAGAATGGATTACTGCATGAGCCATGGGTTGAACATGGATAGATACAGCTTCCATCGGTCCGAGCGGTGATTTTTTTCCTTCTTTCTCCGGAGTATGCGGCTCAAAACGCGAGCGGCAACTAGCTTCCGAGAACCGGGGCAAAGAGAGCGGCAGCCGATCCTAGAAAGACTTCAACACATACCTCCAAACTGGTCTTTTGTTCATTTTCAGTCTCCATGTAGGCCAAAGTCACATAATAAAAAAGCATGTGTAGCAATGCGACTATTAGTGGGGTTTGGGTGTGTCAGGAATGAGCCAACTAACTACAAGGGCGTTTTGTGTTTGGTGGATTCCACGCAAAGTAATTGCTGTCATGTTTTGTTATCGCAGGGTTTAATTAATGCACACCCATGCAGCTAGCTGCATTTTGCTTGTTGAAAAATGGTAAGGTGGCATGTTATCGTTTCCATCATCCTAGGGTCGCCCATGGTGGGTGGATGGAACACTAAGTCCTTATTGTTTGGTGACTGGCGATAGATGTCAAGAAATTCGCTCCTGATAATGCTTCTTTACACCAGCAGTATCCTGTACTCAATACGTAAAAGACTACTGGTAATCAACCCAATGTTAAGCTATCAATCTGGTCATGATTCTAACATACACCGAGTGCTTAAATGAAGCCGGAAACGATAAGAGACTAATGAAAAGATCATTAGAAAATGTTAGAGCATGAAGAAAGATTTTGCTGTGCAGAAAGTAGAGAAGTAAAATAGAAGGAATGAACTAAAAATGTGGCCATGTGCAAGCGCATTTGTGTGTGCAAGAAACCATATAGACCGGGGTATCACATTTGCATAACATCGTTGATAGAGATCAGAGGAAAATGAAGAAGGAGCTTTTGTCGATGCCGGGTCATGAGTTGATTGATATTGTTGGGCCTGCAAGGCTCGTGGTAGAATAAAAACGATCTATTGCAAAATTCGCAGCACCAAACTCCTGCTTTTCCCCCTACCATGATCGAAAGTTATGCAAGTATTTGTTTTCTAATCTCATCATGTTGGCCAAGGCGGTCGAACGCCGGTACAGGGGATAGCCGCGCGTTTATCGGAAGCGGGCGGAACACCGACCCATGACCTCTCCTTGGCAGACAAGCTCGGCATTGAATTCGCTGCCATCGAGGGTAAGGTAAATATCGAAGTAAACGCGGTAGAAGGTACCCTGTGGAGTATCCATTCTCTCGAAATCTTTTTCGAGGTTTTTGCGCGAAAGATCTGATGTTAAAGTAACAACTTCCTTGATGCCTAGAATCCACGATCGTCAGAACGAAGGAGCCATCTTAAAAGGGGCTGAAGGTTACACTTACGTGGATCTTTTGTGTATTCTGGGCAGACATCCTCGTCACAGGCATATAAAATATCCTCATACATGAGAGTAGCACCAGGAGCAACTTGGCGGAAAAAGCTCACTTTGACGGGTTCGCCAATCTTCACTCTCTCGCCTTTCTGCACAAAGATCTGGCGAGTATACTTGCATCTGTCTTTGCCATCCAGACTGGGAACGCGGTATTGCTCAGGGTGGTGGCCTTCTTTGAATGGTTGCAAGGTTGCCATCAAATAATGACGACGCGCAACACGAGATGTAACCACACGTTCGGTGATACCAGCAGTAACAGCACCTTTCACGATCGCAGCAACTGAATCCATTGGTCGAACAACTTTAGTTTGATACTGTGGAGGAACATGAAGCTTGATTTGTTGGAAAAGATACTCGGAGGCTCCAAACCCACCAACGACAAGGATGTTCTAAGATAGGTCAGCATTTATGCACTACACAGTAGTAGAGAAGATAACTTTACCTGAAGAGGTCGATTTTGGGCTTGGATGGCTATTATTTGATTTCGCACGAGCTCAAGGATCCGATTCACAACAGGCTCAAAACATTGAAGAATCTCCTCATTGGTGAACGTCATATAGCCTTCTTCAATTCCAGCGTCGGGGAAGTCAGCTTCAATGCCAACGTCGACGGCCCACTTCTGGCCATTGTTCCGGAAATCTGCCTTTATTCTATTTTCAAAGTCCATGATGCATTTTGCATATACTTTCCCGGCGGTTCTTGATCCATCGGGCAATTTCATTTTTCGGATTTTTGCTCTTAAGATGTTGCTAAAATTGCGATTCAGGGCGGTGGAGCCACAGGAGTCGCCAGAACCAGCCGTGCACTCGCAGACGGTGAATGGGTGTTCTTCTTCAACCTCGTACGCAATTAAGTCAACTGTGCCACCACCACAGTCAACAATCAAGATTGCGTCATGCATTTTGAGGTTGAGAAGACCGGTTTTGGCGCAGAACATGGCAGCTGCCTCTGGCTCCGTTATCAAAGTCAGACGATTGTCGTTTTCATCGCGTAAAAAGCCCGCCTGGATGGCAGCAGCACGGGTGGCAGCCTTTCCGGCATCGTTCCAAATGGCTGGTACTGTGAGGAAGTATCGGATGTTCCGTTCTTCCCGGGTGAACACTTCGCCGAGAGTCTTTAGCAATTGATTTCGCATTGCTCCGCGAAGCTTAAATAAATAATCGGCAGCGACATCAATCTCCGATTTGCCCGGGGGCAAGGGAGGAAGGTTAATGGGATCAATATATGTGTTCCCTGAAATCATTAATTGCAGTTTGAACCATTCGACCTTTTGCACGCCCTGTTTGGGATAACCAGTGGGAGCCAGGGCGTCAGCAATGTCCGGACCCCATCCTACTACTTTTTGGTACTGATCGTAATATAATACGGTAGGGATCTAGAAAACATCATCAGTATGAAACCAAAATTGTAGCAATCGACACAGAGGAGCCAGCGACCGCGCATTCAACAAGGGAAGTGGGTAGCAACCTTTTGTTTGGTGTGTGTGCCAGCGCCGGGCCATTCAGTTATGATATCCTCTCGTGCTTCAGTGTTTGTTGCAAATGCATAGGCCACACCCGAGAATGTAGTCCCGAAATCTATGCCAACGATAAGTTGGGCTTTACTTCTCGCGCCGCCTTCTAGCTCGGTGTGCGGCCGACCAGACGGGTATTGCGACAAAGACGGTGGGATGCTGGAGTGCTGCGGGTGCTGGGGATAGCCGCCGTAGCCGGGCGGCGGCGGGGCTCCGGACAGTTGGTGGCCATGTTGAGGATAGCCAGCGCCAGGATTCAGAGAGGTTGGGGGATGGTGAGCCAGCTGCTGATGCTGGCCGGGTGGCAGCGGGCTGGCGGGCCTCCCGCTGGCAGTGTAGGTGTAGGAGGGCGGACGGCCGAGGTGGTTTTGGGTATTCATGGGAAGGCTGGTGGAGGAGGAATTGGCACCAGACGCGGGTGGGGTGGACGAGGGGTTGTTGCTGTTGGAGGTGATGGAGGTGGTGGAGGTCGCACTCTTGCGCTTTGTTCCAAAACCGAGAGACTTGAATCGAGAGCTCATCGAGTCCATAAACGGGAGGGACGGTAGCAGGTGGGACACCCGCCGCACGAACAGAGAGGACGATGGGAGGGGTGTGGTGCAGCAAAGACGATCACGGCGGGGAAGCTGAGGCGAGCACGGCAAGGGAGGACGGACGAGGAGCAAAAATAGAGCGAGCGGGAGTCACGACGGGCGGCGGGCGGGCGGCGTCGGTGGTGGTGGAGGGGGAGCCCGTATTTAACGCTGCGGACACGCTGCCTGGCGGGCGCCGTAATCTATCCGCGCGGCCATTGGCGGGCTCGGGCAGCGGCGCGGCACGCTAGCCGGAGCCGGAAAGGCGTGGACGCCCGAACCGAGCATGCAGCCAATAGGGCGGGCGGCGGTGCGGCGGGAGGAGCGTAATACCAAAACGCGCTGGGGAGGCTGAGCGGCCCAAGGCTGGCGGGCGAGCAGCCCATCACCCATCGCCCATCGCGTGCTGCCGCGCCCGCGTCGTGTCGGGCCCTCCGTGCCGGCAGCGGAGGAGGCCAAGCTGCCTCTTCGCCTACTCCCGTTCGCTGCAACTCAAGAGCCGTTAGCTGCAAATTCTGCCTCTCAGGAACAGCCAGAGCTCCCGGAGGATCGTACCGCGGGTCAGCCAGCGCCGGCCCAGTGCCAGTTCCACGCCGCAGCAGAAATATGCTCACTCCGAGTGTGAAATCATCGTGCGAGCCATCGCCCACATCCCGCCAGGTCCTACAGCGATGCCATCAGCACGAAAATTCGCATTCGCAACAAGGGTACCTTTAGTTTGATGCCGCAGGATTATCGACTTCGTTGATCTCACCTACTTCGCGATGAAGATTGGGCTTTGGCTTCAACGCCACCACGATTCCATGTGGTAAAAACTTAAACGCTTGGACGCCAGATGGACAAAAGTTATGCGTTCAAGTCTTTGCGCTTCAATATGCACTCATCATGGTGAACATCATGGCTATTGTGAAGGAAGTTATCACTAGTTCACCAAGAAAAGTCCCAACTATTGTTGTATTGGTAGCTATGTGAAAATGCTTAAATCCCGAGCAATTCCATAAAGAGCATGCTCAACTAGTGAAAGCAATGATCAGAGAGTTGCCGGGGCAGAGCTGACTTGATTATAACTACTCTCATCTTCTAGCTTCTCTTTTCTGCTGTAGAGAAGCCGGGCGCACGTTTCTTCTCTTCCAAGACAACCCAAACTTGAGACTTTCACCGCACTCTGGTTTAATTTCTTCGAACATCAGGCATTCTCCACAACATATATACAACCTGGAACATATCCAATATTTTCCTGCCTGCAAGGGCATAACCAGGCTCAAAATTGCTGCTATGAAGGGCCCTAAGTCCCTACCTTGTCATAAATCAAGGCCATTGTTATTTCTAATTCCACTGTACTTTCTTTCTTTACACCACTTTACCCTAACTGACACCTTATGCTCTGCACTCTGTATCTCTCTGACATTTCTCCTTTTCCCTACGATGCACCTAGCGCTCAAGCATTTTTCTTGGCTAGGGAAGATGCCTGATTTTGTGTTGACTACCAGGTAACTACGACACATTAAACAAATACATCTGTAGCACAGCAGACATGATTTGTCATTACGGAAGTTATCAAGTGACACAGTGCTATCGACTGACTCAAACTCTAGGTTTATCGGGAGGACGTTTGAAAGAAGCGTCCAACGCTGTGTGACTCTCCTCCAGCTCGACATACCCCAAGCTCATCTGCCACAGCTCCTTCTGCCTCTCTGGATCTTTTGACGCTGCTGCACTCTCTGCTGGCTCGTTCCCATTGAAATAAGCATCCTTGGGTTGAACCCAGGAAGCATTGGATTCCAACGTCGCGTGCAGCAAATCCTGCGCTGACTTCTTAACGGTACGAAACATGCCATTCGGCCACCAGTACTGCGCCACGAGTAGCACATACAATCGAATCAACGGCACTGTCGAGATTCGATTGGCCCACGACGCCCTTTCTACTACATGCTCATGCAGCATTCCACCAGGGTCGACCCCGACAATGCTAATATTTTCCAATCTGGGCACCTTATCTAAACGCTTCCGCAACGCATGCCTATAACGAGAGCCAGGAGGAATCAGCTTTGCTACTTCTAACAGGCCAGTTTGCAATCGTCAAGCTCACATGAAAGTGATAAGAGCCATTTTTGAAGCCCCATATCGCCGCATGCCCTCCGCCTCCGGGTCTCGATTGCGAGTCGGATCCGATTCGAATTTGCGCATGTCCGGATGCGCTAGCTCGCCTACGTCCCACGGCAGCTTTTCCGGTGCCGACCGCTGGTTTTCCGGCCTATTGGGGTCATGTGCCCAGCTGGAAGTATACACGATGCGGCCGTGCTGCGGGTCCATCGACTCGAGAAGCAGCAGCGTAAGGAGGACGTTGGCCAGATGATTGACCGCAAAGTGCATTTCAAATGGAGGCTGATTCTTGGTCTGCTGCTCTGTGAACTGAAGGCCGCTTCTCTGGAAGAAAAACGCAGCGTTCAAGATCAGGGCGCGGATTGGGGGAATTTCTCCTGTTGATACTTTGCTGTTAACGTCTGAAACAAAGGCACGGATGGAGGCGAAGCTGGCAAGGTCGACCTCCGGCATGCTGGTCGTATGAACCCCTGTGCCATGGGTATCAAGCAATTGCTGGAGCTTCTGTGCATGTGCATTTTGCCTGCTGCGAACGGGGAAGAGGAATGTATATGATTGAGGGCGGAGGAGGAGCTGTTTTGCAAGTTCCTGGCCCAAGGCGCCGGATGCACCGGTGAGAATAATAGTTCCGTCCATTTCTGGACTCATAATTTATTTGATCCATCTCGCTTATATACCGGCTGCATACGCAGCAGAGAGTCGTTTATGGTAGCGGAGAACAATTCTCCTCCAAAAGACGCTATGGTACGAAGTACAGTAAGTGCTCGTACAGTTTAAACACGATGAGCAATCAAGACCCCTGACGGACAAGGCTGTGTGAAAGACATCATTATAATATGTTGGTGAACAAGGATAATTACATTGTTAGCATGGATCTAGAACCTATCATTAAGTATGTTTTGTAGAATACAACGCCAGCCGCCCCGCCCCTCCCTTGCATACCTAGTTAACTAATCAAGCACCGGTTTTTGCCCAACCATTAAATACATCGGCGTGAACAAACCCAGCTGGCCTCCCTTTACGAGGTGATCCGCTCCAGCCGCAAGCTCACCTGCCACCTCTGATGTGCCCTGGGGCGCGAGCCGCAATTTTTCCAATGACCACAGTAAGCTTCCCATGGCGCCTCTGCCGAGTCTCGTCATACGCAACATCGTGAACATGTCCCACAGCGATCTCGCATAGCGCCATTCACCGGCAATTGGATAGTACCACGGGATGGGGTCCGGGCGTGCAGCGAGGTCGTCTTCATACTCGAGAACAAAACCGGCGGCTTCCATCGCCTCGATGGCTTCGGCGCGAGTGGGCATGTTGACGATACCGTTGCCACGCTCGATGCCAAGGCGGATGGCGCGGTGTTCGTCGTTGGACGCGTCAAACTTGTCGGTCATGACCCATTCGTACACACCAAAGCGACCACCTGGCTTGAGGACACGGAAGATCTGCTTGTATACATCTACTAGGTTGGGAGCGTGGACGGTCGCCTCGATGACATAGACAGCGTCGAAGGTGTTTTTTGGAAATTGCAAATCCTTGAGTCAGGATTAGTTAACGTTGACTAGTTCCCGGTACCGGAAAAATAAAAATGGCATAAGCAACGGGCCAAGCTCACCATGAAATCACCCTTGTAAAAGGAGAGTTGCTTTTCTAGACCAGCCCTCAGCGAATGCCGCGAGGCACGGGCGATCTGATAGCCATTGTTGTTGATGCCGACGACCTGGCAGCCAGTGAAACGGGCAATTTCTCTGGCGGGACCGCCCACGCCACAGCCAACATCTAGCACCTCCATGCCCTCTTCGATGCCCATCTTGTAAGCTAAATAATGCTCATGGCGCGATAGGGCGTGCAGAAACGGCTCAGCGATTGTGAAGCGACAGAAATGGAACGATTGCGCCCAAGCTTCCTCGTAAAAGTCTGTAACAAGATCATAGTAGCTAGAATGAGGGATTAGCCGCTGGAGAACCCGTTTTACCTGGTGGTCGCTAGAAAGGGGAGAGCTGAGCCAACATACCCGTTCACGACCTCCATGTACTCAGTTTTTCGCTCCTGGCGCGCTTCTTCAGTGATGGCATCGGTGCCATCGGCGGCTTTCCAGCGCTTCACGTATTCCTTGGTGGTCTCGCGATGGGCCTCGTTGTTCTTGTTCAGCATGGCGAGGAAGGCATTTTTCTCGTCCATGGATGACCCGTGCATGGCCTTGGTCCAGGCCAGATCGGCGTCATTTTTGAGGATGACGGACATGATGGAATCGAGAGAGGAAAACGCAAAGAGCAACGGGCACGATGAGAGTGGAGAGGATGCTCAATTGCTGAGCCTGGATATTTGTGTTCTTATATGAGACGCGGTGTCTACCTGCTCCCCTTTTGGTGCGCAGAGGCTCTCCCACGATGAAATTGCGATTAGCCTCCGCTAGATCTGCGTGGCGTTTGGGTTTGCCAACGGAATGCAAGGAAGGCCGCAGCCGAGCTGTTACTCCCGCTCCCGCTGCGAAACAAATCAACGCCCGGAACGCGGCTCGTCCAGCCTTCCGGGGTACCTGGTACCTAGTCACGTGACCTAAATACATACTAACAGGCCGCCCAGCGCGGTACCAGGTACCTCGTGTTGGTCGCCGGTCCGGTGTCCAGCCTTCCCACCGCATCGAACAGCCCCTGCCCGGGACCGCCAGCATCCGCAACCACGCCATGTCTGCGTCCTGCGCCTCGCACGCCCGCCTGCAGTGTTGACGCCAAAGCCGCCGCCTCCAGCGCGAAATGACAGGTCTCCCACCCCCTTATGCGGCTCGCGCCCTCGCTACCCAGTGATGAGCCCGTATCGACCTTTGCCTGGCACAACGCGAAACCCCCATTCCACCGCCGCGTAGTCGGCCCTGGGTCGCGCCGTCGCAAAGAACGCGCCCATGGTTGGCGGCGTCACCGTTGCCGGAAGATCGTGCGGGTTGAGCTTCGAGACACTCCAGCGCCCGTTCTCTGGCTGGATGTCGTAGCGGAGAAGCATCATGCCCACCAGCGCTAGGATTTCGCCCGTCGCAAAGTGTCGCCCGGGGCACAGGTCGGGCGCGGCTCCAAAGGCGAGGTACCCAGTCACGGCTTGCTTTGTCCCAGATCCCTCCTTCTTTTTCATGAAACGCCTGGGGTCGAAATCCGCTGCTGGCACACCCCCATCGCCGCCTGCTCCCCAGGTCGAGCCGTCTCGTGCGAGGCGGGCGGCGGGCATCTGTAAAAGCGAGCCCGCTTTGAGCAAATACTCGTCGTTGAGCATCACATCCTCATATATCTTCCGCGTCACGGTCGCATTGGATCGTAGACGTAGCGTCTCTTGGAACACCGAGAGGAACAGAGCGCATTTCGCCTGGATTCCTCCTAAATCCAGCAAGTGGACTCCCTTTTCATCTACGTGGAGAGCATTCTCGATGAGCTCCTCTCGTACTTCGGCAAGCAGACTGGGCCGAGAGCAGATCTCCACGAGGAGCCAAAATGTCGAGGGAACAGAGTTGGCAAGGAGGCCGAAGGCCAAGAGTGCCTCCAGTCGGGCAATATCTGCAGGGCTCGCGCCGCTGTCATGCTGCACCTTCCAGCGACGATAGGTCATTTCCGAGGAGTCGAAGTGTCCATTATTTCGATAGTATGCCTCAAGAGCCGCAACCACCGTTTCGCGCGCCCTCCAAGCCTTGTTGGCAATCAGCCGAGGCGCAATGTTCAGTAGAAATATCGCTGCGCTCTGTTCGTATGTCCAAGCTGCGTCCTGTATTGAGGTTGGCCGGTACGGATTCAGCGGACCGTACACTGCATCGGTACTGGCGATGGTCAAGATCTGACGACACCAGGCATATAGATCGAATGCGCGATGCCCTGCGTCGCCAACACTGCTCAATCCATCCACCCATTCTTTGAGCGTTGCGACCATCCTGGAGTTCATCTGATCGAGCCCCTCATTGAGCAGCGTTGGGCTCATTACATGCATAACACGATTGTTCAGCCCACCGCCGCCCCTGCGAGGTTCGCGGAGAGCTTCCAGCCGTGGTCCTTTAATTCCTGCGAGACGTTCTGCTGCAATTGTAGGGAATGGCTCAAAGGAAATAACCCGGCTCTTCCTCTGCGCCGCTGCGATCAAAGCAGGCGATGTAACCACGTATACTTTGCTAGAGAGCAGGTTAATTGTAAAGATGGGGAGTTTGGATTTGTCGCTATCAATGTATATCTTAGCAAGGGCTTCATCAATGATGGTAATAAGAAACTGGTACACACCTTTGCAGCGAATAGTAGGCCAGTCCATGCCAAATAACGCCTATTAGATGGCCAACAAAGGGGATCTTGCTTGGGATCAACGGGGGCTCGGAGGCGTGGTGAGCGACCGTCCGTCGCTGGGATATGAAAAAGATGACCACGCTGGCGGCTCCAAGGCCGAAAAACCAAAAGACGCTGCTCGACATGATGAAAAGCCCATTCTACAGAATAGCGCCCTCTAGGGGCTGCGAGCATATGTAGATATTGCGGTCAAGCAGTTGTTGTACAAGGACGAACCGACTATGCTACGGTGAGAGGCCCGGCTCATCTTGCGTCACTCCACAGCATCACGAAGGTCGTACCCATGCCCGGTCTCCCTGGGGGTTCAGCCCGCTATGAAAATAAACGGAATTTCCGCCTTGCGGTTAGTTATTAACGTGTCAGGCGCGTATTCCTGTTGTATGAGGCTGAGGGCTAGTTAAACTTGGCCAACATGTTTGGCCATGCTTCTACGGTACGGTTGAGCCTTGAGCTCGTGTCTCTACCTACCACACAGGGTGTCGTTCCAGCTATAACATATCTCCAAAGCCGTAACGGTAAAAGAAGGGGGAGCCACGCCTATATTTTATTGGGTTGCTTCGTCGTTGGCCCGGCGGGGCCGGAAAATGACATCGGTTGTCCGGGGTTGGGACTCCATCCCGGAGGTGATAGACATCTCGTCGTGCATATTTGAAACCTAGGATGAGTGTCTATCTGGTCATTTTTCGTGTTCCAAAGATCCACAGAACAAATCAGACACACCCAGACCCAGAAACCCGGTACCACAGAGTTGCTCTATGGGCATCTTTGCCTTTGTCTTAGCAAGCATTTCGGGCTAGACGAAGGTGCATCTACATCCTAGGCGTCTTTGCAAATAGCAAGGAAGAAGGCAAGCTATTCGTACGTAAAGCTTAGCGAGGTTGGCTGGGCTGTCTATGATTCATAGACACGTAAAATGGTAACTATCAAAACGAAACAATGGTCCGGTATTAAGGAAGAGTCTCTCACGTTCTGGCCTCGGACGTGTGGTCTCGATGCCCACGATCGATGCACGCATGTGCCTTCGGTTTGTATGCAGGTAGAGGTCGTGTACCAGAGACGTGTAGGGATTATAACGTGTGGTTCTCCTGCGGCTGCTGGAAGTCAGCTCTGAGCATGTCATGACTTGCCGTATCACCCAGCTAGAATGCATCCACAGGGTATGTGTAGTGGAGAAAACCCGGACCAGTCAGTTCAACACACCGTAGGAATAATTGAATGTTGGGTACAGTATACGCCTTTTGAGGCTCGTTTAGCCGAGATTCTGTCGGTCATATGCGCCCTATGGAAAGGGTTGGTTCCCGGGGGGGGGGGGGGGGGGGGGGGTGGGGGGGGGGGGGGGGGGGGGGGGGGGGGGGGGCGATATTGCCCTGCCCGCGCTATCCTCAGCTCATCTGGATGCTATTTCTAACATAAATTATCCATTCAGTAGCCATGGAGGAGTCAGACCATATTTTCCTTTCAGGGCAGCTATTACATTGATTTCCAAATGGCCACCAACGAGACCATGGCGACCTCTTCCCACAATACCACGGTCCTTGGCTATGCATGGGGAATAACAGAGGGAAGACTTGAATTCGCAAGAAACCAGCTACCGGGTCACCCTGCAGCCGCAAGCCTGTCCTTCATATTTGTTGCTATACTCATAGGAGTAATATATATCGCCATAGCATCTTACTCGCATCTTAGTGCTTTCCCAGGACCTCGTTGGGCGGCATTCACACGTTTATGGCTTTGCAAGACCATTGCATCCGGCGACTCTGCCAGACGATTTGTAGAGATCAACCAGAAATACGGCTCTCTAGCTCGCGTCGGACCAAACCATCTAATTACAGACGATCCGGAGTTCACCCGCAAGATTCTTGCAGCTCGATCACACTATACCCGTGGCCCATGGTTTGACTCCATTAGAATAGATCCCCGTACGCCAAATATCGTATCCGAACGGCACCCGGGTAAACACAACCACCTTCGTCATCAGATGTCAGGAGGATATGCGGGAAAAGAAATAGAAGGGCTCGAGGACGCCATTGACGAGCGTATCACAGATTTTGTGAACCGGATAGAGCAGCGTTGGCTGTCGGAGGATAGTGAGACCAAGGTGTTCGATATTGCAAGGCGAATTCAATTTCTGGCAGTCGATACGATCACACACCTCTGCTTTGGGAAACCATTGGGTTGTATCAAGACGGATACCGACATGTTCAACTTTCTGTCCACGATTGAAACCCAGCTACCAATCGTGCAGCATTTCTCGGTAATTCTTGAGTTCAATACACTTTTGCTGTGGATGGCAGGTATACCTCTAATCAGGAAGCTCATATTGCCATCAGCGAGCGATAAAACTGGAGTTGGTGTGATTATGGGTGTACGTTAAAGGTGCGCGTAATTGGGAGATTGCAGTTGCTGACAATGACTAGATCACCCACAGCGTTGTTGAAGAGAGACTGAAGCCCAACAGCACACCCAAGAAAGACATGTTAGCATCGTTCATGAAGCACGGGCTTTCACCGAGTGAGGTTGAGACCGAGATATCCATTTCTTTGTGAGTAGCAGTTGTAGCTAACCCAGCACTTCAATTCTGCTTTTTCTAATTCAAAAACAGAGTTGCCGGCTCCGATACTACGGCAACCTCGATAAGGGCGACGTTACTCGCCATAATTTCAAACCCCAGAGTATACTCCAGACTTGTTCAAGAAATCGACGAAGCCGAATCCAACGGAAATATTTCTTCACCTATCCGTGATCAAGAGGCTCGACGCCTACCATACCTCCAAGCATGCATTAAGGAAGGTCTCCGCCGATTTCCTCCTATCACTCAACTACGAGAACGCATGGTCCCTGCTGGAGGTGATACATATAACGGGAAGCATATTCCCGAAGGCACATTTATTGGCCTGAATGCATGGGGTGTTCAGCTCAACCCGGTGTTCGGAGACGATCCTCAAGTGTTCAGGCCAGAAAGATGGCTGATTGATGACGAAGAACGTCTACAGGCAATGTCGCGCGTCCAAGAGCTCATTTTCGGCCATGGGACAACTCGATGTCTGGGAATCCCCATTGCAACAATGAACTTGAATAAAATCTTCCCAGAGGTAGGTGTGATCCATACCCAATTCGAGAAGTATGTTCAGATTGTTGACCCTTCAACGTTACAGTTGCTGCGTCGATTTGACATTAGCGTTATCAATAACACCAAGCCCTGGACCAGTATATGTTATGGCATTTTCTTTCAAAAAGATTTTAACGTGCGCATCTCGCAACGAAAAGGGGTATCGAATAGACAAGGGAGCAAATAGAATTGTAGAAGACCATTGGACGTTGTATCCGTCCAATTAGATGCTATAAATAAGGTTTTATCTTTTTTCCTCGGCAGGGGGGAGACCCCATGCTGCTTCCAACACGAGGTAAATCAGTAGGGGCCAACAGTCAAGGAATGTATCCGTATCCCTCAGCTGCGGGTTTCCAGGAATGTCCAGATTCTTCACAAGCTACCGGATATAACCGATTTCCACAAATATACCCTTGAGGCTCATTAGAGTCTATGCCATATCGTAACCAATCTTCGAATGAGTCACATATCTGTAGAAATAGCCGGAAAAAGAAGAAATGTAGCGAAATGGCAGCAACTTCCTTGTATTGATTCAGCTGAGTGTCACACCTCACTCCTGGTGGGAATATTTTGACCCATCGGCAGGGCACTAGAGACATCTTATACAAAATAAAACATCATTCATCTTCCACCCAAGAACGAGCCTCATCAAAAACGTCCATAGTCCTCTCGGACATACTACATCACTATTACTTCAGAATCGTTTGTCTGTATCGATAGCCCCGCACAAACATTAAGCATGGACACAACAGAGCCTTCGCCGCCATCCAGGTGGATCGAGACACTCGGTTCCGATAGTGGCTGTGAACTGACCGAATGGGATGATAATGCAACGCCACTAGGCAGCGTAAACCGCTGCGTGCACGACATAATTCATAGCCAGTGCTTGCTGCAGCCTGAAGCAGCGGCAGTTAACTCTTGGGATGGAGAGATGTCTTATGGAGAACTGGACGCACGCTCGACAAATTTGGCTAAGCGTTTGACAAGCAAAAATCATTTTGAAAAGGGGACATTCGTTTCAATCTGTATGGAGAAGTCCTTATGGACACCTGTCGCCATGTTGGGTGTGATGAAAGCCGGAGGTGCCTTTCTTTTATTGGATCCAGCTCACCCGCGGGATAGACTGTGCCAGATGTTGGAGGATACTTCTTGTGCTCTAGTCTTGACTTCAACAACTTGCTCACAAGTAGTTGCTGAGTTGGGCATCGAGATGATTGTGCTGGAAGAGACAATTTTTTCTGATGGGGACGACGAAAAGGACAGTCAAATCGCCGCTGTTTCTGCGGACATTACTCCGGAAGATACGATATACGCCGTGTTCACTTCAGGGTCGACTGGAAGGCCAAAAGGAGCGATATTCTCGCATAACGCATACGCTTCAAGTGCGGTTCTTTTAAAAGCTCCACTGCAAATAGGGCCGCAGTCACGTGTTATACAGTTTTCATCCTATGCCTTTGACGTGAGCATCTCAGATCATCTTCTTACCTTAATAGGGGGCGGCTGTATCTGCATTCCGTCAGAAAGTGACCGCCAGAATGACCTCGCGGGGAGCATGACGCGACTTGGTGCGAACTGGGCATGCATCACTCCCTCCGTGGCCCGCACTTTGTCCCCTCACAAAGTCCCAAGGCTTCAAAACCTAGTGCTCACAGGGGAGGTCGTTAACCGAACAGATGTGGATATGTGGGCTGCACACGTCAATCTGATCGGGCTCTATGGCCCAGCTGAGTACGCCATCGGGACTACGGTAAACGTCCACCTGGGGCGGTCAGCCAGTGCCACCAACATTGGGCGTCCGTATTCCGCTGTATGTTGGATGGTAGACCCGCTGGATCATAGCAAACGACTTCTTCCCGGAGCTGATGGTGAGCTAGTGATTGAGGGGCCTGCAATCAGTCGCGGGTACATCAATAACCCGAACCAGACCGCAAGCTCTTTTATTAGTGACCCTGCGGAAACGAGTCATGGCCAAACTGCCAGAAAGATGTATAAAACAGGAGACTTGGTTCGCCATAACAAGAAGGATGGGACTTTCCAGTTCCTTGGCCGTAAGGATACGCAGGTAAAGCTGCGCGGCCAGCGAGTTGAACTGGGTGAAATCGAGTACCACGTCCGAACATGTTTCCCTGGAACCCAGGAAGTTGTTGCAGAGGTGGTGCAGTTTAAAGACTCGACACAGCAGCTAGTTGTGTTTGTATTCCGGCCAGACAGCCAGGAGCCAACGATGCAAACGGCGTCGGATGGGCTACTGGTCTTTCCAAATCAATCGTTCTTGACTCAAGTGACACAGCTTGAGTTGGCGCTAGCTCAACGGCTACCAAAGTATATGGTTCCGAACTTGATTCTCAGGGTCGCACGTATGCCCATGACGGCAACTGGAAAGACTGATCGCCGAAGACTCCGCGAACATGTAGAGCAGCTGTCGTTGCAATCTTTAAACGTTTATCATCGCGGGAATGCGTTGGCTACTGAGGCACCAACCACTACGAGTGAGAAAACACTCCAAATATTGTGGGCACAAGTCTTGGGTGTCCCTATTGAGCAGATTGGTCGTCAAAGCAACTTCTTTCACATTAATGGTGATTCTCTACAAGCCATGCGACTTGTGAGTCAAGCTAGGGAAGCCGGCCTGTCGATGACGGTGCAGAATATCTTCCAGCATCCACGCCTATGTGACCTGGCTGAGACAACGAAACCCCTAGCCACAGAAGAACAGAGTGACTCAACTGTGGCTTTTGAATATTTGCCTGACGACCCCTCTGTTCGCGAGCGCATCATTCAACTTCTCACAGAGAAGTATTCCACCGATTCTAAGGTTATCGAAGACATTTATCCATGCACGACAACCCAAAAAACGCTCATAATGTCATCTGCCATGGTTCAAAACAATCACACCATTGCAGTTGAATGCCAGTTACCGGTGGGGCTAGATCAAGACCGACTCTTGAATGCATGGAAGGCCGTTACCCGTGCTGATCCCGCTCTCCGAACGCACATAGTTGAAGCCAGTACCGGAGAATATTTCCAAGTGGTATTGAGTGAAGATACTCCTTTAGAGATCACATCGGACGTGCCAACAGCAGTCCAAGGCAAATCACCAGTCGATATATGGGGGTTCAAGCGGCCACTAGCGCGCCTCATCCAATATGAAGACCGGCTCACTATGCTAATCCACCATACAATCTGTGATGGCTATAGTGTTCCCGTCATATTTCAACATTTGGCAAAGGCTTATAGCGGCGAAGCGCTGCTGCCGCGACCATTTGGTCCATTCTTGCGTTGGCTCCAGCGTAGTGAAGCCCCCGATGTGGATGACTTCTGGAGACATAAATTTGCCGATTTCCAAGGGAAAACCTTCCCCCCTCCGCTGGAATCCCTGGCTAGTGGGCAGATGCCTATGGCTATATCCGTCCTTGAACCGCGGCTTGTTCTCGACCTTCCAGACAAAACGACGACCAGTACTTTTTCTATAGAAAGCAGATGCCGTCTGGCATTGGCAATAGTCCTCAGTATAGCTACCGATGTGGCAGATGTTTCATTCGGTGCAGTGGCCTCCAGGCGTGGTGCCCCGGTCCATGGGATTGCAGATATGACGGGACCCACGGCAACTGCACTCCCAGTGCGAGTGCAACTTAAGCCAGAGGATACGCTTTGGGCCAACTTGAAACATGTTCAAGACCAGGCATTGCAGGCAAGCGAGTTTGAGTGCGCCGAGCTACATCATATCGGCCAGTTGAGTCCAAGTGCAGGGGCGGTCTGTTATTTCCAGACATGTTTGGTCGTCCAGCCGGATCCATCCACCGCTGTGCCGCAGATGTTTTCGCAGTGGAGTCAATTCTTCGAGCGCGATGTCTACCCATGGGGGCTGTGTTTCGAGTGTGTCTTGTCGCAGACATCGGTCGAGATAGTGGCGTCCTACGACGAGCGAATGGTTGATGGCGACAGGGTGCGGTCGTTACGAGAGCAATTTGCGGAGGTGTTTCGGCTCATAGATAAGGCCCCTAATACGTGCATTGGAGATTTGGACGTGGGAGTACTCCGTAAGTGTGAATAACTGGAGAGAGGTGGTTGGATTGGACGAGAACCATGTCGATGAGGTTATGGTTGGAACTCAAATCATACCAAATCGGGTTAGAGGGAAACATGGTGCAGAATCTGGGCTACTGATTACAAAGCACCTGAGATTAAGTCAGCTGCCAAGACCAGTGGTTTCTCCCCTAAATGATGCAGGTATCTTCGAGGCCTACACAGAATATACGTTTCATATGTATGAGATTTATTTTATGATATAATGATACATGATTTAAGTGTCTGGGCACCCAGGTTCAGCTACAGTTGAAGTATCCCAAAGCTACTTAACCTACCACACTAACAGGGCAAATGCTATTATGTTTTTATATTGTGAATTTTAGATTCTCTGGAGTGCAATACCGAATCCACAGCAGATATCACGTTCTAATCGTCTCTCGTAGCTTGTCTTAAGGGATTATGTCAACTGCCGACTATAATTCTTACTCAAAAGACACTTACGATGCTGCTCTTTTCGTCATCAATTCACACCCTAGAGCCAGCTAGGTAACGAAAGAGTTTCTTAAGAGAGACGCGTATCCTCAAGGGTATACTCTATCTGAAGCGCAGTTGGTCTAATTCTATTATTTTGGCCTTTTTTCCAAAGTCCTACTGGGTATCTTCTGAGAATCTAAATCCGGTCATATTCCGTTATCAAACCCCTGTTCTGAGCATTCATCAGACGGATGTTCTCCGTGGTGTTCACTACTTCTTTACCGCAACCCAATGGGATGGCCTATAGGTGTTCTGCAGCATGCTCTCCGGGTCCTGGATATACCCGCATTCCTGCGTCTGCATATCGCGCCGCTGGAGCTTGAACCCCATTGACTGGATGAGAAGGAGAACTTCTTCCTCCGTAAACTCAACCGTGCCCGGTTCAACAATGCCGAGTTTCTCTATATCATCAGTATCAGCACCTTCGCTTTTACTTTGATTGCTATTATGTCTGTCTTCATAGTGCCAGAGTAACGGGCCAACGTTGATCCAAATGCCACCAGGGCGCAAACAGTAGTGAATAGTTTCGATATATCGAATCAGATTCGGCGCCGTGTCAATGAAAAAGACCGTTGCCACCGCATCAAATGCATCCTTGTTCTCGACTTCAGAATATTGGATGAGAAAATCGGCCGCCGTCATGCTCATAGAGCCCATGGTACGCTGGTTGGGTGGAAGTAATCCTTGCTGGCGCACAGCAGAGCCAGGATGAACATCCGGGATCATGACCGCTTTCAATTGCTGTTGTCTGGACTTGAGATTGGAAAAGCCAAAGGCAAACGGATAAATCGCGAATTCTTCTGGTCTCTGAGTATGGTTTAGCACCCAACTGCTCGCCATTAACTGGTGGTAGGAGAATTCATTGCCCTCCGCGTGGTACCCAGCCATACTCAGATCAAAGACCAATCTTCCCAGCCCGGCACCAGGAACCAAAACTCGAGTTCCCTCGGCAGGTTGCTCGCCAAAACGCTCTCGAAGAGCGTGCATCACAGGGCCATAGGATACGTCTCTTTCGTGCTTGCCCTCGGCACTCCAGTCTCTAAAAAATTGCCGAATCGTCGAATTCGCCTTGCCGATGTCATCTGGTGAGGCCTTTTTGCGCCAATCTGTAGGGCTATTTTCAGCGGGGTCTGTAGGAAGACCAAACGACGCCAGGCCCGTGGCGAGAATCCTCTCTGCAACTTCAGCGTTGGTATCGATAGCGTCGTCGATGCTGTTGAAGGTATCCAGCATGGAAAACGGCGGATTGGCAAGCTTTTCCCAGTGCGAGGACGGCAGGGCATAAAACGACTGCCGGCGGCGGTGGGTGATGTTGAGGTGAAGAAAGCGGCGGAATTGACTGATGATGGGCTGCTGTTAGTCTCCAACCATCCTACAGCTGCAGTAAGACGCAGGGTACTCAGCACGCGCGAAGGAATAAGAATAATAGGGAGCATGCATCAACATCCTGCCCGCACGTACGCACGCACATAGAGCGCAAAACACTCGGCCGTACCTGTAAGAATCCAGCGTCGCAAAAAGCACCTTGCGCTCCCGGAGGTCCGACAACGGGTCATATTCACCAACCCATTCTTCTTCCTGCTCCGTTACCCGCGATTCCTGGCCGTGGCGGGCATCGTCATCATCATCATCCCCCCTTTCGCGCTCCCTAGTCTCAGGCATTATTGGCATTCGCGGGGAGAGGGGGAGTGTTGCAGGGGAAAATTCCCTCGCCAGACAAGAGTGGTTTAGCAGCGCTCAGGTCGCGTTAGTCCCGTCGGCGCCAACGCTCGACGGCGAGCATGCAGGAGGCCGGTTCCGCTAACTACTACGGAGTACGTGGCTTTTCGGCAGCGCTGCCGGTGGGGTGTTCCTTTTTGGCTTGCCCCCTTGCGCACGCCGGCGATGTTGCTGTCGGTGTCGTTGCGGGATCGCTTTGACCGGGAGGGGAGAAAAGGTGCGCGGGTTTCGGGTGCGGAATCGCACGTCGTGATTGGCCGACGGCCGGAGCCGCCCCAAAGTCGTCGTTTCCGCCGCCGCCGCCGCAATCCGAGCTCCTTGTTTGCTTTGCTTGGCCGACTCTCGCCTTCTCTCACTCCTTCCTGTGTGTCTCTCGCTCCTCGTGCTCTGCCGTGTTTGTTATTATTACTGTTATTAACAGCGCGCATACGAGCGACAAGGACCATGGCTGAAGCCGCCGGCACGGTGGGCGTCTCGCCTATCGAGATTTCATTCCCGTTGCCCAAGGCTCTTTACACCACCCTGCATATCCATCTCACATTGCTCGCCACCTCGGCCATGGTGTTTCTGACCACCACAACGTCGACGGGTGAATCGCAAGGCGCAAGGCCAATGGGGAGCTTTGTTTATGTCATGCCCGATGTACGTGGATTTACTTTTTTTTTGTTTGTTCAACCTGTCTATTGCCCAGGGAGCGCTGTCAAGCATGACGCCAATATCCCCCTCCTCTAATCTAGGGGGCGTGTTGTGATAGAAAATCTCTCTGGATCTGCTCCCCTGAGACCCTGGAAACCTGAAGCATGCTACACCGTATCCGTCCCGGGATGTGGTTGATTCCGGACAAACACATACCCGCCGACGGCTCAAGAGAGATTACCTACAAACTATCATTATTATTCTTATTATCCAACCAGTCCTAGAGACCAAGCACGGTGGCTGACTCTAACGGCCCCTCCCCCATTCCGGCTGTTCTTAGCGCGCAAATAATAATCGCAAAAGCACGATGAGCACGGCGCTCTACTCGTCGCCAGGCACCATCGATTATGCACGGCGCACGGCCCAGGCCTTGGTGCGCCGCTTCGACATGCCCGTGTACGTCGGGTGCAGCGTCGACCTATCCGGCCACATGGCGGAGGAAGAAATGGAGACGCTGGCCCTGGCCGTCGACGCCATCACGGCCAAGTGGGAAGAATCCAAGGCCGCCGCCGCCGCCGCCGCGGTCACCGCCTGCAGGGAAAATGCGCTCTAAAAAAAAAAAAAAAAAGGAGGTCAAGTATTGGCGACGCCGGGAACAATGATGACCATGATGGTGATTGATGGATGATGGTCGATGCCGCACGATGCGATGCGATGCGATGCAGGCAGGGTTCCGGGACGCTTCGCCGACCAACCAGCCCGCCAATCGCCTTCCCTCCCTATAAAAGCCGTAGGGATCGAGGCTGGCTCGGAAGAGAGAGGATGCATGTTAGTGTGTTACGGAGTCGAGCATCTTGTTTGATTAGCTTTTTTTTTTAAAAAAAGACCTCGAAAGCGACAAAGAGATATATTTTAGCCTTTCTGGAGGCCCCGGAATATGATTTCCTCTGACATGGCGGCGGGGAGGGGGCACGCTCCAAACCTCACCTCCTGTCTCTGCCTCCGGATGTTCTCCGTAGTACGCGCAGCGAAATTCACGCCTGCGCCGTCCCTGCTGTAGTTGCTCCCACAATCACATGAGCTGTCTTCTTGTCTCGATTGTGTCCCAACCGTGCTTGTGAAGATCGGTTCAAGACGTTGGGGGAAGAATAATAATAATATATCTCATTCGTCGCCAGGCATTCGCCCCTTGCCTCCCATCGTGAAACACGCAAAAACAAGGTATATGCTGTCTCGCGTCGGGCGGGCGTTGACAATGCCCCCGGGTCCTAGCCACAGAGCAGCCTCGTAGTGGGCTAGGGGAGGGGAGGGAGAGGAGAGGAGAGGAGAGGGAAGAGGGGAGTTTGGCGGCCTGACGAAAAGTGGAACGGGGGGGCGCCGAGCCGGAATCACAGGGGTTTTCCGTCGGCCACACACACACACAAACATACAATTTGGACTTTACTTTTTTTTTTTAATTTTTTAATTTTTTTGACTATTATTATTCTTATTCCTGGTTGCGGGTTATCCGAGCGGGAAGGAAAAAAGAAAAACAGGCAGGATTAGTTGGTGACATGCTGCTCGGCTCAGGGACAGACGAGAACACGCGGATAGTTAGTTAGTCGCACGGCTCGGTCTCCGTGTCGGTGGAGTAAAAAGGGAAGGACAGAACGCGCAGTATTATTTATTATTATTCAGCTCCGGAAGCAAGGAACCGAGAAAGAAAGAAAGAAAACAAAAAAACAAAAAAATAGCTCGGAGGGGGCGGCGCGCGGGCGGGCTGAACGGTGGAGCCCGGGCTGGCAAGAAAAGGAAAAGCAATCCTCCACTGGGTTGGCGAAGAAAAAAAAAAACCTTCTCAAGCGTGGCCCTCAGACCTTTCGAGATAGTTAGTAGTAGTAGTATGGAAGTAGGAATCTGTCGCAGCGTGGTTAGCACAGTGGCGGCGGCGGAACCGAGAGTAGTGCGCAGTAGTTAGTTAGTTACGGAGCACGGCTATTATTATCCCTATGGTCACGGAGGATAGTTGTATAGATACGGACGGCACGGGTAGCTAGCTCGGTAGGGAGGTCCTGGATGCCAATGCAGGGAGATGCCTTCTGCCTTATTCTCTATCAAGGCCCTGACAGGTTGTGGTTGTTGTCTGATCCCATCTTAAAAAAAGAAGAATTGATGTATAAAAAGAAAGAGGGAGGCCTAAGCGATTCGTTTGACAGGCTCAAGTACCCCGTAGTTAGGTACTAACTAACTTCCTCCGTACATCCATCGCATCCAACAGCCCGCGGCGCGCTTGGACTCCCAAGCGGGTTCCTGCCTGGGACAGCTGGGCCTCCGCGCGGGAAGCAACAGTGACACATATGTAGCAGCAATAAAAATAATGATAGTGATCCTCCTCCTCCTACCACGGGAACCCCGCCCACACGCGGGCCACAGGGCGTTTTGCACACAAACCCAGCCCACCCGCCCGCCTCCACCACCAGCCGCCGGGCCTCTGATGAGAGCGAGGATCGCAATCTGCGTACTGCGTCGCCCGCCCCCTTTTTGTCATGTCAAGGGCGCACAGAAGCGTGGGGTGAGGGGGGCCGGCGCGCGGCACCAATAACTACCTAACTACCTAGTTAAGTTAGTGGAAAATAGTGGCCGGCTGAGACGGCTCAGCTCGCAGAGTCCCTGCGGGGTCCATGCTTGCCCATCATCATCATCATCATCATCACCACCCATATCGCCATCGTCGGGCAAAATCGCATCTGATAGACAGGAGAGGGAGAATGGCCTGCTGGTGCTACTGCTGCGCGTGCGCACGGGCCGCGCGAGCGGTGGTTTGCATATATAGTTCGTTCGTTCAGTCAGTTTACGAGCGGTGCCGGCGCTTGGCGGGACGGCGGGCGGCGGGCGGCGACGGGCGAACCGGAACGGTAGGGCTTGTGTAGGCAACTAACTACCTATGTAGTACTCGGAGTCTACGCAGCGTCACGATGTCACGCTGGGCTGGGCCCATGGGCGGTTCCGCCTGCCTGACTCTGAGCTGACTACTCCTAGACAGGCAATAATGAACGCCGGCGGACGAGCTCCTATCACGAAGCGGGTCGGCAATCCAGCCGCTGTCATGCCGGTGCTGGTGCTAGGCCCGGGGCGAGGAGAATCATAATAATAATACCTCCATCCTAGCTACTCTTCTATCTCCCAATGCTCCCTGTTGTAACTAACTACGTGTTTGGGGCGCGGCCAGGGCCACCCATCTTGTCCGCCCTGGCTCACTTTGTTCTGGATCCTGCGGGCATGGGTGCCGGGGTTGGAAGAGAAAAAAAAAAACATAAAAAAACATAAAAAATGGAAACTAGCTTCTCGGAGTGTCGAACCGAGACAGATACTTTTTTCGATGGCCAGGTCCCAGGATGACGAGCGTGCGTGCGTGTGCGCGATCAGAGATGTATCAGCGGGTGCTAGGCGAAAGCAATCTCACACGCCAGGGGGTAGTTAGTTAGTTAGTTCGAGGGGTAGGGGACCGGGGGTGCTGCCTTGGTCAGTAGTGGCAGGCCAGGCGCGAAATGCGACGAGTAGCGGCGGGCCGTCTGAGATGTATCGCGATCATCGCCACATGGCGCCATAGCGGAGTCTGCACCAGGAGCGAGTAGTATTATTAGTATTAGGACGACGTCGTTGGCGGGCGGTCTGGACAGGGCAGATCCCCCGCCTGACTCGACGGGCGGCCGCAGTCGTCATCGTCGCTGGGCTGTCGGGGGCGCCAGTAGGCTGGGCTGGGGCTGCTGGCTTTCGCTCCTTCGCGTGCCTAGCTAGCTCGGTGGTGGGCGGGAGGGAGAGAAGAGAGAGAGGGCGAGGGGGCCGGGGATGCCCGCTGTGTCGCGCCCGGCCGGTGGGGGGTGGAGCGCGCGAGCCGTGGCGCGAGGCTGCAGTAGTAGTGAGTGCTACTACTAGTGAGCTACCTTCGTGCGGCGGGCTCGCGTGGGCGGCGCCAGCGGGGCGAGAGAGCGGAGGCGGTTCGTGTGCGAGCCTGCAAGACGCGGGCGCATCATCATCATCACCATCACACGGGCTGGCGAGCATGCCGTGTGGGGAGTAACTAGTAGGTAGAGTGGGCAGCACGAGCGCGGCCTGGACGACCGCCCAAAATATCTATCGGGGCCAAGCCAGGGCCGATCGCGCGGGCGCGTGGTGGTGGTGGTGGTGGTGGTGGTGGTGGTGGTGGTGGTGGCTGGCCGCCGCCCGCACGGCTCACAACGGCCGGCGTAGCCTGCCAGGCACGCCCACCAGTAGTTAGTTAACTAACTCCCTCTGCTGCTTTTCTAGCGGCCTGCGGCCGGTGTGATCGCCACGCCCACGACGCCCATGCCCGCGGCCCACGCACTAGGGAACGGCATGGCACGCAGGCCCAACCTCGGCAGCCGGGGACTAGCGGGGTGGGCGTGATCTCGGTAGGATGCGCCGGCGCGCCAGGCAGCGGGGGGGGGGGACGGTCGCGCGCGCGCTGGTGGGCGGGAATCCACCCGATAAGACGGCCCAGCACGCCCGCCACCAGGGCGGTTGGCGTTGGCGTTGGCGTTGGCGTCGGCGTTGGGCTTTAGCTTTGGCTTTCACGCCGCCAGCTGGGCCTTGCCTTGCCTTGCCCTGCCCTGCCCTGCCTTGCCCGCCCCGGCGACCTGGCCGCGCTTCTTTTTATCTCTGCGCCCCGGCCCTGGCCTGGCTCTGCTCCTCTCTTCTCTTTCTCTTCTTCTTTTTCCTTTTTTGTTTTGTTTTGCTTTCCCTGCTGGCTGGCTGGGACGCCGTGCCCAACGCCGGCGACCAACCGCGAGCCAGTCCTCTCTTATCTACTCTGTTGCTCCATACTTGCTTCACACAACATCCGCATCGCTCGCCGCTGTCTGGTGGCCACAGCGACGGGCGCCGCGACCAGCCCAGAAGATGCACGCCAGCTCATTCCTGCCGCCGCCGCCGCCGCAGTCCGCCCCGGCCAAGCAGCAGCCGCCACCGCAATCGTCGCTTCACCACCACCATCACCATCACCACCACCCGCACCCACACCCACACGCGCACCCGCACTCCCAGCCTCCGTCGTCGCTGCTCTACACCTCCTCGCCCGCCCTGTCGTCGCCCGGCCTGCCCGCCCCCGCCCCGCGCGAGCCGCTGCTCAACCTCAGCCCGCTGCCGCCCGACCGTCCCAGCAGCGGCCTCAAGATCCGCCATCTGCTGTACAACGCAACCGCCGCCACGCCCGCCTACTCTCATCCGCCGCCACCATCCACGCTGCTGCGCAATCTCCCCGATCCCCTTCACGACACCACCACCACCACTAGCGTTACCCCGGGCCATGTCGTGCCCGCCTCCCAGCCCATCCACAAGCGAGCCTACCGCCAGCGCCGCAAGGATCCGAGCTGCGATGCCTGCCGGGAGCGGAAGGTCAAGGTACGCGCTGCGCTGTTGTCTATTGATATATTGATATGCTCTCCTGTTTGTCCGTGTGGTGCTGAATCTTGCCCGTCTAGTGCGACGCCTCCGAGTCCGCCAGCTGCACGGAATGCTCCAACCGCAACGTGAGATGCCTCTTCACCAAGGAGACCAACCGGCGCATGTCATCCATCAAGTGAGCTCAATTCCTAATACCCCGGGGTGTCGACCTGCAAGCTCAAAAATACAAGCTGACCTAGAGACCATTGTATCGCCTGCAGACAGGTGCAGGATCTCGAAAGGCAGCTGGCCCAGGCGAAGCAGCAACTGCACCAGCTGCGCATGGGCATCTCGAAATCCGAGGACTCCAACTATGACACCAGCGACGAAACCCCCAAAATCCCCGAGATCGGCTACCGCCCGTTGCGCATCCACACCCCCAGCGCCAACCTCAACTATGCCGGCGTCTGCTCCAGAATGCGCCTGCACGGCCAGGGCCTGATCAACTTCCCCCTCACGCCCTCCTACATCCGCCAGCAAGCCATCCTGACTGCCGACTACCCTGCCCTGCCGCCCAAATCCGTGGCGGACGCGCTGCTGCGCCACTACCACGCCTTCATCCACTCCGTCTTCCCCATCATGCACTGGCCCGCGCTCCTCGACGACTACGATCGCGTATACCGCGCCGGCTCGCTGCGCGGCGCCCCGCGAGGCTGGACCGCCGTCTTTCTGGCCGTCCTGGCGTGCGGCTCGCTGCACTCGCTCGATGCGGCGCTGGTCGCCAAGGGCAAGGAGTACATCCAGGCCTCGCTGAATCTGACCGACCTCTGGCAGGACGGCTTCTCCGTGGATCAGGCGCGCGCGGGGATGCTGATCAGCATTTTCCTGTACGAGAATAATCTCAAGTCGGCCAGTTGGGTCTGGCTGGGCTGTGCCGTGAGAATCGCGCAGGATCTCGGCTTACACGTTGAGTCCGGAGCGTGGACGCCGCTCGATGCCGAAATGAGGCGGAGAATATGGTGGTCGTTGTATGCTTGGGAAAGGTTCGATTGTTAACCCATCCATCTTTTGGCTAAGTACTCCTGAATTCTAAGTCGTTTTTTTAGAGTCGTCGTGCTCGAGTTGGGCCGTCCGTTATTGATTCACGACGAGGATTGCGATGCGGACTTGCCGTCAGCCGTGGAGGACCATCTCATGGCTGACGGTGGCATCGCTCCCGTAGAGTCGCGGACGAACGCGCTCCTCGCCATCATCCACGTCCTGCGATCCGTATCGCAGCTCGCCAAAGCCCTAAAGTCGCGCGTAATATGTGCAGAAACCCTGGATGTATTCGAACGGCACTTTCGAATGTGCCTGTCGAGTTTCCCCGTGGACTACCATATCAACTCCACCCAGCCCCTAGACCCCCAATCGCTATCCCCAATCATCTACCTTCAAAACACCAGACTCGTCCTTCATCGCCATAACCTATCGCCGGCATGTTCCCCGGAGATGAGGCACCATGCGATAGAGCAATGTCTGGCCATCGCCAACGACACCACCCGCATCCTAACACGCTGCATGCGCTCCGCCCAGCCCTCCGTAAGCTCCGAGGACGGAGACAGGCGCTACCTGCTCGCAGCCGCCGCCAGCACCGTCCTATGCACGCACCTCTGGCGCTGCACCTTGCTCCTCCTTTTCAAAGCCGAATACTCCGCGGCCCTGATCTGCATCCAAGCCAGCGCGGCCATCGGCGACGCGCGCACCGTCAACGTCGCCGCGGGCAAATACATCGCGTTCTTCCTGAAATGCCTGCTGGAGCGGCAACCGGCGCCGCCGCACGGCGAGATCCCCAGCCTCGAGCGCGATGAGGAGATGATCGCGTACGTCTCGGGCGACCTGCAGGCGCGCATCGACGGCAGCTGGGTGTGGCAGAACAGCGACGCGCCGTCGCCGCTGACCACCACCACCACCTCGTCCCCGCCTCCGCTGCCGCCGCCCACCACCGCCAGCACCGCGTCGCCGTCGTCGTCGTCCGCCACCTCGCCCGTGCGCCCGCGTTTCGTGGATCCGCCCCGCAGCGAGCCGTCCAGGAAGGATGACGCCGGCGGCGATCACGACGCGTGGGAAGGGTGGGAGTGGGTGGAGCAGACCACGCAGATGCTACTGTCTCAGCAGCAGCAGCAGCAGCAGAGAGGCATGATCGAGCCGCCGGTGGATAGCCAGCGGTCCGTTCACATCGAGCCGAAGCCCGAGCACCCTGTGGAGAACCCGTCGCGGCCGCCGCTGCATCGATCGTCGAGCTCGAAGATGACGATTGCTAGTATTATCTAGCTAGGGAGCTGATCGGATTCTTCAAGGGCTGTTGGCCCCCGCAAGGCATTTCGTCATGAGAACCGAAATGCATGAGAAATGCCTGATTGTTTTCCTGGGGATTGTTTTCTTTTCTCCTTCCCACGTCATCGAGCTGATACTTGGATGGAAGAACTCCTGGCTGCTAGTCAGTCTCTTATAGATACCCCTCCACCCCCTACTCCCCTTTTCCCTCGACGAACTTGCCCGGAGATAGCTACCCGCCCGACAACAAAATCTCCCTTTTTGCTTTTCCCTTTTTTTTTTTTGCTTCGACCGAACTCCAATGAGAATGATTTAGCGTTGTTTACGATGGGATACTAATAATCGTCTACTTTCATACTATTCTCGCATTTCAGCCCCCGGTCTCTTTTCTCTGGACAGTTATGTATGTGAGCTTTAAAAATGAGAGGGGACTATATGCTAACTATAACGGAACATGGGTGTCATTTTTTTTTTTTTATGTGATTTTATATTTCACTTCTACTCCATTTTATTTTAATTTTTTTTTTTTTTTTTTCCCTCATCTAATCGCTGCTTACCTTTTGTGAAGCGTTGTATTCGCATGTGATCAACAGCGACTGTAGAATATAGAAATAATTGATAATTGACGATACACCCCGCGCGCGGCCCATGGCCGTGGCTGGCGTGCGTGGTTTTGATGTCTCTTTTTCCCGTCCCGCTGTCGATATGCTATTATTCCTTGGAGAGTAAATTTTTTCGAGCAAAAGAAATATGGTCAGTGTATATAAAAAAGAAAAAGAAGAGAACAAACAAAAAACCCCTTTGTCAATGTATAAAATAGGAATTCGATGCATAGCAGCCCAAGAACCAACCATGAGTTGTAGCCGGTGAGGAAATAGCCACATATAAGAACCAGGCTGAAGAAACGGAGAGAGAATAAAGTACATAGAGTTAGTATCAGAAACATAAACACTCTCTATGTATGTAACTACGTCACATGGGAGAGGAGGAACAAATATATTTATAAAAAAAAAATATTCGCGGAAACCTCTCGCAACCAAGCTCATCTGTGTTCATAAACACCTCAAAATAAATATATTATAATACTCAGACCGCGCTATAGCCGCCCCGCGACCCGGGGCCCTGCAGCGTAGTCACCACCTTGCGGCTCCAGTCTTTCATTAGGTACGGGATGTCACGGATCGTGTCGCCGTGGGGCAGTAGGTCCCAGCCGCGCGCGCCGTAGCGGTTGTAGTTCAGCCAGGAGCCGAAAATCAGGTAGGCGGCGATGCAAAGGAAGAGGCTGGTGGGTGATAACGTTAGTGGGGAAATTGAGCAATAGATAGGGGGGAAAACACATACAGAATGATGAACCACGTGAAGAACCCCCAATGGTTCGACCCCGAAGGGTTGTCGTCTTTCACGTCTTCGCAGGCGTATTTGGTGCGCCAGTCGAGCCGGAGGACGTTGATCTTGTCGACTTCTCCGTAGCTCTTGAACTGAAGACTCTTGTCCTTGTTGCGCTCCTGCTTGTCATCGCCTTCAGATGATTCCGGCTTCTTGTCCTCTGCTCTCCTTCGGCGCTCTTTTTTCTCCTCGTCATCCAGACCGCTTCGCTCCTTATCACAAATCAGTTCTATTACGGCTTGTTGCTTCCGGTCCAAGTATTTTCCACCGTGTAGTTCGATTCGGAGCCCTTCCTGTTGTGAATCGGCGGCCTTTAGCCGGGTGATTTTGGGGTCGAGAGATCGGCCAGAACTATGAGCGTAGTTGCCTGCTATCGGAATTGTCCCAGAGGTTATTTCCGTGTCTTTGGTTTTCGTTCGTTCAATGCCGCATACTATAGACGTTTCACAACAGAGTCAGTCAAGACGGTATGCACTCGCAACTTGATAGCAGGGGAGCGAACCGAATGTTCCGCTTGGACATTGGCTATTCTTTGGTAAAGGCTTGCATATATCCAGGGTATAGGTAGTGTTGATAATGGACGGAGGGTGGTCAACCACATTGTAGACGGAGTGAGGCCCGCCCAGTTTACTTAGGTCCCATGTCTTTCCATCAACGACGATCTTGGTACAGTCTAACTGCGCCAGTGACAATGCAGGTAAAAGAGCGAGAATAGAAACAAGCCGAAGATCTAGAGACGACTTCATTATGGCGTGGGAATCTGAGGGCGTAGCTAGCTAATTATCGGAGCCTGGGCCGGGAGAGCCGCACTTCCTGCGTGCAGCGAGGTGTATGTAAGCGGACAGCTTCGCTGCCAACGAGCGAGAAGCGACCCAAGCGGAGGACAGGGCAGGTAGCTGTATGAAGGGCGGTAGAAGGAAAAAAAAACCGGAGAGTGTGGTGATGGAAAGATGCTGAAATATGGACGGGGAGGACGTCCCGTTGCCTGGCAAGCGTTAGCTGGAGTTTCGCTGTTTCTGGCTTTGGCGATGATGATGATGAAAGGTTTCTGGTCACCGCGGTTGCCAAGCCGCACTAGGAGCTGAATAAACCAGCACAACTTGCGGGCTCGACGTTGGGAAGACCAGATTCGACGCAGGATCGGGGAATTTTCCTTTTACAAGCAGTCTGACTGTCTGTTATAACCGTGTTTGGCTGCCTACAGTCGACAGCGCAGGTCGTTATTGGCCACCTGTGAGCTCGCGTGCTTGTTTGGCTGCTGCTGGGACAATCAAACGCCAGAAGCCACCACTCAAGCTGCATCGACGTATTGCAATACTCTCAGCGATCAGGATAGAGTCAGAACCACAGAATCGGCACAATTATGCTCTCACGGCGTATGGTACGTGTCTGCGCTCCCCCTTGTTGCGCACCAACTATCCCATCTTACCCCGCTAACGCTCCGCGATAACTAGCTCTCGAAAGAGGACGAGAACGCGACACACGGCGAAGAAACCGAAGTCCGACGCGAGGATCAGGAGAAGATCAATCGCTTCAGCAGACTGCATCAACGGGAAACCATATTAGAAGAGCAACTCAAGACAAAACAGGTATGGACCATGCGATACACATACTCCGTCCTGTCACCTCCACGTTGAGCCTCAACACACCGTTACCACAAGCAAACAGAGTGTTCTTTCTCACATTTTGGCTACGCATTGAAATACAAATATTTGTCTTCTTGTGATATTCTACCTGCACAACCCAGCCCCGGTATAAAGGGGGAATGCCAAGTTTGGTTCGAACGTGCGTACTCACATTACTTCTCAATGCCAGAAAGACAAAGAAGACCTCGAAGAAGTATCCGCTGAGCTCGAGCTTGCGGACGAGGACGATCTAGTCCCGTAAGTCCAAACTCACCCTTCGTTACTTTCCGTTTGGGCTTATTCCTCCGTACAGCTACAAAATCGGCGACAGCTTTGTATCGCTCCCACTTTCAGAAGCTCAGACCCTTTTATCCTCGGCCACAGAGCAAATCGATGAAGATATCGTTAAGATTGAAGAAAATCTTGGCGAAATCCGTGATGAACTACAAAAATTGAAGGTGGCGCTGTACGCGCGATTCGGGAGAAGTATTAATTTGGAAACCTAAGGAGATACTGCATATTTTTGGAGCTTCGAATGGTTTTCAGAGAGTAATAAAAAGCGCAATTTAATGAGGGTCTGTGAACGAGCGATATTATCATGAACAGGCGACCCATGACATTCAACATTTTTCCATTAACCTTACATATTGCTATAACCGATAAAACCAACAAGATTTAATGTGTAATTCTACATCAAGAGCTGGGCGCCATCGTAGCTTCGGTTGAAAAAGCCAAGGGCCATGGGCTGGAACAGATCCGAGATTCTAATACAAGACAGTCACCCAACAGAAGAGAAATCAGACCTTCATCGCAAATTGCTTCATATACAGATAGTCTGCCATTGAACGGTCAACAGCAGACCTAATGATCTTGGCGCCCTTTTCGCCATATTTCTCACGCCATTCGTGATCGAACTCTTCCTCGGATTTCTGTTTTTTCTTCTTATTTCAAAAACACATTAGAACCAAATGCCGCTCGCTGCCACGGATGAACTTACCTGAAGTCTAGGTTTCAAAGACGACGAGTGCATAGCATCCTCGTGGAAGCCAGGCCATTTTTCAAAGGCTTTTCTCGCAACTGCTTGATCGTTCTCATTATCCCAATTAAGCATATCTGGCGTATACTTTTCTCCAATGCTCTTGCAAAATTGCTCAATAATACCAGTAGGGTTGTCGAGCAAATCGTCTGCATCAACAACGCATATTTCTCCAGAATCGTGGGCATTAGAGCCATTAAGACCGTTGTTGCCGTTAGCCGTGGATGCGCCATTGGCGTGCTGCATATTTTTGCCTGCGTGGCAGGGCCCGATCAGGCCGATATCCTGAAGATAATTGAAGAAACGTCTGAGTTCCTCGTATCCAGCTTCAGACTCGTAAAATTCGAAAAACCCTGTCAACTTGTCGAGGGGAGGAACCGTGCACCTGTAGAAGGATGGGATACTGTAATGCGGGTCCCGGATCAAGAATGTAAAATGGAACTTTTTGAGAAGCTCCACGGGAACAACAGTCGGATTTTTGGGCTGTATTCCAACCCCATTTGTCTGGTTTCCATTCAAAGCCACGCCGTTTGTCGGCTGATATCTATCAGATAAATCGGTGCCAACTCCCCGCTTCTCCTGTTGAAGGGATGGGGCGATTATAGCTGGCTTGCCATCTTCGGGGAACAGATAGTAAACCATATCTTTAATAAATGGACGAGGTCCCTGTTCCAAGGTAAGTATAGGACACATCAGGCATAATCAAACGCGCGAGTCACTGTGACATATGGACAGGAGGAGAGCGAAGGTTTTGTCTTCGGAGTAAGAGGTCCTTTCGCGTCTGGTGTAATTTTCAGGTGGTATCCAAAAGAGCGCCCACCATGGTAATATGGAGAGGAGTTACACATGAGAATAATCATTTTCGGAGTCGTAACACCAATGGGCAGGATGATAAGAAGAAGAAGAAGAAGAAGAAGAAGAAGAAGAAGAAGAAGAAGAAGAAGAAGAAGAAGAAGAAGAAGAAGAAGAAGAAGAAGAAGAAGCAAAAGAAAGGTAAACCGCAATTTCTCAATAGCAGGGAAATGGGTCAGACCTCAGACGCTTCTCTATCTATACGGTCGAAGATGTCCTTATATGTAGAGTTGCTAAACCCTGTAGTAATCCTCGCTTTCTCATCATTTTCATATCTTCTGCTTAGTCTCTCTGGACCATAATAGAATGCATCGCCGAATGGCTCATGAACACATCTCAGCGTCTGCTGGCGAGTCATAAAGACCTGCAATCTGTTAGGGATTGTTCAACTGGTGATGACACAACCAGGCCCTCTTACCCTTTCAAACGCTGTGGAACAAGCCCGTGGATGGGTAGCCACGAAGATGGGTTTCCCTGCCATTATGGCTACGTAATAGATGAAGAGTGAAATTTGAAAAATATGAAAAATATTAGGTCACTAGAGTTGAAGAACAAACTTTCAACGACAGCGACGCAAAAGAGCAGAAGGTAAATTTCAGCTGACCAAAGCTGACGCAGGGCTCTTTCCCCAGTAGTTTGTCAAGGGACTGACCAGCTGTCCACGCTGCGGACTTGGCTTGGTTTAAATAATAGCAAGTATTCCTCTGAGGAGCGGGGAGGTGGAAAACTCGGCTGATGACGTCGGCGTGGCCCAGAAGAAAGAACTTAAGAGTTTCAAGCGGATGGAGTCCGCCGCCAGAGTGCTGCCCTGACCCTTCTGGCCCTATCAACACGGTGGGTGCACCCTCACAGTCTTGGGATCCTTGTTTCCCGTCCACAAGTTAAACTTTGGGCCGGGCAGAGGCTGTTCCAGGTGCACCCAGTTAGATGGGCAGGATCGGGGCATTACTCGGGACTTTACGTTCTTTGTACGGAGTACGCGCTGGCCTGGTTGGAGAGAGCTTGTTAAGTAATACGCCCAGGCTTTTGAGGTCGAGATTCCGGTTTCACAAAGGCAATATTCTTCCCGAGAACTCGCGAGACCTATCACCAAATAGTTACTGGCCAATAACACTAGAAATCGATGGTTATGCAGTCTGCGGGCAGCTTCGCAATGTGTGGCACCTTCAGCTGCAATACTACCGCCTTTCAGCAAGCTACACAACTATAAATCATAATAAATACTTTTCCCCCACTCTGTTAAAAAATTGCGCGGGATACGGCTTGCTTCGGATGTTTTTTCCGTGTGTACTCCGTAGTTAAGTTATATTCTTGTCGTTTTGATGGTCTTATCTCGGATACGAACGGGCTTTTCATGGATTCATTCAAAGCGACGTTGCAGTAAATGCAGTGCAGAGCGGTAAAGTTTGTCCAAGGCGTCAAATACCTTGCCGATGCCATGTTGAATTTTAAGACGCAAATCTCTACGGAGTATGGGACATACAACTTTTAAAAAAAAAGCCATTGCTTTGCGGCTTGGTTTTGACCTGGAAAGGGTAGATAGGAATTTCAGCGTGGTTCCTACAAAGAGAGGAGTTGAGAAATACTACTAGCAGCACAGCTTGCGCCTTGCAACCTGTTATCAGGGCCATAATGGTTCGGCATTGTTGCAAACAGTAATGACAAGGCGACTCATGTCGTTGGCTACTCATTGCGGCTCGAAACTAGCCAGCCGCCCGCGGAGAAAACGCTTGGAGGCTCGGCGGGAAGTTTGCCGCCATTGATTCCAAAACGGGCGGTTGGGCGCGACTCGGGACGGACTTAGCCGCCCGGTTGATGGCATAAACAGAAGGGAGAATTGGATAGGGTCGCAGCTTCCCCTGTCATATTTCGCGCCCGTGAGGCTCTTTCCTTATTTGGCAGGGCAACACGCCCGGCCCGAATTAGAACCGAAAGCTCGCAAAACACGTGATTATTTAAATGACTAAGCTTAGCTCCATTTATCCGCCAATGAGCACTCGGTAAGTGAAGTAGTTCGATCACGTGCTATGATATCATGAGCTCATTCTCGAACGCTCCGTGTTTTTCCCGAAGCGCCTGGAAGTTGAAGTTGCCAAAGCGGCTGCCCGACTATATAATAAGGCGCCACCCCTCTTTGCTTGTGCCCTCCTCTTTTCCTTTTAGTGAGAGCGCGCTATTAATAAAAAGCCATGATTGAAATTTGAGCTCCCTCAACTCTGGATTTTCCCTTATCCCAATTACTCGTCACCTAATTAAGCCTCATTCCAATCTAATTCCGCTACAATGAATACCTCTCAATTTACAGATCGAGCCAATAAGGCTATAATGCAAGCTGGGGATCTTGCAGAACAGTTCTCCCACCCCGAGATTTTACCCATTCATTTGGCTGTCGTTCTCCTTAACCCCATGGAAGGTGATGATGAGGAGCCAGCCAACGATTCTCACAAATCTTCCACGGCGCTTTTTAAGCAAGTCATTCTCAGAGCTCATGGTGACCCACAGCAGCTTGATCGCTCCCTACAAAAAGCACTGGTACGGCTACCGAGTCAGGACCCACCTCCCGCCCAACTCGCCATCTCTCCCGCTTTATCCAAAGTCCTAAGGTCCGCCAAAGAGTTATCAAAAACACAAAAAGACAGCTATGTTGCCATAGACCATTTAATTACTGCAATGACGGGGGATTCTACTGTCAAGCGGGCCTTGGCTGATGCGAATATACCTAATGTGAAGTTGATTGACTCGGCCGTTCAGCAAATTCGTGGAACGAAACGAGTGGATTCCAAAACCGCTGATACTGAAGAAGAAGCAGAAAATTTAAAGAAGTTTACAATTGATATGACTTCCATGGCAAGAGAAGGAAAAATTGACCCTGTCATTGGTCGAGAAGAAGAAATCAGACGCACCATCCGAATACTGAGTCGGCGAACTAAAAACAATCCGGTTCTTATTGGTGAACCTGGCGTCGGTAAAACGACTATTGTTGAGGGATTGGCTCGACGTATTGTTAATTCCGATGTTCCCGCCAACCTTGCACAATGCAAACTCCTCTCCCTTGATGTTGGTGCCCTTGTTGCCGGCAGCAAATATCGAGGTGAGTTTGAAGAGCGCATGAAGGGTGTTTTGAAGGAAATTGAAAATTCAAAAGAGACTATTGTTCTATTTGTGGATGAAATCCACCTTCTCATGGGTGCCGGTTCATCAGGGGAAGGCGGTATGGACGCTGCCAATTTACTAAAGCCGATGCTCGCACGGGGTCAGCTGCATTGTATTGGAGCGACCACGTTGGGCGAGTATCGAAAATACATCGAAAAAGATCAAGCATTTGAACGCCGTTTTCAACAAGTCCTCGTCAAGGAACCCACTGTCAACGAAACAATTTCAATTCTTCGAGGGTTAAAAGAGAGATATGAAGTTCACCACGGTGTTAACATTCTGGATGCAGCAATTGTCTCGGCTGCGACTTTAGCCGCTCGATACCTTACCGCCAGGCGGCTTCCTGATTCTGCTGTCGATTTGATAGATGAAGCGGCTGCTGCTGTTCGCGTGGCCCGAGAATCACAACCTGAAGCTATCGATACAATGGAAAGACGTTTGCGGCAATTACAAATTGAAATACATGCCCTGGAGCGAGAAAAGGATGCGGCATCAAAAACACGCTTAGAGGCTGCTAAGCAGGAAGCAGCCAATGTTAGCGAAGAACTACTTCCCCTTCGTGAAAAATATGAACAGGAAAAGCAACGCAGCCGAGATATTCAAGATGCCAAAATGAAACTTGACCAACTAAAAGTTAAGGCCGAAGAGGCTACTCGTTCCGGCGACATGCAAACAGCATCTGACCTAGTCTACTACGCCATCCCCGATGTTGAAAAGCGTATCGAGCAGTTCGAAGCTGCCAGAGCTCGCCAGGATGCTGAAGCGGCTCTCAACCCAGGTGGTCAAGCAGAGACGTTACTTGCCGACGCAGTTGGTCCTGACCAGATTAATGAAATTGTAGCCCGCTGGACTGGAATTCCTGTCACCAGGCTAAAAACTACCGAGAAGGACCGATTGCTTCACATGGAATCTCATCTGGGCAAGATTGTTATTGGCCAGAAAGAAGCCGTCTCCTCTGTTTGTAATGCTATTCGGCTTCAGAGATCTGGGCTTGCAAATCCAAATCAACCTCCAAGCTTCTTATTCTGTGGCCCTTCCGGGACGGGCAAGACTCTCTTGACAAAGGCACTAGCAGAATTTCTTTTTGATGACCCAAAAGCCATGATCCGATTTGATATGTCTGAGTACCAAGAGCGTCATTCCCTCAGCCGTATGATTGGAGCACCCCCGGGTTATGTCGGTCATGATGCAGGTGGCCAGCTTACTGAATCCCTCAGACGTCGTCCATTCTCAATTCTCCTATTTGACGAGGTCGAAAAGGCAGCAAAAGAAGTGTTGACAGTCCTTCTTCAGCTGATGGACGATGGCCGCATTACGGACGGCCAAGGTAGGATTGTTGACGCGAAAAATTGTATTGTCGTCTTGACCTCTAATCTTGGCGCGGAGTATCTTGCACGACCCAACGCTGCTGATGGCAATATCGATCCGACCACCAAAGAACTCGTCATGGGTGCCTTGCGGGACTATTTCCTACCTGAATTCTTAAACAGAATTTCCAGTATTATAATATTCAACCGGCTGTCAAAACGGGAAATTCGCAAAATTGTCGACGTTAGGTTGAGTGAAATACAGCGCAGACTCGAACAAAATAGTCGCAATATCCAGATTTCTTGCACAGACAGCGTAAAGGATTACCTTGGAAAGGCCGGGTATTCTCCTGCCTACGGGGCGCGGCCGCTTTCGAGACTCATTGAGAGAGAAGTTTTGAATCGACTGGCAGTGCTGATCCTAAGAGGAGCCATCAAAGACGATGAGGTTGCACGTGTGGTCATGGAAGATGGCCGTGTTACCGTTCTTCCAAATCATATGGAAAGTGATGACGAAGATGAAGAGATGATCGACGAAGAAGATGCACTTGCGGAATTAGAAGATGACATGGGAGACAAAGATCTCTATGAATAAGCGAGCAGATATGATGAATGGGAAAACGAGGGACGATGGGGGGTTTCCTTGTTTTCATGATACGGAATTGTTATTTATTTTCTATCAGCATGGTGGCTAGGGAGCGATTTGCTTTTGGGAGGTGTTTAAGATTCGTTCGCCACTCTGAGCGCAATCTGCACACATAATCACTTATAACTATACAACCAATATTTGATGATCAGTAGAACCAGTAGATATATCCTCTGTTCGATACTTCTAGTCAGCTCTACAAAACCTATTTTTGTCTTCAGGTTCCTATAGGCTTCTCTATATTGCCACCATTCAACTCATCCATACAATTTACAATTGGTAGTAACGGAGAGAGAGAACGAAGGCCGTAGCTAAAACCTTAAATCGAGGCCTCCAGCTGACCTTCACGTGAGTTCGCGTCGGGGTGGTGCCAAGCAGTTAACTGACTACGCGACGTGCCTAGTCAATGAACCTTTGATATTGGACTTGGTCAGGTTGCAGTATGCCGTGATAAGATGCCATTCAAACCCTTCAAACCGCCACTCATCCGGAGACCACTTGAAAATGCCCCTACTCAACTGACTACACCTGAGCCATCCGACGAGCCTATATCGAAACGACGACGCATGCTCGCTGGGTCTGATCTTGAGCCCCCAGCGGAACTTCCTAAGGCCAACATTATTGAGCTTAGCAGAACTCCAAAAGACAAAAGCATATCCCTAGGGCCCTTAATATCGGTGAAAAATCAGCCTTCTGCTGTTAAAAGACCCATTCAAAACGGTACAGATACTCGTGACAATGGGGAGGGCACATATTTTAACGTTCTTTGGTGATTCAACCCTAAGGGTTCTAATTTCTCTGCGAAGAATGGCTGTCGATTTCTTGCTAACACACCCCATGAATTAGGCGAAAATTCACTGCTAAAAAGCACAAGACTTGGGATGGTGATGGAATTCTCTCGTTGCGAGGAGGCTATGCTTACCTTCAAGATATTTCAGGTCGGGACATGGGGCGAATTATGTTCAACTCTCAATTAGAACCAGGGTCTACTCTTTCAATTGGCGGTAAGGATGTTGAAATTGACTCGAAGCTTTCTAGAGAAGATTACTTGTCTGGGCGTCCGTTCCTGGGTGTATCAGCTGGTGCATCTGGCCATGTATCGAAACCAGAGTTACCAAAAATTGTCCCAGTCCGTGTCCCACTTATTGGCTCTCTTCTTGTTGGCAAATCAATATCAGGTAAAAAAGACGGAATTGATGGCAGTAAAGAGGCGGCAAAGAAAATTCTGAATGTAGCGGCGCCAACAAGCGTAGCCACAAATAACGCCTTTAAACCTCCCTTGAAAGAAGACACTGTTATACCGTCACAATCAAGCAATACGGTTACTCCAAGACACGATCCAGGTCAACAGGGAGCTATTATAATGAAACGACCATCTTCAATCCCGGCCGGGAAACAAGTCGTGGATGTCGTTGTCGACCCTCTACTTGGAAAGCATCTTCGTCAGCACCAACGCGAAGGTGTTAAGTTTCTTTATGAATGTGTTATGGGAATGAGGCCCTTCAATGGCGAAGGTGCCATTCTTGCAGATGATATGGGCCTTGGGAAAACTCTACAAACTATCGCCCTCCTCTGGACATTAATGAAGCAGAATCCAATATATGAAGCGGCACCAGTTGTTAAGAAAGCCCTTATCGTGTGCCCCGTTACCCTTATAAAAAATTGGCAGAAAGAATTCAAAAAATGGCTGGGAAACGATCGACTTGGCGTGTTTATTGCTGATGGAAAGCATATGAGGCTCACAGACTTTACGATGGGAATGAGCTATAATGTCATGATTATTGGATATGAGAGATTACGTACGGTACAAGAAGAATTGACGAAAGGCCGTGGGATTGATATTGTCATTGCGGATGAAGGACATAGACTGAAGACAGTCCAGAATAAAAGCACGCAAGCGATTCAATCGCTCAACACCTCTCGACGTGTCATTCTTTCCGGGACACCTATCCAGAATGATCTCAGTGAATTTTTTGCTATGGTGGATTTTGTAAATCCAGGATTGCTGGGCACATTTAAATTATTTATGAAGGAGTTCGAAGGCCCCATAGTCAAATCCCGGCAGCCAGAAGCATCAAAAAAAGAGGTTGAAAAGGGTAAAGCCAGAAGTGAAGAGTTGGCAAATTTAACATCCATGTTCATCTTGCGACGTACAGCGGACATCCTTTCCAAGCACCTCCCTCCGAAATCCGAATATATTTTATTTTGCAACACGACCGCCGTTCAAGGTAATATATACCGTCACGTTCTGGCTTCTCCCATATTTCAATCGGCACTGGGTAACTCAGAGTTCGCGCTGCAGCTTATTACGATTCTCAAGAAACTATGCAACAGTCCTTCTCTACTCAATCCAAAAACATTGAAGGATGAAAATTCTGACTCTACGATGAATTCTCTCTTATCATCACTACCAGCTAACTTACTTCGGCATTTTTCACCCGCGTCAAGCGGGAAAGTTAGAGTCCTCGACCAGCTTCTTCACAATATACATAGTACCACATCGGAGAAGGTCGTGTTAGTATCCAATTACACATCAACTCTCAATCTTCTTGCTGTTCTTCTAACGTCCCTCTCTCTTCCATTTTTGCGGCTCGACGGCTCTACCCCGGCAAACAAGCGTCAGTCGCTTGTTGATGATTTCAATCATTCTTCAGCCAGCTCCTGTTTTGCGTTTCTTCTATCTGCAAAAGCTGGCGGGATTGGGCTCAATTTGATAGGTGCTAGCCGCCTAGTTCTTTTTGATGTAGATTGGAACCCCGCCACCGATATCCAAGCTATGGCGCGGATTCATCGTGATGGACAAAAACGTCACTGCCACATCTACCGGCTGCTGCTCAAGGGGAGTCTTGAAGAAAAGATCTGGCAGAGACAAGTTACCAAACTTGGTTTAGCGGACAGCGTAATGGACCAGAAAGGGGGGGTGGCGCAATTTTCGAGAGAAGAATTAAAAGATCTCTTCAGATTGGACGAGGAAGCCGAATGCCAGACCCATGACCTTCTAGGTTGTATATGTGGTGGGATAGGGGCAAACCCTCTACTCCCTTCGCATAATGTCATGGAAGAAAATTCAGATTCCGATGGCCTCACCGAAGATAGTGATGGCTCAGATAGACCAAAGAATGCTCCTAAGCTAACCAAAGCATCTGAATTGCCTTATCCACGAGATGATAAGCAAGCAACCAAAAAACATAAGTTGAAAATGAAGTCTCTTATGAACTATTCTCACATTAATCCCGCATTACTCAGTTCAAACCTTAGAGCATCACTTGAAGAACAGATTGGCGATAAAGCTCTTTTGTCTTTGCTATGTGATGAAGGTCATGGAGTGGGCTACTTGTTCAGAAGGGATGGCTATGCAAATATAGAGATGAGCAATGAAAAGATGAACATATAAGAAAAGCAACTGTTGCTAGAATGATAACTTAGATTTCTTAGAATATATGAAATATGCATTCTCATAGTTTAGATAGAGTATGGAGTCGCCATAACTACAACCTCAGTGAAGCTTGATTGAGAATATGCCCAGAATTCATAAAATTCAAAGTTAATTATGTACTTGCAAGCCTGCTAAACCATCGAAATCAGGAGGGAGGTATAACTATCAAATAAAGTAACTACCAATAAACAGGGGATATATCATGAACCAAATTCAACGCAAAGAAAGAAGGATCACTTGATAAATGAATATGAATCGCCCAGTATTAATTTCCACACTCCGTATTGCAAGCAAAGACACAATAACAAGCTGGCAAAGTTTAAATTAGTATCTCAATTTCCCCACCAAACCAAATGTATAAGCAGTTTCCGCTTCGCTCTTCATCTGAATCATATAAACCTTAAAGCTTCCTCCCACGACACCACCTTCCTTAGCAACCCCCTGGAATTCTTCCCATACAGAGACAGCTATTCCTGTTCGAGCAACACGCTCAAAACAGCTCTCACCCAAGCAAGCATCAACTAGCACTTGGCCATGGGCTTTGCCATGAATAAGAATTCGTTTCTGTAACTGGCGTGTAATGGGTGTATCCACAGGGGCTTCATTCTCGGTCGCCGAAGCGGAATTCTGAACACTATTTGACGACGTTCCAGGTCGTGAAGAGGACGGGGACACAGGGAGGATAGTCAACCTCGCAGCACCCATATCACGCCATTTGGATGCAGATTCTCGACAATAAAGCCTTATCTTTGCACTCTTCAAGCCAATTCCACCCATACCGGATTTAGATACCTCCTGGCTTTTTCCATTAGAATTAAAAACAGACCCAGACCGAGTAGACATAGAATGCATGCTTCCGCCTCGGCTACCAGTGCGTGATGTCAGAGTGGACTTGGCAATGCTGAACATCTTGCTGCCTGCACCAAATCTCTTAATTGCAGAAAAGGCACTGGCCATGGTCCCCACACTACTGTCAGTGACTCCGGCGACGGAAGCTGGGGGTGCGCTCGAGGCACGGTAGCTGTTTTTGGACAAGCCGCCATACCAGCCAAACCAGCTGCTTCCCTTGGTGGACCGTGTAGAGTTATACCGCGCGAGAGACGTCGGCTGATTGGAATAAGGCCCACGCGCATTTTGTAGAGCGACATAAGTTGGGTTGTTAATACGCGAATGATTGATAAAGCCATAGAGTGTATCACATTCATCAGGGCTTCTTGAGCGAAACATAATGTTACTACCAGCATACACTAGTTTCGAGTTAGAGGTTGGGGGTGACCGAATGCTGATATCTAATGCCGTTCCTCTCCGAATTGGTACAAGAGGTGTCAGTTCAAGGGCTATGAGTGGCCTGCCTAGCGGAGAACTCTTATCCGACGTGCAAGAATCTGCGCTCGGCTCCAGGGTTTGTTGACCATGGGCAGGGCTAATTTCGTAAGCTTCTATGAGACCGGGAGTAACAACGACGTTGCATTCTTCGGCATGCAACGCCTTCCAAGAGCCACTATCATCCCAGAAATAAATCGATGCAATTGCTTTTGATGCCTTTGAGGGTTGGGAGGGTACAGTTTTATAGGGGGCTTGTGATGCAGAGTTGGATGGGGCTAATGTTTCCTCGGGAATATTTAGGGAAGATGGTGGTATTTGCATGTTAGTTCGACTCACTGGCGATGCCTGCCTTGAAACATCTTTATCTTCTAATTCCTCGTCGGAAGTATCTGAGGACGAATAAATAGAATGATGTTCCACAGTTGACGTCTCAGACACGGTAGACTCAGTGGCTGTGGATGGTTCATATTCATGCTTCAATGGAGACGATGTTCTTCTATGGCGAGCCCAAGGAGAAAACGTGGGTGTGGCATTTGAGGGCGAGGATGGATCTGATCTCGAAGGACTAGGAGACCTATGCGGTGGAGGCACAGGAACATCTTCTGTGAAAATCAGTTGATCGTTGGACTCGCTTCGTATAAAGGGCTGTTGAGTTTCCTGTTTGCGCTGCTTTTGTAGCTTGGTCTTAGGTGAAGGTGATACAGGCTCCGCAATAGGGGAGTTGGATGACGGTGAAGTAAGTTTTGGTGCCCCCTTCCTGAGTTTGGGTATTGAGGGAAGCTCCAACGATGGCACAGGTGACAGTGAGCGTCTGCTTAAAGGCCTTGTAACCTCCGCGATAGGCTTTTTGCCACTCTTTTCAGAATATTTGAATGTCTTTATATCCGTGAACTCCGGAGAAACTGATCTGGCCAATTCTGGTTCTCTAGGGTGGGATTTCGGCTCCGTTGTGCCAGATGCTGCTGCCTCCCTTTCAGGAGTTTGAATATCTTCCAAAGAGGGGATAGGAGACAGAGGCTCATATTTTGATCGCCTTTTTGCTTTTGACCTTTTTAGGGTAGTTGGTGATGTACCTCCCGCCATTTCCATAGCTTCGTTTAAGGTCCGTGGTGTGCGAGGACCTACATCTTGAGTTTGAATTGTGGCGGAATCAATAGCAACTTTCGAGGGTTCAAAAGAAACTGGATCACGAGACATTGTGCAATCGATACCACATGCCGTGCCTTCATCTATGCTCACTGGCCCGTTCTCACCAACAGGAACACCAATATCAGTGGGGCTAGGGACAATGCAACCAGCCGATAGCACAGATTCTGAACGTTTGATATCAATGGAAACTGCTGGTTTTTTCTGTTTAGCACGGTTCACAAAGCTCAATGACCTGTTGATTTTTGGGGGAACAGGGCTTAATCCAAGAATTTGCACCCATTCGGAACCAATATGTTCATCTTCTGTTCTCAAAGTCAAGAGTTCGTGCCAGTTACCGCCTTCTTCAGGCACCCCTCGTACCATGATGACAATCTCCCCTTTGCCATCCCCATTTCTTGCAGAAAGCCGGCCATGATCAATAGGAGGAAATAAAAGCCACCGTCCTGCATTATCGACTTCACATACAAAGAGGTCACCGCCAGGTCCGCTGTTTGTTGCATTGTCTCGAAATAGTAGCTCAGCACGGCAGTCTATTTGTTGGCCCGTCGAGTGAAGGAATGAAAGGTCAAAAAAGTCTCGAGCCCGGACCCTTCTGCTCTGGTTGACATTGATATTCGTCAAAATAGTTAAGGTGTGGATATCACGGGCCCGAGTCACATCAACGCTGTTTGCAGCTTCATCTTCAAGTCTTGCCCGCTCTTCGTTTGCTCTTCGTCGCGCATCGGTAACAAGCGATTGGTATTTTTTCTCTATTTCCACAGCCTTTGGAGAAGGCTGCAAATAGTTGAGGCCTTTGAAAGTTTTCGCAAGATATTTCATTCTTACTAGGGGCCGTTTGAGTAAAAAGGCCACATCCACCCTTTCACCATCACCATCAACTACATCTCCATTTTCATCCTGTGACATACCTGCATAAAGGCTCTGAACATCTGAATTTGGGCCTTTACTAGAATCATCCGGGTCAGGCGGAGCGAGGTTCACGACAACATCTTGAAATCCAAGCCGCCAAGCCGCCAGATAATCTGCGTATACTTTGTGCACTCCTTGAGCCCAGGTTAGAAGGGCATCAGGGTCTTTCAATGGGGCTCGCTTATGAGAAGACTTCAGCTTTTCAAGAGATATTCCCATGTTGACAATTGGCCTTGTAAAGTTATCCTCATCAGCCTTGGCACTTGGACGAAAAAGACCAGCAGCAACAGCGGAATCAGTCTTCGAAAGCACCGATGTCAATAATACCGGAATAACACCGCCAACTAATGTCCGGAGTTCCCGCATATACTTGATCTCATCAGACGCAAATTCTCGCATGATATCTCCCACAGTAGCGGTGGCAAGACGGCTTCGGTTTGTGCGGATGCTTCTTGCAGATCGGATGCTTCGGTTACTGCCAGTTGGGAGAGATAAAACTGACATTAAATCTGAATGGGTAGTAAGCCTGCGTTTCAAAGTATTGCGCGAAGGCCCTGGCAAAGAGTACGGGTCAAATTGATCTCTAGCCTCGGACTCTGATACATCATCTTGTTCCAATGCACCCGTCGTTGATTTCTGGCGTTTCATTGGACTTCTTTCAGACTCTACCGTAGAAGCTAATGTGTCAACTGAGGCGATTGTGGACAGTATGTGCACCCCTGTCCCAGGAAATGGCCTCCTAAGAGTAAGAGGCGGGGGCCGTTCTGCCAGAGAAACCTCAGATCCGTCTGAAGAAACCGGTCGGTCTAAGCAAGACGCCTGAATAGCTTCCTCAACTGATTCACATAGCATTGACATTTTGCGGTCTTCTGTACATTTCGGATGTTTACCCATGCTCGATATTTTCGGAGAAGACTTTGAAACTGGTATGTTGGAGTCATTTTCGCGCTCTGAAAATGAACCCTTCGGGAAGTTGTTATCAACTTTACCAGAATCTTCTTGAAACTTGTTTGAGGTTCTTGATCGACGTTTGGGGGCTGCATGATACTCTTCTACTGCGGATTGGGATCCCATGCTATCGGAATTTTGTCCAGTGGTTAAACCACTTCTTCGGTCGTTGGATGACTTCAGGGGGGAAGGGGTTTCCATAGGAGGCTCATCGTCGACAAAAGGATCACTGGTTTTCGAAAGCCAAGCTTCTACTTTTGACCCATGAGACTGTTGGCCAGGAGGTAATACAAGTTTAGGGTTTTTTTTCTTCTGTTCTCCAAGTGTCGGGTCGATAGACCATCGATTTTGTAGTTTTGTAGTGCGAGTAGGAGTCTTGGACTCTGGGGTGGCCATGCGGTTTTCCTTTCCCGAAAAGCTGGCCCCGTCGCTGGATTCATGAGCTCTGGACGCATCGCTCTTGTAAGGAAAATCATTTACAACATATTTCGCCCTTACTTCTCTTCTCGCAGACGTACTATAACGCTTTTCCTTGCTGTTTGGAGAAGGGGTACCACGCCCAGAAGCGTCCGAGCGTCGTGCGGCCTGGGGTGATTTGGAATTCTTCAGTGGCCCAGGGTAGACCTTCATACCATCATTAGTCTGAACAACTGTATATCTCTTTGGCTCTCGAGTAGATGTTTCCTTCTTTTCTTCGGATTGCTTTCTCTTTTGATCTTGTTTCTTCGGCGACTCACGGTATTTTCGAGACGTTGACTTGGTGGGGGAGGGCGACTCCGGAGGGGTTCTGTCTTTTCTCCAGTGCGCATCGCTCACTACTCGCTTCTTTGGCCGTGCCCTACCCTCGGCTTTTGGTTTCTTTTCTCCTTCTGAGTTCTGTTCTCCTGCCTTTCTGGAGTCATCTTTGCCCCGGTGCTGTTTCTTTTTGTCGCTCTCTTTACTGCCTTTGTCAATATCATCGTCGCTCGCTCCGACATCCTGAGCAATGACGACTCCACCGCCTTGTTGCTGCCATTTCCGTACCTTTTCTCTGACTGTGTTGTTGTCGTACGGGCCTAAAGGCTCGCCTAGGTCAAGGCGCTTCGGCTTAGGTGAGGGGCTGCTTGCACTTCCTCGGTTGGAAGGCCGATGCGCGACGCCGGGCGAGGGCATTTAGCAAACTATGAGTCGATGTATTGCGATGTTAGCCCCAGAGGCTGTCTCTTTGGCAAGACCGATGAAGGAGGTTCCTGGGTCTTGTGGATTTGTTTACATACCATCAACCAGGTCAACACAGCAAAGTGTACATGCTTTGAGGACAATATGCGATGGTAATTAGTATCAGGACATGAAATGGATGCTCAACACAGCTGAAAGGAAGTAATTCATGGACTCTTTGCTGATAACCCAGCTTTCTAATGTGTGAGGTGTGGTGTTGTGACCAGTGGATGCGACAGTCTAGACAAACAACAACTTAAGCTTTGGTTTGCTTAACTTAACCCACCAACCCACTGTGGCCCACAGCTAACTAATTCAATAGCACCGAGTAGCTACGAATATGTAAGATCATTTAATAATATCAGAATACCCAAGGAGGAATTTCGTTTTACCATGTAGGTGCACTGCGAGTACTCCGTACTGGCGAGGCCAAAGGAACAGATGGCCAAGTTCCCCCTACGTAGAAATATGTACCACCCTACAGAATCAACATGCCAAGGAACCCAGTAGAATCTGGTAAGTATTGTTGACGGTAGACATATATTTACTTGTACTATCCATATTGAAGCACAGAGTAATAGAATGAAAGACAACACCACAGATCTTAGTCTCGAGCCTCCCCACATTATGTAAATGCAAATGCAGTAACCCCATTATTATTTTAACTGTCCCCATATATGACCAAGCCTTGAAGCATCGTAGACAGACAAGCTCAATTCATTTTACGGAGTTTCGTAGACTGTTTCACTTCCTTGATCGCATTTGACATGGTAGAAACACTACTCATGATGAAATCTAGATTTCTTTTGTTAGCACCCGGACAATGAACTCCAGAACAGCTCACACTCACAGCTTGGGATAACAATCCAAATGAAGTTCATGAAAAAGTAGTAGCACCAGAAGTAATAAGCTTCTGGGCGACAGAAATTCAGCCCATGGAAATAATGCTCAAAAAGGCTAGTGGAGTAGTACAGAATATCACCATAAACCTGGCCGACGGACACAATTAGCTGCAAAGGATGGCGAAGTGGTGAGTCCATTGTAATCATATAAGCCACAATAAAACATAGAGGTCCCCACAGGGCCTATATATGTATTAGCCAAGGTAGAATCAAAGGGTTCCTAAGCCCCCTGGCGCCTCCACAAATACAATGACTTACAGCAGTGATTGTTTCCATACAAAGCACAAAGGGATCGGAGGTCAAGTATCTAGAATCCGACAGAGAATACTCCTTCCATAGTTGGCCGAACAAGTCCTGCGCCGGTGCCATGCGAGTATGATTGACAACGAAGTATCCTTCAAAAAACAAATGGATCGCACCACCTAGGGAAAGCTGTTAGGAGACCAGCCAACTACCTACCAATATCCAGGTAAGAGCCATACTTAGGACAAACCATGATACCGCAATCTTTTCTACCTTCGGTAAGGTTGGGCGAACGACCGACACAACTTTCAGGGCCACAAGCAGGATCAATCCCCAGGCTATGCCAAACCCCCCAATCAACACCGGCACAGACCACTCATTTGCAAGGTACCCGGCAAGCTGAAGCTCTATGGGGTAGTACGGGTGGGATATCGTTGAATTGGTCATCTTGGCGACCTACTGGCTGCCTGTTCTCAGGCGCTGCGGTCGATCAATGGAAGGAATTGCCTTGGGGGAAGTAGAGTAAGCCCTGTTACATTCAAAAACAAGACAAGAAGCAAGTGCACGGTACCTTGACTATGGGGGGGTTATTGAGCAAGTCTGGGGAAGAATGGTTCTGGGGAAGATTTCGGGGCGCGTCGCGGCCTTAAAGCTGTTAGTTCAGGAACAGAATTTCGAGCCAAGCACGTGAACATGAGCATTGTGGCTCGTACGAAGGCTGCGTGGCCGCAAAGTGCATATAGCTAGTGGCAATATTGCTGTGAAAGAAAGATCGCCACTGTAGGCTGACGATACAGCCACGCAGCCAGTGCGCATACAGCCTTGATAACAAAGGAGGCCGTGGAACCCGTTGGCTTCCCTTCACAACATCCACAACACAAAACATGCGGTTGATTCGACCTGATCTGTCACAAACTCTGCGCGGTTTAGACGTGGGTACTCTGTACAGAGCACTCCGTACTCCTTTAACTCTTTTGCAAACCGCTCGCGTGAATTACTACCCATACCCAAAGCGGCGTTGCGCCATTTTGAATCTTCTGCTCTCTCCAAGGCTGGCTTTACGCGACGATTGATTTGTGTGTCCGCGCGATATAACTATATAACCAACTAATTTCTCTTGGCACACGGAGTACCGACTACTGAACTCCAAAATGAAGCTCTATCCTCCTCCGGGAACTGAGATCAAAGCCATCGGGTTCTCCGAGTTTTGCGAGGTCAACAACCACACTTTTAAACGAAAAAGGGGAACAACTGAATGGACCGCCGTTGACACTATGAATGCACCAGAAGAATGTGACTGTAATCTTCAGCTTCTACTTATTCGCCACGATTAAGCTCCGGGTGAGCCTTTGCATTGGGCACTCTTTGTGGCTCGCGAAAATCAACCCGGCCAGGTTTACGAAGTCACTGGGGATGCTGAACATATGACTTATAATTCTCCTCCCGACCTAGTCCAGATTTTAGATTCCGAATCACTCAAAGACATCTACTTTATTGCCTCAGTTACAGAGAAACAGGCCGCTATTGTGAAACAAATCGCCGACCAAGAGCCTCCACCACGCGCTGCAAGCCGCAAGGAGGTGAAAGAGAACTGTCAAGGCTGGGTCCTTCGTGTTCTGTCCCGACTTGTAGAAAAGGGCTTTGTAGATAGAGCGAAACTTGAAATGGCTAATCAATGGAGCAGCCAATCCAAAAATAATAATGACCTCACACTGAAATTGATAGGGGGTACGGAGTAGTTATTTGAGAACATAATTTTTTATCTTGGGCCTGGACCCTGGAGCATACGTATCTAAAAACAATTCTTTAATAAACTTATTTAACACTCTTACAGCCTGGGAAATTATCCCCAATGTACAGGTAGGCCCACTGCTTCCTAATTTCTTACTGGCTTCCGGCACATATAATTGATTCTTTTGACATAATATGGGGTACGGGGCTTCATGCTCATGTATACTCACTTCAACAAGCATGTTTGAACCCGAGGAGTTAAGTAGATCGTGATTAATAGCGTCAGCCTATAGCTTTCTTTTATGCAGTTATTACTTCCATCACTTTTGTTCAAACTATTTATGTCTGCTCATAGGCTTCTGCCATCGGTAGGACTCCATTCTTATTGGCTTATTTTATCTATCCCACGTCTAACACCACCCATATATCGTGGGCCTCGTTGAACTAGTAGTTATGGATGAAGGTATATTGGTACATACTTAAAGTCATCTCATTTATCTTCCTTTTAAAACATGGGTAGTTGAGTACTCCTTGAATATTTCTTTTCTACACGAGAGTTTGTAGTCTTCATAGTTTTGAGTTAACTAGTTAGTTAGGTAACTAAACTAGCTCACATCTTCCAACTGTGAGTTCAGCCAAGGCAACTGAGACCCAGATCACGTAACTAACAACTAACTTACTCCAGACTGCGGCTGCTAAGAACACCTTCTTGACGGCTGGCTGGATGCGATGGTACTTGATGGAGTGCCTTGCCTTTGCTCTTACTGTCCTTGATTATGGCGTCAGATAGAGGAGGCTCTGTCAGCCTCAATCGAGGCCTAAATTCTGCGCCCGGAATTGCCGCTCTTTTCCTCATACACTTCGACATTAAAGCTGGGTACGGCAGTCGCCATACGCGTCCTCATGCGTTGCTAACCATCGTCTCCGAATCAGATACACTGTGGAGTGGCACCGAAACCTGCCGCATGGTACGCCTTGATAATTTTGTATAATGACTAGCCCTCCGCTAATCACCGTCACCAGTCACTTTACAAGACACCGTTGAGTTCAAATCGCTCCCGTCTGGCTCACATAACGTGAATGAGGATCTCGTGTACGTGTTGAAATTGAGACAATGGCTTCTACCATACCTTCTAACCGCAGCCACTTCAACTATGCAGATACTTCATCCAAGATGATCATGCTGGTCTGAGCGCTTTTATCAACAAGCCTGCCGGAGAGAGCGAAAGGAATGCCCTTATGTTAGCTGTTGGTGTTTTGGTTCCATTAAGCCATGGAAGACTGGGCAAGGCCTGGAGACATGCTGCAAGTTTGAAGGAGCTGGCTCAGTAAGAATATTTTTTTGATAGGGTTCTGCTTGAGTTAACACCTTCGTTAGAATGCTTGCGGACGATTACAAAAACATCGAACCCCTAGAACAGTATTGGGACTTATTCCAATTACCAAAATGCGATAATGAGTCCCCTCCCGAATCCCCTATAGCCTCTATCCCGAACCTGAAGCCAAATCATGCTCAATATCCGGACGATCCGCAGCGAAGCCGTACACTCAGCGATGCCGCGGCATTATTAACCTCAAAGCAGGTTTTGGCACCCTTCCATCCCGCATTATCTCTTCCCGATTTCAAGAACTCATTTGGGCCATTGATGTTTCCATTATACCGGGCGGCTTTGTTAAGAAAGCGTATTCTCTTCCTTGGGGATTCTCCTGTCGAGACCTCTTGCGATTTCGGTAAACTATCATGCCTGCCTGAGCCTAAATTTATCACAGCTAATGACCTCGAAGTATATGATCTAGCCCTACTTTCATCCCTCCCTCAAACGATATTACCATTCCTTCCATCAACTGGCCATCCACCCCTCTGGCCCCGATCGCTTTTCAATGTCGGTGTTCACGATCTGCCGTATTTATCGACATTAACGCGAGATTCAACTGACAAAGGAGACGGGTGCTTTATAGCATGCACAAGCGACCGGGTTCTAGGCGTAAAACCTGAGCTCTACGATGTTCTTGTCGACCTGCCTCCTTCCTATTCTAAGGATGCTCCAGAAAAGATGTACCCAAAGCTGAGCCTCACACCCTCGCTCTCACTTCCATCAAAGCCTTCAAAAGCTCTTCAAGTAAAGGCCACTCAACGAGATGTCCGACGATTTTGGGCTCTCAGGGAAGGACTGAAGGATTTGCCATGTACTCACGCGGCTGCTGAACAAGATGAGGAGTCCGATGCCGCATCTACATTTTCATCCAATTCACTTGTCGAGCCTCTTTCCTGGCCTGTGTTGGCCTATACATCTTTTATTTGGTGGGCCTCTGCAGGTGAAAAAGGAGTTGGCCAGTCTGAGGAGGAGAAGGAGCAAGATCTCAGATTACTATTACCAGATGATGACAGCATATATTCCCCGTGTGGCCGTCGGGGCAGTATTTCTTACCCGGAGCGAGATACCCGGACTCAAGAGATCGCAATGATAACGTATTTCCGTCGTCTCACGACCCAAATATTTGCGGTTCTTTTTGACGTCGTAAGCCGCCAGGATGAGGAAGAAGGCGAACTTACGAATGATGCATTGCCTAACCCCCTAGCGGAATCTGACGATGGTGAGTATGAGGATGAATTGGAGCACTCCGCACCCGCAACGAATGATGGGGACATTCAACCACTGCTAAACCCCGATACAAGCCCAGCTATTAGAACAGGAGTCAATTATGATGAAAACAAACCCATCATAGCGACTACAGCTGATATGGTGCAAATGGGCCTTGATCCGTGGAGTGAATCGGATAGAATGTTTGTTGAAGAGCTGATTCACGTGTGGTGGGGCCGTCAGGGGCAAGTTCAAGGGGCAAGAATTCAATGTTGTGGAGTGCGAATTCTTTAGCTTTACGTATACGCGGCCCTTGTTTCGATAGCCCCGTTACTGGTGAACCCCCGTGGGGCGGAGGGTAGCATTATCTCCATCACTTAGGCACGCGTCGATTTGCGTGTTGCATGTATATATCTTCCCCAAAGGCTACGAAACGAATAGACTAGCATAGTTACTGGGTAATTGTTTCGATTCTCAAACTACTCCACATTCTCCATATCCCTCAAACAAGTACGCAAAAGAAACATGTATAAATCAGGAGGTAACGTATGCGATTCCGCTAATGCAAAGCTGAGGGAAGCTATGTTGGGGCTAAATGATATAAGAGAAAAGATTGTAAATTACGTGACACACGCAAAGAGTACGGAGTAGTACAAGGAAAAGTTGGTGGAAATCAACCGGGGGTTCAAAACAACGAGCAAAAGGAGGGAATATAGTGAAAGATATTGCAGTATTGCCCCTCAACTCCAAGCTCCAGAGAAAATGCAGGTCATAAATATGCGCGCATACAAAACAGTAGAGCAACCTGTGCACAAATATGGCGATGATCATCTAAAACTTTTTCTCACGCTCGTAATTGGGGCACTGATATCCCTTCTTACACCAGTTCCCATTCTCGCTGATCTTATCCCGAGGCCATCTGGCTGTGGGATTCGCCGGGAGCCCCTCATTGGCGTGACGAATGCATTGGAATTGGATTTAGTATTTGCATCATTGGCGCTTGCAGATCTTTTCAGGGCACACTGAGTACGATCGCGACGCGCGCGAATCTGTGCAAGAGCTTCTTCGCGGTTGATCGGAGTGGGCGGGATGGGGCAGAATGCGGAATCGCCACAGACTTGCGTCTCTATCCGCAAAGGAATGGTGGTGGTGTTGATGGAAGTTGTGGCTGCCGTAAAAACCTTATGGGAAGAGTCAGAGGAAATATTGTGATCGAATTCTATCTGGGCGCGCCGGTCGGCCGGCGCGCTGTCTGGGTACGAATATTGAGACGAGGAGTGGAATTGACTGGTTTTGAAAAGTGGTTGTGTTTCACAGGAAAGATGAGGCAATTCGAGCATGTGCCTTGTCCCCATTTCCTCGACAGATGCTACTAGCTCTGTAGAACGGCGAGACCTTTGGAGCGGAGAAGGTATCTCTTCGTTTTCCAGGTCAGGGTCACCCATGACAATGATTTTCTTGGGGGATGAAATTGTGCGGAAAGTTCCAGTGTCGGGACAAAACGCTACCGAAGGTTCATCTGATTGCTCGCCGGCTTCCTCGCCACTATTTTGCGATGGCGTTCTTGGGGTAGAGGTATCCTCGGTGTCTACTTCTAGGGATAGCTTTTCTCGAACTTCCGGAGCAGACGGCGGCTCCTCAGCAATCAGTTCTGGTTTCTGGCAGAGCTCATCCCAAGAGATATCATGTATATACCGACCTCCTCGAGTTTCTGCCAGCCTGCATGAGCAGCGCTTGAACTGACACTCCATTTTCAAAAAGTGTATCATTTCTTCGGCCTCGCGCCGCATTCGTCTCTCACGTTGGAGGTCTTCATTAAGATTTTCAATAACATCAATGTGCTCTTTTTCATGAACCTTTTCAACGGCAACCGCAGTAGGTGGCGACAGGCTTTCTGGAACCCCAACCCTGCCACTCAGGCGGTCCCGACTATTCAAACTTCTTTTACGGCTTGGAGATCGGGGATCGATAGAGTCTGGCTGCCCTCGCTTTAAACCTCTCGTTTCGGGTGAAACATCCTGAACGTCTCCCTCTAAGTCAGAGGTTTGATGGTGAACATCAATATCATCTTCTACCTGTGGTTTGTGAGCTTCAGAACTGTGTTTCGCCTCTGACGACCGAAGTTTCCCTTTCACAGTTTCCAGTTCTTCAGTTAGGCCAGCCAATGCATAAGCACGTTCAAACGCTTCCTGCTCTGCCTTTTCTCTGGCTTCCCTTTCATTCTTTATATCTTCTTTAAGAGATTTGATCTCCCCCCTAGAGAATTTAAGCTCTTCCTGGGCCTTGACCAATGTCGAGCCAGCACGAAAGGCCTCTTTTCTTGCCTTCCTAACCTCTTTTTCAAATATGCCGCGTTCATGTGCTTGCCTCTCCTTTATCGTATGAAGCTCCTCAACTAATGATTCTAGCCGTTCGCTCACCCGCCGTTCTCGCGCGTTGGCTTCTGAGAGTTGGACGAGGCTTGTTCGTAAAGCCGACTCAGCTTCTTCGCGGCCTAATATCGCTCGTTGTAGAGCAGCAGTAGTTGTAGAAATGTGGGAAGTTGGCCGTTCAGGAGTTGTAGCATTTGATAATCGATTGAGAAACGCAACCTTGGCCTGAACGTCCGACGCTCCGCGGCCCGACTTAGTTGGCGAATGTGTCACATCCAGCGACTTTGTAGGCGAAGTATTCACCCTTTGCTGGTTGAGGCGATCGGGGGATATGGGAAATAGTGGCGAGCCGGTGGGCTGAGGCATCTTCACTGGAGTGCTTGGTTCCGCCATCTGGCTCTCAATAGTGTGAAAAAACTATGGGAATGAAGTTGGAAATCCACAATGTGACATCAACGGCAATTTGGGCTAGGCAGGATAAGAAATGCGACTGCTAAACCCTTGTTCCCAACGCTGTCGCTCACAAGCTGTTGACACAAACTCGACCAAACTGGCGCGTTGGTTGTCCATAGCAACACACCACGTGACTCGCTCGAAGAGCACTAGCTCAACACCCGCGGCGCAATGTGGCGTTTAACCACCATCAGCTCTCAAAGAACATTTGCAGATCATCCGCAAGCCCAGTTGCTTCATGTATACACATCTTGAGAGCTACGATATAGTTTTCAGTTGGAAATCAAAAAGTACGACTCTGTGCATAGTAACAGTCAGCGCAAATGGCCCCTCTTTGACTTTCCGAGTCAGAATTGATAATGATAACTAGTACAGTACATAGTTTCTATTCTATACGGAGTATAGTAAATTGAATCTTTTGCTTTCTTCTTGTATACGAAGTATATGGTACATTTGACGTCGAGCTCGAGATCCAGCTGTGGTTTGAGAAATGCATGAAATTGTCACCATCCAGCTGGGACAACGGAGCAATTATACAGCAACCCATTTCTGGAATGTCCAGGTCCGGCACTGCATTCCAAGATTCAACAAACCAAGCTAATTTTTCACAGGAGTCCTATTTTACATATTCTGACCAAGAAACGTCCCCAGTTGATCATGATATTAGTTTTCGGCCTGGATTAGGGGCGGATGGTTCGGAGACATTCACGCCACGAACAATAATCTATGACCTCAAAGGCGGGTTTGGTTCCCTCCGACAATACAATTCTCTTTACGAGCCGGATGACGGCCATGGATTACCCAGAAGTTTATGGTAGGTTCTTGGCAACACCCCCCTCTGTTTCGTTTCAGATTTTTGCGGTTCAAACATTCTCGGGCTAGGGACGGCAATGAAGCTACCCACAAGCAACCCGCGATTCCTCAAAACGAGTATCAAAAATGCCTAGAGCTCGGTCTGCCGCCCCCCAAGCTCACGGCTGAAACTGTAAGGTATTGGTCTGATTTTAACCGATTGTTTTATCATCCGAAATCTATTGTCCAGTTAAACGAATACGACATCAATTCTCAATTGCTGCCGTTTGAAGATTGGTCACTCGGCGAAGGTCTTTTTAGCAACCTTGATCGAGAATATGACCTCCTTGATCGCGACTTCAGGCCATTTGCGGAAGAATGTGATCAACTGCGAGGGATTCAAGTGTTTACTGGAACAGATGATGCCTGGGGCGGCTTTGCAGCTAGGTACATCGACAGACTTAGTGATGAATTTGGCAAGAAAAATATCTGGGTATGGGCCTTGGATAATGGGACTAGAGTGGACAAGGTATGGTGCATCAGGTTTCAGATAAATATTGTGATAAAGTGATTAATGCTGCGCAGGCCCAACAACTCCTTAGGGCAAAGAATTCTGCCAGATCGATCAGCAACATGGCTAACCAAGTAACTGCATACGTTCCCATTTTGACACCACCTTTCAAGACACCCAGATATGTAAATTTTGCCTGTCAATCAGAATGGTACTTTTCAGCGGTGACTTCAATGGCTGTTGAAAGTGTTACTTTACCAACACGCCTGCGTTGGTATGATGGGCTTGAGTCGTGGTTGTTCGAAAACGCAAGTCCACAACGCATATTCGCGCTCGGTGCCACTATACAAATAGAAGGAACAGAGCCGGGATTCGCCAATCAATCGACCCGAAACAACTGCATAAGCCTAAAAGATAATGATGCCGACGATGCAGAGCAAAGCGAACTTTCTCTTGATTTGAATTTCTCGTCAATTGGGCCAGCAGATCGACATAATGGTGATGAGCATGTTTTCCACCAAGTCCGGGTCGTGCGCAATTCTCAAGAAGACAAAGGGCAACCGCACCAACGGCAAGTTGGCCAAAATTTGACTGTTCAGCGATTGATGCAACATCATGGGCATGCTCCCAGCATCTTCAGGTCAGTCAACTCTCCCCCATCGATATTTTGGTATCTCTCGTATATATGTTTCTTAAAATTCAAGCTGCTGAGCCGTGTTGTGTAGCAACTTTAAATCCTCCCTAGAATTCCCAATCCTTGATTCCTTTCCTTCCGATTTAATTCGAAATCAATCTCGAACAGGATCGACACTAAGCGTCGAAGTCGCATTATCCGCAACAAGCACCATTGGCAAACAGATTGATGCCCTTCGAGAAACTATTGGGAAACGCACTAAGGTTGAAGAGCGTGAAGATCTTCTCAACGGCCTTAGCGAGTTGTCAGAGATGTATCAGGCTCACTGGGAAGACGATTCCGATTATGGGGACGATTAACTCTTTGGCCTCCGTCTGCTAGTACGGAGTACTCCGTAGTGATAATAATAATATGCGCAGTGTGGGCAAGCAGACAAAGCTGCACATTCCTCTGACAGCAAGAATGGCATGGGTTCTATTATTTGCTCTACTAGTTTCCTACCATGGCAGCTTCGACACTCTTGGCCGCTGAGCGTTTCCCTTGACTGTATCTGTTTGTACGGAGTACTCCGTACACGCGGGTAAGTCAAGCGGTAATATTTCGCATCCACTCTAAGCGGGTCTTCTTGGCCTTGCCGTTTCCATCGCATGGAGCAACGTCACTCCAGGCCGTCGGAGTCGACGGTTACCATGGTTGTGCCGAACGAGGCGAATCACAACTTGCTCTTCTCCACTGAGGGTGGCCTGAACTCCGTATGCATGCAGATAACCATAGGGTGTAGTGCTGTTATTCCATTGTTGTATATGTATGTATACGTATGTATACGTATGTACTCTGTGCTCCGTACTACAGTCATATCATCCGTAGGTGCAGATTCTCTTAACACGGCATCCCATAGCCGTTCGTTTCGCATTCTTTCTGGCTCTCCACAACCGTTTTCGCCCAGACTGCTTTCGGCTGTGAGGAATGGTGTTCTAGAGCTTGGCAGGAAAGCTTCGTTCCGCGTGCCGTGTGTCTCACTATCACAGGCAAAATCCGTCGCCGTCGGTGGCGGGCGCCCAGAAGTACTGGGGGTCTGGAAGGATTATTGATCCAGTGGGCATGTGCCCCTCACTCGGCCTGTTGGTCCACGCAATACAGAGAGCAGCTAAGCGAAGCCTGCAGTCTGCGCGTCCCCAACGGCTCCTGGCGGAGGGACAAGTCAAGACCACGGGGGGCACGAGCCCAGAAAAGGTGAACAACCAAGCAGAAATGACAGGGGCCGATTCTGATAAACAAACTTCGGCAGCTGCCGGCTCAAGCCACCTCCACATTCGCTGCTCACGATCCGGCCAGAGTCACCAGACAACACGTCGATCCAGATGTGCTGTCGCTCGACCGCCCAATGCCAGAGCTCCGCGTCTCAGTGCGGCCTTGATTGATGCACAGTGATGATGTGCGCGCTGTGCGTCGGCGCGCAGGCCTGTCCTCCGTCCGTATCTGCAGGCTAGCGACAACTGGTTTTTTGCGCTCAGCCCATCCCCGAGGCCCTGCCCGCGTCGCTCGTTTAGTCATGGTCCCTGTCGGAACCCCTCGCCCGCTCCACCCCCTCTCTCGTTCCCTGGCCGTCCTGCGACGCCCCTTTGTAATTTCCTCTGGCGATCCACAAGGGTCATGGTGCCTGATGACATAAGCGCCGCTGACTAACTGGCGCGAGGGTCGCGTCTTCCTCCACCCGCAACCTCTTCCATCGCGTTCGTCTCCACCGCCCGACGGCCGATCGTGCGTCTGGCCTTTTGCCTAGGGTGGGATTGCGGGCGTAACACTGCCTATCGGGAGTTTATCGGCCGCGTTGTATTTTTGGCAATCCTATCACCGCCAATAATAGAACACTTTGATCGGATTTGCGAGGCTCCTTCAGGGCTGCACTTTTTTCGGTTTTTTACGTCCACCGCGACCAAACACCACAATAATGATGTACTCCGTACTACTCCGTACGGAGTACTCTTACTTGGTCGGTGGAACCACGGTCAGGATCGAAACATACCCCGTTCTCTGTGGGAAAAAAAACTGACCCCTTTACGGTGATGGTTACACGGGATCCAAACACCGCATTACTATCCATCATTCTGAGCAAAGCGGCGTTCCTGTCCTTTTGCCCGGAACTTGGAATCTATGAGTTGCCAGTCACCCCATTATTCATGTTTCGTACGCCCCTGAAGGTGCTGGGCCCCGACTCTGAGGAAGAACCCAGACGAACCCTGCCCCACTATCACAAACCGCCCCGCCGCATCGGTGTGTGTACTCTATTATACCCTGCTATGGTAACTACCCTCTTTACGTTTAGGTTTCCAGACAAGGATTCCGTGGATGCCAGCCTCAAGGCATGGATTCAATAGCTCATGAAAAGGGATAATTCTTTCCCGGTTCATAGCTGTCTTTTGTGAGTATTCTTTGACTTGAGAAACTGCTAGCACCGGAGAAGACGTCTATATGATCTCAAGGCCAGCTTTCTAAACAATCCGCTCCCGATGTGGGTCAAGTTTTGTTCACTTGATGTGCTGGGCTTGCATGTCTGCACCTTGAGTGGCACCAGCGAAGCTGGGAACGGTTGCCAAGATGCCTGGACATCACAACTGTTGTTGTTTTAGCGTGGTGGATTTACATCCAAACCTGCACATATACTCCGTACGGAGTACATTGAAACCTTCGCCTGTGCGTGGGGCGTATGTACGGTGTATGTATTGCTCGTATCGTATTTGGTCGGCTAAATACATACGGCTCTGGCATGATTCATGACCTTTCGGGCTAAAGTGACCTTAGAAACAAAACGACGGATTCCTTGGTTAGTCCTTCAGGCTACTATGTGGAACTTTTCTCGGCTGTTCCTTGTTTCCCGTTGTTTTTGGGCTGAACACTACTACCACGCCCAGGGATTGCATATCGTGGGTACAAAACCCGCATCTCTCCCGCACCCGTCTCTCTGATCCTGTTCAACTGGAAAGCCTCTGAACAATTGCTGAGAGGGACGCTGTTTTAGTCCCTCGTTCCCTTCGTTTCGTTTTGTTATTATTCTAGTCTCCTTAATCACACCCTCACTCGTTACTCTAATATCTTAATTCAAGCAAGAGGCTATGCAGACCTCTCTTGTTTGGCTGGCTCTTGCCAGCTCTACTTTGGGAGCTGCGGTTGGAGGACCTAAAGATGAGAAACGCACTATTCCCCAATTAGGCGGCTTCCCCGGCTTCCCGGCTCAACTGCCTCAAGCCCCGAATCAGCCGCCTGTCAAGATTCCTCAGACACCCCAAAAACCAAACTGGTTCCCTCAAAAGCCCAACTGGCCCCCTCAAAAGCCTTGCATCGACTGCCCTCAGATTCCCTGCATCGACTGCGAGATCCCGAAGCCTAAGCCTCCTGTCATCAAGCCTCCGGTGCCCGATTGCCCTGACTGCGAGGGCCCGAAGCCCCCAAAGCCGCCTGTCATCAAGCCTCCGGTGCCCGATTGCCCTGACTGCGAGGGCCCGAAGCCCCCCAAGCCGCCAGTGGTGATTCCCAAGCCCCCCAAGCCGACCACCCCCGACGAAGATTGTGAGACGGACCTTCCAGAGCCAAGCTGCACAGATTGTCCCCCAATCAAGACGCCTATTTGGCCTAAACCCTCTGGACCTAAGCCAACTGGATCTAAACCGCCATTTCCAACTCCCCCGGGAACCAAGCCCCCTCAGCAGACGACCACTGACGAAGATTGTGAGACGGACCTTCCAGAGCCAAGCTGCACAGATTGTCCCCCAACCAAGACGCCTATTTGGCCTAAACCCTCTGGACCTAAGCCAACTGGATCTAAACCTCCAGTTCCCACTCCCTCGGGAACTAAGCCCCCTCAGCAGACTACGACGGACCTTCCAAAACCGAGCTGTTCTAACTGCCCTCCAGTACCAAGCTGCCCTCCATGCCCTCCTGGAACCAGTTGTCCCCCATGTCCTCCAGCGCCTAGCTGCCCCGGCTGCCCTCCAGTGCCAAGCTGCCCTCCCTGCCCTCCTGGAGCCAGTTGCCCTCCATGTCCTCCAGCAACGACTTGCTCGAGCTGCTCTCCGACTCCCTCTATGACAAATCCAACTGGGCCCAAGCCGACTGGTCCTACTCCCACTTGGCCTAAACCCTCTAACTCCACAACTCCTGCTCCAAAGCCCTCAACTGAGTGCATCACGAAGACGATCACTTCCGTCTATACTACCACGAGTTGTCCAGGTAAGGACTGAGGTGTATTTTGCATTTGGGCTAAATACTGACAATGTTAACTAGTTACCACTGAGACGAAGACGAAGGGAACGGTAATCTACACGACTGTCAAGACCCAGACCGTCACTCTTCCTTGCACCGAAACAACCGTTGTCGTCATTACGTCCACTCATCCGCCTGTGCCACCAACGCCAACCCCTCAACCATCTAAGCCAGTCCCTGAGCACCCCAAACCTTCGCACCCGTCTCCTGAGCACCCCAAGCCTTCGAACCCAGCTCCCGAGCACCCCAAGCCTTCGAACCCAGCTCCCGAGCACCCCAAGCCTTCGAACCCAGCTCCCGAGCACCCCAAGCCTTCGAACCCGTCTCCTGAGCACCCCAAGCCTTCGAACCCGTCTCCTGAGCACCCCAAGCCATCGAACCCAGCTCCCGAGCACCCCAAGCCTTCGAACCCAGCTCCCGAGCACCCCAAGCCTTCGAACCCGTCTCCTGAGCACCCCAAGCCTTCGAACCCAGCTCCTGAGCACCCCAAGCCTTCGAACCCAGCTCCTGAGCACCCCAAGCCTTCGAACCCGGCTCCTGGACACCCTCAACCATCCAACCCAGCTCCCCAGCAACCTCAGCCATCCATGCCAGTTCCCCAACAGCCTCAGCCACCCAAGCCAACTCCTGAGCAACCCAAGCCTTCGCACCCGGCTCCTGGACACCCTCAACCATCCAACCCAGCTCCACAGCAACCTCAGCCATCCATGCCAGTTCCCCAACAGCCTCAGCCATCTGTGCCGGCTCCCCAACAGCCTCAGCCATCTGTGCCGGCTCCCCAACAGCCTCAGCCATCTGTGCCGGCTCCCCAACAGCCTCAGCCATCTGTGCCGGGTCCTCAGCAGCCTCAGCCTTCGAAACCAGCTCCTGTTAACCCTCCACCATCTAACCCTCCGGCAACTCCTCCACAATCAGGTGTGAACCCTCAGCAGCCAACCCGGCCAGGTACACCCACAGGATCGTCACCACCGATCTTCACTGGTGCTGCCACTCGTGTTGAAGGTGGAATATCTGCTCTCCTTGCCATGGCTGTCATTGCCGTACTGGCATAAGGTGACTTCATTTACATAGACTTGTTATTTGTTTTGTTAGGCTACGAAATGGTCGTGATTCTTGTGGATGAGGGCTTCTGTATAAAAGACATGCACGGCTTTCCACATATATCTTAAATATACTCTCGATTTCCTATTTTAATTCTAATTTTTTCCTTTTTTTTTTTTCGGTTGGTATTTTGACTCTCGGACATTATTTGAGAATATTTAACGAGATTCTATGCAGCCTATTCATATCAAAAACACCAGCCTTACCATCACAATCCCCATCGACCTTGCAAATTTTCCCTATGTATCCGATGTTTGGATCCGGCTTCCAGCTCCAGACCACCATTGCTCCATGTATGTAGTTATATGACTTCTAAATTGTAAATAATGTCATTTGATCATACAGTTGCACGTATAAAGTAAACTTATAAACGTACCTGATCAACTTGCTACCATCTCCTCCGTATTCAGTGAAGACTGAATCCGTATTGCTAAAATTTCTAAAATTTTATCCAGGGCTAAACGGCACATCCAAGGAAGAAAGTCTTGCAAGGTGTCTGTATAACTAAAATACGGAGTAACTACGGTATATAATTACAAAAAAAGTAAAAGCTGTGTGCCAAAAATTGGGCAGCTGTGCAACCAGGCGAGTGTCTCGACTCGACTGCTTAGCCAATGTCGTCAATGACTGTCATCGAATGAGTTTTTTATTGTTACTCTACTTTCTGGCGTTTTTAGAACTATCAGACATTTTGAATACGACAAATTGGCGCCACAGTCTTCCTACAGAGTAAATACATCGCACAATCCGCACGACGTTGGGCGATTTCACTACAAAAGACACTGTTATGCCGCCTAATCATTGCTAGGCCATTCTAACAGCTTTCTTGAAAATTGATCACAGTGGAACAAAAGACTGAGTAGTGGGGAGTCCTGTGTCCTCCTGTTCTTGTATTCCGCTATTCTCCTGGACTTACTCCGTCCTGCCGATCCCAAACTTGATATTAACTAGTGAGAATAGAAATTGGATTCCAGCTTGCCATATGTCAGTATGGAGTAGCTTTTTAATTAGTTACATACTCTGTACATATTGTCAGCAAGCCAGCCCTTCTGCCTGCCTCTTCCGACAGTTTTGGCCACGTGCCTCCACCAGATTAGGCAGAGTAGCTACTGCACGTGATTGAGTGCCTTACTACGGAGTACGGAGTACTCCATCTCCTTACCGTTTAACTAACTACAACAGTGCAAACAAGTCCAGGAGAGGAAATGTTTGCAGTGGCCAGTCCCTGTGATGCCAAAGTGTCCTCAATTAAAACCGTGAAGCTTCTAGACGCCCCAAGCTTCGACATTCTCGTGTTCCAGAGGGAATGACTGTTTTAAATGACTTTCCTGAACTAATAGACGTGTCCTCTTTTACGATTGTAACTTTGTGGCTGGTGTTACTCCCTTCTTGAATGCTGGAATTCAAAAGCAATTTCACTTCTTGCACGCTGCCCTCGATGTATATCCGATGATTTGCTAGAAAGATCTTTATCAACACCATTTGCCGTAATTGCGTATGTATCTAGCCTGAGGTATGAATTTTGAGCCCCTGTTTGGGTTTTATATAGCTTCAGCTGAGTGGATTCATGTTCAGATCAAGGCTTCGTTGTTCCAAATGGCTCCCCCCGGGCGACGACGCAGTCTTGGAGGGCCTACCCTCTTCTACCTATTTTCAACGGTTATACTTTTTGCTATCATCGCATCATTCCCAAATACGGTCTCTGCAGCCGGCACTGGCGTGCTGGGAATCGACCTTGGGACAGAATATATTAAAGCCGCCGTCGTTAAACCCGGCGTACCACTCGAAATTGTTCTAACAAAGGACTCAAAACGAAAGGAACTTTCTGCCGTGGCCTTTAAACCTTCCAGAGAGAGCGGGGCTGCGTATCCGGAGCGATTCTATGGCAGCGATGCACTTGCCCTCGCTCCCCGGTTTCCCAACGATGTTTACTTCAATTTGAAATCCCTACTCGGTATCCCTATTGAAACTGGTATTCAAGGCTCAGATGGTGGGCAATCAAATATGGCTGCCTTGTATGAAAATCGGTTCCCAGGTATTAAGCTCGAACCCGCCTCGGACGGCCGAGGGAGTATCGGAATTCGGAGCAGATTGCTCGGTGAAAAAGAGGGCAAATCGCCGTTTCTGGTAGAAGAGCTATTGGCAATGCAATTGAAACAAATAAAGGCAAATGCTGAAGAAATGGGTCAAAAAACCGGCTTGGAGGACGCTGTTATTACCGTTCCGCCATTCTTCTCCGCCGAAGAAAAGAGAAGTGTGCAGTTTGCGGCAGAATTAGCTGGCCTTAATGTCCTTTCATTAATCTCTGACGGAATGGCGGTCGCCCTCAACTATGCCACCAGCCGTACTTTTCCAAATGCCACCAATAACGAAAAGCCTGAACACCATGTCATATTTGATATGGGGGCTGGCTCAACAACAGCAACTGTGCTCAAATTCCAAAGCCGGACCGTCAAAGATTTTGGTAAATGGACTAGGAACTTTCAAGAGATTCATGCTGTTGGGGTTGGATGGGACAAAACGCTCGGTGGTGATGCTCTTAACCAATTGATCGTCAATGATATGATTTCCAAATTATCTGAATCAGGTAAATTGAAAGACGGCACAAGCATAGAACAAATTAAGGGCCACGGTAAAACGATGGCGAAGCTTTGGAGGGGATCCGAAAAGATACGCCAAGTTCTGAGCGCAAATTCAGAAACTTCTGCTACCTTTGAAAGCCTGTATGAGGAAGATGTCTATTTCAAATATAAAATCTCGCGTGCAGCTTTCGAAGGCTTAGCAGAGAGTCATATTAAACGCATCTCCAAACCCCTACTGGATGCTCTAGCTGTTGCGAAGGTAACTTTGGCTGAGGTTGATTCCATCATTCTCCACGGCGGTGCCATCAGAACCCCGTTTGTTCAGAAGCAACTAGAATTGCTCTGTGGCGAATCCAAAAAAGTAAGGACGAATGTTAACGCTGATGAAGCTGCTGCCCTGGGGGCAGCTTTCAAAGGCGCATCGCTGAGCCGCACATTCAGAGTGAAGGAAATTCAAACTTATGATATTCCCGCATACGGCGCGTCTATCAAATTCGTAACTGGAGGCAAAGAGAGAAAGCAACAAGCTTTTCTTCCGACTTCACAGATTGGCCAAGAAAAGATTACTATCATCAAGAATCTGAAAGATTTTGACTTTGAGTTTACTCAACAATTTATTCGTGATAATCAGACGATTGATTACCCAGTCTCTCATACTAAAACTACCAACCTTACAGAAGCGCTTACGGGGCTAAAAGAAAAATTCGGTTGCCCCGTCGAAAACGTCACCATTTGGTTTGGCATGCAACTTAACCCGATCACGGCAAGCCCTGAAATAACGCGCGGTTCGGCGAGTTGCGAGGTTGAGGAGGTCAAGAAGAGTGTTGTTGAGAAAGCGAAGGAATTTTTAGGGTTCGACTCGAAGAAAGACCAGAAATCCCTCCAAGATGATGACAGTAAACAGCAGCAAAGTGAATCAAGCAGTACATCCTCTTCTAGTACAGCAACGGAGAGCCCTGGTTCTTCGACTTCTTCGCACACTAAATCTGCAACAGAACAAAAACCTTCTTCCGTCGACGCTGATGATGGAAACGAAGAGCCACCTGAAGCACCACGGCAAGTTCGTATTGAAACCATGATTATTGGGTTTGAGTCTACGCAACTAGGTATTGCCAGGCCATCAAGAGACGAAATGCGCCGGATCAAAAGCCGGCTGACTGCTTTTGATGCCTCTGACTTTGCTCGTGTCCATCGCGAAACCACTCTGAACAATTTAGAAGCTTTCATTTACCGCTCTTCGGATCTCCTTAATGACGTAGGTTTCGAGAAAGCGATGAAGACTGAGGCGATGGATACACTGAAAACCACCATTGCCGAATTCAGCGAATGGCTTGCTGGGGACGGAGCGGATGCCCCGACGAAGGAATTGAAGGCCAAGCTTGATACCTTGAAGTCAATAGTCGATCCGGTTCTGAATCGGAAGGCTGAGAATGAGATGCGACCAGTGAAAATACAGGGCCTACAGCAAAATCTCAGCAGCGCAAAGATGCTCTTACAAGTAATGGAAAACCAAATAAAGGCAGAGGAGAGCGCCTTTTCCGCATCTACTTCAGAAACACCCTCGCCTTCAGAAGAAGCTGAAAGCACTCCTTCCGGCCCTGAACCAGATGCTTCCAGCAATTCATCTTCTGCCTCTACTTCGTCGGCCTCTTCAGCACCGACACCATCCTATTCTATATATAACCCTGTCGACTTATCCCTACTCTCTAAGACCCACGACGAAGTCAGCGCCTGGCTAGATACCAAACTGAAGCTCCAGGAAAAACTGGCCGAATCTGACGACCCTGTGCTCACTTCGGATGACTTGGAGACCAAATTGATGGAATTGCAACGGTCATTAAATAAAATCATGGAAAAGATGGCTCGACAAGGTAAGCCTGGAGCCGGCAGCAAAAAACAAGGAAAGAAGAACGGCGGCCAAAAGAAAGATCAGAAGACGAAAGAGAAGACCAAGCCGAAGACTACGACTGAGAGCAAGGGAGGAGAAGCTAAGAAAGACGATGAGAAGAAGGGACCGAAATTAAACAAAGATGAATTGTAATGATACACTATTGGCTTAAGACCATTTGTACAGCAAATTTGCCATTTGACGCTTCTGGTTTGTTTGGGTACCTCAGTCCCCATCCATGCTTGTAGTACATACATACGTACACAGGACACAAGATCTCTCACATTGTAATATTTATTAGTGCAGCGCTCGACCCATATATAGATCAAAATTAGCACTATCTCTTAGCTATCTCAACCTGTAAACTGGTATTCAAATGACGCGGCTTGTTAAGTCTATTTGGTCCATACCCAAAGCCATCCAAAGAACGCCCTTGCATTGTTGAAGGTATACCCATGATCTGGAAACTCCAAAACGCCTTTTCGTTTCTCGCTTGTTGTTTGTACACAATTGCGTAAGTCGCTCGACCTCTCGAAACCCCACCGAGAAAAATGCAAGCCGTGGTGGCGAATTTTGTACCCAATAATAAGAATGGCGAATACCGGAAGCTAGTTAACCAGGATAAAACTTAGCAACACTGGATGGGTTACTAGAAGAGAAAAACATACGGCAATGTAGGAAACGATAAATTCACGAGTATCAAAAGGAGTCCTTAAAAATGACGCTATGCCATTGAAAAGGCATAGTACTGAACAAGCCGTTACGCCCCAAAGAGCCCTGAACCATTGGCCGTGCGATTTATAAGGATAGCGAGGATTGTTGCGGTCGTAAAGGGTTGCTTGGGACTCGGAAGGGTTGCCAAATGCTAGAGCTTCTTTGAGGCTGTATTATTGCTTAGCCTGTGTATAAATGTATGGGATAGGAATGACGGACGATTTATAGAAACAAAGATAAGTAGCACAAATCACGGCGTAAATAACTAGAAAGGAGACTGTTGCAATTGCAGCCAGCTCCGTCAGCCCCTATGATCAGTTAGCAAGCCTCTTCTTTTGACATAGTCAATGCATACACGGATGGTATGCATATACTATACTTACCCCTCTCATCCCAGCACTATGGCCCATAAATCCCAAAAACATCATAATAGTCGTCAAAACAACAGTCCTCATAGGAACACCCACATTGCATTTTTGTAGCCTACGAGTAATAAATGCTGGGCCAGTTTGTTCCTGTAGAGCAAGAGTATGAAGAACTCTGGACGCGACGTACACCGAATTAATTCCGCAGGTTAGTGTCGATAGAAGAAACATGGCGTTATAGAAATGGGCAGCGGCAGGTATCCCAGCTTCTACGACTGCGATTAAAAAGATCGACTGAGAGCCTAGTGATTGGCCACCGCCATTGATAAAAGGATGGTCAGATGGCACAAGGAAGGATCCTGTGATAAATGCAAGGGTATAGAGCACAATAACTCGAATGTAAATCTTCCTTGCCGCCATTTTCATGCTTTCTGAATCGGCAAGAGCTTTACTCTCTGCAGCAGGTGCGGCAAAGATCTCGATAGCAGCATAGTCATACATAACGTTAAGGCATGCCGACCTTCAAACACGCAGGAGACTTCATCAGCAATCTGTCCATATAACAGGGGCAAATGAAGCTTACCACATTCCCAAGAGCCTGCCTGCTGGGCCGCTGATTTCTCGTTGAATGCTTCCATTACTGCCTTTGACTTGGTAAATAGATTTGATTGATGAATACGGAGAGTTCCAATCTGAATCGAAATGATAGTCAGCATTCAGTATAACACCTATTTGGCGGTATTTAAACACGAGATATAGCGCTCACATTTTGTGCCGACGGGGCTGCTGTGGTATGAGCTTGCTCTAGCTGAAATAATTATTAGCATCAAAACTATATACTAGGGAGATGAAATGCTAACGAGGAATGGTATCCAATACGACCGACATTAAAATTAATAGGATTATAAAGATAATCTTGGTAGTTCCCATCAGGTATCCAAGCATTCCGAAATACTAAGACAAAATACTATTAGTAAAATACAAATCAATAAAAATACCCCAGAGGATTTGATGATAAGCTGGATATGCACATACCTTAACAGGGAAAAAATTGATAATCACCACAATAAGCAAAAAGATAGCAAACCAGATATGAGCATCAATATTTTCCCCGGCTCTCCAAGCCAGAAATGTTTTGCCATCATCATATTGGAAGCTGGTGGCTCTGGCGGCTGTCACGAGGTTTTGGGCAGAAACAATAACAAAAGTGAACCTAGTAAATATCTAGTCAGAGATCTGAATTCCCAACACAGTGATAAAGAAAGCTCAATTTGTTTTGAAAAACAGTATGTATTGTATCGCCACCTACCAGTACATCCACCCAATGGCAAAGCCAACACCACGGTCAAGAAACCTGCGGGGAAACTCCATGACTGGGGAATTGACAGGCATCAAAGCGGTCATTTCGCCCAAGCAAGAAACGACAGAGGATATAACAGTGCCCATGAGTATATAAGCCAGCACCGTGCCGAAGGGTCCTGCGACAGCAAGGGCAGCGCCACTTCCAAGAAACAACCCTAAAGATGTCAATAATGAAGTGAATAAATACATATTATAACCAAACTCACCATTCCCAGTTGTGCTGATTGTATTCAAGATAATTAGTATTTAGCGGCGATTTCGGTTTAAAAAAATGGCATACCCAGAGAAAGCGATCATCTACCCAATTCAATCAGAAAATAGGACATAAACGCTATCTGCGGGCCACGCGATGACTTACATTGATCTGTGTTTCGCTCAAGTCTCGCCTGCGAAGTCTGTGTCAGTATTTGTATATCTCTGAGTTGCTAACAATCCCCGTACCATAATGACTCTTTTCTGCGAGTCTCGACAGGTGGGACATCTGGTGGTTCCGGAGTATGTCGCGAACGCTCGTACTCCGCTGCTGTATCAGGAGTGAGAGTCGTTAATTGAATTATACTCTCTGAGCCTTTATTAGGCAATGAATAGAGAGGTGAAGCCATATCCGAGCTTCTAAGCTACCCATAATACCAGTGGGCTCTGGTCGGCACGAGGCACAAATGGCACTTTCGAAGATAATAACGGGAGGACAAGGATGTTAAAAACGTCGGGTTTTAAAACCACGTTGACATCACGTCGCCGCGACCAATTATTCAGTCAACGGAGCACCCGTTGCACAAGCTTTCGTGCGGAGCCCCGGCCAGTCAGCCGTGCCGGCTGATCTGCACATCAATTAAACTCTTGCTCGAGAATCGCAAGGCGCGGAAGTGCAGGGTTCGGGTGCACCAGTGCTGCTCTCTGGGCTAGTAGTTATGTAGCAGTTGAAGACAGACGGATATAGACGGGCTCGTCGTCGATTTTGATGAAGCCCAGGGTTTAAAGCAGCATATTTGGAATCCGCACAGCCAGGTAGGTGCCTGGGACTGCGTGCACCTTTGCTGGGGTGCGCCATTAATGTTGCTTTTTCAGTGTTTCGGCTGCGGTCACAATCCATGCTGTGTACGGAGTATCCCAGCCATCAATGTCACCCCAGCAGCCATCCTTGGTCTGGAGACATCCACCCACCACCGCGGAGTCGGGTTCAGACAAGAAGTGATGCGGTGGAGGGGCTTGTAAAGGCTGAAACCAAAACCCAGTCCCTCCGACTGTGGTTTGTTCGCTCAAGGTCAAGAAGGCAGGAGAATGCTTTCGAGGACCATGAAAGCGGGCAGCAATGTAGTAGTTAGCTATAGTTAGTCAACTAGTTAGCCTTTTGCCAAGTGGGAGCGAGTTCGTACAGAGCAGACAAAGGGAAGCCGTGCTTGACAATCCGGACTGCTCAGAACACGCTAGGCCCATGTTAGGGCAATAATATGTATGTAACTACTGACACTCAAACAGTTACGGAGTGCAGCAACTGGTTTCTAAATACAATATGAATTTTAATATAAACAGTTATAAAAGATCCCACGCCCAGACAATGCCACAGTATTAATATGTATAGCCAAGACAGTTTCAAATCAACTAAATAAAACTTCGCCCAACAAATGCTCAAGTGCTTAAAAATACAGAGACGAACAAGCCTCTTAGATGTCACTCATTTTAAAATCTTCATCAACTTCTTCCCTTCGCCGCAAAAACGATGCTTCCCCAAAATCTGTCGCATGCAGATCCACAATCGGGCTATAGTTTTCACGTTCGGATAGCTCCCATACAAGGTCCGGTTTGCTATTGGCGGGGGTATGTTTAGTCTCGTTCCAGTTGGCGGTGGACTTCTTTGTCCGTTGCCGCAATTTGGGCTGGAGAATCGTTCTTGGTGAAATATAGTTGCTGAGTGTAAAGGGTAGGGATGCCTGCGGATAACAAGGGCCAGCATTTTCCAGCTCCTGACTGGCATCCTCTTCCTGCTCATACAAACGCTTATTTGGATTCAGTGGGGTAAGATCCATAGACTCTAGTGATTCCTGGCTGCCAATGGGTATCGATTCCTCGTCTAGTCGTGTAGGTCCGCCCTCGTGCTCTTCCCAGGTACAACTAGGGAAAGACTGCACTGCAAGGTTTCCCACTTTGAATCCTCCACAGTATGGCTGTAGCTCCGCATATATATTCGTTGATGATGCTGCATGGGTCGAACCGTGGGAAGATGGATAGGCGTTTAATTTTGAGACTTTTAACTTTGTCTGGTATCCCTCTGGAACGGCTTTGCGAACACGCATTCCCACGGTTAAAAGGGAAGACTGGACCTTGTTGGGCAATACAGGATTAGGTGTATTCGTGCGCGCCGCATAGTTGTAGTGGGAAAAAGTCTCCGATTGAGAGCAAGAAGCTGAGGTGGGTGAGGTGGCGAAGTACGACGTTATTGGAGCTTGGAAGCGACGTCGCTTGGATAGCTGGTTGCTCTGGGCTGATAAAGGCTCCATCTTGATATAGTGCTTTTAGAGCTAAAGAGATGGTAAGAATGTGGCAGTTGAAAAAGCCTTTGAGTTGGTTGGATGGGTTTCCACGGCAATCTAGACGGTCTTCATCGCAGCCAATTGGACGCGCTGAAATCGCGTGCGCGACGCGATCTGTATTATGTAATAGAGATAACGATAATCGCCACGTGATGATAAGATGGTGCCGATAAGGGCTTCCAAAAACTCCGCGAAAGACAGAGCTCAACCGCCTGCGGCCATTATGGCTCTCTCTTCGCGCTAAGCCAGCAGAGTTGTTCTTGTCCTTCCCACTCATTATGGCACGTTTCTAGCTACATAGATCTTTCCCCACCAGCCTGGCACTTGGATCGCTGTTCCGGTTTTGCACTTGGACACACACGAAACATATGGATGCAAAGGCGTACCTTATTAGCCAGGGTTGGTCTGGCCCTGGCAACCCATTAAACCCCTTACGCCGACCCGGGGGCCATGCTGGCTTAGGCCTCACGAAACCCATCCTTGTGGCACGAAAGAAAAACACCCATGGTATTGGAAATAAGACAACGCATGATCATACGAACCAGTGGTGGCTGAGAGGCTTCGAAGAGGCTTTGAAGAGCGTAGGGAATGATGGCAACTCCACACTTCTGGAGAATCCACCTGATGAAAAGCAGAATGGAATAAGGAGCGAATTATACCGCTTTTTTGTGAGGGGAGAGAAGCTCGAGGGGACCATCGAAAAAAGGGTAGATGGTATCGACACTGTGGCTAGCAGCAATCATGTCACCAAGCGGAAGAGGGATGAGGGAGCCGCTATTGAAGACGAGGCCCGTGGGGATTCTGAGAAGAAAAAGAAGAAACGAAAGAAGGACCTCGCCGATTCCGAACGTCCCGGTGTTTCAGACTCTAAGAAGAGTGCGAATAGAAAGAGAACAGAGAAGTCGAAAAGGGATAAAAAGTCGAAATCGCCCAAGAAGCGGCAAAGTACCCCTGATAAAATGGACGAAGCCGAGGTCTTAGGCACCTGGAAGAAGAAAGAGAAGCCAGAGAGATTACAATCTGATTTTTCCACTCCAACTACATCGCCTTCTAAGTACTCCGGTGGGGATGAGAATGACGTCAAAAAGTGCAAACCTGACAAAGATACCCGAATGAAACAAAAAAAGTTACGGAAAATGGAAAAGGAGTCTAAACAAAAATTAAAGAGTAAGAAAGGAAGGGAAAATCAATGAACACGGTTGGCCTCACAGATTCAAAATTTCTAAATGTCTACCCTTTCCCGAGTCTAAAAGTTCTGAAGTTTCTTATCATTCATCAAATCTATAATGAATACCCTTGACCATCAGCATTTACCACAATAAACAATTTTATGGCAAACCCCCCTTTTTACATCCCAACTCTAGGTTTCTGGAAGTTTTCCTGGCTTGTTCGATACTATCCATGGCCTTCGCTCCCAAAACTCATCTCTGACTATATCCACATGAACAACCGCAATCCCAGCCTTTTTTTGGAGCTTTTTTTGCTGTTCCCTCTGGGTCTTGGAGAGCTCAGGCTGCTCTTTATTCGGTTTATCACTGCGGCTCTCTTTTGGAACAGCGTTCTGCCGCTCTTTTTGAATTTGTTCAAGCTGCTTTTGTTCGAACTGTATTTGGCCGAGTTAGCATTCAGCCTGTTTAACACTCGAGAAGAATCTACAGTCATACATCACGATATAACACACTTCCTTTCCTAAATATTTCAGGCTCATTGTTGTAGTTAATACCAAACCTTGAGAAGAGAAGTTCGTTTTTGTCGGATGAAACAGTCCCCTATACTGTTTAGTCTTCCATTCAATGAATCATCCTATGTGTGGTAATCACACACCTGTAAGGCGCTTTCCGCATCCACGTTGCTCATCCCACCCCGTAGCACCATATTCCAAAATGTTGTATTGTATAAGTTATTAATATGACCTGCATCATCCGATAAGGAACAATTCGCCTGGAGCGTGGAACTTGCAAAGGCACCTACAGTCGACCTGACGCCAACTCATATAGTCTCTCAGGTTTTGTAGGCTTGGATATTGTATAGCTCGGCTGTCAAAAGTGGGTAGCCACTCTACCTCTAAAGGACTCGAAGGGAAGAACTGGGGCCAGTTATAAACATAGTGCGCCGTAAACGTCGAAACGACAGTCGATACCAATTTGCTTATCGGCACTCAGCAACAGTTCGTATTATAAATAACCTGGAGCCTATGAAAGCGACTTACCTACTACGTCTTTCAAATAGCTGGCAGGTCCGGTGAAAAACGAAGCTTTTCAGTGCAGCCTGTCAGTGAAAACCAGAGTGAGTGTTTCGAAGAATGCCACCACACACCTAAATTCGTCGCTAGAGCCGTACGCCATGACCAAGTCAGAAAGATCTTTCATAACTTCCTTGGCAGCAGCGTTCATCAAGTTCAACGCTCGTAAATCATTAGGCTTTTCAAAGCCATAGCGCGCAGAAAATCTGTCCATTCGATATCAGAGAAATCCATACAAAACGCATTTCTCGGGCTATTTGCCAGATACTGGCGTGTAGAACAGTTTTTTTGAAAAATTATATTCTAGTCAGCTGGAAGGACATACATACTTGTGGAACCCTCTACCGTCGATTCTGACAACAATCCATGTGTTGGGTAGTAAAATGTCATCCCGCTCGAAAGACTTCACATACTCGTATCTTGCATGCAATGGTCAGCTGGCTAAGAGCTTCGCACATTATTTGAAGGCATTCATACTTTGAATTTGCCATTTTTGCAACATTGGTGTTATTGAAACTAGTAACAGAAAACGGCCGTTGACTTCTGGCTCTAGGTATGTAGTTATCGATTTTTGTGGGGATAGGTAACTAGGTACATAGTAGTTAAGGCTTAATTACATAGTTAAAACTACATACATAACTAACTGCCTGGTTACCGAAACTACCTGTAGTCAAGTGAAAGAATTATATTTCTGAAGCCGGATTGCGTCATGAAACGATTCTGCTGGAATATAGGTACATTTGGGGGCTCGCTCGCCTCTTTTGACATACAAGGTCGTTGTATGTAGATGCTAGCCTAGGAGGAATTTATACGTTATAGACACTGTATATGCTACATACAAAGTTTTCCCGCGTTGCATAGAAAGCAGGGCTCTCACGCTTCTTCGAAAACATCTTCGTCGCCGGCCTCGCTCATTTTCTCATTATACTCACTCGTCTTGTCTGGTTTTTTTGATTTACGCCTGAAACTAAGGTTAAATCCGCTCTTATTTAGCTTCTCGACGGATGGCGTATTTGAAGCAGCGCTATCAACGCTTTTCCCAAGTTGAGCCTCATTCGCACCGTCATCGTCAATATCAGCCTGCCCAGCAGCTTCGCCTTTTTTGGAAAACAAACTCGCCCGGTCCTTCCAAGGCATATTAAATTTGCTAGAACTGCCCTTGCGTGTGATTTTTTGAATAAAGGATTCCTTCGAATTAATTACGTCCGAGGGTGTACTGGAAGAGATGCGCTCTAGTGATTCACGGGATTCGGCAGCTGACGTTCGAATGGACCGTGTATCCTTTGATTGTCGGGACTCGGTAGGGGAGGTGTTTTCAAATTGTGCCTCATCATGAGATTTGGGAGTATCCGTGTCTTTGGCTTTTGACCGTTCGGATTTTTTACCAAACAGAGTTTTGAAAGAAGGGGCGGCAGGGTTCAGCTTCGGGGTCATCGGACGATGTGATGATGGGGGACGAGTCCCTATTGGGGCTTGTATTGGTCGCTGTGGCTCGTAGGGTTGGTCGATAAAATTGATATCAGAAGGAAAAGCAGGGGGGAGATGACTTGATGACCCTAGTTGGAATGAAGGGCGGCGTGATTGACTTCGCGACCACGCGCCCCCAGTGGTGGACCAGTCAACATTAAGAGGCCCATTCCGGTGTATGTCTGGTGGTGGCCATCCAAATGGTGGCACATCCGACGTGGGCCGAGGGAGAAGCGTGTCAAAGGAATATGTAGATGCTGGTCTGGGAGAAAGGGAGTCCCGTCGTACAGTCCCGAGTATCGATGGGTTTATAGGATCATGCCTTGGGCTAAATTGGTTATAGCCAATTTTGGGGTCTGTGTTCTCCAGCATATCAGAGGAAGCATTTGAGGCTTTTCCGGTTGTGAAGAAGCTTGGGAACATGGCTCGACGTGAAGCAGGTAAACGATCTGAAGAGCTATCAGCTGTAACATGCGTTGTTGACGAACGAGGGAAGAGAGTGGCCATTGGATTTGCCCAGCCCCCTGTATAGCTCAAACGTCGGCGACGGGTTCCAATAGGATCAAGATCTTCTAGGTCCATGTTGCGAGGAAAGGATTGGCTTTGCCCAGGTTTAAGGGAGCCCAGCATAGGGCCGTCAGCCATGGTCCGTCCTCGTTGTCTATGAAAGCCAAACAACCCTGACAGTTTTCGCGAAGCGCTTTGTGCCGCGTCTGGTGACACTTGTGACTCTGCTGTTTGCATTGATTTATGTTCGCTTTCAGGTAGGTTAATGATGCTTTCCCGCGGGCTTGTAAAAAGACTAGGGGGATGGCTCCCGGAGGAGGCTGGAGATGGTGAATTTTGGAGGCCCTGAAAAGGTGCAGCTGCTGAAACGGGCAATGTAGGAAATTCAGTGGTTTCTTGTGGAGACGAAGGAGGTTGATCTTCGTCTCCGAGCAAATCAGATGGGAGCAGGGCATCGGCTCGTGGGCTCATAGGAGGGTTACTCGGTTCAGTACGAATGGGGCTCAGCTGGTCTGCAGGGTCAGGGATGGTCATTCCGTTATTTATATTAAAAAATGCAGACGTTGGGGGAACGGTAGGAGAGGCAGTGCCCAGTTGGCGATAAGAATTAGAACCCTGAAATGTTGATTCCGCAATGGAATAGCTAACAGGAGAAGAGACATTACTCGTCAGGGAGCTGCGATGACGGCTACGACGGTACGTGTTCGCTCTCCGGGCAGTATCAAAATCTAGGGCTGGGATCGGAACGTAAGGCAGTGTTGTACTCGGTCGCTGGGAGGTGATCCATTTTAGGCGTTCCTGAGCTTCGTAGTATTGTTGCTGGGCCTGTATTTCAATTAGTAAGTACTACTCGAGACTCTAAAGATGGAAAACAAACCTGAGTATGCACATTGATCAAAGACGTATACTGAGCCCGCAGGTTGGCCATCTTGATCTCCCAGCGACAATCTCGTTCTCGTTCCAAACGGTCTAGCTCTTTCGTCTCTTCATTATCCCCTCCCTCAAGTCGCCGCCTCTCCTCTTCTAGAAGCTTGATACGACCTCCCTTGACTTTGATGTCTTCTTCCAGGGCTTTCATTCCCGTTTGTTCGTCACGAATTTTACTGCGATACTCCGCGAGCCGTTTTGCCGATTGCTTCTCAATTTCTGCTTTCTCACCTTGCAGCCTTTCCGCAGCGCTTCTCATTTCTGAAACCCCTGCATCCCAACGTGCGATATCATCGGCGCGCTTATTCTTCTCAGCTTCTTTCTGTTGAAGTTGCTTCTCGCGCTTACTCCGTTCGCTTTGAGCGCTGCGATTGAGGCTTTCAAGTTTGTTGATATGTTTACGAAGGTCGCCACTGGCTTCGTCTTTCTCTTTAACACGTTGTCGCAACTCATCTCGCCGGTCCTCAAGCTCTCCCAAAGACAATTCATACTCTTTCTCCTCTTGGCAGATCTGGCGGTCTAGTGTATCGTTTTCCTGTTGCATATTCTTCAGTTGCTCTGCAAGTCGTTCAACAGTCTCTTCAGAGTCCTCGAGGCTACTCCCTTTACCATCATCGCTAGTTACATGTGACGTATTGTAGTCAGTGACTGAGGCGGATAGAGGCCCTTTCCTTCCAGCCACGGATCGTTTGCCTTGTAGAGGACCAGAACTATGTTCCCGGGTCATCACTGGAGCCGAAGGTGATGTAAGGATGGAAGGCCGAGGCGCGTATGCCTGTATATACGGTCCGCCGCAAACACCATTTTCGCCTTGGGAATCATCATAATTTGTCCGGACATGAAGAACAGCACTGGACGTTTGAAAATTGGCGGCACTTATTGCAATAACACAAATATGGTAGATATGTCCGGATAATAGATTCGAGACAGACACAGCAGTTTCCGAGCGTTTCGATTCGCCAACTGGACCAGGCTGTGAGATAATAGACAAAGTGGGCAGGGAATTATTTTTCTAACCTCTGACTCCATTCACTTGAATTATATGCTTATGAATCGAATTATGCGAATCGGGGTATTTCCAGGCGATACGGATATCGCGACTGCCGATCTCCTCCAAGGTCACCTCTGGCGGCGGTGGAATATCCAAGCCCAATTTATCTACCAGAACATCATTTGGGGTCAAGCAGACCTGGTAGGCACGATATGAGAGCCTAATTGCCGTTTAGCAGGAAGGTCATCTCTTCATCAAATGTCAGGAGCTTACCATATCAGTGCCCAGAGAATAGACACCGCGATAAAAAGTGCCGTGGCGCCCTGGACTTTCACTCCAGATACAACGCCAGGGTATGTGTCGGATACAAGACGCAACGGTTCGTACATCCCGTTACTCAGGCTCCCAACTATAACAGAACGCTGAGCTGGACAGGCTTTACGGTCAGTAACCCTCGACGTCGAATTTCCAGAACAGTTATATAGGTACCTTATTCAATGCCGGATAATCATATTTCCATATCACGTGCCGTGAGGGTGGGTCCATTATGGTCCTTCAGTCATTCCGAATTCCAATGGCAAGAGAAAAAAAGCATCGCAAACTCGGTTGGCCTACATTTCTGTTACGGCCACGAGTTTCCTGATTGCTACTCTTGTCCATCGATTATTCTTCTGGCTGTGTTATGTCTCCTCGTTGACAGCCCATAGAACGGCGTCGCCTCGTCATTGACTGGAGCATTTGTAGCGTCACATGAGATTCCGCTTTAGCCTGCTGGTGCTTGTGAATCCCAACCACACCACCACATTCCACCACCACACCTTCCGCTTACAGGCTATATATGCGAAGCAATCGGCAAATCTAGTTGCGAGTGAACTTCCGGACGGCATCATTGTTAGTCTAAGACGGGCGGACAGGAGTAATGCAGTACGTCCGAAGTATCAGCGGTTCAGTCTCCAAAACGTGGAACTCGATCAACCCGGCCACTCTTAGTGGAGCTATTGACGTAATAGTGATTGAACAGGAGGATGGTTTGTTCAAGCTATTACTTTAAATATTTTTGAACCAGGCTGATAGCTGTTTCTAGGAACGCTGGCATGCTCTCCTTTCCATGTCCGGTTCGGCAAATTCTCCCTGCTTCGGCCTTATGAGAAGAAGGTATCAAACCAGCAAATGCTCTTTTTCTCTATTTTCCCCTTTGAGTTTGACTTGATTCTTTTTGTGGGTATTAATAGAGTCTACAGGTGGAATTCTGCGTAAATGGTGTTAAGCAGGACTATGCGATGAAGCTCGGCGAAGGCGGGGAAGCGTTTTTTGTCTTCGAAACCACCAACCAAGTACCCGAATCCCTCCAAACCTCACCTGTTGTGTCGCCTGCAGCTAGCCCACTGCATGCAGCTAGCGAGTCGGATATACCGTCAAGCTCGCTTCAGGAACCGGACTTTCTAGATCTATCTGCAAGTTCGCCAAATGATAAGCTTGACGGAAGGCCGACTATACCAACAACGGGCAGAATGTCAACAGACCCTGGTATTGTCGCCAATAAAAATAATTTTATACTTGTCTCATTTGGCTAATAACTAAACAGTTATCTCAACAACGATCTCAAAGTCTCTGGATGATAGCCGACCTTGGCTAGGCGGTTCTCCGGGAGCTCCAGATGAATTTCTCCCGCCACACACACCCCGTTCGAGGGCCGGTAGTACCGTGGATTTTGATCCGGCACGTCTTTCGCCACCGCCCTCAACATTTAGCCCAGAGAAAGACTCCCCGTCTTCGCAAAGATCCCAGAGCCCCCCTCCTGTTTCTGCTCAAGAAGCGTACTCTCGAGCCTTGTCACTCTCCAAAAAGCTGGAAGTCTCCAATATCCCGTCGAAGGTTACTGAAACCGGAGATTTGATGCTTGACATGACAGGATATAAAAGCAGCGATGAGGACGCATTGCGTGCAGAGCTGGTTGCTCGTAAACTTCTTGCCGAGGAATTGGAAGGACATTACGACATTGGAGCTTTGATTGGTGCGGATGAACATGGGAATCTTTGGATATACAGTAGTGAAGAGGCAAAGGAATCCGCCTCCCGTCGCGCCACATTTAATGACCTCCCAAATAATCACCCTTTACCTGGCGACGCCCTATCAGAGCCTGGATACCATAGCGACAGCGAACAGACTGCGGCAATATCAAACCAAAGGCACATTCGCTCCCAGTCGGATTTACAAGGTGTCTATGCCACGCCACCACACACTCCATTGGAAGATTCGACAGCCGATGATAACACCCGAAACTATGCAAAAACACTCCGACTGACAAGCGAACAGCTCAGGGCATTAAATCTGAAATCGGGTGCTAACCCCATGACCTTTACAGTAAATAGAGCGACATGCCCAGCAATTATGTACCTTTGGAACTTCAAGACTCCCATCGTGATATCTGATATTGACGGAACGATTACAAAGTTAGTGCTTGTTTCCAATTGTTTATTTCTGAAAAACTAACCCGGGTTCTGTAGATCTGATGCATTGGGGCACGTTCTCAATATGATCGGACGTGATTGGACACATGTCGGTGTTGCTAAATTATATACAGATATCGTGAATAATGGCTACAACATCATGTATCTGACCAGTCGCTCAACCGGACAGGCAGACACTACACGTACCTATCTTAATGGAATTGTCCAGGACGGGTATAAACTTCCCAAAGGCCCGGTAATCATGAGTCCTGATCGCACGATTGCTGCCCTTCGACGTGAGATTTATTTGCGGAAGCCAGAGGTTTTTAAAATGGCTTGTCTTCGCGATATTCTTAACCTTTTTAAAGGACGTGAGAACCCTTTCTATGCGGGATTTGGAAACCGCCTTACGGATGCGCTTAGTTACCGGTCTGTCAATATTCCATCCACAAGAATCTTTACTATCAACTCCAATGCAGAGGTTTATTTGGATCTTCTCAGTCTCAATAAGTATAGAAGCAGCTATGTCTCAATGAGGGAGTTGGTGGATCACTTTTTTCCACCCGTAAGCTTGCTGGTGCAAGAGGGCGCTGAGGATTTCACAGATTTCAGGTACTGGCGTGATAGCCCTGGCGAGCTAGAAGACTTCTCTGTTACGGATAGTGACGATACAGATGACAATAATCCGGACGAGGAGGACTTAAGCGATGACGGCACATATGAAGATGATGAACTTGCCGATGTGATGGGAGCAAGCTATATCTCCCGCACTTCTCTTACATCCGGCGAAATGGCTGAGTCAATAATTGAATCGGAAGAAGATGGTGGCCTTGATGGAACAAGCCAAGAGAGTCTGAGTAGTGACCCTCCAAACGCTAAGTCTCCAACCCGACATCGTTGAAAGCTCTACAAACATACTGGGGCAAATAGCGCACCTATTGAACAGCGGGATTACTGGAAGTCTCACAGCCTGTAGCCCCTGCGAAATTTTCTGCTTTAGTTTTCCTTGAAAGCTATGGGGACATTTTACTTTGATTGGCATTTAAGCGTCGGAATTTTTCTTGGGCGTTTTCTGTTATAGATTCTAGAAGTCTGCATCTCCAATATTTCTTTTATTATCATTCTAGCACCTAAGAATCGTTCTAGGTACAGACCATTAGAAGTAAATGATAACGAGCCAAATTAATAGCCAGCTGCCGCAGGCAGCTTGAACGCCTTGCTATCGAGCACAGGGATGCCAATCTAAACAGTAGTCAATGCTGAAGAGAAACAAGGTTTTTCCCTCCCCCAGTCTTCGTCAAAAGTCTTTTTCTCGTGTCACCGCGGCCGAGTACCGTCATGGACATCCATCGTATTGGATAGGGAAAACAGAGACAAAGTGTGTAAGAACAATTTTTGGTCAATCTGTGGGTGCCATTCGCAAAAAGATAGATATCCCTTATAAAACGCCAGATCATAGGATAAAATAACCAACCAGCTATAAAACAACAAAGAAACACGTAAAACGAGGCCTCAAATGTCTGATAATAATCAAAACGAGGTGGTAGTATTGTACAACGATAGTTGAACCCATCGAGGGGAGTGTAGGGGCAACCAGAGACCGAGACAGGCTGTATTGTAGGATTAATGACGAGGAGATCTAGAATATCATCAGTAGCAATTTGAGACTTTAGGACTCGGTATACTTACGTCGGGTGAAATGTTGGGGAAGTAGGGCTGTATCCTGGGGACGTAGGACCGCCTGGGGAAGTTGGGGACCCCGAGAAGTTGGGAGAAGTTGGCGAATAGGCCTCCGGGCTTGTGGGGGACCAACCAGGAGAAGTGGGAGTATACTTTGGAGATGTTGGTGAGGTCGGAGAAACGTGTCTACCAGTGACACCGCCAAAAGCCGGGCTTGTTGGACTATAGCTAGGAGATGTAGGGCTAAATGCGGGGGAAGCAGGGCTGAAATTTGGCGATGTGGGGCTATAGCTGGGGGATGTTGGAGAAAATCCAGGAGAGGTAGGTGAATATGAAGGAGAGGTAGGTGATTGGGTCTGTCCGTAGCCAGGGGAAGTTGGGGAATATGCAGGAGAAGTCGGAGCGAATGTAGGACTGGCGGGAGAAAACCCTGGAGATGCCATGAATCGTGGGCTGGTGATACTCATTCCAGGAGACGTGGGAGAATAGCCAGAAGACGGAGAATACCCAGGCGAGGTCGGGCTGGTATCGAATGGGCTAGTAGGTGAATAACCTCCTGGGCTCCTGCCACCAGCTGGGCTAAACCCACCAAATCCGGGGGGCTGATATTCAGTAAAGCCCGCCGGGGTCTCAGATCCAGCTTGGCCAATAGGTGAAAATTGGGAATCCGGGTCAGGAGAGCTGATGTACATGGTCTCCTGCATTGGCGAACCACTGTCGTACTGAGTTGCTGCTCCATCCGACAATAGGCCTTTGTCGACATTGCCCATAGTGACCAGACCAGCGTTGTTTGAGACAACTCCCATTAACATTGTTTGATCAAGGAAAACATCAAATTCACCTGTGCCGGCTGGGGCCATTTGTCCCAGTATTAAGTTCTCCGAAACTCCACGACAGTCATCCAACTCGGCAAAAGCGGCAGCATCAAGCAAGATCTCGACCGTTTCCTCGAAAGAACACCTCATCAATGCGCCTGTATCAGCGCGATTGATTCCGTGCCTCGTGACGGCCATGAGAAACCCTCTAGAAGTCATAACGTCACAAAGAAGGGCCAAATGGCGATGGTTCACATATGACCCGTCAAATGCAAGCACTTGAGTCAATTCTCGCAACAGCGCTGTTCGTGTCGCCTCAATCCCAAACACTTCAAGAATCTCAATGAACTGGTTAGAATAGGTACGCGTAGCGTCCACTCCTGGAATCGCTAAGACGTCGCCGAGAGCAGATCCGCTGGTTTCAAGCACCCATTCTTTACATTGCGGGTCTTCGCTACTCTTGTAGAGAGAACCGTCATCAAGGGTACGCACGCGCGACTTCTCGTTAATAAAGGCACGTTCAACACCTGCCACACCACGTAAAGTGAGCGTGTCAAGTAGATGAGACTCAAGCTTCTTCAACGTTACATCATATTCAGTGTCGTCGTCATCGTCATCCTGCTTGGGATCTTGAATTTGGCGAATCCGAATCACTTGTTCATCAGCGTTGTTGTCACTGAATATCACGGCAATATCTTGAGGGTAGGATTCTTTAATTTTCAAGGCAACATCTTGAACAGTAAGCCCTTTGTCAAGCAATTTCGGTCGGCTCAAAATGATACGAAGGAGCCATTTAGATTGTCGTGATGAATCATCCATAACATCTTCGGGAATGATGAAATACGACTCAACCATGTCGCGATCAGCCTCGATCACTGTAGACTGTATATCGGGATCATAATAAATTTCCGTGGCTTCCGTGACAGATCTCAAGCTTGTATGCTCCACAACACTACGAAGCTGTTTTGCAGATTCCTTGTCCATTGAACGCGACGGGGCTTGGTAGACGGTCATAGATGGAGTCTTGATATTAGTAGCAACATTAAGAATTTCCTTTAGGCGAGGGACACCTAGAGTAACGTTCTTAGACGAAACACCAGCAAAATGGAAAGTATTAAGCGTCATCTGTGTTGCCGGTTCTCCAATAGATTGTGCAGCTAAGACTCCAACCATTTCGCCTGGATTTGCAGCAGCCTTTGCGAATCGGCTTTCGACGGCTCCGAGGACATGCTGAAAAGCGAGCTTGTTCAATGAGTATTCTACAACAAGGCGTTTAAAGGCCAGGCGAGAACGAAGTTGGGCTTTGAAGAGTAATGTCGCACTCTCCTGAGCCTCTTTTGATATGATATCGTCTCCACGAACAACGACTAAACGATCAAGAAGTGATTGGACTTGCGGGATGACATCTGCAGGATGCAGGTCACTAATTGTGCCTTCACGAATTCTGAAAGTTGTCTTCGCAGACTCCAAAATTCGCTGGACGTTGATTGGCAATTGCATCATCTCTTCATCTTCTTTCGCAACTGACCGTAGGAATGTTCGCGCCTTTTGCAACTGTTCCCACTCTTCGTCAAGATATCTTTGCACCTCCATGTCGCCCGCTATTTCTGTTGCCTGCTCAAGTACTTCAGCAGAAAGTGATTTAGTAGGGTCCATAAGATCGACACGGAATCTGTTTCGGAATTGCTCATCGGAGCACTTGATAATGTCGACACGCTGATTTTCAATGAAAGCCCCATCAAGCCCATCTTCGCCATAAAGGAACTGAATAACATCACCCAGCGAATTGCGAACAGTGCCATCATACTTCACCATTACTTCTTCCAAAGCCTTGACCAGCTTTCTCTGAATATAGCCAGTCTCGGCTGTCTTCACGGCAGTATCGATAAGACCTTCTCGGCCAGCCATCGCATGAAAGAAGAATTCGGTGGGCGTCAAACCCCGAAGATAAGAGTTTTCTACAAAACCACGAGATTCCGGAGAATAATCATCTTTGGTGAAGTGTGGCAACGTACGATACTTGAACCCAAATGGAATACGTTTTCCCTCCACAGATTGCTGCCCCACAACGGCTGTCATTTGAGAGATATTAATTGTTGATCCTTTCGATCCGGAACGAGCCATTTGTACGGCATTGTTCAAATCTTTCAAGCTCTTCTCGGTCTCCGTACCTGCTTCGTCACGAGCATTGTTCAAAGCTCGAGAAACTTTGCTTTCGAAAGTTTGACGAACACTCATACCAGGTAGTGGTTCAAGAGTGTTTTCCGTTGCGCTCGCGGTGATTGTGTCAACCTCCTCCTTTCGAATACGAACAGCTTCTTCAATCTTTTGAATGGTAGCAAGATCGGGGATTGTGTCACCGATACCAATGCTAAAGCCATTGTGCAACAGCCAGTAGTTGACCACAGTCTGGGCTCCATTGAAAAAGTTCATGCAAACCTCAGGTCCATATTCATTGTAAATGGTGTGGACAATACCGCCGCCCGTTGCACCCACAGTTTTCTTGGAGAACATTCCATACATGAGCTCACCTCCGTGGACTAAAAGACCAGTGTCATTCAACGGCGAGAACTTTTCCGCCAAAGGAGCTCGATCACGATCCACGCGCAGAAGATTAAGGCCAGATGGCAATGCCATACTGATCATTTGCTTACCCGTCCACCGAGGACGAGGTTTGAGGATTGCAGGCTGTGGCAGAACACCATCCCACTCTGGGACCCAGAGCATAATATTCATGACTTGCTCCTTTGTAAGGAAAACATCACGACGACAGATTTTGTAAATACCACAGAGTGTATCTTGCACAATACCCATTAAAGGACCATTTCGCTGTGGTGACACAATGTTCAAGGGAACCAAACAAAGTTGACTAAGCTCTGCACGGGCTTCTTCACTTTGCGGCACATGTAAGTTCATTTCATCACCGTCAAAATCAGCATTGTAAGGAGTTGTGACAGACAGATTCAGGCGGAATGTAGAGTAAGGCATAACTCGAACACGGTGAGCCATCATTGACTCTTTATGCAGAGAAGGCTGTCGATTGAATAGAATAACATCCCCATCCATAAGGTGGCGTTCAACCTTCCAGCCCCATTGCAAAAAGTTCCGGCCACCGCCGCCCTTGTGATGGCGAAGATCAATGCGTTCACCAGAACTGCGGATTACGTACCGTGCCCCGGGATGTACGTCAGGGCCATTATCCACAAGTTGGCCTAGTTTATTAATATTATAGGGGGTAACAACTTCCGGATATGTCAGTGTTTGCGCAATACTGATGGGAACGCCAACTTCGTCCAGAGACAAATTGGGGTCACCCGTTATAACCGTACGGGCTGAAAAATCAACACGTTTTCCCATCAAATTTTGTCGAAGCCGACCTTCTTTACCCTTCAAGCGACCTCGGATAGCTTTCACAGGACGGTTGGACTTTTGCATAGCCTGCGGTTGTCCAGCAATGTCATTATCCATATAAGTTGCAACGTGGTACTGTAACAGAGACTCGAATTCGCGAACAACGTGCTCCGGAGACCCTTCTTGTTCACATCGGGTGACATTCTGATTCGCACGAATAATTTCGGCCAGTTTATACGTCAAATCATCCTCACCACGCTGGCCGCCGGAGCTTCCGCCAACAAGAACACTGGGACGCACCGGTGGGGGAGGAACGGGGAGTACAGTGATAATCATCCACTCCGGTCGCGCGTAATCGTTACTCAACCCCAATATTCGGACCTCCTCTTCTGAGATATTTCTGAAAATATTCAGCGCCATCTGTGGAGTAATTTGCTTTTTTTCTGGTTGTTGAATATCCTTATCATCTATCAAATCGCGCGCTTTGCTCGGCTTCCAAGTACCTACCAGACTGATACCTTCTTTTCGAATTTGGGGTTGCGCGTTTCCACAACCACCATGGCTGTTAGTCATCTTAGACGATTCTTTGCCGAAAGGTTCATCTTCATCTGGAGGAGGATCGGCTTCACAAAGGAGGACATCTTTCGATAACCGCCAAATCGCGTCAAAACGCCGCTTGGGGTCGCGGAACCGGAGAGCATCTAGATATTTCTGGTCATTCTGATGAATGTCAGTAAATATTGCCGTTTCAGATTTTGCCATCCCTGAAGGGATGACTAACCGTATTGGCCTTGATTTTTCCACAATTGTGACAAACAGTTTCAAGTAGCTTCTTGATTTTGGTTAAGAAACCTGTGCAAAATTGTTAACGGCCTAGGTCAAACGAATATATTTACGAAATTAAAGACGGCATACCGATATGAAATACTGGTGTAGACAATTCAACGTGACCAAAATGACCTGGACAGTCATTTATACCTTCCTCGCAGGTTGCACAACGCCAATTCCGATCGATGGTGCCGAGTCGCGGATCGTTCAAGCCCTTTTCTCTAGGTCGCTGCCTTGCTTCATCCTGGATTATACTTATCTTAGTAACAGTTGAGGCCAAATGAATAATCTCAAGTGACTAACCATGGTTTCAGGGTATTCAACATGGACCACGCTCATTCGTTTGACCTCCTCAGGCGAAAGAAGACCAAATTGTATCTCCTTGATCGTGCGCAACGGCGCCTTAGAAAACGGAAACTTGACAGATGACATGATTGTAGATTATAGATGGCGCGCGGTATGCAAAGTGATAAACGCAATGGCGAAGTGAAAACGGTGAAGGTTTGCGGTGACTGGTGGCGGCGCGTCGGCAGAGGAAGGCCTCTTAATTTCAACGAAAAAAACGGCGACGCAGGATCCAGAAATCAAAAGATTTTTAAGCAGAGGGTCAAGAGTCGCTATGTCGGGCCTGCTGCCGACGTTTGGCAGACCCTGCCACGAGGGCGGCCTGGGAATCTGTACACCTGCCAACAGTTTCCAGACGCGATCCTGGTGATAAGAAGAGTAAAATCGCCGATATAACGAGTATTGCCGATTGTGAGGAGATACCACAATACGAAAAGCGATATCCCCACAATGTTGTGGATGTAGCGAGGGTTCGTAAAGTTGATGAAAGGAGGTTGTCTGAGTCTTGCCTCACTTGAGACTTGCGATGCCTTTAGCTCGAGTTTTTTCAGCTTAGCGCGGCGCCTCAACTGTTGATGACTAAGCATATAGGCGGCCAGCCACAGGGTCAGCCAAGCGGGATATATGATTGGCTGTCAACCACACTTCGGCGTCTACATTAAGACTAGCGCGGCAAAACTTGAAGTTTCTCCGCGCTCGTTACATAATCAGTCATCCAGCACCACGAGCAAGGTGTTGAGAGGATGAACCTGCTTGTATACTCGCCCCCTTACCCCTAGGAATTCTGTACTCTTTCTCTACATATTAGTACTTTCCTGAGCTGTTGGCAACTGCCATGAACCTTGCCCTCATCGATCCATTTGCACTAGCCCAAGACTACCCGGATGCGCTCACTGGAACACTCCGTACGTCGATAACTCCAATTCGTTGGCAGCCGTATTCCGTGCTAATGTCAGATATTTAGGCAGCGGCCATGCCTCGTGCCTCCGATTCAATCGAAAAGGCGACTTTCTTGCCTCCGGACGAGTGAGATTTCACGCGAGCGCTCTGAGTCGACATGGGTTAATTGCTTGACTTGTTTAGGTGGATGGCACAATAGTCATTTTCGATGTGGAGACCAATGGTGTTGCCAGAAAACTGCGAGGACACAGCAAACAAATACAATCTTTAAGGTACTAGCTTTCGTTTAAAAACAATAGTAATCCCACACTTCATCGCTAATGTCCATCACTAGTTGGTCGCGATGCGGAAGATATTTACTAAGTTCTTCTCAAGATTGGAAATGCGTACTTTGGGACATGAAGGATGGTTCGCGAGTCAGGACGGTTCGGTTCGAGGCTCCCGTTTACATTGCAGAGCTACATCCGTTCAATCAGTGAGGGTATTGTCTTTCCATATATCGCTTTACACTGACTTGTCGTGAAGCTGGCTTTTTGTGGCATCCCTTTTCGAAGACCAACCCGTTTTAGTGGATATAACGACACCCAAACCTCTTAAATGCATCCTTCCGTCTGCCCCGTTGCGCCCAAACGTCGAGAACGTCGATCCCGCAACTGCTGCTAAGCAAACGGCACAAGATGCCAAACAATCTACCTGCGTCACAATATTCACTGCCCTAGGAAATCATATATTAGCAGGAACGTCTAAGGGCTGGATTAATATTATTGAGACACAGACTTGCCAAACGATCTACTCGACCAGACTCTGCAACGGCGTCGTGATCCTAATGCGCCTTGCTAACAACGGCCGCGACCTGCTCGTCAACAGTTCTGATCGGGTAATTCGTACCATTTTGATGCCTGACCTGTCACAGCTTGGTGTTAGCCTGGAACCGTCAGCGATCAAACTCGAAATCGAGCACAAATTCCAAGATGTGGTAAACAAACTGAGTTGGAATCATGTAGCATTCTCCGCAACTGGTGAATTCGTCACCGCCTCGACGTTCATGAATCACGACATCTATGTTTGGGAGCGTAGTCATGGCTCTCTTGTGAAAATCCTTGAAGGTCCGAAGGAAGAGCTTGGGGTCGTAGAGTGGCACCCAAGCAGGCCCATGGTCGCCGCTTGTGGGTTGGAATCTGGCTGCATCTACACATGGTCTATTGTGACACCACAGAAATGGTCTGCGCTAGCGCCCGATTTTCAGGAGGTCGAAGAAAACGTTATATATGTCGAGCGCGAGGATGAATACGACATGCATCCAGCCGAGGAGGTGCATCAACGGCGTTTAGATTTGGAAGATGAAGAACCAGACGTGCTAACGATTGAACCTGTCAAAGGCGAAGTGGAAGAAGATGGGGTGCCCGCCTTCCAAATGCCCGTTTTACTGGATATCTCAGACAGCGAGAGTGAGAACGATGTCGTGGCTATTGGCCCCGGAACCATGAGAAAGAAAAGTCCCACAGCCGGAAGAGAGTGGATGAATAGCGGCAATACTAGCGAAAATCTCGACGACACGGAAGGGCGTCGCGGGGCGGCTATTGCAAATGGTGTTTCGAGAGGACAAAACAAAGGGCGTCGGAAATAAAAAGGCCTGCAATCATACTACTAATACAAATACGGACTACTCAAATAGATGTGACTTTCAGGCAGAAGTACGGGGCCACGGGAATTGGTTAGCAGCGGCTTCCCAGGACTGTATTACATGCAAGTCACCGACAAGGCGAGCTCTTCCAAGCAGAGGTGACGGGTCCAAGGTTGGCCAGTTTTCGTCCAGCAATCTACATCCTCACCAATAAGGTCTGATACGTCATACAAAATGCTGAAAAAACCTACAGACAAATGTATCTATAGCCTAGCGGTCAGGATCGGACGGCGATATTCCGGCCTGAATCAGGTGGTGTCCCCGTGCACCCTACCAGGACGGTACACGTTGCGGCCGCCGGTCCCAAACGGCCGGGTCAGGGTCAATCCATTCCTAAACAGCTGGAGCCACCCTGTCGGTACAAAGCGCGGCGGATGATAGGCTCCCTGGTTTCCTAGCCCACTATTGCAACAGAAGATAGTTGTCACATTCTTTCAGGCTACTACTCATCTCCGTCGCACATTGCACAGTAGCTACGTTTGTACAGCAATTCCTTGTGCGGAATAAATAAGAATTCGATTTGGTGTCTACTTCAAATGCTCAAGCATAGGGATAAGGGTGCCCAATCATGTATACCTAGTAGTGCAAAGCAAGAACTAAGCAGCACGCCAAAACAGCCTTCAACCATAACAATCCTTGCTAAAGGGTATAATGCTAATCATTAGAACAAGAATCGTCACAGGAAATCGCCTGAATAAGATATAAGAAGCGGCACATGCACCATCATTATCACAGACACCTTGAAAAAGAAATGCACGGGCGCCTTTTTAGAGTAGCAAAGAAAATTTTATCATCCAGAAATAGGAAACTGAAGGGAGACAAAGAAAGAAACCATCCCCTGACTTTTCTTCTCCCTCTTTGACTTTTCCTGTCCCATGATGCATAATGAGGTATATATGTGCATGCTCCAACAAATTTTGGAAATAATAATGTATGACAGCAACTGCAGCAAAAAAAATAAAAATAAAAATAAAAAAAAGAAGATAAAAAACACATGAATGGTTGTAATAATAATGTAGAAAAGGAGTAATAATCCGAGGAGTCAAGAACATTATTGCGCGTCCCAGCAATATATTAGAGCCCCAATACTTCGTACAGTTTGAGTTACCGGCTTTTTATTTTGGGTTGGTATTTTTGCGTTTTTGGAATCCATGCAGTCGTAAAGAACCTCGGGTTATCATCGTGTCATCAGAGGTTCTCTTGAAGTCGTCCACATCTCATATCACCAGACAAGTGCGGACATTTCCGGATGCGAAGCGTGGAAAGGGTGGATGAAGGAGCGCCGCCACAGCTAGAGTTTACCGATTTAATGGATAGCCCAGACCAGATAGCTACTCGGGTATGGTGGATATAGACAGGATCGCACAAGCCACATTGAGTCACCTTTTCCTCCAGGCAAAACAGTTCTGTCTAGGCGATTTTTATATGGAAGGCAATAGAGGAAGAGCGTTACTTTCTGTGTTTACCCAAGAGCGCTCTCCTTACTCTAGGACCGCATTTCTTCCTTTCTGTTGGGTCGCAAAAAAAGGATCGGTTAGTATAGACCTCAAAAACCTCGAGATGGGGGGTCTATGGAGAGAAATACGTTGGTTTTCTTGCTGTGAAGATATGCAAGACATTGTATCCCCTTAAGTCCTTTTTGTATGCCTCCGCTTTTGCTTGTTCGGCCAGTCTGTTAATTTCGTCGAACGGCATGTTCTTCATTCGGGCCAGAGGCGCCCAGAGAAGTGCCAACGCACTCTCAGAAAAGGCGAGGCTGTACCATTTCCCGAGTTCCATGGAATGGCGGTCTGTTCCCCACATGCTCAGCGGTAATGGTATTGCACTGTGGGTTATGTCAACGAACCCGGCATTTTCCAACCGTGGGATCGTCCTTCGGTCAAAAGCAATCGGCCTCCTCCCAGTATCTGTGGCCTCTTTCAAGAGTCTATACCACACAGAGAGTGGGTGACTAGGTCCAAGCGTGTAACCGTCTGATCGAGCTTCGAAATCGATTTCCACCTGCTCAAAATATGCCCCTGGTCTGAGATGTTCTATTACCCGATGATAGACCGTTCTCCAGTCGGTGACGCTCCCACAACCCATTTGGAGATGAATGAAATCGAATGATTCTTCCCCTAGCAGCCATTGACTCTCGTAATCTCTAGGTGAATAAAAGGCACAGTTCAACGGCGGATTGGAGGGTTGTATCGGCGCCAGATCAACCCCATACACGTCTGCATCAGGATATTGCCTTGCCATGTCCATTGCCCACTGCTTCGAAAATATTTGTCAGCTCACGCGAAGAAAAGACTGGGGATGTCTGGTGGTAAAGAGCCACGCACGATGCCTGTCCCGCATCCGAGATCGAGAATCCGGGGACCTGGGTCTCCTGACGCTTCCTTGTTTGGGCGGTTGATGGGAGCAACGTGCAGATTGCCGTTCCTCGCGACGCATAACATCTTGTGAAATAAGTCTAATCGGTCTTGTTCCGGTTCATCGCAGGGAAACATGTACTGTCCTCGACGATAGCCGTGGTACCACCGGCCATATTCAAGATACGTTGGATAGTCTTCAAGTTCGCGAGACCTAGACCAATGATACTAAATCAGCACCATGATATATCAGGATGGGGCCCTCCCCGTTCTGGAACCACTGATGCCACCACCCCAATCTGATGGGCATAACACAAAATCAAGATGAGAAATCGCTAGAAAAGGCCGCGCTCACAATTGGGTTCCCCGTGGCGCCGGGGGAAACGTAGAGCCATTATCAGAAGGGCGTCTTTCCTCAGGTGAATCTTGCCGAGAAACTCCCGCCAAGAATGATATATCCATGCTCTCAACGCGTCTTGGATGTCCCAGCAGGGTGGGGAACAACCGGCGCTGGGGAGAGAGCCAGAAAGAGTCTCCAAACAGCCCTGCAATTCAGCAGTGCGGGAACAATGGGCAAAATGCCGGAGAGAGAAAAAGTCGGACAGAGCACGAGAAGCGAAGGGAAAAATGAAGGTATGCAAGCAGAGTCAGCTGACAATGCAACAATACGACATGTGCAAGGCCAGGAACTAGGAAGAAACAGACAATTAGTGTCTGTAGCCTTAATATTTTCTGCAGCAGTGGGAGGTGCCGTGCAGCTCGGCGCGGGCTCAAAGCCCCAATACGCAGCGGGAGAAGGGAAGGGAGCAGGGGGGGGAGCGGCACCGGAAGAATGCTTGTCGGGTGTCAATCTCGACTGGTCAAGAAAAATGATATATAAAAAGTGGGATAGGGATGGGGGATGCAGCGCGGTGGGCCCCAAGGGAAAATATGCAGAGTTAAAAGGCCAGGACGACACTAGCATCCGTGCGAGAAGAGCGAGGGGATAAGCCAGTCTCCGCGCCGCCACCTGTACGAAAGCCAGAGCTGGTGTGCATATAAGACCGGCACTACGGAGGGGGCACAGGATCAAGGACTTTTGTTTCGACGGGCGATGGTGACGACGATGGACGGCGCCAGGGGCCAACGGATGCACACACAGGGATGCAGCAAGAGACAAGCAAGGGGGCAGAAGCAGCGATTCGGGGCGCACGACGGCAGTGCCTGAAGGAAAAAAAAGGTTGGGCAAGCTGGCGGGCGGAGCTCAGGGTCTTAAGGATCGGTCTACAGGCCCCCAGGCTGCGCAAGACGCGGGCATCGACGCTCAATGGCACAGTTACGCCCGGAAGGAATGGCACAGCGAGTGTGCAGCCGGCGGGCACGCTACGGCGCATTAAGCCCTACTGAACGGGCTAGGATCGCGAGATGGAGATGCATACATACAGACAACAGAGACAGCAGCAGCAGCAGCAGCAGCAGCAGAGCCAGGACGGCAGAGGCACAGGCAAAGACAGAACACGTCGCCGGCGCCGTGGAACGAGGTAACCTCGGGATGCGACAGCATGCACGCAGTGTGTGGAGCGCGACTTGGGCTCCTAATTCGATGGGGTTGGACTTTGCACGCAGAGCGACGGCCGCCAGTCGCTGTCTTAATCACTACTGCTAGTCTGGTGCGATGATGCACAGAGGCAGGCCAGCTCGGCGCGGAATTTTAACTCAAACCTTGAAATGAACTGAGTTCTCACGAGCAAAGGCAAATTGCCCCGGAGTGCCGATGCCTCCGCCGTGGCCCTCGATCGCAGGCGAGTTTTCCGGCTCCGGGAGGATCAATGGGAAAACCCTCGCTGTCACATCTAGATCACCGTCCAGCTTGGCCGCGGGCAACCGCCAAGGTAGGGCGTGAGAAGACTAACTACTACTCGTTACATGCCTACGGAGTACGGAGTACAGAGCCAGATCGCTGCCCTTCGCAACGGGGCACTGGTCCCGATTTCGGTTCCGGCTGCGGGCGCTGCGGCAACGAGAGCTAATCCAGCGCGCGAGATGGGCAGCAGACTGAAACACGAGGGATCCAGGCGGTCACATGCCGAATGCCGTCTAGCTCCCGCAGTCTGAGATCCCAGAGGAACGGTTGCGGGCGGAGGCTTGCAAAGGATAATCTGGTTGTGGTGCATGGTCGTGGGCGAGCTTCGTTATCACGATGTGGCACCAGCAGCCCAGGCGTTGCGCCGACCTGCACGCACACACTGTGCGCCGGCGCTGGCCCCAAGAGCGCTGTCGGCCGTTTGGCAGCGCACGGTGGCAGGTCGGACATGGCGATGGAGCCTCGCATCCAATAATACAGGCAGCTGTGGGAGCGTAACCGCTGCGTATCCGACAATACCTGCAGAATCGAAAAAACTCTTCCCCCCCAGCGCTAACGGCTGCGCCCGGTGCGTGGCAGCACCGGCGAGGATGGAGGAGCAGCAAGCAGATTGGGCGATGCCCGTCCGGACAGGCCCTGGGCGATGGGGCATGCTCGGCATGGAGGGCGCCCCGATCCGAACCAGGCCCGCTCCAGCCGCGGTGCCAGTGCGCCGTGAGACCGCCCCAGTCTGCGTGCTGCTGGGCTGCTGAGGCAGGCCGCCTGTGTGGAGACGACGCGCCGTCTCCATCTCGGCCGTCCGCCGGGGGGGGCGCCCCAGATTGGGAGACTAGAACAGCCACTGGGTAATCAAAACGTGAGTAGCTACTTAGTTGGATAAGACAAGTTGACTGAAAATTTATGGAGCTCAGGTGCTGCTTTCCCGTCTTATCCCTGCAGCAGGCAGGCGGAACATCCATGCTGGGCGGGGGTCCGGGGAGAACGGCCCATGATGACATTGCAGCCGTAGGCGAATTTGGCTTCGCTCTTCTGGCCAGCGGTGAGGTGCTGGGAGGCTTATCTTGTAAGACACCGGCTGGATCTCAATTTCAACGCCCAACAACTCAGCTACCCTTTTGTTTTTTTGCGCCCCTCATGCTGCAATGGTTTGGGTCACAACTGCTGCTGGTGATGGCATTGTGCGAATGGAGCCCATTCTGCCTCTTTGGTAACCTTCGGTGCCGGCACGGTTCCGTGGTACCTGCTTTGTAGTTACCACAACACCCATAGTTCTTTGGTGCCACAAACACCCAAAAAACCATCGTGAGAGCTGTTGAAGAGCTTAACATATCTAGGGTTTGTCCAATGACACTGCAGCTTATTTCTGCTGACCTGACTATCTACAATCTCCTCAAGGAGTATGCATGTATGTATGTACACACATACATCCATACAGAGTCCACTACTGGTTTCTTACTGCACATACCCATGGGTTTGTTCTGTCTGGGCCGAGAGCAAGCACTACCAGAACTGATGTCATCGGGCGCCTGGACCATAGGGACTCGTATATCCGAACCTCAAAACGTGGAGCGAGGCACTTCCAGGGTTCGAGATAACGTTGTCCCATTGGACGCTTGCGAACTGTACTGGGGGCGATATGCGAGGCGATCATCCCTATCAGGCTGTCGAAATTCATCCAGGCGTCACAAGAACGATTGACAACTGTCCGGCCCAGATGCATGAAATTCTTTCCCTCTAGGGAAGCCCCACTGGATCTTCTTGATCTTTGAAACCATCATATCTGCCAGTGCGACTGTGCGAGGCGAGCATCAGCAATTAATGCCTTCTATTTTTGTCTTACAGTGGGGTAGACTCCATAGGTGTACTCCGTATACCCACGGATTTCGGCTTGCATCAATAGTCAGGCCCTTAAAAGCAAGTCATCATTCCGCCCACCAATGGCCAGCGCTGGCTATTCAAGCACCCCGAGGCGCCCCTGCATTCCAAGCGGCGAGTCACTGAAAAATGTCAACTTGGCCTCGTTTTCTACCATTTTACCAAATTTTCAGTTCTGGGGCCACTGGCTCAATGTGCTCTGTATGTCGAGCCGAAGACGAGTCATGGATCCAGCTCAAAGTTCGTTGAACACAGAAGCATGGATGCGTTGGGCTTATTGACGCTTGTCACCCCCCACAATTTCGGAAGAGCTCCCCCGAGGTAACTAGCGCCCTGCAAATGGTGCTCACGGAGGCTGCTTTGTTCCTTGTGCGGGAGGGTCTTCCAATCGCCTGGCCTCTCGCCTGGAGAATCCCACCCGTTTGAAACTCGAGAACGGTAGCAAAGACGATCGCACAGCTCTGAGCTGCAATGTCAATAGGCGAGACCGTGGACCCCTGCACGTAGCCCGCTTGCGCTGGCTGTGAATCAAAATCGCATCCGAAACGTCCCAGGCGTCTGGTCACCAATCATGCGCCGGGCTGGAGGTTGAGCCGCCGTTGATCTTGGCAAGGGCAGCTTTGTATTAAGATCTCCGAAGCGGATCTGCTGCCAAAGGCTCTGAGAGAGCTGTCGTGCCAGAGGGCGTATCGGGGGGGGGGGGGATTGAAGACCATCTTCCATCGCCAATATCAAGGTTGAATGAGCAGAATGATACGGCAGTTACAGCGTTGTTACGCCCAGCGTGGGCCGACTTGACATAACGCGCCTGGAATGCCAATATATTACGGTACGGTCTTGTACCAGCTAGCGCCGTTGCAGGTCAAGCCGACCTGCAGCAAACGATTGGCTGAACGCTCTCGCAGGCGGAGAAATCTTCGAGGTTCGCATGCACTATCGGGCGACATCCTTCATCCCGAAGATAGCCAGCAACGGGCGCACTGCTGCTCCAACTGCATCTTTATCCAGCCTTCGCCTATCGCGCCGACCAAGAGTTCTCAAACAGGACCCGGCTGCACTTCCCATTCATGACCAACCCAGCCGTTTCCAACGTACTACGTCAGCAGGCCCAGAGCTCTCTGTCTCTGCCAGCAGGATGCTATATCTACTCTCTCTGCCAAAATGGTGGTGATGCGTTGTCCGCCATCTCATCAGATAACTCTCTGCGGCGCTTTGATCGCCACACCCTACAACTGCTGCCCGACGGCGTAGTCAGGGATATTCACCCGGGGAACGCCGGGGGAGTGAGCTGTCTTTGTCCGATTGATGGGAGCCCTACCCGGAATGGCCATCTTGTCGCAACCTGTGGGAGGGATGGGGCTGTGAGGCTATGGGACGACAGGACAAAGGGCCGTGATGCGGCATGCGTATTCCTGGCTGGGAGCGGTATGTTCGTTTTTTGTCTGGAGCTCGCTTAACACTCGCACGCCTCCATCCGATCTTGGCCGGTCAACCAACTCTCTGTCTCGTGAATCACCCCCCCCTGGTTAATCCTTCGACGTGCTGATCAGGGCTTGCGTGTCCAGACAAGAGTGCCGCTTTGCTTTCTCTGTCATGCAACCCGGAAACCTACGGCATAGCTGCAGGCAGTGAACTTGTGTCCGCCCAAGCATCTCTCTCGCTTTGGTAAGCCTTTTCATTTCCAATAATTGTCAAACTTACGTTTCGCGCGCACCTACCAAAACCTGGCCCGAGAACATGCATAGTTATGGCCGCTACGCTAGGATTTGATTCCATTCCCCATACTCCGTAGTTACTAACTGGCTGAAACTCTAGGGACCTCCGATCACCGGGGCTACCTCGGATGCAGTATGTAGAAAGCCATAACGATGATATAACAGAGGTCCGTGGTTTTGTCCTGCATCAGCTTTACAACACAGCAAACCGTGTGTCGGTTATTTTCGAAATGTCTGCTAAATCCCCCTGCTTTAGTTGCGCTACCACCCCACCCGTAACAATGTCTTACTCTCAGGAAGCACTGATGGCCTCGTGAATATCTATGATACTACCATCGCAGATGAAGACGAAACACTACTACAAGTGATCAATCACGGCTCCGTACATCACGCCGGGTTCATCGGTGAAAAAGCCATATATGCACTAAGCCATGACGAACTCTTTTCCATTCATCCCTTCAACGATCCCGATGAAAATGTAGTCGAGCCAGCTCCAATTCAGTTTGGGGATCTTCGTTCTGCATTACATTGCGATTATGTCGTAAACGTCCTCGTCGGTGCTGCTGGAGCTTATGCAGCCACGGGAAGCACTAGGTATAGCCCTCCTTCATGCAGCCATCTCCTCCACAGCTCTTTGTTCCTTCATCCTGTTCTAATGACGATTCGGCGAGCTAGGGAACAATCGCTTGATTTGATTCCTATTGTCGCATCCCCTGAGTTTCAATTCGATCGGACCAAAGTGTGGAGGCTTCCGGGCGCACACGGCGAAGAAGTCGTGCGTTCTGTCCTACTTGATAACCTGGTAAGTTAGCTATCTGAGTCAAATCATCTGCTGCCATAAACATATCGGTGGCCACGTGTTCTCTTTCATGTATTTGATTCTGACTCAGTTGCAGTCTGGGAGCGTTTTTACTTGCGGCGAAGATGGTCAAGTTCGAGTATGGAGGGACGAAAGCGAAGCTAGTACGCAGGGAGGCGTGCAATCCAGTAAAATTGAAGCCAATAAAACCCATCCGGACACATCATCCACAGCCGGCCGACCGTCGAGACTGAAAGAAGATCGCAAGACAAAGCGCCACAAAGAAAAACGGTACGCACCTTATTGAAGCCCAACTTCAAATTACATGCATTCGCGGGAGCTGGCTGGCGTTCCGAGACTTTTGGTTTCAACGGCTTTTCCACAGGGATGTCTTTGTCAGACCTTCGAACGGTGGTAGAATTCGTCAAGATTTTTATAATACAAGCACTAGTAACTCAGCCTCGCCCAAAAAAATTCTCCCTTTCTTTCACTGGAAGATATGCAAACTATGAAAAGCTGTGTCTTCAAACCAGGGTTGTCTGTTAGGTCGAGCTGAATGACTTGAGTCAAGATACTCCGTACCTTCGCAACAATTTTTAGGGTGGTTTCCCCTCGGCACTCTCTACACGTGAAAGACCGAGTCGCCCATGCATATAACCAACCAAGTTTTCCAGCCAATCAGGAAGTCAAACTAACCGTGTAAACAGTTTGTGTGTTGTTTACGGAGTACGATTATCAATGCTGGTGGGATCGTTCATGCAGCAAATACAATAGCCTGGTTCATGCAGGAATCCGGTGCCGTGCATTCCTTTGAGATCCCCATGAAGCCACCTCCTTTGGAGGGGGTTTTACGGGGATGGTGCATTATTTGTTTGCTGCTTCGTATTTGATGCGCACCCCAGTCCCAACGGCTGCAGGAGCACGGGCGTTTTTGGCCTGCAGAACGCCCGGCGGAAGTGGCACCACGAACCTAAGCTGCGTACTGTGGCTTATGCCATGGTATTTGAGTTTGATAGACTCTGGTAGAGTAGATCTAGACACATTGAACTCGTCCGGATGGAGCAGTGAGTTGACATGTATGGAGTATGTTCTCTTTGCGCAAGACAGTCCATTTCTTTTGCGATCCTTTTTCTACGAAGTAGACAAAAATTAACTAACATGGCACTTGCTCTTCTTCTTCACCTGGCCTAAACTGCCCAAATTACCTAACTACACCACACCTTGACGTTAAACATGTCTTCGTAAAATCCAATCAGCAGCAGCAGATTATCAACAAAGGAGAAAATACTAGTCAATCGAAGTTTCCTATTCTTTCAGTGACTTTTGACTACCAGCCTTGTGTTTTTTGGCATAATTAAGGGCACTGAAAGAATCCACACGATGCTGAATTCACGCACATCTATCCACTTGTAATCAATTGCGGTCTTTTATACGCAATATGTATACCAATAAGCTGTTTCGGCCCCATACTTTTGGCCCGGAAAGTTTGTTTACAGATTTGCAAAGAGTTGCAAAAAAGAGATGATCGATGTAAGAGGAAGGTCCTCGCAACGAGAAGGGACAAAGGTTCTTCTTCAAGCCAGTAGTCCCTTTACCAGCATTCCGCGTAGCTTACGGTGTAGAAGACGGCCAGTCACCCAGTTCTGTTCCCTCCCACAAGGCAGCTCAAGTCCAGGTCTTCTATTCTTTCCAGCCCTTGACTTGCCCTGAAGCAAAATATTGTTCAAAACTCTGGATGTCTACGGGATTTTCGAATATCTCCTTGATAACCTCTTCATCCTTTCTTCCCATGCCACTTCAGAATATGGCGACCAATATATACGGCCTTTCTTGTCTCTTATCCTAGCTGTCCTTGAGGAACTTTAGTCTCGAATCTTCAACGGTTTTGTCGTTATATCTGGTTGAAAGAGAGTTAAAGCACATCCTCCTCATTGTTTTGTCCAGCAAAGATCAGCTTAATCAACCAGTTCATATATACATTTTAGTTAGGGTGAGATACACATATTTTTTCTGTTGATTGTAGTATATTTTTAATTTTTCTTTCGTTAAGCTTGGTTGTTGTTATATGTCAGTGAGAAGAAGTGGCAGTTTTAAGAAACGTAGAGAGAGGGGTGACAGATGGCGGCCCTGGAGTCTTTTCTTTGGAAAGCTGCAATCAGAAGGAACCATACTGTTAATTTTACTAGGATCTCCATGTCTGCACATCTTATATATGAAGGTTTAATAATTGATATGCTGAAGCTGGAGCTTTACTTCCGTTGGGCAGTAGGCCATGATGAGGGCCTGCAAAAGCGTGTATTGAAAGGAGAGGAAGGGATAGTTGAGCAAACACAGATATGGGGGGCTATAAGACGGTTGCAGCAAGCTGGCGCTACATAAAGTAGCACCAATTGGATTGTAGATCGACGTGCAGATATTGACCTGAGATCATCTGATGGGCTGAGAGATAGAAAGGGTAGCCCAGCAGTGCGCTAGGATTATGATATGATGGAGGCCGGCAGATAGGACCTCGAGGAGATGGCTAAGGATATCAAGCTTTCCAGACACTGATGCATGTTCGCCAAAGCTAATAACTTTCCCTAGAGATGACACCATGAAAGCTGGCATCATCAGCGACAAAGCTTTTCTCTCATGTATCTGAAACAAGATTTTCTTCTACCCAGGGGTTGACTGAAGTACTGTGAGGTGGAAATATGCTCCATCCATGGTTTGCGTATAGAACTGCCTGGCGGACGGTAACATCAACTGATTTCGCTAACAAATGCGATCTGTAATGGTGGTATATAGTCCACACAGAAGGATAGAATGTCTTTTAAGCCAATTTATACCCAGAAGTCGGCATAAGGAAGTGCTCCCTAGTGCTCCGCGAAGTCAACCAATACCCTTTGTCGGCCCACCCACGTATGTATATTTAACCCAGCTAGAGCATGCTATCAATTCATCACTACCTCCACCAATTAGACCATTGGTGTCATTATGACGGATAGCCTTAAGTAGGAACAAACATTCCGATCTTGGCCTCAAGAGCCCAATTCTGCAACGGCTGCGCTCGCGAGGAATGTTTATGTGCTCATGTCCTTGGAGTGGAGTACTAAGCGGGCACTCAGGTCCAGTTCTGGTAAGTAACCAATCGCTGAGTGTTACTGCACAAAGGCCATTATTTGACTGTTGGGTCCTGAGTATGTATGTATGTACAAAAGTCAGCTTATCATACAGTCAAAAGTATTAACAGGGGCTTATTTAACCGCATTAAACTTGAATTTTTATCTTGAGAAGAGCAAGTAGCAAAGAAGTCGTTTCGAACTTATTTGAATGAGGATCAACAGATTAGTTATTCACGTGATTCCATTAGTTATCCATATCAGCAACCCCACTGTTCACATCGCAGTCAGCCATTCGCAATAACAGCACTCTGTATGCAGTTAAATCTTCAAAGATTGACCCAGAAGGCTGTATGCAGAGTACACTGTATCATCAGCTTGCTGCCACAAAACACAAATGGTGTTCATCAGGATTCGCGCCGCTGTCAAACAAAAACGGTCATGAAGGGACAAAAAAGGGAACTCTCTGCGATCGGGGAACTTCCAACCCGGAGGGCAAGGTACTCCGTACGGATTGCACGACAACCAGAATCCCGAGCAGCCGTCCCAGGGCTGTCATCAGCCAGTGTTGGTTGGAAATGTACTCGGTATTCTCAAAGCTGCAAGTGGTAAGCTATCTGCTGCGCAATAAAGGAGACACCCCAACAATCTTCCGCGAAATAATAACCAACCCCTTTCCCTGTGTTCCGGATAAATTATTTTATTTTTGTTGGAAGCTGCTCATCATCTTGGTGACTCGGCAGGGGGGTGGAGCGCAACCCCTTTTTCGGTTGCAGGAGCCTCCAAACGCTGTTCGTACTAGCGGCCCGTCATCCTTGTTTGCTCAAGTCGCGAAAAGTACGGAGTACGAAGTAATAATAACAGGCTAATACGACCGCCGCCATTCCTTTGCCAGCTCAACGTGTCGCCACTTGGATTAGTGTTTGGTAGATTTTTCCAAGTTCAATCTGGGGCAGGGTTGAGGTTGGGTTGTTGAAACACACTTTCTCCATGGGTCAACCAACTCTAGTCGCGGCATCGCACCTCGATTCGAGTTTGATCGATATGGCTTGTTTGTACGGAGTTAATGAGGTCCCTCATTTTACTAGCATACTTCCCCCCGAAACCTGGCCCCACAAGCCAAGCCGAGCCAAAGGCAACAAAAGACCGCTTTGTTCCGTCAACAAAAGCATGGCTTGCTGTTGGGGGAAGACGTTAAAATTCAAAAAGTGCTCGATATCGAGAAAATAATTTGACCCCTACCTGCCAAGGCACGCGAGGAAGCTTTTTTGCCTTTTAGCTCGCGCCCATTGACAGGTGTATTTGAACCCCTTCTCGCCGCATTCCACTGTTCTTTGGTTACAGAGGATTTTTAGCCGTCGGCTTCCTACGTCTCCCTTGGTACTCCGGATAAATGAATTGATCAACAGTAACCGGGCCATGGCGTATGCACGGCGCCGCCTGTCGATTTTGGCGATATTTCTTGTGTTGGTTGGGGCGCTTGTTTTTGTTCTGTGGTTTGGCGTAAATTCTGACAAGGACAATATACACCCACTTCTCACACAATTGATACCCGCGGGGCACTGCACATGTGAATCGTCGACAACTTTCAACTGCACTAGCTGCTCGAAAGCGATTGCCCCAGTCACTTTACGACCATCGGATCCTGTTTGGAAGTTCCAATATGGTAAAGACGGCCAGAACGTGAACCTCGACAGCGCACAGTGCAGAGCCTCGTTCCCAGGCCTTTTCGAAGACGTTGACCGTGCTGTTGCATTCTGGAAATCCCATGGCAATGTGTCAACACACAATCTAGATAATGTAACTCTACGACGAGGAATGGCAAGAGCAATGATTCATGACCAGGAGCTGTATGTAGTCGCATCTCAGGCTGCGCAAGAGGACCACCGGCGAAAGATTCTAGCAGTGTTGAGTTCGATCCATCGAGCTCTTGCGGCTGGTCATGCCACTCCCAACATCGAGTTCATTTTTTCCGTTGAAGACAAGGTCGAAGACATCGCCGGACCTGGCCATCCGCTATGGGTGCTTGCTCGAAAAGCGACTGAGGAATCTGTATGGTTGATGCCTGATTTTGGCTTCTGGGCGTGGGATAACCTATCCAATTCAATCGGGCCTTACAACCAGGTTGTAAGGAATGCTAAACGCCTGGAAGAGAACCTACCGTGGTCTCTCAAGATTAAAAAGGTTGTCTGGAGAGGGAAACTGAGTTTTGCGCCAAAACTGCGACGGGCGCTCCTTCAGATCGCACGGGACCAGCCATGGGGTGACGTGAAGGAGCTCGTCTGGAGCCGTAAGGACAATTTTATTGGCATGGAGGATCATTGCAAGTACCAGTTTATAGCCCACGTTGAAGGTATTTGAGTCCCAATTCCTGATAGCGAACACCCGAAATGTTACTAACAACGGTCCTTCATATCAACAAGGCCGGGCTTTCTCATCGTCTCTGAAATACCGCCAGGCATGCCGCTCTGTTATTATTGTCCACAAGCTACAATATATTCAGCATCATCACTATCTTCTGCAAGCAGAAGGCCCGGAACAAAATTATGTGGAGGTAGAGAGAGACTTTGCAGACCTGCCGGAGAAAATCAATATCCTATTAGCTGACACAGCCCTCGCTGAGCGGATAGCGAATAACAGTGTGAAAACTTTCCGGGAACGTTATCTCACCAAAGCTGCAGAGGCCTGCTATTGGCGAGAGCTTTGGGTCGGTTGGGCAAAGGTCGCATCAGAAGATGGCAAATTCGAGAGAAAGGGTCTGAGATATGAGTCATTTATTTTGCTGGAATCAAAGGCCATGATGATGTTTCCGCCAATAGCTAAGGGATCTGTCCATTCTCTTAGGTCACTTTCAATAAAATCAGAGAAAACTTGCCCAATTTATGGGTAGTTCAAATCGAACAACCAAATTATCGGGCTGTACGCACCTGAAGAACATCTCAAGGTTGCACGAGCTGGAGATTTTGTAGACTACTATGGGCCCAATCCACATACACGCCAATAGCGCAAACTTCGGAAGTTTTACAGTATCATTCATAATGTGGGTTATTCCTGGCTGTCAGCTTCTCCAAGATCTCGTCTACTCCATCCCTGCTAGTTATCTAATGTATGTCATCCTCAACCATTCATGAGCTGTATAACTTTAGCGGGGCAAGTTATCATACTAGGCCCAATATAGTCTAGTGCATTTAAAAAGTCTTGGCATTACGCGCGCCGGAGCTTAGTAACCAGCCTGCGCACTGTGTAGGCTCCTGGTCTTGGCATTACGCGCGCCGGAGCTTAGTAACCAGCCTGCGCACTGTGTAGGCTCCTGGTCTTGGCATTACGCGCGCCGGAGCTTAGTAACCAGCCTGCGCACTGTGTAGGCTCCTGGTCTTGGCA